GGGGGGGGGGGGGGGGGGGGGGGAAAGACGAAGGATTGGAAAGCGTTTGAGAGGACAGAGGGCAGAGGGACGGTGCCGAAGAATTCCAACCAAATGCCTGTCCACACAGCAGATTTTAACGGGCAAGCGAGAAGAAAATGTTCTTGCGTCTCGATGGACACCTGGCAAATAGTAAGTTCAAAATTAGTTCAAAGTACATATTAGATAAAGTTGTGCATATAATCCCGTCTCTGTCATTAAGTGAGAACCTTTTATCGCATGTTTTTTTAGACCTATCATTATATGGCACATCCTCTCCATGAAAAAATGCTTCTCTTCTCAATCCTAGTGATAATGGAAGAAAACTAGCTGATTAGAGTCGATTAAAAAATTTGCCCTTTTTTTGAACTTTCAGTCTGTCTACACCAATTATTTTGGAGTTTATAAGTTGAAGAAAAAAAGTACATAGCCAGCCAGACCAAAGGTGTATATATGTATTTATTATTTCATTTTCGCCCTGAATGTTTCGAGAAGATTTCTATGTTTTGAGCCATATTGATATATAATGAGTTTTGCCTTTTTTTCTTTAAATAAATAAGATAAAATACATTGGCAAATATTGCACCTAGATTATATATATATATATTTACATGTAAAGGCGCCCATAAAAAACAGAACAAAACAAAAAACAATTTATTTTACAGGCAAAGACATTCATTTCTTCAAGTCTGACAGTAAGATCAAAAGCATATATCAATTTTTTTTTGCAGTGTATATAAAATAGAGGTTTTTTGAGATTAAGCCAATACGTAATAACAAAAGGTCAGTATGTATACAAAGTAATATCATATATTTTCTTTAGCACAGAGTCTCAATAAGACTTACCTACTGCCTCGTTTTATCTCCAACCTGCATCGATCACTTTACAGCATTTGCCGAGTCCCCCCGCAGAAAAATTTCAAAGTACTGATATTCCGCCAATCGCTTCTTTCTTTGAATCTGATCTTTTGTGTATCACCGCAAATGTTCAAAAAGAAATAAAATGGGATCTGCCCATACTTGTATAACAAAAACAAGTTTCTAAGGAAAATATAGAATATAAATGCTCTATTTTATACTTGTATATCAATTAGTTCGGAATAACTAGAGAAAATTAGCCGAAGTTGGTGTGTATATTTTATTCTTGCAGAAAAGACAATCATGTAAAGGCAGATCAATATACTCTTTATATATATATATATAAGTCGATTAATATCAAAGAGAGATTGAGGAGTAGTAATGAAGTAGTTTATTTAAATAGAAAATGTATGTATATCATCATCATCATTAAAATACATTATATTGTTTGATTTATGGGCTCTTTTATAGCTCTATAGGATCTCTTAATATTATGTCTACCTGATATTGCATTCCTTTGCATTTTTCTAAATATATATTTAATGAGGGCACTTGTGCCATTTTTGATTTGTCTCTTATTAATAATTAACTCGAGAAAACTGTTGATCTTGGAAGTACTTCTTCCACCCTTGCTTAGCTTTTTTTTTCATGTCAATGGTTAACATTTTGTTGATACACCAGATCTGTTATTTATGTAACCATCTAGCATAAAATCCCGCTATAATTGATTCACATAGTATCCTCGCTTGCCTAAAATTATGGGATATTGTGCCAAAGGTAAATTAACGCTGCCTAAAACATTCATCAAATTAAGAAAAAAGTAATCGACGGTAAGCTTTGCCCTGTTGTATTCTCATCATATACTACCTTTATGTATGCATTAACTTCACCCTATCTAACACGGTTCTTTATTATTAGAGCTTATATTTATTTCATCTATTCTTTAGACTGGTTGTCCAATTAAATTTACACGTTCATGTATGTATATGTGTATGTGAAAAAGAGATTGACAGTTCTTGAACCAGCTGTAGAGATATAGTATAGTAAAATGTCTAATAATGTATATAGTATGCTAAATGACATTTGTTAGTAGTTTGGACGTCACCCCCGCTATTTTTTTTTAAAAAAAGAAAAGGGTATGTTTTATATTTTTGGGCTCAAAGTTGGATCCCAAGGTCATCAAACATCGAACACCCTAGATTCATTTAATTGTAAGAATTACTCCTTATTCACCTTTTATTCTTGATAATTATAAGTATTATTGAAGTGCTTGTTTAATTATAATTTCTCTTTGTTGATTTCAAACTTTATTTTATTTTTTTCCGGTTTACAGATATTTTTCTCGAAGGCCGATTCTGTACTTGCCTTGCACAAACATAGTCGTACAAAATAGTATTGTTCATTGGGAGTAAAACTCACTTTATGTTATTCTGAGAGTCTGCTTAACAACATTTTAGTCAGCAGGGGGCCGAGCAAATAGTACAGCCAGATTGGGTAAATCAAACAAATACATTTCAAGACGATTGTAACTCTCAACTAGGACATCTGATATTACTCCCTTTCGCCTGGCTCTGGCTTTGGCTTTGGCTCTGTTAGTGACAGTTTGTAAAAGAGAAATCAAGAGTGAGAAGGGAGTTATTATGCACTCCCAAAGATCATATGTATATATATACATTTTGGATATTCATTTGAGAACAGAAACGAATGAATATACTAACAGCTGTAAAGCGGTACATTATTTACAGCTTAATATGGTAAAGGGTTATCTTTATAGGGTAAGAAATGCTATAACACATGGGTAAAAGTGCTGTCTATAATATCCCTCAAATTGAAACCCTTGATAATTAATGCAGATCGATTTATATTCTCCTTTGGAGGGTGTGTATTAAAAACAAAAACAAAAGCGATGTTCTTCCCTTCTTTACTATTGATTTCTATAAAAATAATAATCAGTTCAACAGGTCTTGTATTATCAAAATATAGTAAGGAAAATGCCGTATATTTTTTTCAATAAATCATAATAATCACCCAACATATCAGAGTTCCTGTCACTAAAAGCGTAGTTTTGTGGATAAACAAGTGTAGTGTACCGAATATTCATAGAGTACTTGCAGTGACGATCATTCGAGAAGTGCATCATGATCAATAAATATGCTCAAATGTATTTTTATGCTTAATGCCATTCGACATGAATAAATTGTCATGAATAGTTTAATTTAGTAAATAACATTTGCGTAGGATGTATTTTAAGAGGGGAAACAAAACATGTACACTGTACGCAGCGGATAAAATTAGCCAGATCTGATAAATTCTTCCATGTAACAATATTTTTTTTTATAAAAAAAAAGAATAGATTATATAATAAGCTATTTTCTTTAGCATGCTCTAAACCGTTCGTTATTGATCTTTGCGCAACGGCAAAACAATATGAAGCACTCAATTTAAACCTGGATCAAGTTGCATTGATTGGCTAAAGACTATTAAATTAAACACAGACATCAGATAAGGGCGGGGAGAAGACGGCCGACTAATTGTATGGTAGGTAAAAGCAGGAAAAAAAAAGTATATATATAGTGCTTGATCTGCTAAGAAAAATGTAGTTTATTCATCTTCTTGATCTCTTTGTCTACACCAAAATGAGCCGTAGAAATAGTAACACGACGGTTGATAATAATGTCAGCACAAAAGTAGCTTCCTCAGGCCTGAAAGCCTTTATTCTCTCAAGAATCTTATTCGCTCCTCCTGTTGAAAATGATCCACGCTTACTGAGAGCAAGAAAGAAATCAACGATCCTCCTTTGTCTGGCCATATTGGTTAGCACCGGTGGACTCTCCAGTACAATCTACTTTCCAGGTAAGTAATTACATCTCTATGGTAATTAACACTTTATTTATTTACTCTAATTTATTATTACTCCTAATAGCATTGCCACAGATCGAAACCGATTTCAACTCTACACCTATCTTGGCCACATTGACAGCCGCTATGTTTATTCTCTTCATGGGTATTGCCCCAATTTTCTGGGCTGCATTCTCAGATCATTACAAGATTCGACGTTTGCCCAATATGCTATCCATGGTTGTTTTTACATTCTCATCACTCGGTGCTGTTTTTGTCACCAATATTGGCGGTCTTATTGCTCTACGATGTATCCAGTCCATAGGTTCTTCTTGTGTACAGGCTGTAGGAGCAGGTGTGTAGTCTAATTAGATACACACACACATATATATATATATATATTTTGCTGACATAATTTGATTTTCATTTTTCTTTTTTAAAAAAAAGGTGTCATTGCCGTAAGTTATTGAATTCAATTTTATACACCTTTAATTTTATTCAAAAAATATATATATATTCTGATTCTGTAATATTTTATAGGATATCTACCCTCTTGAGCAACGTGGTGCAGCTTTTGGAAAATTCTTTCTTGCATTGTTTATTGGCCCACTTCTTGGTAAAACAGAAAAAAAAGAAAACCAGTTGGGTATCAATATCTAACTATCTTTCCAGGCCCTATTCTTGGTGGCTTCCTCGTTATGAGCGACGCATCGTGGAAAGCAACTTTTTGGTTCACATTCGCTTACGGAATTGCCATCATTATCTTCTGCTTCATTTTCCTGGACGAAACCTATCGTGACAATGCCAAGTTCGATCTTCAACTTCCTATGCAAAACACCCGAGAAAGCGATACATTGAGTACTACAGGCACAGTTCTGAGTGAAAGTCCGTCCCCAAAGTCAGCCGAAGTACTTGAAAATGTACCTGTCAAGCCTAAGCGAATCAACCCGATTGCTCCTCTTTTTTTGTTGCGTCATCCTTTCATCTTCATGCCTTCATTTTGTGGAGCAGTTGCATTTGGTGGAATGTTCGCTGTTGAGACCATGATACCTATTGTTTACACAGAAAACTATGGATTCCCAGCTTGGAAGACAGGTAAAACATAAGCAATAAGATTTATTTATATATATATATATGTATCTGACTTCTCGTCCCACCTATTAGGTCTTAGTTACCTCGGCGCGGGCGTGGGTAATGTGCTCGGAACTGTTATGAGTAGTTACATATCCGACCGAGCTGTACTCAGAGCAAGAGAAAAGCGAGGCGGACGCGAGGTAGTAGAAGATCGCTTGACACCCAATCTCTGGATTGCCGGATTCCTTTTTATGCCCTTGGGCCTGCTCCTGTTTGGATGGATGGCCGAACGCAATATGTCGGTGTGGGCATGCATCATTGGATTTGGCTGCCAATCATTTGGTATGAACCAGATCATGTCTGCCACAGCTGCATACATTGTAGATGCCTTGCCAGGGCAAGGTGCTTCCGCTTCCGCTGCGGCCAATATGATGCGTATGGTTATGGCTTGTATTCTGACAATTATTGTATCCCCAATGATGGATTCTATTGGCACTGGTTGGACAACTGTATTTCTGGCTGGCCTTTCTTGGTTCTCCATGATCATTCTGGTTATCGTAGTTATTTACGGTGAACGACTTCGAAAGTGGAGTGGATTCTAATTACTACTATCTTATATTACTTACATTATTCATCATATATTATAACTATCTCTGTAAAATCAACACAAACATCAGCATATAATTACTATTACTATTACTATTACATTCACCATCACTATCCCAATTCATCTCTTTTATTTTAATGCAATCACATATTGAACTCTAAAGCTTTAATAAATATAATCAATACTGACTCAATAATAAAATACTATCTTTCTACATCACCAACACAACTATTATTATTTTCGATATAATCTACTACTTGGTCTTACATAGTTGTAGATACAAAACAAAGGTACAATTTCTTTTTTTCATTTGGGTTGTTTTCTAGTATCAGATTTAAAGACACAGATGTTACTGAAGACAGGGCACACACACAAAGCATCTTGTTAATTCAAAATGTCAAGTCTAAATGAGAAACTTATTGGCATAATATGTGCCATAATTTACAGGCTTTATATATGTCTGGTAATAGATATATATATTGAATAAAAATAATAGGTGAAGACTGTGAATCCTGTTTGAAATTGCGAAAATTGTTTAAAGAAAATCTTATTTTATAATATATATATATATATTCAAGTAAAACATTTTAACAATTGAGTGTCTTTAGATACAAGATAGAACGTGCTATTTGTCGATAAGCTGCTAGTCTGTACAACAGTATAATCTGGTCTTAGACAAACACGTTACTTTTACCGAAAGTTTTTATTACCATTTATTACCATTTAATTTTTCTAATGAACATTAAACAAGAAACCCTGAGAAGCAAATAGGTAAAAGGTAAAAGGTCGTTCTGTAGTTTAAGTTCATCAACCGACCTGTAAATCATTTCTACCATTTGATTCTCTCCGTCCTCATAGCGCCGTTTGGGCGATCGCATCGTAAGTTAGTTTTCTTTTTTTTTTCTTTTCTTACATAGATATTTCATAGATCATTTTAGTAAATTATAGCCACAAATATATTATATAAATAAAACCAAATATTCTTACTTTTCAGAATAGCAGTACGTTCTCTGTAGAACATATTACCAACGTATTCTCCAAAAGCATAGGCAGTAACACATTTTCTTGTCTTTGTATATTTTGCCTTTCTATGTCTATAGGATGGTAATACAGAGCGGAGCACGGTTGTTTGATTACATGGTGCAACAACGAGGACGGAGAGGGAAGCGGGAATCCTGGAGATTGGTTAACTTATGGAGTTTATACAGGGTGAAAGTCCATATAATCACTATCGAGGAAAATCCATAAAGGTAAGGTAAGCAGAATAGTCAAGAGGAAGATTTCTTTTTGATAGCAAGAGTTTGGAACCAATTCGTTTAAAACAGACCCCAGAGTTAAGAGAACGAATCAGACAACATCATAGATAGGAGGCACAATACAAACGACAGTTTTTGGCGATGTGTTACAAGAATGAAAAAAAAAGGTACGAACCGAGAATGATGAATGGAAAACTCTCTCGTTCGAAAACCTATGGCCACATAAACAAAATAAGCCAGCCGAGTTCTCTCTTCCCTACATTCATTCAACTTGTAATCAACCTGTTTTTAAATCTTCTTTCCTTCAACACGCCATGCTCTCCGCATCTACTGTATCCTCCACCTCATCTAGCGCCTTCAGCTCCTCATCCGCAACCACTCCTTCATCTCAACATTCAATGGAATCAGCTAAAAAAACCACCGGAAACCCATTAACCGACTTGATAGAAGCCGAAAAATCCTATCTAGAAACCTTGAAGATCATTGATTTGGTAAAAGCCAGTCTTTCAGCATACGTTATTTTCATGTTTATTTATTTTCAACCACAATGAAATCCTACCAGCAAATTGCACCCATATGGATGAAGCTAGCCTCTCCTGCACCTGATTTCTATGACCTACTTGGATATGTTCATGACATGTATAGAGCAAACAAAAGATTTTGTGCAGTAAGTGTGCTCATACGCATGGATTATACAATTAAAAATCATTTAATTTATTGTTTGTAGAAATTAGTAAAGATTGCTGGCAATCCACAAGTCTTTCGTGAACTTGGCGATGTATTAATGCAATGGGTAACACATTATAAGTAGCTGAAACCAGAGAAAATCTCAACCTAACCTCACACACTTTAGGTGGAAGATATGGAAGTTCCTTATGCCAATTTCTCAAGAAGCTTTATTAGTGACTTGAATAAACGGCAAGATATCCAGGAAAACCCACAAATCCGCCAATTGTTAAATGTAAGCTAAGATATCAGTTAGTATAATAATGCTCATATGATTTCATCCTATAGAATCTGTCTGCCAATTTCCCTTATGAAATCACACTTGAGTCGCTTTTCAACGCACCAAATCAACAACTCAAATACTACAAAATGCTTTATAGTGTACGTTAAGCGAATTAGAGTTCCTTTGCATCAAAACAGGTCAACTAAAAGCTGTGGAAATTGCTAATAATAGAGACTATTGGATGGAACAGACCCTGGTAGAGCCGACCACAAACTGTTACTCCAAGCCAACAAACGAATCGATATGATCATGATCATGGCTCAACGGACCATGCCACGCAATATCTCCCCTTTACCCCCACGCGGAAGGTCCGAAGCTACAGAACACCATTCTTCACGTGGTATAAAAGGAACAGCCCCTTTACCCCAGATCAACACCAGTTTTCAAGAACATCACAGCTTTTCACCAAATATCTCTAGTATAGAGCAACAAATTGACAGCCTTAGAGTAGCAGACATATTCAGTGGAATTCGAGTCGTAAGTTATTTGTATTACTCATAAATGTTGTTGTATTATGTATATTGATATCTCTCAAGAAATATCAATTACGCTTAAATCCAGTTTCAAAGATTGCCCTGAGAAACAACTTTGTACTGCTTCCAGACCAAAACGGCGGTGCCACCGCAAGAGTTCATTTAATTTTGACAAATGAGGTCTTGATCGTATGTCGGGAACAACCAGGAGCCAAGCCTTACTCCTTAATTTACCCTCCACTCCGCAATCATGATGTCCAGGTCAAATCTGCGTCGATTGAGCGTGAGCTTGTAGGCGAATACATAATCCAATTCTCAATTCTCGGTAAAAAGAACTTAACAATGAGAGCAGACGAAAAGGAAATCAGAAACATATGGTTGGGTCTTGAAGAGAACGTGTCCAGTACCATGACCCTTGCAGCTAGACCTCTTATATCAACCGTACAAAAAATGCTTTCACAACCTAGCAACAAAACTAACACAGCCATGTTAAACACTCCTGATGAGCACGAATTGAAAGGAAATAGAGGTGAAGTATCACCGCTGGACAGTGACGAAGATAAAAATACCCTCCAATTTGATGAAAAGACGTACGCACCACATGCCATTCATAAAGCTATTCCTAGCAACCGATACGATGACTCTGATGATTCACCAGATTCAGTAGACAATGAATTTAAAAGCATGCTACTGTCCGGTCGTTCCCCGAATGTACCAGTGAATCAACCAAAACCCGAAAATAAGCTGGAAAACATAATTCCTCGTACTGTAATGATGTTCCCTCAAGTCCCAGGGCACAACCCATCCAGTGTTGTAGGAAAACTTCCCTCTCTTTCGTCGAATCCCACCCCAGTAGAGTCAGAAATGGTAGATATAAAAGAGCCAACAAAGCCAACTATAGTTCAAATGACGTTTATTCCTCCTGTCGCGGTCCAAAAGATGACTATTGTGAACACAGAGCCTAGTGCTTTATCTGTAGAGACTGACGACCTCAGAATTTCATCTGATGTAGAATTTTCTACTTCGAATGACCTACCAAAGTCAGAAAATATAAAAAGTCCAAAAGGAACTCCAACTGAACCACCGTCTCAACAACTGCACGCCAAGGATCTTCAAGAACGCCCAGCCATAGGAACATTTGAAAGTATAAATAGATCAGGCTCACCGCATCCAGCTTCGCCGCGTCCTATTGAAGTGCGTCAGGGAGTTTCCCCTGTAGCCATGCAAGCAGTTACTCAAGTGAACAGCTATATTTCTTCGGGATCATCGTCCCCTCGACAACAGAATGAACCCCAGTCACAGAACTTGCCTACAGCTAAGCAAGATAATGGTGATTGTGGACGAGTAAAACCACCACCACCACTCATTCAAACAGGCGCTCGACTGGCAGATGGTCAACTTTTATCTGACCCACGAAGAGAAAATGGTACTAATAACTTACCTACACCTACTACCCCAAATTCTACTTCGCCACTCGGAAATGGCCCGACTCAACAGAGTCAGAACCTCACACCAAGAGGCTCATCTAGAAATGTACCTGGGGATGAAAACCAGGCTTATTATCAGCAGAAATCTCGACAACAAATTCCACCCCAACAATACCAACAAACCCCTCGACAACAAATCCCACCGCAGCAATACCAACAGAATTCTCGGCAGCAAATTCCGCCACAACAATACCAACAACCTCTTCAGCAGCAGCAAGGATATCCTACTGGATATACTAATGGATATACCCGTCCTCTTGCACCTGTACATCCAATGGCATCCAAGTCTTCTCCTTATAGAGGGCCTGGTCCTCAGCCGGCACCTATACCGACATCAAATATGCTATCTCCTCGCCTTGGCCCAACTCAAGGTGGTCCCTCTCAGACAATGATGTCTCCTCCGAATAACCTGCGTACACATTCTCCACAAAGAGCAGTTGGTTCTCCTTACCCTAATTTCAATACACCTTCCCCGTCTCCCAGTCGTTCGTTTGGAACTGCTTCTCCTTCTCCGCGTCCTCAGCAAGGATCACCCTACTCGCCTGATGACTCTAGCTCCCCTCCTCACAGTGTACGTCTTTTAAAAAAGTGCTTGTATGAATTATCCACTTTACTGATTTATTTTCATTTTTTTTGTCATCAGCCCAATCCTCTAGGAAGCCAGGCAAATGGTATCAAACAAGTAGTCTATAGCAGCAGCGAATGTGAAGTATTCCATTGGAAAGACAAAACATGGTATGCAGCGGAAGGAAAGTGTCTTCTTCAGATCAAGTTGACACATTCCAACCGTGCATGCGTAGCTGTACAAATCCAAGCAACCGGACACCTATACCTTAATGCATGGATCTTACCAATCACGGTAATTCGCCAACCATCAGAAACTGATGTCAGTATCTCAGTATTCATGGGGAACCGCAAAGAAAACTATCTCGTTCATTTCCACAACCCCAATGACGCACTTTCCTTCCTTCATATATTGCAGCAAATGCACTATGACTCTTGCCAGCCCAGGCCTTATCAGGATCCTATTATGGCACGATCAAGCTCACTTGGAAACCAACACGGTGCGGCTGAAAATAGACTTGCTGAAAATGGCCCACAAACTCTACAACCTGTCATGCAATTTAAATGTAAATTATTTTTGCAGAATGAAACCTCAAGTTGGAGTCCCTTTGGGTCAGTGTCTATGCGAATATCCCAACAGATTCCGAGCAAGCGAATGCATATTTATATTGAGAATGAGAAGAACAAACTTGTTAGTTCTGTTGTACGCAGTGGAAATGTGGAGAAGGTTGGAAACAAGAAGGTTACGTTCTTACTAAAAAATGAACAAGAAAGGACAAGTATGGTATATATGATTCAACTCAAAGACGAGAAGACTGCCGTAAAGACGTACGATTATCTTCGGGTGAAGAATAGTGAAGCTGAATGGTGAACATCTCTCTTTATATACATATATACATATACTTAAGCAGAATATTTTATTGCATGGCCTAATTTCTTGTAGCTAGACAGACAGAATTTGTAAATGTCTTTTTCTCGTTTACTTTTATTTATTTATTTATTTATTAATTGCTTGTCTATAGAAAATAAGCAAATTAAACTTACTTTCTTTAGATTATTAGTGCTCTTTGTTATCAATAAACATTTAGTTATATATTTTCTTTTGTATTTATTCTTTACAATGAGACCTCTCCCAAATAATAAGCTATATATCACAGTAGCTGTACAATACAAGACTTAATAAGTATATATATATATATATTCTTGTACTTTTTAATGTACACAAATATACAATCTATGAATTGACTTGGATAATCACCAGTTTCAACTTTGAGGGACATTACACCTGTTAATAATAATAATACAAAAGTCAAAATGTGTTGAGATATTTAATATATATTTGGTGTGGAGAACTTGGTTTTTAATGAAAATCCACTATATAGATAGAGAATCAATTATATCAGATATGTCTTTGTCTCGTATACACTTTTATACTCCTTTGAAATAAACCAATAAACGATAAATGATAAATTTATATAAATCATTTTTTGACAAAGTATCAACACAAAAACTATTCCATTCTTACATGTAAATTAGATTGAATTATCTTAAAAGAGCCCATCTTTACCTGTACAAAGCTTGATTTTATGAAAGGTGTTTTTATTTATTTATTCTTAAATGATGAGTATGATGTGAGCAGAGAATGAAGCTAAGAAAAAGGCAGTTTAAAGAGTTTACACTTTTTTAGATTAAAACTGTTACAAATTTCGCATTTTCCTTAGGCTTTCTAACTCCGTAAGCTCCATATAAAACATCAAAAAAGTGTAGTTGATAAAGAGTAAGCTTGGTTTGGTAAAAGTCACGAGAGGCTTAGACAGTTTATCGAGGATTGCATATTAATCTATGGTTTGAAGGAGAGGGGTCAAGTAGAATACTTTCTCTTTATCCTTATATTTTTTTTCTCATGGGTTTTCTCTATTCCAGAAGTGCCTTTGGTGGCCTTTCTTCTGCCATCAAACCACCATCTAGTGAAACTAAAAAAGCAAAGGCAAAACCAAAACCAAAACCAAAATCGACAACCATCACAGAATCCACAATTAGCAAGTTAGCTCGCGGAATTTCTTCCAATCCTGATCAAATACCAAATAAACCGAGAGCTAAAAAAGAGACATTACCAAAAAAAGAACCAAAAAAAAGAATTCCTAAAACAGCCGTGACATCCGATTCAAATCTTGAAAGCGATCCATCAGCTGTTGTCAAGAAACCTCGAGGTCGGCCGAAGAAAGTGCCTGAAGCGAATTCTACTGAATCTTCAGCAACTGCGGTAAAACGAGCACACGAGGATGATCATTTAGTACCTAGAAAAAAAATTTCTCCTTTAAGACCAAAAGAAAATACTTCTTCTGAACCAATGGACAATATAACATCTTCAAAAATAACACCAATTTTGGCAAAATACTCTGAGGAAACAAACTTAAACCCCCCCGAAATAGTAACAAAGATTGCTAAAGTACCAAGGGCACCGAAAACAGCCAAAGCGCCAAAGAAAGTAGGAGATGAAAAGAAACCTGCAAAGCCAAGAACTTTGGCCTCAAAGTCAAAGATTACTAAGAGTGAGGTTCCAATTGAGACTGTTGAACCCGACGATCCTTTTTTAAATATTCATGTCGATACATCACTCAAGTCTGTTCTAGATTCTGATTATCAATTGGAGTATGAAATTCATGGCCATTCTAACGTGGAGAAGCCCTATACTGCATCAAACAAAGAAGGTCATTCTGCAAATATTTGGGCTTGTGAGTTTGAGCCAGTACTATATGGAGGGACGCCATCAAATGTTGTTGCACTTTGTGGGGCAAATTATGTATTATTCTTGGACACAGATCAAGAGCGCTACGTAAAGAAATTCACACACCCAGAACCAACGGAAGAATTCTATTGTCTAGCATGGACAACACTTCGAGGTCCGAGCGAAATGATGGATCCAAGAGTACCTGAAGATACTAGTTGCAATATTCTTGCTGTAGCAGGTAAGCGACAGTATATATATATATTATTCGATATATTTATTAAACTTCAATTTATACGAAAGGCCGACTCGGATCCATCAAACTTATTCTCCCACTACAAAACGAGTGCTACAAATATCTCTCTGGACATACAAAAGATGTTACACGACTCTCATTTTCAATGAAGAATAGGCGTTGGCTATTCAGTAAGCAATTGTCATGATTCGAAAATCATCTCCTGATAAACCGTGTATATATGTATATTGTTATAATTATAATTATACTTATAATTATAAAGGTAGCTCTTATGATATGACCGTTCGTTTGTGGGATATTGGACCACCAAAGTCCGGCGTGGATTCGTATATGTAAGCTCGGTTACCCCGAATTAACTAGTTGTGTATACTTACTTGCCGTTTATCTAGGTGTCTTTCCAAATTTCATATACCATTTGATTATGATATACCTACTTCTTTAAGTATTGATTATGACTTTTCGGAATTGGTTGTCGGGTGTGCAGCCGGAGACATGCCTATATTTAGAATCGAGGAGAAACAATTAAAAGCATGGAAAAGTACAGTGGACAAATGGGCAAAAAATGGAAAACAACCAAAAAAGACTACTATTCCACTCATTAAGCATAAAACTGTTTTTCCTTCTGGGAACGAGTGGCATGAGGGATACGTGGATGATATCCATATCATAGGAAATACAGGGGAATGTATTCTTAGCGAGTTGGACGGCCTTATAGGTAAACTTTTACCAGATATCAGGATTTGGAGCTACTAACTCACAATGATGATAAAGTGTCACGTGGATCAGATGACAGAGAAATCATTGCATGGAACCCTGTCACTAGTACACAAGAAGATGCCAATATCATAAAGGCACTTGAATGGCCAAAAGCAGGAGATAAAATTAATTTACGTTTCAAAGTAATCGAGCGTTATGGTAAATATTATTTTACTGAATACCAGGCATCATCTTAATTTGTAAATCTTAGATCGCAAAATACTTATTGGAGGTGACTATGATGGAAACATTCATATGTTTGATTTGAGTGACGGCAAGAGAAGTCAAACTTTGGAAAATGGGGTAAAAGAGCAATTAAAACCTGCAAAGGTAAGAAAAAAATAGGATTAAAATAAATGTATACATATTTATATATTAATTTTTGGAACTTTGAAGATATTATCTGATGAGACACCCACAGGTATCATCAGAGATGTAAGTCTTTCTCACGACGGAAAAACTATAGTTGCTGTTGGCGCTGCAAATAAGGCTTTTGTATGGAAATGTAAAACAACAGTAGGAAAAGATCAATTATAGAGAAGTACCCCTCTTTCTAGTTAAAATAACTATTATTATTATAATTTTAGTAAGCATATATTGAAGCATACAATTATGATTGCAAAAAAAAATAAAGAAAATAAATCTTTAAGCTAATTGATGCTGGTATACTTGAATCTCAATATAAAAATATGGTAGAATAACACCCTTGAATCCACCCTTGAATTTTCTCAAAAAAATGTATCTGTAAAAACACCCCACTAAAATTTAAACTAAATTATACGTTATTTTTAACAGATATATCATATCAATTCACAGCCTACCCTCAAGCTAATTGTGTTTCAGTATCTCATAGGTTAATTGTGTGAATTTACTTTGAGTATCTAATACAAACTACGTAAAATATTATTGAAAATCTTGTAACAGAGGCCTTGTTCAGCTCTTGCACAGACTCAACATCGATTACAATCATTGAAAATTAATATATACATATATGAAAGATAATCAATGTCATTATATAAAACCACCTAAAATATTTTAATCAAATAACTCTAGCTGTCAACCATGGGAAGTTTTTTTTTGACATCCAAGACAAGACCAACCCCGCCACAGTATCTCGCAACGTTAAAAAAGAAAAGATAAAAACGCGGTTTGATTTTCTTCTCTCTTTTTTTTGGTGGAAGAAAATCATCCTTTTTCCCCGCAGCACCTTGTTGCAATGTCTCACTCAATTAACCATTCTGCTAATGAAGCGAACATCAAAAAAAGAACGAGCGAGAATGATTCTAGTAAAATACATCTAACAAGCAAACGAAATCTGATCAAGGAGAATATCAGCACCAACAAGGGAAACTTCATGATCAAAGATGCTAAAAACAAATCAACAATTACCCATAATTCCACACCAAAGATGCTAGCTTCTAAAAGTAATGCCTTGAATAGCAAGGAGAACATGAAAGATGAAATCAAGAATAAGCCTTATGATCTCAGAAACAGAAAACCCATTGGGGAGGATGTACAAAAAACGGAATTAAAAAAGCCCATAAAGATAACAGGATCAAAAGAATCGCTTCTTGAATCGAAACAGAATGCACAACATAAGAAAGAAAAAACTTTTGATCCAAAGACATCACCAAAACGGAGTATGTCTGGTAATTCTCTAAATGACAAGTCAACACATAAATAATTATGCTGATATATTCTACAGCTCTCAGTAGCCTTTTGCAGCCTTCTAAAAGACGCACTGCAAGTTTACAGCAGTCCTCTGAAATCAAGACTTCTGGCCCAACCAAACACAATAAAAGAAAAGAGGAAGGTCGGATTTCATTTGACAGAGTCCTATGATCGCACAAAACTGAATTGTATTTTGTTTGTCTTCCTTTCAGAACTACCATTCGCACCGGATGGTCTTGATTTCGAACCAATTACTTCCTTTGACAAACTATCATCAGAACTCACATTTAAGACCTCCGATGAGAAATTCTTAAATACAACGACCTTTGAATATGGCTCACCGCCGACTGATCCCGATACACAGCATAATTCGGCACGTTCTAAAGCTGAAGATGACTTTGATTTTCCTTTGGACGTCGAAACAGGGCACCACGAAGAGAAAGGTAATCTTGATCGAGGATCCAAGGCACATTACTGATGTGTACCAATACTCTAATATGCCGATAATTATCCATACATTTTTAGAACTTCCTTTTGAGTTGGATGATTCACTCAAAGTCCATCTTTCTTCATTCAGTCCTACCATTTCAGCTGAAGCTTATTATGCAAAAGAGGAACCTGAATTTGAGTTTGACCCTCAACAGCTGGAAGAAACCGGACTCGAAATACGGGACACGACGAATGAAGCATTTGGTGAGTCTTGCCAGCTAACGGACGAGCCATTGGCCACCATCTAAGTTGACTGTCATAGACTATGATGGAATACCAGGCGCATCTTATGGAGAAGACTTTAGCTCAGGCTCAGATGATGAAGTATCTTTGCTGACATTCCGTGACTTTGTCCTCACCGCAAGCAAACTTGAGATTTAAAAAGAAAAAAGAAACACATATAGCACCATTGCAGTGACATTCATAAGCTAGTGATTTCACCGAAAAAGCAATATTAAAGGAAGCCAAAACCAACATGAGCATCTAGAAAACCAATTATATCAATAAACTACAAGTATTGACCAAGTACTTATAACGACAACACTATTGAATTTGAACACATTTGGGGTGGACAGAGCAAAATGATCAAATAAACGACCAGATATTTAAGCAGTATTATTGGATCAAAGTTTAAGAAAGGGTCGATATATTTTACTTTTCAAAAAGAGAATTAAAAAGTTTAGATGGCTCGGATTGGTCCCTTTCTATCCATTACCAATTATATTAAAAATACACTCTTTCCGGAAATTATTGGTGCAAAAATAAAAATCAATTTGGTGCAAAAATAAAAAATTATTTAGTGCAAAAATAAAAAATTATTTGGTGCAAAAATGGAATGCACCAAATGCACCAAAAAAGATGAATTAAGCAGAGAAATGGTAAAAAATTGCACCAAATTTTATCTTTATTTTTGCACTAAATAATTTTTTATTTTTGCACCAAATTGATTTTTATTTTTGCACCAATAATTTCCGGAAAGAGTGTAAGTTCATGATTGATGGAAAGGACAGCATTATGAACACATAATTTTATCTAAAATGAATTTGAATGACATTTGACTTTTTTTCTATAAAAAAAAATTGGTAAAAACAGACAGAAATTAATTTTATTGGATAAACCTTTTGATTGTTTTTTGACCGCTTTAATAGATACACCAAGTAACTATATTTTGTTCAATTTTGAAGTGCTAGTTCAATAAATAAAATAAGGATTAGATACGGAAAATCTTCATTGAACTTCTTTATACAGAGATCGAGTAATAAAAACTCGTTTTTTTATTACTAAATTCATATTATTAATATTTTCTCATACTGGTTTCTGCAAAGAAACTTATTAAGCATTTAGTTATATTCAAAATATCAAAACGACTGAAAATGTTGACTGTTACTCGTGTATTGACAGTGAGCTCTTTGATTTGTATATAAATGATGGTTATATAATATTCCATTGATACAGCATGCGTTATCTTTTTCTAATTTTGTTTATCCCACAAATTGACAAATATTATCTGACTTGGTTGACAAACCACTAAAGTCAATAGATAGCAGTCTAGTTCTATTTGTTGCAGCTGACATGGTTGTGATCATATTTCTTAAGATAAAAAAAAGTTGTAGCTAATACTGGTGGTGTTGTTCTTAGCTGCTTCTCTTTTTTGGAGCCTTTTTATCTCTATCCAAGTTATTAGACTTGAAAGCTCTTGTAATTTCGATCACGGAACATGTAACTTTAGTGGGTCTACCAGAATATGATTTACGAAGGAATTTCCTTTCAACTCAATGTGATGGCCAACAAAAATCGAGTATTGTTTGTGCTACGTCGAATTCCCTTCCCAATCCTATTCCACAATTGCGAGTCACATCCTTCTCTGTAAGGATGCGTACAGGACCTAGGTGGGACACTACTTATTTTCAATTCATTGACTTTTACATAAAATGGTCTTAGCTGACTTGGGACGCAAAATCAACACTGCTTTGGTTGACCTGACAAAGGCACCAGTTGTTGATGAAAAAGTAATCACCCGTGAGATGAAGTGTGAGGGTGAGTCAATGAAACTCATAATTGGACTAGGTACTTGATGCTCTGTTGCGAGACATCTGTGCAGCATTACTGGCTTCAGACGTCAATGTAATGCTTGTTCAAAGACTACGAAATAATGTAAAGAAGAGTGTCAACCTTAATGAGCTCGGCGGAGGTGCCAACAGAAAGAGAGTGATTCAGAAGGTAAAAATAAAACAAAAATCGAACAATACAAAATTCAGACTACTTAGCATATGTGTGTGTGTGTGTTTTATAGGCTGTTATGGACCAGCTGTATGAGTTGGTTGATCCCGGTGTTCAACCATACAAACCTATCAAGCACAAGGCAAATGTGTTTATGATGGTTGGTCTCCAGGGTGCTGGTAAAACTACAACTTGTACAAAGCTTGCTTCTTTCTACCAGCGCAAGGGTTGGAAGACTGCTTTGGTGTGCGCGGATACTTTCCGTGCTGGTGCTTTTGATCAATTGAAGCAGAATGCAACAAAGGCAAAGATTCCATACTACGGAAGGTATGTGTGTAGAAATATAAAATTCAAAATTTGATAGAAAGGTGTATTTATCAATGTGTGGCAGTTATACCGAAACCGATCCCGTTGCTATTGCCCAGGAGGGTGTCGACAAATTCAAGGCAGACAAATTTGAGATTATCATTGTTGATACCTCTGGTCGTCATAAGCAGGAGGCAGAATTGTTTGAGGAAATGAAGCAGATTTCTGCTGCTGTGGTAAGTGATGTATATATATTGAGTAATAACAACAGTAAATCAAACTCTTGCTTTAGGAACCAGATTCTACTATTTTTGTGATGGATGGTACCATTGGTCAAGCTGCCGATGGTCAGGCTAGAGCTTTCAAGGAAGCTGCCAACTTTGGTTCCATTATTATGACTAAGATGGATGGACACGCCAAGGGTGGTGGTGCTATTTCTGCGTAAGATATATATATATATATGTGTGTGTGTGTGTATAATTCTGTAGATAGACTTACATAGATATTGCGAATAGTGTTGCTGCCACAGATAGTCCTATTGTATTTATTGGTACCGGTGAACATTTGCATGATCTTGATCGCTTTGAGCCCAAATCATTTGTCAGAAAGATGCTTGGTATGGGCGACATGAGCGATCTTGTTGAGAAGGTTCAAGACATGAAGCTCGACGAAAACAAGAATCTGATGAAAAATATCCAGTCTGGTAAATGAAACAAAAATAAAAATAGAAGATTGTGAATTAAAATATTCAAGTGAAACAGGCCAGTATTCCCTTCGCGATATGTATGATCAATTCCAGCAAATCTCGAAAATGGGTCCTTTGTCAAAGGTATAAATAATACGATGTAACTCTGAGCGTATGCTTATTAATATTTATGATCATTAGCTCATGGGAAGTATACCTGGTATGCCTACAGAAATGCTGGCTGGCTCAGAAGAAGAAGGTGGAAAGCGTATAAAGCGCATGATGTGTATTATGGATAGTATGACTGATCAAGGTACGAGAACCAAAATAAAGGATAATGTTTGTATTTCAATGACTAATTTTTTGTGTAGAATTGGATGGTGATTCCAAGGTATTCGAGAAGGATCACTCAAGAGTCATTCGTGTTGCTCGTGGATCTGGTACAAGTGTACATGAAGTTGAAGAAATCTTGTCCCAGTATAAGCGATTTGCAGAGATGGTCAAGACTATGGGTGGTAAGGGAGGCTTGCTTAACAACATGCCCACAGATCCTCGTAAGGTCAATCCCAACCAAATGGCAAGCATGGCAAAGATGCAGCAGCAACTTGCCAATATGGTTCCTCCACAAATGATGCAACAGATGGGAGGCATGGAAGGTTTACAAAAGATGGCAAAACAGATGGGTGGTATGTTTGGCGGTGGAGGAGGTGGAGGAGGATTCCCTGGTATGGGAAGAGGCGGTGGAATGCCCGATTTTAACCAAATGATGAAGGCAATGAAAAACTTAAAGTAAACTAGCTACTCTGATTTTTAAGAAGAAAAAAAAGAAAAAAAAAAGAGAGAAAAAATAATAATACTGCAAATAACTTATCAAATATAAAGAGCCATGCTTCAATTGTGCATGATATAATATGTTAATTGTGTTCCTGGATACCATTTATTTTCAAAAAAGTTCTATCGAAGTTAAGACGAGTCTGAACTTTAGCCAGTTTCTGCATTATGGTTGTTATAAGCTTAGAATAAGTATAGTAAATTCAATTTTCAAGCCTACATTGTATTGCACAGGTTTTTTTTTCCCTAAAGAGCTGCAGAATTTAGCTCCTTCAATTATGTATACTTGACCATATATTAATATAAATTGGTTTGTCTCTATGGTGGGAAATCCTCTGACGATGGGTTTCCACTACTGAGTTTGTCTTCCATCGCTTTTCCTTCTTTTTTCTCGGCTAAAAATGTTTTCTCCGTCGCCCTGGAATAGAATTTTTTAAAAAAAAATCGTCTCCTCTTGCACTAGAAGGATTTGGGTGGAATATCGTGCTTCAATAAGTGTGCCCTTCTGGTTCATATCTGGTATTGTCTCTCTCTCTTAATATTGTGAAGGAAATGATGTCAACAGGCGTTAATCTAATGTGTATGTCATACGGTGTGAATTGTGATGAAAACAATCACAGTTTGAAGAGGATAAAACATGTTTTGATATCTATAAAACTTTTTTCTCACTTCAAAGTCCCACTCCTTGAGTACCCATAACCTGTACCACTCGCATAGCCCCTCCAGCTATCCAATAATAACACATTTCAATATGTTTACTACACTTTGACGCTAAAAAAAAATCCCTTCTAATACCACCCACTGTAGCTTCATCAGATTACACAAAAAAAACTATTTAACTGCTTCAACACCCAGCGTGTCTATCAGTTTTACCTCCTTGGTAATATTTGGTGAACTGTGACACTCAACACTCCTTTTTATGCACAAAACGCATTCTTGGCTCAAATGACCACAGCGTCATTACACACCAATGTCGGCTAGACATAATCCCTCCTTCAATATTATACAACATTTTCCAAGCCGATAAACCTCTTCGTGGACACCTGGGCTACCATTTACATCAATTCCTCTTTAAAGAAAGCGCTCTCCAAAGTCCGCACTATCTGCAACAACACTCACACCATTGAGAATTACTTGGGATCTGACACACTAGTTAAAAATGCTTGTGCCAAGTACATCGTCATCCACAATATCTTAATGCCTCTTCATCCTTCTGTATTATTTTCAGCCATGCTGATAAGAATAAGCATGTCCTATCTCCCTTGCTACTCTCACACCCTACACATCGAATTAATTCGTTCTATTTTCTCCCCTTTTTGGACTATCAACGAGATATATATCTGGCTGGAAAACGTATTCTCCCAGAGATATTGGTATATGTACCTAAAACGTCCACCCAATAAGGTCCATATTATACTCCCTCTTGACTACAAGATTTCCTGTAAATTATATAGTCACCCATTCGGAACCTGAATCAATACGAGTGCTTACCTTAGACACCGCGAGGCTATATATAATCTTCAGATAGCTTGCCTAAGAGCTGGAAACTAAATCTTGGAAGACACAAACAACAACAAAAAACCCCTAACCATTTTCCCATATACACCTCACATCATGTCGATCATTCCTATAGTTAAGAAAGAGCGAACCTGTAAAAGTAGCACAGAAGCTGTGCATCCAATGCCCATATCTACATGAAGCTAGACGGCGATGTTTTATGTACATAATCAATCTTGTTTGAGAAATTACGTTGAATGAACTCGAAAGGCTTATTGTATGGAGTTGGGATGGGTCAATTAAAGAAAAGTCCAACGAATATGATTGGTTAGATTTCATCAACTGATTTTTGCATAATAAAAACCTTAGCACGATACATAATACAAGCATGATGAGCTTTAGAAGAATATATATATAATTTTTTAATAAATATAAAGAATATGAGATTGTAAAATAAACGTTTTTCACTGAAGATATTTTTGCTGCTGCTTATATAATAACAAAACAGATGGAGAGAAGAGCTAGAAATAATAAATAAAAATTGCCCAGGCATGTAAACTCTTGTAAATAAAAACAACACTAACAAAGAAGTAATTATTATTCGTTGATTCGAGGCCTTATTCAACTGAACGCACAAAGTTGTTTAATTTAGCCTATATATTTAAACTTTTTTAATTGATCCTCCTGGTATTTATCTAGTAGTTTTATGTTCAAGCTTTTGTAATCTTCTTTGTGTCTAATGCTTCTATATCTGCCTTTGATAATCCTAGAACTGACTGCAATACTTCATGCGTGTGAGCACCCAAGTCAGGTCCTAACAATTAATATGACTGTCAGTAAACAACATAACAATATATGTATATTAGTGCATCTCTTACCAGCCCATTCTGTGGATCCTGGAGTCAATTCTAATACAGGTGACATGCCAGGGATCTAAAATAACAAAAATGCGCACCACAACGTACGTTATCGATAAGTAGCATAATGTTATTAGTTTTAATAATCTTACCTTGAGATCCCATCCGCGACCGTCTGCAACTGTTCCTACAGTTACAGTCTCAATCATACCGCGGGCGTTAATATGCTCATCTTCTACAATGTCCTTTGCATCATAGATTTTTCCTGAGGGTACAGACGCCTTTTCAAGAATGGTCAATATATCTTCTGATAGAAGTGTAGCAGTCCATTCGGCTAGTTGATAAAAAGAAAGATAAGTATCTAGTTAAATTGATATTTTTGCAGTGTTTACCTATAGCCCCGTCGATAACCTTTTGCTCTTTTACTCTTTCAGCGTTACCGGCATATTTCTCACCAGTCTATACAGTAGCTTACAAGTCAGATTATTGATACTATTGTATTAATACACTTACAAGATCAGATCTTCCGATTGCAGTCATTAATCGATTGTAAATACTATCACCATTTCCGCCGATAATGACATATTTGCCATCTTTGCAAGGATATGTATTTGTTGGGACAATTCCTGTGAGAGTTGTACCAGAGGGTTGTCTGATCTTTTAGTACATAAGCTCATATTAGTATATATTTATAATAATACCGTATATTATTTGACTAGTTTACCTCGTTGAAACGATCAAATTCGGGAATAATACTCTCCATCATGTTCAATACACTCTCATAAATAGAAACATCTACTACTTGACCAGTGCGCCCATTTCCCTTGGATGACTGTTTAAGCTTGTCTCGTGCTAATAATCCAATAACAACTCCAAATGCAGCGTGTAAACCAGCCAAAGAGTCACCCAAACTAATGTTGGGACGAACAGGAGGCTCTCCAGGGTAGCCATTTACAGAACGAAACCCACCCATACCCTCACATACAGATGCAAACCCTGGACGCTTAGAATAAGGTCCGGTCTGACCATAACCAGATATACGTGTGTATATAAGACTTTGATTTATGGCATATAATTCATCTACATAACTTGATTACCTTCCAAATATCGTTTATTCTTATTATTCTCATTAATTAAGATTATAACTTACCTGGACCCAAGCCCCATTTCTCCATTGTTCCTGGCTTAAAGTTCTCAATCAAGACATCAACTTTACCTGCCAACTCCTTCACCAGACTTAAGACTCAAAATATCAGACAAAATACTCATAATTTCTGGCTGTATAATGTCTTACCCACGACCTTCTTCAGTTCTTATGTCAATACAGACCGATTTTTTGTTGCGGGCCATACTGCGAAACCAAGGGCTTTGTCCATCTTTGTCGAGATGACGCCATGATCGAAGGGGGTCTCCGTTTTTAGGAGGCTCAATTTTTATCTGACATAAAATGCTTTCATTATTAATACCTGGATAAAGCTTCTATGAAAAACATTGACTTACGACCTCTACATAATGATAATAATAATATTAGGGATCTGATTCTTAGGTAAAAAAAAGCTAATAGTGTCATCTTTTCTTTTTACCTGCGCCATAGTATCTTAGTTGAGATAGACCATATTAATGAATACATGTCATTCTTCTTTTTTTATTTCTTTTTTATTATTATGTGTATATATAAAGGGACCTACCCCAGTATAGATCCACAAAATGGTCCAGCAATAATCTTGAGGGAAAATCAGAGTTAATATAATTGTGTGTATGCTAAATTGATCGGTATTACTTGGCCTAGTTCAAGTACACGGACACCTTCTAGCGGTTTTGTTATGGCAGTGGTTGCCTGGTACCTTTTCCCTAATGGTAATGTTAGCCATTGTCATTGAGATTATCTTAAACACGTACAAGTTATAGTCAAACGAGAGGGGAAGCCAGTTGCAGGTTTCCTAAGAGAAGAAAACATAATACTGTATTTTGGTAATTTCTGGTCGAAAGCTTAAAAGGAAAAGGAATATTATTGAATTTGCATTAGATATAAAGCCAAAGACAGAAATATACTAGCCAATCAATATTAGTTTTAGCTTAGTGTCACGATGTATCTACATTGATGAGATTGTTTGTATCTCCTACACTTTAGCCGACTATGAATTGCCTTGTAAGGAAAATTTTATTGGCGATGTAGAAAAAAATAGAGATATATATATATGTAAGGAAATGAATGAAAGTTGGTAGGGATAGGTAGAGGAAGGTAGTACTGGATTTTTAGGCATAGTACTGCAGGGTCATCTTCTTTTTAGCCTGCACTTCTTGAATAGCATCCATAAAATCTTCATGTGTAATCTCGACAGCTCCTCTTCGTAACGCAAGCATACCACCTACAAATCGTGTAAATACCTACAAATTCTGCAATTTTTTTTTTAAAAAAATCACTTACTTTCTACACAGACAGCTTTACACTGTGCACCATTAAATTCATCACAGCATCTCGAGAGTTCCTGGAAGTTCACGTCTTTGCTAACATTCATTTTTCTAGAATGAATTTGGATAATGCGTGCTCTTCCTTCTTCATTTGGGAGGGGGAACTCAATCTTACGATCCAATCGACCAGATCTCAAAAGAGCAGGGTCAAGGATATCAATGCGATTAGTAGCTGCAATGACCTTGATGCGTTCATCAGATGAGAATCCATCTAACTGGTTCAATAACTCCAACATAGTACGCTGGACTTCACGATCACCCGATTTTTCGGAATCGAAACGCTTTGTACCAATGGCATCCAATTCATCGATAAAGATGATAGTAGGCGCCTTTTCTTTTGCAAGTTCAAATGCATCACGAACAAGCTTAGCACCATCACCAATAAACATCTGTACTAATTGAGGGCCTGCTAACTTGAGATAGGTGGAGTTGGTTTGTGCTGCACATGCTCTGGCTAATAAGGTCTTTCCTGTACCAGGGGGACCATACATCAAAACACCTTTTGGGGGTCTGATACCAATATTTTTGAAGCGGTCTGCATGTGTCATTGGCAATACTACTGCTTCAACCAATTCTTCAATCTGCTTGTCCAAACCGCCAATATCATTATAATCCTCGGTTGGCTTCTCATCCACCTCCATCGCTTTTACCCGAGAATCGTATCTGTTCCAGAATAAGTACATTTTGTATCTATTTATGAACCATGAAGCACTTACTCTGCAGGAAGAGTGTCTAGAATCAAATAACTATCCTTGTTAACACCAATAATGTCTCCTGGCTTCAGTGTCTCGGGATCAACTAAGCCAATCAATGGTAAAAATATGGTCTGTGCATAATAAAAGTAAGGAGAAGTCACATAATTAAGGCCACAGGTAAAATGTATGTATATAAATAGTCGTACCTGACGAGTAGAAGTTTTGATAACAGCACATTTTCCTTTCCTTGTGGAATCAAGATCGACATTTGCTCCTTCCTCTTCTTCCTCATCCGGATCCACATCGAGTAACTAAATAATTCTTCAAATCAGTCGGACTATGATTAAATGCAGGATAAATATAAATTACCTCGACTACATTGCCAACGAGGTAAGGTAATTGTTTATTCATCTTAATCTTTTCAGCGTTATCTTTTATGCGTTCCTTCATGTTGGCCTGCTCATGCGAAATCCGGGTGATTTCTGAACGCATGACCTATCGAATTGGAGCAGTTTGTTCATTAAGGAAAATTACAGACAATGTGGGCGCTACTCCAAAAAAGAAATTCTGTGTACCTTTATGTCATTCTCCAAAAGACGTGTGCGGTTGTTGACTTCTTCAGGTGCTAGTCGTAGAATCTCCTGATCAACAGCGTCTTCGCCTTCTTGTTCTTTCCATAATGATGCATCTTCCAAGTTAGCCATTGTGGTAGAGAACAATATATATGCGTGTATATATATAAAAGAGAGAACAAATATCAAACTCACTCCGTCGCGTTTCCACTTACGCAACCCACAGGAACGGAGCTATTAACACCATTTCCCCAAAAGGGCTGACGTGGATAAATGGTGTACATAGCATTACTCCTTTAGCGATTTGCCCGTCACAAACGTGATGTCATTCTTTTCTTTTTTTTTTACGGCCTTTTTTTTCCTAAGCAAAAAAAAGAGAAGTTAAAGTTAACCAATTCCTCAGCAGCCATGGCAAGCACATCAGACGCACTCTACGTATCCGTCGGCAACATCGGAACTGCACCCCATCAGCGTCCCTTTACCTGTACTGTGAGCCCTGTTGTTCTCTTTGCTGTATTGGATCAGTATTTGCGTCGCGATGAGCAACAGTCCAAGGCCATCGGTGCCTTGTTGGGTGTTCGCAGTGATGATGGTTCTGAAGTTGAGATCAGAAACTCATTTGGCGTGATCTACACCGAAGAATCGTCTGAAATTGTTGTTGACAAGGAACATTACCGCAACATGTATGAATTGCACCAGAGAGTCAACCCTGAAGAAGTTATCCTCGGTTGGTACACTTCTGGAACTGGACTTTCACCCGCCATCTCCCCCATCCATTCCACCTTTGCCCCCGACACAGCACCTTTCCACCCAATTCACGTCACCTTTGATACCGAGTCGTTGATCAAAAGCGATGGCTTGGGTGTTCATGCTTATACCAGGTAAAAAAAAGCTTAGAGGAACTTATGTGAAAAAGAAACAGAAAAAAAGCCAAGATTATTTACTTTGATATGCTCTTATTTTTAGTGCACCTGTTGGTTTCTCATCAACTTCTGGAGATAGCATCTTCTTGCCCGTTCAGTGCGAGATTAAGTACTTGGATGCCGAGCGAAGTGGATGTAAGAATCATTGAAAAGTATAGGCTCAGGCGGGATATTGACATTTTTATAGTGGATATGTTGGCATCTGCCAAATCAACAGAGACTCGCTCCGCTTCTCTACTCTCAGATATGGATCACCTTGAGGTTGCTGTTAACAAGCTCCAGGAAATGTTGGAGAGAATTAGCCGTTATGTTGATAGCGTAGTGGTATGTCAAATAAGACTTGAACTTTTTTGGAAAAATAGGTAGAGAAGTATTATTACTAACACTATGATTATTTACTTAGGAGGGTAAGGAGAAGCCTAACAATGCCATTGGTCGTTATATTATGGATACTGTATCTGTGGTCCCCAAGGTCGACACAACCGCATTCGAAAAGATGTTCAACTCTCACTTGCAGGACCTTTTGATGGTTGTCTACCTCGCCAATATGACTCGCACCCAATTGTCTATCACCGAGAAGTTGAATCTCTTGGTTCCCAACTAAAATGTAGAATCCTCTGTAATGTAAAAAAAAGAAAAGAAAAAAGTGTTGTGCGTTGCATGCTCAGAGAACACGATCCATATTATTAAGAGGCATTGCCAAAGAAAGACTACAAGGTGAAATTAAATGAAGAGAAAGAGGAGGGCTAGTTGTGAAGTTATTATAAAAAGTGATTGAGATATGTATATATATCTAATAGAGAAGCCAGAGGGGATATGGGTATCCTCTATTAGGTGTGTTCCAAATTAATTAAAGACGGCTTTTGGCTGGTTCTTCCTTCTTCGTATCAGCCACATCCACTATCACAGCTCCTTCAATATTCTCTTGGGGTGGAATAACTATTTCATCTGTCGGGGTTTTCTCTTCCTCTTTAATTGGGGGGCCTCTTTTGCGCATTTCATGATGCTTTATGAACAAAGAACTAATAAAACCTATAAGATAATGTCAGCAAAGCAAAATGTCGGTGTTTGATAATGTATAATTTAAAAATAAAATACTTTACCTGCACCGGCCATGCCTGTTAAGACATGCCAAACCAACTGAAGACCTTCAGTATATACTTCCAAAACAGTATCTAGGTATTCTTCGGGAAGACCATTGTGGACATAAGCAGATGATTGAAGTACTTGTTGTGCTTGTTCACTTGGTATGCGAAGTGGTAGGTCTTGAGTGAGCGTCGAATTGACGATAGTTGATGCAATTGCTAATAAACAAATAAGGATTAATTTTTTTGTCTTTTTTTTGTAACCATACTTACCAACTCCAAGCGCGCCACCAAGAATACGTGAAAAGCTGCCTAAGCCAGTAACGACGGCTTATTTAAAGTGTATTACAGAATTAATGACAATGAAAATCATGTTTAATAAAATAGCTGTATATTACCAATATCCTTTTTTTCTACAGCGGCCTGTAATGCAATTACTGATGAAGCGAACATACATCCCATTCCTTTTAAAGAACAAGTGTATAATGATTTAGTATATGCGTTTCATTACTGGTATTAGGAACACTTACCGAGTCCTCCTATGATAGTAAAACCATATACTCCTAGATAAGAAAAGAGCATATATTGAGTGTTTTAGTAATTATATAAATTAGATTGTACGAGAGGACTTACTTGACCAGCTTGTGTTTTTATCAAAAAGGGACAAAAGACCCAGACACAGTGAAAGTAAGGCCAAGCCAATACTTAAACTGAATGTATATACATATATATATATATATTAGGTGCTTGTTAAGTATAATAAAATATTCTGAAACTTACAGAGGACGATATCTTCCAGTCTTTGAGATTAAAAATCCTGTGCTAGTAGATACAGTGCAGACAATCATTTGCATGGGAATCAGTCTTATTCCTGACCACATGGCAGTGTCATGTCGAACGACTTGGAAGTAAACGGGAAGGTAGTAAAGCATTCCCAAAAACGACATGCCAAAGAACCAATTGGTAAGCAAAGCGCCTAAAACAGACCGGTTCTTAAATAATCGTGGAGGCATCAATGGTTCCTTTGCAAATTTGGATTCAACTAAGCATAATAAACCCACAAGAGCGATAGAGATGACTAGAGGCGCAATTACGGCAGCAGATTTCCATGGGAATGCCTGGCCACCGAAATTCAATGCCAACAAGAAGAGAGTGGAAAATGAAAGAACGATAACAGTTCCTACGTAATCGACGCGCTTTAGTTTGTCGATTAGCTTGCCCTTTGGTACAGGTAGATCTAAAAAGAAAAACAATACTGCAAGTGCAGCTCCACCAATTGGTAGACTAGAGAAGAAACGCTATATTAGTCAACATGGATATATTATGAGCAAATGATATCATTTTACTTGATATAAAAGTTCCAGCGCCATGAGACATATTCTGTAAAGCTTCCCTGTATAGTTCAAAATAAGTATGAATATCCTTAAGGTTATTTATTTGTACTTACACCGATCAAAGGACCAAATATGCTTGACATAGCAAATACTGCATTAATTAATCTGAGACGAATTAACATGAATCAGATAAAGAAATCCATCAATATATGAACTACTGACTGCTTGCAAATTTTAATTTGACATGTTCTTACCCTTGATAGCTGCCTCTTTTTTCGAGTGGAACAATGTCTGATATGATTACGAATACCTGTAGGTTGAATAAAATTAGATATAAGGAAAAATACAAAAAAAAAGTATCATAGTACCATGGAAAAAATACCAGCACCCCCTATGCCGGATACGGCACGGAAAATGATCAGCATAACTATAGACTACCAGATATACATAATGTACAGAATTAGTTTACTGATAATAGCAATGTATTTTCTTCAGTCACAGTTAGGCTAATATAACTCTTACGACATATTGATAATAAGAGAAATTTCTATTTGCTTTATGTTATTTGTACCTTTGCCGCTCCACATAAGATTGATCCGAATAGAAATAGACAAATCCCAAAAATCAGAACCAACTTTCTACCAAAAATGTCAGAGAATTTTGAGAAAAGAGGCTCTAAGTTTGGAATGAATTGATTCGGTTAGTATAATTGTTATCTTGCATGCAATGGGTTGCTTACGAAAGGCATCAAATGTTAAGATATAAGCTGTGGCAACCCATGAAACAATGTCCATTTTGTTAAAGTCGGATCCAATTCGTGGAAGAGCTGTAGCGACAATGGTACTATATTTCTTATCAGATCAGTTTTTTTACAGTACAACCCTAATATACAAATTAGGTTATCCGAAATAAGTGGTTTATACCTATCTAAAGCTGCCAAGAACAGAGATATCTGAAGGCCAAGGAATGTCAGGATACGCTTTGTTCTTTTTGCTTTTTGTAACCTGGCTTCTTCTAATGGGTCTATTGGTGTTTCTGGTTGTGCGGGTGTTTTTTCTTGCTCGTTATTAGGAGCAGTTACGATATTGTGGTTGACAGTTGAATCATTCGAGACTTCTGATTGTACTGATGACTTGTGACCATCGTTTTCTGGCTGCATGGCTAGCGTTGTAATTATTCTATGGGAGTAGAAGAAAGAGAGGCAGATTTATATAGATTTATATTTGGGCACATCTTTATTTAAGTTGTTTCTTGATCCCAGATCAGGTGTGACGGAAGCTTTATAGTATAACTGGTTGAGTTTATTTCTACAATATTGTTATTTGTTGCAGAGAAGTTTATGGGTTTTGAATATAGAGCATTATTGGATGCTTATTTCCTTTATTGATCTGTTGGTTTTTCCTGTTGTTGTACTACTTTTTTTTTCTTTTTTTTACTGTGATAAAAAAAAGCGGGGACTATCGGAGATGCACCGATTTAGATGCACCTACAAAGACATGTTTACTGTGGTGATCATTTGAGATTTACATGAGATTCTAAAGAACTTAACAAGGAAAAAAAATGGTAAAATCATAAATGGCTCAATTTGGTATATTTATCAGTGTTGGTGTTATCTACGTTCAATAGACGCAGCTCCAATTGATTTGCAAAGCCAAGATGTAATCTCTACAAGATATTTGTATATCAATATATACCATTTCCAAAGAATTATTTGAAAATCCTGAAAAACAGTACACAATTTTCATTTTACACTTTGCCCTAACTTTCATACAAAAATGTATGTTTTATGATGTACATTTTGGAAAATCTGTGCAATGATTTCAGGTGAGCGTGCGAATAACTTACTATCATTCTGAGCTAGTATTTTCTTATTTATTTTTTTCTTCTTTACTCAAAAACAATACAGATAATAGAATATCTTTTACCCATTAGAACCATTATAATCATAACCTCATTTTTAACAACGAAGAAAAAGAAACAATTTGTCTTGGCAAAATTTTGTCTAATATGAAAATTCGGCTGCGAAATACTGAATTTAAAATTTTGATGTAAGCAGATTAATAAATGAACAAGATTTAACAAGTTGAATAAATTATGCCAAATTTGTTCATTTTATATCTTGGGTTATTAAATTGTATTTCACTATCATTGATAAAAGTTGAAGCTCTTGCTTCTTTCAAGTCTTCATACCCTGTTTCCCATTTTACATTGAATGTTAAAGACGAGCTTTTGTAGAAGAATATTCTTGCTCTTGTTCCAATCTAATCCACTCCCTCACTTCTTTTCTCAGAATTTTCCCACTAACACTCTTTGGAATCTTATCAACCCTATAGATTCCACCCCGTAATTTCTTGTGACCAGCCACACTGGAATTCACGAAAGCATGGAGTTCGCCTTTGAGTGTCTCACTCATCTCAGTCGCACCTTGGAGCACCACATAAGCACGGGGGATCTCAGTTGCCTGTGTACTATCGTAAAGACCAACTACGCAACAATCTGCAATAGATGCATGGCTCATTAAAACAGCCTCAAGCTCTATTTGGATAGTATTGTGAGTATAGAGCAAAAACAATGCATAAAATTATACTTTTAAAAATCAAGCTTTACCTGCAGGCGCTACTTGATGCCCTTTGTACTTGATTAGTTCTTTAAGGCGATCTATTATGTAGAATTCTCCAGTCTTTTGGTCGTATTTAGCGATATCTCCAGTACGCATCCAACCATCTTCCAAAAATGTTTCTGAATTGGCAATAGTATTGTTTAAATAGCCCTTCATGATTTGAGGACCCCGAATTACAAGTTCACCTGCCTCATCAGGACCAAGCTCTATTGAATAAATCTTGAAAATTAGCTTATTGACTCTTGTTTTTCTTTTACCTTGGACTGTTTATACCATTACAATCCTCGTCAATTAATTTAGCTTCCATATTAGACAACAAAACACCAGTGGAACCTTTTTTTTGTTTACAATTTGAAAACGATCAAGTCAAAATGAAATTGATATACACATATGAACAATTTTCTTTAAAATAAAAAAAATACCTGGTGGACTTGTACCAATTATCTGATAAATGCATCCAGCTGTCGTTTCAGTCATTCCATAGCTTTATTTTTATTTTTATTTTATTTTTTGGTTCATGGGAAATTAGTAAAAGTGTATTACACAGATATTCTTATTCTATGAACTCACCCTTGTCTTACGTGAACAGGTATACGTTTGTGCAGGGCGTCAATGTGCTCTCGGCTTAACGGAGCAGCTCCACATCCTATAATACGCAAAGATGACAAGTCATAGTTTTTCACTGCAGGATGCTTGGCCAAATGAACAGCTAAAGCATACCAAGTTAATGAAATCATTAGAATTTCCCGGGTTTACATTAAATGCCTTACCGACTGGTGGTACAATATTAGCAATTGTAATTTTATGTTTTTGAACAAGACGACAGAAAACTTCGACGTCGTATTTTCCCATTACAACAACAGGTGTAAGAGAATAGAAAGCGCGGATTACAAGGGTTGTGAGCCCAAATATATGAAAGAAGGGCAAAAAGGCTAAAATTCTGTCGTTGATTTGGTTTGTGTCGCCATTTTCAAATTTTGTTACTTGGATCATTTGTGCAATAAAGTTGCGGTGAGTAAGCATAACTCCTTTGGCGATTCCTGTGGTACCACTTGAAAAACATATGAAGGCTACATCGTTTACTGAATCGACATTCTTAAGTGGGAGCTCTATGCTAGAGTTGTTTTCAAGTAGACTGTAAAATGGCTTGATAGAGCCAATAGCTTGGTCCCCAAACAAAAAGATTCGCTCTTTTGGAATACCAACTTCCTCGCAAACTTTAGTAAGGACAGGAAGAAGACTGGGGACAGTAACGAGTGCCTTTGCACCAGAGGTGTGGATTTGATGATAAAACTCAGCTATGGAAATATTAGTTGGGTCCTGATCTACTTTAATGTCAAAATTATTATACCTTTTGTGTAGGCGGGGTTACTACAAAAACAGTCAATTATGAGGTACAATGATATAGCTGAAAAAGAAAAACAAAGAAAAGAAGTGTACTTACCCTGGACTGATGGTGCATTTTGCTGCGAGAAGAGAAAAGTACAAAAGAGCATGATCGTACTGGTTTGGTGCAAATACAGCTACAACATCTCCTTTAGATAGACCAGCAGATTTATTCCAACCGGTGGCTAAGCGACCAGAGATATCCCGAACCTGAGTAAACGACAGGGACCTTTGAGACTCGGCGTCTATGAGAATAGCTCTGTCTAGTGGGCGTGTTGTATTATACTCATTTGGGAGAAACAAGTAAGAGTAAATGTCAATCTCTGGGAGAGTAACCGAAGTATGTGAAGAAGTATAAACGACCATCAATGATTGTTCCTTTGAGAAAGGAAGAAAAAATGCGGGGCGAATGGCATTTTGGTTGTGCAGAGTCTTACTTTTTGTAGTAGCTACAAGTTTAAATATTGAAAAATGGGTTTGTAATAGGATCATCCGCGGGTAAACATTTATTTTATCGGAGAAACTCCTATAAAGAAAATCTGAAGTTTTTAAAGCAGGTAACAATCTCCCAGCATAAAAATAGGCTATTATGACTTGATATTCCATTTTTTCTGTAGACATAGTAAGTGATTTTGCTTATAAACTCTCTACATGTTAAATTACAGTTTACTTGTGAATGTACGGTAAAAGATAATAATTCTTTACTGGATCAATCCTAGAGACGCTTTTGAGGATTAGACTTCAGATGTTTAATTTCATATCCCGTCTGATGACGCATCTCTTAAAATTATTATTGAACCTCTTGTGGCTTCATCCGAGCAAATCGTCCGCACGCATATCAGCACAACACAATGTCATTCGATAAAAAAGCAGACGAGAAATTGACTTTTGAGACGTCTGAAAATGTACTTGTCTAGTAAGCCAAGATAATTAAATCCAACGATGACTTAGACTAGTGACTTGTATAGGTCAAAGTCGTACCCACCTTCGATTCAATTGGCTTGAAGGAAGACCTTCTACGTGGCATTTACGCATACAACTTTGAAAAACCTTCCGCTATCCAGCAGAGAGGTACCTAGACTACACTGACTCTACGATGATTATGTGTAAAGATTTGCGACTCAATTACAAACAATCTAGCAATCGTTCCCATCATCAGAGGTCGCGATGTGATTGCGCAAGCTCAGTCTGGTACGGGTAAAACCGCGACATTCTCGATCTCAGCTCTCCAGGCCATTGACACCTCTGTCAGAGAAACACAAGCACTCATTCTTTCACCAACTCGTGAATTGGCAACACAGATCCAAAGTGTCGTCTTGGCTTTGGGAGATTATATGAATGTTCAGTGCCATGCTTGCATTGGTGGCACTAGCGTTGGAGAAGACATGCGTCGATTGGAGAATGGTGTTCATGTAGTATCTGGTACACCCGGACGCGTATACGATATGATTAGACGTCGTAGCATGCGTACTCGTAACATTAAGATGCTCATTCTTGATGAGGCTGATGAATTGCTCAACCGCGGATTCAAAGAACAGATCTACGATGTTTACCGTCATCTCCCACCTGCTACCCAAGTTGTCGTTCTTTCTGCAACACTTCCCCACGATGTGCTGGAGATGACCCAAAATTTTATGACAGACCCTATTCGTATCCTTGTAAAGCGTGATGAATTGACACTTGAGGGTATCAAACAATTCTTTGTATCCGTAGAACGCGAGGAATGGAAATTCGATACTCTTTGCGATCTTTACGATACTCTTACAGTTACCCAGGCTGTCATTTTCTGTAATACCAGACGCAAGGTAGATTGGTTGACCGAGAAGATGCGTGAAGCAAATTTTACCGTCTCAGCTATGCACGGTGAGATGCCACAAAAAGAGAGAGATGCAATTATGCAAGAGTTCCGTCAGGGAGCAAGGTAATACGCAGAGAAAGATAATAGAAAAAAAAACGGATAAATGGCTACACTTTTTTCTTTGGATTACGGTACCGTGCTAAAATGCGATACATATTTTTTTTTCAGTCGAGTCTTAATTACTACAGATGTTTGGGCCCGTGGTATTGATGTTCAACAAGTATCTCTGGTTATCAAGTAAGATTTTAAGAAATGGATTATATATGGAAAATATAGGAGAAACTGACTGGTAATCTTATGGGTAAAAACAGCTACGATTTGCCTTTCAACCGTGAAAACTATATTCATCGTATTGGTCGATCAGGCCGTTTTGGTCGCAAGGGTGTTGCAATTAACTTTGTAAAGGATGAAGATTTGAAAATTCTGCGCGATATCGAACAGTTTTACAGCACGCAGATTGACGAAATGCCTATGAATGGTAAATTTTAAAGAACAAACTATGAGTATCCTGTATCCTTTGCTCATTTCTTTTTCATTACGATTTTGTTTTAGTTACGGATATGGTTTAAGTAATCTGGGAAAGTAGGATAATGAGGACAGAAAGAAAAAAGAACAGAAAGAAAAAACAGAAAGAAAGAAAAGGTACATGATGATATACTGATAAAAGAAAAAATGGTATTGTGATGATACTTCATATATATATATATACGATCCATAAAATAACTTTGAACAAAAATATAATTCGGTCTACATATAAAGTAAATGAGAGAAACTATAGATAACAACATTTGGTTAAGATGAATTGATAATGTTTATTCATATACAACCCTATTTTATGATAATTATGTTTTCTATCAAGTATGAACTATATCATATTTAATCTCGCTCGTGTTTCTTCTAAAATAAACATAATCTGTAAGTCAGGATGAAGCTTCTGAGCCTGATTTACAATATCCCGAATGTTATATGGCCTTCCACCTATAATCTACAAAAATCAAGGTCAATTTGTAGTTCGGAAACTAAGCAAGAAAAAAGGCATATTCGTGGGCTTACCTTTGCATCCATAACTTGTCGGGATAGAGGATTAATCTTTATCTGGAGACTCTCTCGGGTTATACCATTGAATTTAACACATATCATTGTATTGGATTCAATATTTATGGACTCGATCCCAACCATCATGTTAAGGGCATCTGTCATTTCATTAAACCTAATAAATACGCAAGCAGACATTTGTAAATTAATCGATGTAAAAAAAATTAAACAGCTAAAATAATCACTTACCACGCCAGGCGCTGCTCTATAGTCGTATCTTTTAGTCTATTGTGTTCGACAGCATCGTCTGCCTCCCGTTGTGCTACATGTAATTGTGCCTCAATATCACTAATTTCTTTCTCTTCATCCTCCACCCTCCATCCAAGCTCTGTAAGTGCTTCTCTACGAGAATCCATGATCATATTGATATCATAAAAGTATGTAGCTTGATTGTCTAATATTTCCTTTGCTTCTTCAAGTGTGTATCTACTTTCATTGGCTACTAAATCATCTATCCGAGCAATTTCTTGTTCCTTAATAATATACATATGAGAACGATGGAGTTGCAAGAGCGTGTACTTAATTTACCTGCGCATGAAGTTTGTCGAGTTCTTGAATGATATTTTCGGTTTTTTCTAGTAAATAATTGCGGGCTGTTGGAGACGTGTTTTTTTATGAATGTCAATATAAAAAAACGTAATCTTCTTTATCATATTTGGTATTTACGTGCATTTTTCGATTGATTCTAATGTTGTCTTGATGTCCCAATCGATTTTGTTCGTCTCCGATTCAAGAAACTCAAGTCTCTTTTCGGTAGAGTTACTTTTTCTTTCTATAAGTATTCTTTATAAACAAATAGGCTCATGTATCCTTCTAATAATTTAAGTTTAATAGTTACCCATAGAAGAAATTTCATCCGAGGAGATATCGATAGGAGGTTCACGAAAAGTAATATCAAAGAAAGTTTCTTTTGCCTTTTCTTCGACGAGGTCGTGAGCAAGTTGAGAGCATAGTACCTAAGATCTGATGTCAGAAGATTGTAAAAAATAATGCTAATTTTTATGCGTTGCGTACATACCTTCTCATAATTTAGCTCATTAATCTGTGCTTTAGGATGGAGTGGTAGATCAGCTGAATCTTTGTCTGCTGGGATTCCTTCTAATAATCCAAATTTGGAGTAATATTCTTTTTGAATGCGGATGATGTGCTGGTCAGCTTCTCTATAGGTTTTCAGCTCTCTAAGGAATTTTTTTAGTTCTTTAGGTATTTTTAAGATCGCTTTTGGTTATACTTTATCAAGTCATTTAAGCCTTGGGGTGTGTTAGATGCCTGCATGTTGTATAGATCAAACAGAATGTAGCTTGAAAACTAAACGACATAACCGTCACACCCGCTTATTTCTTTTTTGATATGAAGTTTTAGTTTTTATTTTCCAAAAATTTTACCAAAATTCATTTATCACTGAGATTTCAAGCAAGTATCAATTGAACAAGAAATTCCGTACATATAGTCTTGAAGGAAAGAACTTTTTATGTTGATTTATATACTTGAACTTAAGTAATTTATTTAAACTTTTAAAAATTCAGAAGAGGGCTATAACAAAACAAAATACCTTTATTCCTTCTGATCAATAAGAGCAATGAATATAGTAGATTATGAGAGTCATAATTCAAACTTTTTGTTAAAATACTTTACTTAAGAATTCAAACTATTATTATTATATTAAGAAATTTGGTTTAAGTAGGATCTTTTTATACTTGTGTTTCAGTCAAATTAAGCAATCTTACTATCTGGATTTTAACGTTGATTTATATGTGTATGTGTCCCAGAGAATTAGTGAGGAACATAAGTATACTTAAAATACTCTTTCTATTATTAAATGGGGTTTTTTTTTGCTGTATGCTTTATTCGACTATAATTATAATCATCGTGTATAAAAACTAAGAACAAAATAGCTTTCAATAGAGCAAAACCTTTTTATTCAAGGCTGTTATTATAACGATAATAACTTTTTGAATAATACAAGTAACATAATTTCATAACTTGTATCCGAAATGATATTCACATCTGTATATTATACTACTTATAAATATTGCTAATTAACTAATATGCTTTTTCTTACTATTATCTTTATAAGTTATACGAGCAATAACCTAAATCACCCTTTAAAATAAAAGCTCTACTTAGAGTCATAAAGTTTACTTTGTAATAATTTTGAGTCAAAAGCACGATAGTGGTTCGCGATGCTTATTCTCAAAAAGGCTCATAAAATATCAAGGATATATAATATACAATTCGGATATGTAAAAGTAGCTTGATTCAAGACATCATATATCTATAATATTTATATATTTGTCGCGCCAAAAATATGATAGTCTTTGGTTGTTTGATTTACTGGCTTGCTTATTCACTTGTTGGGAGCGTTTATACCACTTTTCAATCTCTGATATCACAGCCCTCAATTGACTGTGCCCTTTAGCTTTTCTACTTATTTTCCCTACATACACAGCATAATATTTGTGTATTGAATTCCGCTGCTTTATTATATATAATACTGCTCGGACAAGTTTAAAGTGTTAAATAAAATAATCATACTCTACTTTAATATAGAAAATTGAGTTTTCTATTTATCAAGGACATCCATTACATGAACTCGAGTGGGGAAGTTTACCCTCCTATTCGACATTTCAGCCAATCACATTCCAGTATATGCATGTATGGCAAAGAAAAGAAAATATAGAATCGAAAGGAAAGTATTCTTATTTATAGCCAGCCCTTGAGTGAAACTTTCTGTGGCTAATTTTTAAGGTATTCACATGATATTAGATACTGGTGTTGCTTGTGCAAGCTAATATCTTAATACCACAAATACAAAAGTTGCAAATTCATGCATTAACGTAGAGACAAAATCCAAAGTTATGAGCGGTGTCTAAATAAGTGTTAGCTTTCGCTTTCTGATGTACTTCTTGACGCCAAAACCCAAAATGTATGCAAATAAATCCAAATCAACTCAATTGTCACTAAACTAACGGTTTGAGACACACTTATGGTACTAGACTTTAGGTGTACATACATGTGCACTAATAATAAAAAAAAAGAAGTTCAACAAAAGGGTATTATTGCACATCATAAAGTAATTCTCAGATGGCTACATTAGCAAAATATAAATCAAAGCTTTTTTTTTGGTGTTTTTGAGAACAGAAAAAAACTGGAAAACAAAAAAGGATTTCTTTTTTATTACTTAATCATGGAAGAGGGTATTACAACTTGCTTGTAGTTTTATTTAATTCAAAATGCTTTTTTAATATGAGTTTTCTAAAGAAATAATTGGGTGGCCCGAGAAACTAGCTTACCTTCGCCTATTCCCGATCAATTGACAGGAAATGTTTTTTATACTGCCAGAAGTAAAACGTTCCTGAGACATCGTAGTTTTACAAAAGTCTGGAAGAGATTATCTCCTTTTCCATTGACATGTCCCACATAATAATAGATAAAAAAGAGCTTGGTATTACGTAGGGTCTAAGCATAGTATCAAGTTTCTTGCAGTAATCGCACCATCCAAAGTACAAGATACGCAAAAAATAAAAATACCACTATTGCTAGAAACTTGCAATTTACCTGTGTATATAATCTATATGTGCATATTTTAAAAGCTTAATACACACACGCACACAAATATATATGTATACATATATTTAAAATTACACTACGTTTTAGAGAAAACCATTTTATTATTATTTATGATTGTGGTAGTTTGATATCCTAATTATCCATAACAATCGTTTAGACGACGGTACCGGAAGCAGAGGCAATACGGGGCCACAAATCTGCGCACTCCTTGGCAACGGGACCAGTGATGGCGGAACCCTTCATCTCACCCTTGGGCTAAAAAAAAATGAATTAAAAAATATTTTTTTATAGAAAACTACTTAATAGCAAGCTTACGTTAACGATGACACCGGCGTTATCCTCGAAGTAGAGGAAGACACCATCTCTGCGGCGCCAGGCCTTGCGCTGACGAATGACAACAGCGGGCATGACTTGATAAAACGACAACAATTTCTTTTAGCATTCCATTCTTCCAAATGCACTCATATTCCTAATATTCCACTATTTGCATACCCTTCTTTCTCAACTCGGGCTTTCCCTTCTTGACGGAAGCGACAACCATGTCACCGGCACCAGCAGCGGGGAGTCTGTTAAGACGACCCTTGATGTTGCGGACGGCAATGACGTACAAGTTCTTGGCACCACTGTTGTCGGCGCAGTTCATGACAGCACCAACGGGCAGACCGAGAGTCATGCGGTACTTTGTGCCGGAAATGCTAACTGAGAACAAGAAGAAAAGTTCATGTGGACGGGTGAGTCAAATGAACTTTTTTCCATCCTTTTTCTTCGGTAATTTATAAATATATATTTATATATGTGCATGTATAGTGGTTTGGCGTTCATTTTTAAAAAACGTTGTATTGGTCGGCGGGCAAAAGACGTGCGGGTGCGGGTGTGGGTGTATTATCATTATTGCTCTCTGCTTCGGAAGTCGTAATTGTGTATCGCCAATAATTTATATATTTTTCCATCCATCTTCTATCAACTTCCGGGACAATCCATCCATCCCATTCCCATCCATCATTATCTCTGGTTAGGCACAGCAACAATACACACCTTTAGGCATTGTGCAGAAATTCAAATGAAAGAGAAAGTCTTCACAGCTGAGCCAGACAGGGCCTCATGTTTCTTTCGGGGCAGGAAACCAAATCACCTCCCGCGTTAGTCACGTGACTCTTATCACGTGTAGGGTGTAGCTTGTTGTCTAATAAAAAAAAAGAGCTCCATCATAGAAACGAGTTTTCATTTATTTATTTGATTTTTGATGGAGGGTACAACTGTAAAGTTATATTATAAATGTGTAATGGGACCCGACACACCTTATTTTGTGATTTTCAAGAATAACAAACCTTGTATGAGAAATTTAATAGATATTTGAGAAAGTTTACAGAAACAATGGATATTAAAGAAGAGTAACACTTGACAAAACTAAGCTGACAGGACTATGATGGTTACCTCAGTGTGCATAAAAAAAACACGGCCCACCTTTCCTTTTTGTGGAATATTTGTGCAAAAAGAGAGAATTATAAAACACACACATAAAAACTAGTAATAAAGTAGCTTTTCTATGAACCACGAAAATCTATTGTTACAAATAATTTAATCTACTGTGCTACAATACACACATTTGACTTTTTGAACAACAACAATAAAAGAATGATCATCACAGTATAACTGGGTATATATTTATATTAATTAGGGAACATAGGTTTTATTGCTTCGCTGAAACGCAAGGATGCACTATCCTAATGGCGTGTATATTATACAATTACATTTAGAATACAAGAGCAAAGATAGCCAAGGCGGCAATGCCGACAACGTTAGGGCCAACTGTGAAAGCACCAGAATCTACTGACTGAGACTGGGCAGCACTGGAGACAGTTGCAGCAGAAGAAACGGAACCAGCGGGAGTTACAGCCTTAGAGGCAGCAGCCTTGGAGGCAGCTGCGGCAGTTCCAGAGGCAGCGGCAGAAACCTTGACCGAGGCAGAGGCAGAGGCAGCGGCAGAGATGGCAGCAGAAGATCCCTTAGCGGGGGTGACAGAGGAGTTACCGGAGGAAGGCTGACCACCATTGGCACCAGTAGCAACATAAGAAGCAAAGGTGGGGAAAACAACGGTATCTTCAAAGTAAGGGTTTGTAATGCTGGCACAGGTGGCGATATCAACAACATGCTTGTAGGCAGTCTGGATCTTAGGCAAGTACTTCATAGCAAGTTCCATGGTCTTTCCATCAATTTCGTGGGTCAGGACAATATTGCCAGACTTTGCATAGGTTCCATCGGTACCCATCTTAATGTACTTGTCGTAAGTGGCCTCAACTACGGCTTGAGTCTCAGGAGAATCGGCGGTCCAGTCATCAGTGTCAAGATCCCAGAGAGCAGTGGTCAAACCGAGCTGGGTAGCAATCCATCTAACACGATCATCGACATCTCCAAAAGCCTAGAATAATAAAGAGAATGTAAGTATTTTATACAGATATTTTCTGGGGTTCTCAAATAACTTACAGGGCGCCAGATTCTGGGTGTAACACCGGTAGTAAGTTTGATGGCCTTTTGGGTAAAGTAGAGTTCGGCAAGGACTTCTTCGTTGGTGAGAGTAGTCATTAATTGATGAGACCAGGTGTGATCAGCAATGTGGTGACCATCCTTGATACCACGGAGAGCACCCAATGGCCAGTTCAGGACGTTAGATCCACTGTAGAACATGGAAGCCTTCAACTTCTTTTCTTGGAGGAAATCGTAAAAAGCGTTGTGGGAGCAGTTGGGTCCATCGTCGTAAGTCAAACCCCAGGTTTGGGGTTCGGGACAGTTATAGATATCAGCATTGATGTTCTCATGCTTGGGTTTGGTACAGGTGGTGGCGGACCACCAGCAATCTGGATCGTTGGCGCTGTCATAGCTGGACATGTCGGGTGCACCGTTAGATCCGAGCTTGCGAACTGGGATATCAGGCATTGACTTCCAATCCAGAGAGTTGTACAAATCGAGGAATTCCTTGGATTTGCTCATACCATTGGAGGTTGCAGTTTCCCAGGTAGTAGGCCATTCCGCGGGATCAAAGTTAAAAGAAGCAGGGGTTTCGTAGTATGTGCACTCCTTGACAGCGTCGTGGAGGGTGGTTTGAGGGATACTGGGAAGAACGACGTTGTTGGGATCAACGGGGGACTTGAAAGATTTCCAGTATGTATCTGCGACAGTAGAGGCAGCGGCGTTAGTGAATGTAGCGGCCTGGGTAATAGCCAAGGCTACGGCAATGGCTTTGATTTGCATTGTCTAAGGGGAGGGAAAGGAAGGGGGATTTGGTAAGGAAAGGAAAGGAAAGACAACTTTTGGACTTAGTTTGTTGCTTGAACTCTCTTTTTATTATCGAGCGGAAACAAGCTTTTTAGTCTCCGTTAGATGAAGACCTGTAAGACATCAGGTACAATTTAGTATGTGACACCCCTGGAGTTTGTGCTCAGAGTAAAAAATATTATTTTATTTGGAGTTGACCAACACCCGACTTGGGTTAAAATCTCAGTATATTTACAACAAAGCTAAACGTGCAAATGACTATAGATATACTCTGTTATATGCACGTCTATTTAAGGAAGGAATCGCGTGCGATTATGTTACTCCATCTTATCGCACAGGATTTTTTCTATCGTGAGGTGTAAACTCAGGAGTTGATACCACTTGGACAATACTACAAGTAGTTCTTCAACTGTATTTGTTTTGCGATTGAACTGGATTTGATATATGGCCAATATAAAACAAATTCTATATATAAACATCCCAGAAACAGTAATCGTATCATTCCAATGACAGAATACGCACCTTTATGTAGCGAGTCGGAGCACACCCAGTTTGTTAATTTGAATAATGTATTGTATTGTGGGAAATAATCGAATTGAGCCAGCTGTTGCTGTATGTGTGTAAACAATCCTTTGGTAATGTAATTTAATGTAATGTAAGGTTTGTCTATCTCTGGTTTTGACTTTATTGAAAATTTCAAGTATCCATAGATACGGAAAGAAATTACCAAGTAAAAATCATTTCAAGTTCTATGCTGGGATTATATTTTATATATATGTATGTATAAAATATTTGTTTCAGTGGAGTTGGTTATAGGTTTCATTTGTGTACGACACAGACCCTATCGCAACTTCTCTACAAGGCTACGATATAATTCTCAAGGTACCAAATGTGTATGTATTATATATATACAATTTATTGCTACTATGATTATTATTATTATTTTTATTATTAATATTAGTATTAATATCACTTCAATTTATTACTGATTTTAATTTAGATCATTTACTTTAGAATTGCAGAAAGATATATAATTTTCCCCAAATCGTATGATGGTCTTACAGAATTCAATGATTGTAATATTCTGCCATAGTTTTGATATTGTGTGGTCCGTTTTTCTCATCGGACATTATTGTATTCTATTTTATCGTTATTTGATTTTTTGTTATGTGTGTGTATCATTCAATTGGACTTTCTATCTGTATATCTTTTTGCCCTTGTAGCTTATGTAGGACTCTAAGGACAGTTATTATTTTTTCCTTTATAAAAAAAAAGATATATATTTAAGGCATCAATTATCAAAATAAACTGTGTTGACTAGAAGATAGAAATCACGGAACTGACTTTGGGTATTTTTAATGTCTCTCTTGTGGCTTGGATTTTTTTCTTTATTCATTTCTATTGGAAGAACCTGGCTCCTCATAGTCTATCCGTTGGCTTTAAGATACAGATTAATGCGCCTATTTACTAATCCTTATTTGTAGCAAGTACCTAATTTTGGGAACGTTTCTATTTTCCTTACCATGTCAAATAATTAAGATGTATTTTTTTTTCTAAATATAAGATTTATCCTTTGTATCCTTACATAAAGCCGAGGCTTTTCTACTCTGTTTATATAAATACCTTTATATATTTATAACTGTTAATTGCTAATACCGGGAAGAAACATATATTTCTTTTTTTAATTTTTTTTGAGTAATAAAATAATAATAATAATAATTGCGTTGAAATATTAAGCGATTAACGACTCTTTCCTTGTTTTTACATCATCGAGAGAGAGAAAGGAAGAAGAGCCAGCTTTATTATTATTATTATTATTATTATTATTATTATTATTATTATCTTAATTGAATATGATAATTGTCGCACAGAACGAGGCCTATATATGCAGTATCAAAAGTGCATATTTTGAACAAGTATACAATTGACTTTCTTTCAAAAAGGTAGTTCAGGGCAACATTCTGATCGCACGTGTAGTCCACTGCATAAAGTTTAGGCCGTGCGTTCATACACCGAGTAATGTAACACAGTGCTCGTGGTACTGTAAAGCATATCAATTGAAAGAAAGAAAGTTAGAACATGATTCAGAATCAAAGGTAAATATTGATCTGGTTATGAATACTATGTCAATTCTTGGTTTCTACAATATTTTTTGGCACTAAGCCTTATTTTATGTGAAGCTAAGCGAGTTGATCAATCATATATATATGTATGATATATGTCTTTAGAATGTATTTGCTCTATCTTGACCCATACCTTGTAAATGGCTTTACTTTGAATATGCCCGATGATAATATAAGCTGATGAATTATATTATAATCTTTATATAAAAGTAGATCAGGTAATAGTAAGAATTTCCAATTATACACTGCATATTTAATAGGTTGTGGGATTATACAAAAAGCAAATAAGCCTTTTGCATTAAATAAATCAAAACCATACATCATTACCCGCGACTTACAAACATATATCTTGAGTACAGGAGCGGTAATTACTGCCTTGAGTTGGATCCATTATTGTGTTTTCATTAGTCATTCAAAAGAATATTCAGCTTGTAAATCATTATATATATATAGTATATAAACACTGCCGTTATAAAATCATCATATTAGCCTACGGTTATTGATAAGAGGGACATACAACGTTAATCGTATAATAAACCTACATTGATATTACGAATCAACTCTAAATATATTCCTAAGCTATACGGAGAAAAACCACTCTATTTATAATATTTGAAAACTGCCATACAAAACCGAGTCTTATTTCTTAACGTTCTGCTCCACTTATATTGTGTATATTTAGGATCACTTGTTAAGCCTTATATCTAAATGTATACACACATGTTTGAATAAATGGTAGTGGAAATTGTACTACTACAGATATTAATACTATTCACAAAAGATACACGACTTTTGTCTGTCACCTTTCTTAATAGCCGTTTTGGATTGAAATAAATTCATTGGAATATGAATATATGGTATTTTAGAGTGACACCATATTAATTTCTCACTTTATTAACTATCTTGAACTGCATACATAAAAATAGTATATCTCATTTGTACCTTCTTTTGCTTGCTAAGCATTGGGAAAGTACATTAGATTGATATTACAGTAATCTCATAACTCAACCGTGCTACTTCCAATGCAAGATATCTTGGTTTATACAGAGTCATTAAGCCAGAAATTAATATCCTCCAGCCAAAATATGTCATCAGTTGATCTGAAACTATTTATTAACGAGGAATATTGTTTAAATATTGTTGATATCTTTACTAAAAAGAAAATAGCTTTTTTGAAAGCAGTCGCAATAGCCTATATGTTATTATTAGAGTATTATATTACCCTCTTAATGGCTCAATATCTGTACAATGCCCCGTAAAATTAATCATTTGGTTTACTTGTTACAAGATTTGTAAAGCCGGGTTCCTCAAAAAGTTGTTCCCCGAAGAAAATATCTAAATATATAATCCTGAGACATTCCATAATAAGATATTATTTATCCAACATATATTATAACGATCATGCTCTATATTACAGTGTTTCTACTTAAAATTGAGACGAATTTGGATCTATTTGTGTAGGAATTAAATTTAATTTTTAGATATCTTTTTTTTGACAATATCACCTCGCAAATTGAGACGACAAAGATGCTAAACAAAATTCGTACTTTTGGATTTTGATGTCTTTAATCATAAAGTACTATCATTGGCTGATATGGCTTCCTCATAACCATCGTTACACACTTTCGTCTCTCGCTTTTTGCTAACATCAATATATATATTTATTCTCCTTTTGTCAAAAACTAAATAGTTCTTGGAGAAAGATCATGGAACCTTAAAGAAGATAAGGAGTCCAAGGGAATAAATAGAAGAAAAACAAGATAAAATTCATAAGTAGTGTATACCTTTATATATTTATATGTAACTTAATGCATTCTATACATTATCCGAGGCCAGGTACAACGATCGCAACAAGTCTGGGTATCATACAAAAAGAAGCGATCAATGTGCATATTTTGCATCGAAATTGGCACGTGGTAGACATATATTTATTCGTCTATATACATACATGACATAGAAAATAGAACAGCAATATATAATACATATTGGGATACTATAATCAGTACAAAGCATAAAAAACTTACTGAATACAAAAGGCCATAAGCACGAGGTTAATCCAATAGAACTAAGGTCGGTATGCTTTAGCTGCTATACAGAGGACCACAAAAGCTCCAGATAAAAAAATTCAAACCATACGCCGTAAATAAAAATAAATACAAGGACTATTGAAAGAGCATACTTCTATAGCTAGAAAAGTTATGTTGTACACAATCCTAAGGCTGCCATGCAAGACATTCGCCACGAAGAAAGTACAGCCTGTATCAAATTATATTTGAGGCCTTATAATTTACGCACTGTCGTTTGTGAACTACTGTATGATGACCTATTATGATCAAGCTATGAGCAAGAAAATGGTACTGCGGAACACATTTAGTGTTAAAGAAACCACTAAGAAACATCAAGGCCATACCGAAAAACTCGTTGACTTTTTGGAGCAGTTTCTCTTCAAAACAGACTCTAGCTTATTTAATAGCGCGTGAAGATGGGTAATTAAGCTATCTAGCATCTAATTGTGTTTAAACGGCTACTATATACACAAATGTTACCGTGAAATGTTATGGATCCAGATTGAATCTCTCTATTGTCTGTGATAGTATAAGCTATTCACAAATGTAAGCATATAAAAAGTATATTATTGTTTATAAAATAACCAACGAGTTTCTTTTGCCCTAAGACAAACAGGGGTTTTTATTACAATAATAAAAAGGCTGTCCATAATTGTTGCTATGAAATGTTTGTGGATGTACACAAGTCTTACCTGATGAACTTCCCAGAGCCTTTGGTGACAGAAAAACCAGCAATTGGCACAATATGCGGTAAACTTTCATCGATTAACATACGTAAGATAGCTATTCCGGAAGCCCCGTTTACTTCTCTTAGATCATTTATACCTGTACTAGCCTACATCATAAAAAATAAGCTTACTCGTCTATTTTTGTTGGGAACTGTACTTTCATTGAAATGGATGTTGATATAAATGAGTCACAACGCTCTTTCAACTTTTTTTTGGTATGAAATTCCCATCCTACCTACAATTCCAAGGTTGAAATCTTTCTTAAGATGGTTGATTTAATTACTCTTCTGTTGGATAGGTAGGTATGAGTGCATATGCATTTATACTCAATTTAACAGACAATCGTATTGTAAATAATATAATGTTTTGCAAGATTTGCAAAATCTAGAAAGAAAGAATAAATTGGTTTTCTCTAATATAATAAGATCCAATGATTTTATTATTAATGTGTCATTTTTTAGGAAAAAACGTACAGCAAAAACTACTGAATATCACGTTTATTATTCTGATCGAGATATCGGAATTTCTCCTTGTAGTCTTAATCCGAGAAAAAACTAAGTGCTTGCTGTATATTATGGAGATATTGAAAACCGTCGTCAGCTCAGGATTCTTTTCATCAAGGAATAAATACGGTTTTATTAAAGAGATCAACCACAGAAACTGTAAATATCTCTACATATGTTCAGTATTTTGGCTATATTTGGAAACATCTTCAAAGTATATTGAAGTTCAATAGTTTTTCAAAAGAATATATGTGCTTTAATTTAAACCGAGCCATACAAAGGGCTACAGAAGAAGTACCGAATATTTTGATCTGAGACATATGAATAAGATTTGAAAAGGGAACAATAGGTACTGCGAGAATGTTGTTTGTTTAAGAAAGAAGATTATGACTATTTATATAGATGTTTGGTTCCCTAATTTAAGATCTCCTTCGGTTAATGAGTGCTTATTACTGAAGCAGTGTGAAGTGTACGAGTGCCCGGTGTGTGTTACATTTCTGAGATGTGACCCTGCCAGGTTCATTAGCAATTGTAGTATTCGTTCTGGTTTGTGAAACTTATATTTCACTCAATTGCGGTTTGTATACCACATTATCAATGTCATTGAGAAATATAGTAAGTCTAAGCCAAAAAAAAAAAGAAGATTCCGAAGAAAAGGAAGAAAGAAAAAAAAAGTACATAGACCTAAAGACAGAATAAAGGCAGTTCCAAATGATATAATGTTAGTGGTAGCAAAATGTTGGGTCGACTACCATATTCATACGCTGTTTATTTTAGAAAACTAAAAAAAAAATACACTGGAAGCCAGAAAAGACCCATTATAATAAAGATAAGCTACCTATGAAATCTTTTGGAAATGGGATGTTTGACAAAGGGTATAGAAAGCTCCTCGGTTTACAAGAAAGTTTTACTAGAGTACTTTAACGCCAGTTCAGATATAGACAGAGATCTGGCAATATTTTACTTGGTAAGTTGATGCATTTTGGGCGATAAAGGTACAAGAGGTTAAAATGATTTTGCTTATTATTGAATCTAATAATTTTGTAAATACAGACTTGTCATTTGATCACATAAATGGCCTTTACTACAACTTACACCTGGTTGGATAGTGCCTGCAGAAATTGCGGAATAATATGACAACGCAATATAAGTGTTTAATGAAATATTTTCAAAATCTCAAATAACGTTAATGGCAACTTATACATATCGTTGTCTCGAATACGGTTCTCTGTCTGAAGGAATGTATATATCTACATGTAGATACTCTACAAAGTAATCATTGTTTATTTAAAAACTAAAAGTGCTTTATATCGGTTCTTTTTATTCTCGTTTAAAAACGAGTTATTGTTTGCCTAAGAAAAATTCAAGTTCCATTAATCTCAAGTTTAAACGCTAATAAAGAACCTTATCGTTTTAGAGCTGTACTTCTTGTTGTATATATTCTGAGAAATTAAAATTCCGAAAACAAGCTCATTTGATCTCTTTAGTTTTTTATTTATTTAATACAATCAATTATTTGTTTGTTTTGAATGAGAATTTGCTTGGTCACTGGATTATAGAGAAGCAGGATCTTGCGTGAGTAAACGTAATTGACAATTAGCTACAAATAATTATACTTATCAATAATGGGACTCAATGGCTGTCGCGCCACACTTCCAAATTGGACACTAGCGAAATCATCATTGCATCATACATATATCCGGCATTTCCTTTATTGTACACAAATCCGCCACAACGAAATAGATAATCAGCCACATCACTTGACCAGAAAAAAAAACGTGCCTTCACTAATTATTTGCCAGCTCTGAATAGACTTTTCAAAGAAGTGTAAATGCTTTTTTCTATAGTGTATGTAGCCATACTTTAATCGCTCAAGATGAATTCTATTCTCGCATAGAGTATTATACACTGTTTATCTGTTATTACAAAGAATAAATATATATTAGGTTGTGCCAATCGGAGAAAAGAATACCAGATTGCTCTTTTGAGTAAAGGTAGTCTATAAACCCATGTTTTTTTTTAATCAATAGTATTTAAGAGCAGAAAATATTACTTTTTATGTAAGTATAGTATACATGTATTAAATGCTCTATATCCATATCATTTATTTTATTTTTTGAACAATCAATTGATATAAGTAACTAATAAATTACACGGCCAATATATATACACTCACTTTCATATTATGCTATTATATCTCTAATACAGTTATTCTCTTTATCCTGCGAATCTTGTTACTCTTTTGACTCTTCTGATCGGCCCTTGGAAAGTTATTAGTATTCAATATTCAATATTTTCTTTTGATTTTAATTACTCTGAGCTCTTATGTTACTCTCCAAGGACACTATTCAAAATAACGTTCTTGCCGTAAATATTACTTTATATGGAATTCATTTGAAAAGTGAATATGAGTAATAGCTTTAAATACTGGTACCCAACGCCAAAACTCTTATAATGTATGTATGTATGTATTATCTCGCCTTATATTTCTCCAAGAATTAAATACCAACAAGCCCGAGACTCCGTCTATTCTATAAGGTTAAGACACCACCGATTTTTTTTTACTTCTCCAAAGTCTGGCAGTCTGTTTCCCAGCTTAAACCAGTTACGGCTCGGCCCGAGAAGACCATACACTTCGTGTAAACAATACGTAGCAAATGATTTACATATATAAGGCATTCCAACTTTATCGACATTTACTTTCCAAATGCGCGAGAACTTACACAGGAGAAAAGGAAGGTACAGACTACTTATTACAGCAATGGCAATACTGGCTTGTTCAACACTTGTTTTTCCACACGCGCACATATATATGTATAAACGAAGTCCTCTTAAATTAATATCACTAGGAGCTGTCTTGACATTTTCTCAGATTGATTAATTAACAATAAAAGTGTGTATTTGTAATATTAAATAAAGGTATTTTGTGTAATAAGCTTATTCTAGAGTTTACCTAATATGAGGATATATTTTTAAGAAATGTTTATGATATAGAACAATACGAACTTTGGTATAAGGACTGAAGAAGTACCTTGATCGACCAGAATTATCGCCTGAATTAAACATACGGCGCAAAGCACAGTTGACACTCTTATTTCCAAAACAATGGGCAATGCTTACATGAACTACTAGGATCTTTTTAGAAAAACTATTTAGACTTGGAAAGTTATGCTGTGTAGTTGAGGGAAGCCTTACTTCATATTGATCTACCTTTAAGTTGCGCGGCCATTGTTCGGGATTCCGACGAGTGCCTAAAAGAGTCATTGTAGAGTAAAAGGATCAAATAATGATAAGAAACTCATACAATTTTATCATAAAGTGTCTCAATATAAGAACTTAAAGAAGATATAGCTTCCGATTTTCTGGGGATATCGCACGTACAATAATAAAATAAAATACCCAAGACTTCTTACTTGGTCTTGTATTTGTTGTTACGTTGACTTAGAAGAGTCGTGCATTACAAACAAACATTATTATATAGTTCGTTTGTAATTTCCAAACACCGAGAAACTAAATAGCCGCACAAAAAGAGCTCTATCATACTTAACCCAATTTCTCCGCTCTTGTCCTGGCTGACTATATCTAGCCGACTTATTGAGATTTCTAAATCTTTTTTTTTCTCTTCTTTTAATCCCTCGAGATCTCCCATTCTGGCTATCAAAATTATGCAAGCATTTATGAGCCAGAGTCTACAAGAAGAAGTACCTTCTACTCTTGACCCTTCAAGCATTAGTTATGGCTCTGAGATTCGCCTTGATACATATTCAATGTGGCCGCCTGGAGACGTTGCAGACTATGACAATGAGTACCTTGAAGCACTCATGCCAGTAAATATAAGTTCTGATTTACATACCGAAAGAGGCGTATTCGAAGAGAATTCAATTTGGCCACTGCAAAATGACAATTATTTGACTCAAGACGTCCCGGTAAATGCCATGGATACTTGCGCTACCGTATACAGCTTGTGGAGACCCGATCTGGCTTATCCTGGAGATAATAAAATAAATGAACCGACTGTAAATAATGTACTTTATCCAAGAGTCATGTCACAGAATTCAATTTCTCCCTCGGTCACTGTAGATCCTCTCGCATTTAATACAACCATTACAGGCCAACAATTTGGTGGAGAGACATATGAAGAGATACATAGCTATGATTCAGATCAAGTTGGATACAACACACAAGACTCTGACTCTCAGTATGATTACACCAGCGCTGTTGGTTCGTTCAGTCCCCCGGCTTTTCATATGGATCAACCTCATACAGACTCTGCTCAAGTCAGTCCAGTCTTGTCACCGCTGTCAAACTTGGGATCTTCTCCCATCCGCTCATCAACTCCGCAAAACCTACCCAGTCCAATATATGCCGACGGTAGTTCCATCTCCCGCACACAAGCACGCAGAAGATCCACGAACAACGGATCAACCCGAAAACAAAACACCCGTCGTCGTACTTCAGCAAACACGTCTGTGGCATCAAGAGTTTCATTGGCAACTAATGAGCCAGTAGATAGTATTGATTTTGGGGTTCCATACATTACATTCGTTTATTCTGCAAATCGTGTGGAGAGACATTACAAAATTCGAGTTGATATTGATAATGTCGATATTACACATTTAACTCCACAATATCGCAAGACCAATGCTGTAAGTTTCCTTTTAGTTTCTGCTCTTTATTAATTAAGCTATCAAGTATTGGGCTCAAACTGATCCTTTCTTCTTTTTTTTAAAAATCAAACAAACAAAGGTCTACCCTCGAGCTCTTTGTTCTCAACAAGATTATACTGGGAATCGTTGGAATTATGAAACCGAATGCAATGAACAAGGATGGAAGCTTACTGTCTTAAATTGCGAAATTCTCTCAGGAAGCCGGGGGCTTATTCAACGTTCTGTTGATTGTTTCCGCAACTCGCAACCTGGGATGCGATCACGTCGTGTATCTCGTCAAGAAAAACTGACTGGCGGAACATTACGACGACGCAAAGTAAAGGGTTCAACTAGAGCCTAAACTTTTTGTATTATATCTAATAAATTTCCATCCTCAAATTTCTGCAATGGCTTTATATTACTTTAATTACTTTACTACCTGTTATTATTATTATGTCTACAATATTACTGCTTGAAGGCAATTTGAATTAATACTCTAAGTCTTTGTCTCACGTCAATGATATCTTATTATCACAAGGTTAGATTTCCAGAATTCTTGTTTACCAATTCAGCCATATTCTTAGAGATACAAGGTTTTCTGTTAACCTCACATTGTAAAATATTATGATAAATTTCTCGTAAGGAAATGACAATGAAAATAAGATCCTAAGTAAAAATGCAATATTTTTACATGTGTAGAGGAAGTTATACCTATTTTATTTCTCTTTTACTATTCGTTTTCAAAAATAGAGCTATGAGACCATATTGTCTGGCGCTAAATTTTACTAAAAGGATAAACCGTTTTATGGGAAAGTTTTAATCGATTCAATGAATGTTCAAAATTGTAAATTTTCTTATTGAAGCATTTTAAGCCTTGTTTAAGCTATAAAAGCCAGAGTATTTATTGCTCGCATTACTAGGTGAGATGAATTTCAAAAGGAAAGGAAAGGAAAGGAAAGGTGAAGACTTTATTTATAACCGTTTTCCTTTAATGTTTATTGTCATATAGCTCTTGGACTTAAAACTTTCAATTTGAACTCATCGGTGGATTTTAAGTTTAAAATAAATAATCATAATGAATTTTTTAGAGAAAAAAGACTGGAATACCATATATCTAATTAATATTGCTATATATATGTATACAATATTCAATGACAGGTAGAGAGCTTACTGAGACCTTGAATTATGGTAGAAATGCTTAAAGCCTTACATTCGAGTAACAAATTCTATACACATTGTTCTAGCCAATTTTTGTCTAGCACAAAATGTCTGTCCAGTATCCCAAGCATCAGTTTTCGGTCTTCCTAAAAATGGGACTTTCATTCAGGCAAGGCAGACGTATATATATATGATATGCACAAAACAACATAATTCTCAAACGAATCGTGAACCATGTCTTTAGCCATCATTTATTTTGTGATTCTGCTCATTAAATTCTACTCTACTTTCATTTAGGCTACCATATTTAAATCCACGTATACATAATGGTATCTTATAGAAATTAACAAATAACCAAATGTTTATAGCCGTATAGTATTAAGCATGTTTGTTTGTTTGACATATATTATAATCGGGTATGCTTGGATAGAGGAGAAGAAAAGACGCTGTAAGGCGTATACTACAAACTACTCATAGTTACGACCTACCTTATTTTTTTTTTATAAAAAGCCCCTACTTTCCTATCAATGTATTTATTATATGAAAAAGGAAAGAGTCGATTCTTTTCATTCCAAGCTGATTTTTGACTTATTGAGCTCAAGATCATTTAAAAAGAAACAATTTGGATCGAAGAATGACTAAGAAAACATTCTTAATTCAATCGACTTGTTAACCTACACATCTAAGTTTAGTCAAATATCAGGCTTAAGAAATTGATGACTATATGGTTTATTAGTAAGGATTCTTAAAAAAAAACAGGCAAAGTGGACCAATTTTAGTTCTTTGGAAAAATTAAGGGGCACATCTTTTTTTTTATATTATGTCATGATTTTGAATATTGTGGATGTAAGTTTATAGACAGCAAGGTCTTTATTCTAAAGTATGAGGAAATTATTACTGGGATTTTTAATGGCAAGGGTCTTCAAATGGTTTTAGCTTGTACATTTGAGTAAAAAGGAACATGCTCAAAGACTGCAGTAGATAACACTGGGAGTTCTTTTCTTTTGATATGGTCCTTGATTGACAGGAAAGACAACAAGAATGTGCTTCCTATAATTATAAATAAGAATTGCAGTAAGATGTTTATTTTACAGACACGACTTTACATTTTAAGTCCACGAATGTGTGAATTGTACCTTGTTTTTGTAGCAGCCTAGTTGTTTAGGATCAATGTGAGAGTTAAAGATAATTCTACTCCCGATGTACATGTGTGTATGTGTATATGTTACTAGCTCTAATAGGCCTGCACTTTGTTGATATATATATATATATATATTAACATAACTTCTGGTGGTGACTCACACCAAAAAATATCTTTTTTCAAAAAAACGATACCTTTCAAACAATACATTTATGGTCTGATGAGGGATAAATATTAATATTTTTATGTTCTTTCAAATCTCTAGCTTTTTTTTTTACAAAATACAAACTGACAAAGTACCGATGACAAAATTTAATATAAAGAAGGCTCTAGTGTAAATCGGATACTTTATTTCTTTTTAAAAGAAACTAGAATGAAAAGCCCTCAGACTTTAGATTTAATAAGTATTAAACAGAGCTACAGCGTAGTTTTTTTTTGGAGATTGAAATAATAGAATGTTGCTCAATTCAGGTACTGCTTTTCTTTTTTTTTCAAAAAGGTTTATGCTACAATATTATAGCCTATAAAGCTTATTTAAAACAATAGTATTTTGAAACAAAAATCAAATAATTTTTTTGTAAGAGAGAATTGAAACAAATTCAAGAGCTTTTGATATTATCTCCAAAAATAAATAAAAAATAGTGTTGTATATGTCATAAACAATACTGTTTCATATATATATTTCAGATTTTTACTTTTCTTTTCAAGACACATTAATTTAGTTTATATTAATGGGTTATGATTCGGTGAGTACACAATTGTTACATGCAGCAAGAAAATACCTTTTTTTGAAGTGTTTATTTTAAGTGAACAACTCTCTCTTGAAAATTATAGTACTTGAAAATCTTGCGGTAATCTGTGCTAAGAAACATATAATAAAATGTCATATATATATATATATATATATACTTACTTTGAGTTAAATCTATTAACATTTCTGTTTTTTTTTTCTTACAGAATATATTTCCTCTAACCGATGTATTTCTTGGGCCATTGACTTTGCGAATACAGAAATTTAAACTATAAAGACTGTTACTACTGTTGATTAAATAAAAAAAATAAGGACCATATAAATAGGACAGGAAGTAAGCATTTTGATGTATAAGATATTCGCCAGTTAATCGTACAACATTACAATATCAATACTGCTATACTCATAGGTGTTTTAGCTACCAATAAAGCAGCTAATGATACTTGATGTTATAAAATACGCATACGCATTGATACAAATTAAGATCATTTGTTAGCAGACAAACAGTCGTAATGAGTTAAAAATAGTATGGTATATTACGATGAAATGAGCTCGTCTGAATAGAGGGATAGTTACATGGCAGGTTATTTTGGAAATCTGTTTTATAGGTGGGTGGCGCGCATCAAGGGCCCTGTAAAAATGTTCTAATTTTGATAAAATACGAATCCAAGTCTTGTTCAGTATAGACAGTATGTAAGCAGAATTTATGTATTTCTATTATTTTAACAAAGTGCAATATATATATATTTACTATCTATTAAATATTATATAGTTATGTAATAATCGTATTCTTTTCTATTTTTTCCCTCTTTGTTTTTTAAAAGTACACACATCCATAAATCAAAAGTAAGGAAAAACACCTTGTTTTTCTTCTTCAATATATATTGACAATTATAGCTTTGATATTCTACCATTTTAAAAGCCATCAAATGTACCTCGTTACTCAGATCGCGTTTATATTTACCGTATCTGGGAAAAACAGTCTTCCGATAACATCAAAGTAACACTACATCTTGAATTCATCGCAGTTTTCTAAGCTTTGATTGAAAATATTAAAAATGTGCCTTGATTTTTATACATGTTTATTGGTTCTTTTCGCACGAACTCGGTAATTTTAAAAATACAACAAGGAACATTCCCTAAATCCAAAGTTTCTATCAACCATATTTTTTTTTGTTTCCAGTGTAGAATATTATTTTCTACAGTCTACATGTCTATTAAGTGCTTACTTAAACTGTTTCTATCGTAAAGATACCCGGTCAATGTATATTCAAGATACTTTAAGCTTTAAATAGCGGGGAAGATATTCAAGAAATATGTCACCATACATCTCCAAAGCCTTTGTAAGATCCAATGCAATGGGATAGATAATTGTAATACCTTGGGTAATAATGACAGGATACATGTATATCCCCACACCATCAATGAATTAATTACAAGTCCAAGAATAATGCCAGTCCATTGACCGAGTCAGCGGTATGCAAGTTAAATGAGATGCTAGCCCTAGCTACGGCCAATTTTTTTTAGTAAAAATCGAGTCCCTTCTTTTGAGTAACCAAACATCTGTAAAACAAAACGTTCTATTTCAAGATGTGTATCACGTTTGTTGGTACAAGTATTAACGTATCTTACAATCGTACTACAACAAGTACAGTGGTAGAATAAACTAGTGTATTACTAACGATAACAACGGTAGTAATGAACCTTTCAACCAAAGTTATCTTGGACTATCTGCCCCTTATATATAACAAGGACGGTGTACTTTGGTAATGAATTATGTATTTGGCACAAATCTCTTGATCTGGTAGATTGTATGACTTGGAAAGAAAAAATTCATCGGGGGATATACTCTTTTATGAAATTAAATAGTATATCATATTTTTATACTGTATATTATCTTATCCAGTAAATCAGTTGCCTAAAGTACACTTGAGTCAGCATATGGCTTATGTTGAATTGAATAAACAGTTTTACATTAATTCAGTACCAATAGAAAAAAGCGCCGTGCAGCTAATACAAGCAACTTTTTTTACTGGTAGGACTAAGTATAGGTCCTAACAGGCTAATTTGATTATGAGCATTATAATGATTAGACTAGAATTATTGTTTTATAAGACACTTTTAAAGTTGTCCAAAGAAAACCACACAGGTCACGTGCCGCCTTAACCTCCAGTACAATGCGAATGGATGTGAATATTGATTTTACCCTTATCAATCATAATCACAATGGGATCTAATGTTTCAAAGAACAAGGTTACAGCACAAGACAAGGCCATCTTAGATCTCAAGATTCAAAGAGACAAACTGAAACAGTACCAAAAAAAAGTATGTAGTAAATGAAGGTTGTTTTTATTGTCTGAAACTTTTTTTTTGTCATTAGGTTAATGTAGTATTGGAAAGAGAAGTTTCTGAGGCTCGCAAGGCACTCGGGCAAGGCAATAAGAAAAAGGCGCTTCTGGCACTGAAAAAAAAGAAATATCAAGAGCAATTACTTGAAAAGACCGAACAGCAGTTGATGAACCTTGAAGAGTTGGTAAGTGTATATCTATTTTGATCTATTTTTTATCGACACCAATCATAACATAATATATCTTTATTACTGTTATTATTACTGTTATTATTACTATTATTATTATTATTATTATTATCGGCACCAATCATAATATAATATCTTTTTTTTACTGCTATTATTATTATTGACACAAATGTACATATATGTTTTAGACCAATACCATTGAATTTGCTCTAGTCGAAAAACAGGTGATGGAAGGACTCAAAGGAGGAAATGCAATCCTCAAAGAAATTCACAAGGAAATGTCATTGGAGGACGTGGAACGACTTATGGATGACACCGAAGATGCTATTGCTTACCAGAATGTAGGTTTAAATTCATAGATTTTTCTTTCCAGTGCGTAAAACGAGGATTACTAATTTTAATATATTGTGATAGGAATTGGATGAAATGTTGAGTGGAAGGATGACCGCAGAGGATGAAGAGGATATCATGCGTGAATTAGAGGGACTCCGGCAAGAAGAGGTAAGGCTCGAAATAAGGCTCGAGATAAGGCAAGCTGACATTCTGTAAATATATATATATATTAGCTTGAGGCTGCCTTACCAGAAGTACCGAATCACCCGTTACCAGAGACCGAAAGAGCTGATGTTAGTTTTCCAGAGGTCCCTACCCAGATACCTACAGGTAACAAATGTTAAGAGCTAATACGAAAATTGGTAATACATATATGTTAACATTAATTGTCTTTTAATTATATAGCTACTCCCAGCAAAAATACAGAAAAACAGGCAATGTTGGCTACCTGATAAACTCAATATAGATTGGCAAATTTCCCTATTTTGGATTTTTTTTTTGTTTTCTTTTCTATAAAAAAATCTACAAAAATTATTGTCATAAATAACCGATCAGAATTCAAGCTTGTATTTAACTCTCAATTGATTAAAAATTTTCTTTAACTCTGTTCTCTTTTCCAATCTTTTTTACATCTTATTTTTTTTGTTTTTCAAAAAGTAAAAAAAAAAAGTAAAACTTCCTTACTTAAAGATGAGTAAAGAAGCCGAGAATATCCCGGATACCAAAGAGGTTATCCAAGTATCTACCGAATCAACATATGATCCCAATGAAGAGCACGACCCCAAGATTGGTGTTGGAATGCGCCATGTAGCCGAAGGAATTCCCATTGCTGCATGGTTTATTATTCTCAACGAATTCTGGTAAAACATATTTTTCTTCAATATTCCGAATTGATAATAAAACATACTAACATCTTTGTCTATTTGATAGTGAAAGGTAAAAAAAACAAAAACTTATATTTAAGTTTAGTCTTGGCAATGTGATTTACAGGTACCAATGCTCTTGCCTTTAGATTTGCTTACTATGGTGGATCAGTTCCTTTCCAAAACTATGTTCAGGTAAATATTATAAAGACAAATAATATAAAATCGGAAATAATAATGATAATAATAAAGTTTTGATTTATTAACAAATATATAAATATATTAGAACCCTCCTGGTGTTCCAAACTCGCCCGGTATGCTGGATCGTGGCCAATCTGTTGCTACCTCATTGCAGAACTTCTTTACTTTCTTCTGCTACTTCACCCCAGTTTTGGGAGCTCTGGTTGCTGGTAAATTAAATTCGAATGAATCATAAAAGAATATGTTTCACTGAAATTTGTTTAACTATATTTTTTCTATCTACAGATCAATATCTCGGTCGTTACCGGACTATTCTTCTTTTCTCATGTATTTACATGATTGGTTGGCTTATTTTGACCGCCACTTCCACACCCGCTGGAATCGCTCATGGAAGTGGTTTCCCTGGTTACATTGTCTCTCTTATTGTCATTGGATGTAGGTTGCAAAGCTAGCTTTTTTATTTCTAATAGGATGTACAAGTTCTTTTTTTCTAAACTCAATTGATATGTTCCTAGTTGGTACTGGAGGAATCAAGGGTATTGTTTCCACTCTCTGCGCAGATCAATACAGACACACCGAGAATTATGTCAAGGAGACCGAATCCGGAGAACTTGTCTTAGTTGATTATGATTTGAGCATTCAACATTTGTACAACTGGTAAGTTAAGCTCATGCTTAAGCGCGGGAAAAAAACCGTCCATCGTGAGAGAATAAAAGTACCGGAGATGAATTCCTACCTATTTGAGTTGAGAGTGTAATTTTCTCCAAAAATGGTATTTATTTACTGATCAAGCGTTGTATAAAATTGATAATCTATTTAGGTTTTACTGGGCCATTAACGTAGGATCCCTCCTTGGTGGTGTTATTTGCCCTATTTTGGAACTCAACGTAGGTTTCTGGGCTGCCTACCTGTTGCCTACATGCATTTTTGCTCTGGCCATCATTGTCTTCATTTGCGGTGGAAGATTCTACTACAAGCCTCCCCCAACCAACTCAGTAATATCCAGCACATATAAAATCTTCAGATTTGCCTTCAAACAGGCAGGAAGACCAGAAAACAAAGAGGCCAAGAAGGAGTCCAAGTATATCCTTGATTTTGCAAAGCGTGATTCGGGTTTGAAAAACGTAGCCGAATGGTCTTCTGATAATTGCAATGCAGCCACCGGCTGGGACGACAAATTCGTTGATGAATTGAAGGAAACCATGATGGCTTGCAAGATTTTTATCCCTCTCTCAATCTATTGGGTTTGCTACAACAACCTTAGTAACAACTTGATTTCTCAGTCCGGCCAGATGTACCGTCCCGATGGACTTCCGAACGATATTATGAACAACTTTGATCCAATTGCTTTAATTATCTTTATTCCCATTACCGATATGTTCTTCTACCCATTGTTGCGCAAGTATAAGCTCAACTTCCGTACTCAGCAACGTATCACTGGTTAGTACATTGAACCCAAAAAAAAGTAAAACAAATAATCTAATTCGTACTGCTTTAGTTGGATTCTTCCTCGGCGCTCTTTCTATGGTCTATGCTGCTGTTGTACAGCATTACATTTATGTAGACCCTGTTTACCAGGAAACCGGTGTTTCCGCCATGTCGGTTTTCATTCAGATCCCTTGCTATTTCCTTATTGCCTTCTCTGAGATCTTTGCTTCAATTACCTCAATGGAGTATGCCTACACCCATGCTCCCAAATCAATGAAGTCGCTTGTATCCGCCCTGTCACTGTGGCCCAATTGTGTTGCTGCCTTGATCTCTCTTGCCATCTCTCCTTCAGCCGAGGATCCTAACATGGTTTGGGTCTACACTGGTGTTGCCTGTGGTGCATTTGTGTGTGGTATCTTGTACTATATTGTGTTCAGACACTACGATGCTATGGATGAGGAGACTCGCCTTCGCAAGATTGCAAACTTCCAAAACTCTACAGAAAATAGCAACACTGGCTCAAACAAACAAATGAGCATCAATGAGAAGTCTTAGACTGCTTAATCTGATCCTTACTTATTTATTTATTTTGTATCTTTAGATTTCTAAATTCTATTTATTATAAATTTTCATATATATTTTTTTTAAAAAACCCCCACCAGAGTCTTTCAAGACCGATTCTATAAATTACTTTCCTATAATATTATTATATAATTCCATAATATATACACCTACACTTACACATATACATAAACATAAACATAAGCATGCAAGAATTTGAATTTTTGGATTCTGGAAAGTTCAAGACAAGATCAAAACCAGATTACTACATTGATATAAACTTAAAACTGTCATTATATTACGATATTTCTATATAAGAAAACAAAGAAACAATTGATGAAATATAATGAAATGTGCTCAATCAGACAAATCAATAGACTTTTTTTTAGGGTACACTGCCAAGAACGCAATAGTTATAGTGATTTATAATTATGGAAGCATTACAAGAAATAAAGTCATACCGTAATCAAACCAAGATAATGCTTACCTTTCTCTACGTTGAAGATACACAAGATAAGAGTTAATTCTTTTTTTGTTAAAAAAAATCGAATAAAGCTATATTTTAAAGTCTGAAAAGTCGCACCAATAAATCAAGTGTTTCTCTCAAAGATACGAAGAAAATATATAAAAATAATAGTAAGATTATTACTAGAATTTATTCTTTGCACCAAATTATGAATATCCGGGGCCTTTCTGTAAGAACCTTTTTAGACTACATGAACAACACAATTTACAAATCTTCCTATAATGATTGCAATGCCCGAGAGTTGTATAAATTACATTAGCTATTAATTAAACCTTAGCTTATCTATCTTGAGCTACATGGTCTTCGGTGTTCATTTTGAATAACTAATTGGAGGTTATTTAGCAGAGTACTTTTGCTTGAAATTCTCTATCTATATTTAATACCATAATAAGAACAAACAGCTACTTATAACTTGATGCGAAATTGAAGAAAGTATATAATACTATACTCGTTTTTGAAATTTATTTATTATAGTTAACTCTAGTTTTAAATTAGTACAATTGGTGTGGATAGACTAAAACTTTTAAACAACTAGAAGGCTTAGTCTTCTTCCATTGTCAGTTGGATCGAGAAGAATATAATGCTTTTGATGAAAGAGATGGTATTATGAGCACTTAATCTTATCTAATATGCATTTGAACTAACTTTGAACTTTTTTTTTTAAAAAAAAAAGTGCGAACAATCATAAATGAATATAATTGACTGAGCTCACTCTGAACTTTTTAGTCTGTCCATACCAATTGTTTTCCCATTTTTATTAATATAATCCAAAGAGCAAGACACATCTTCATTAGAAAACACACCCGGTTCATATAAAATAGTATTTACTACTAATACATATGCATTATGTACATGTATTTACCAGACTTCGATTCAACCCATACTTCATTAGTAGTTGATATGAGCTTGTCCACTGTCAAGTACATCGTTAAGAGAAGAAATAAAAAAAGATCTCCAAAGCCAAGAAAAGGATATGGAATATCTAGAAAGATTTATGATTGGACAGAAAGACACCTTATGCGTGTGGTTCGGAAGGGAAATGCGGTCTCATATTACTGGATGGGAAAATCTTTAAATAAGATTGAAGTATTTGTCTGTAGAAAGACAATAATCAGCTATCTCAAACGTTTGAGCTTCGAATCATATATCGCAGCTCATGAGCCAGATTTAACAGAGCCAAAAGAAGAGAGGATTGGATTGGACTTGTGAGCACGTCAACTGGGTGGATAACCAGTGGAAAGGTGTAGTATAGTCCGATGAATCAAGATCTATAGTCAGAGGTAATGATGAGGAAGCCAGAGCTATTAAAAGAGCTGCGAAAAGGTTCAAAGAAGAAAGTATCATTACAGGAACCAAGTAAGGGTGTGTTTGTGAGGGAGACTGAATAAGAAATAGAAAATAATCAAGTTTAGCGTTAAGCTTGTCCCTATAAATATATAAAACACACATAATCAAATCCACACTACAAAGTATTAGCAGAATCAAATAGAATCTTTATTTTTTTAATGTTTCATTTTAAATATCCCTTTTCTTTACAAAAACGTCTTGTCCTTAAAAATTGAACCTCGTCGTAACCCAATGTTGGTTAATTATTATTATTTTATTTTTTGAGAAAAAGGCACAACTATGCGTCTTTGTCAGTTATAAAACACCAATTCTATTAAACCTAACAATCGTAGCTTACTCATTGAATAGGATGTACTTAATACCAATGCAAAAGAAGAAGAGGTATTGGTTTGTAAACAATTCTTGTGAGGATTGGAGATTTACGATTTAACAAAAAAATATTAAAAATAATGTTTGAGATTTTCAGCTCTTAAAAAAGCCAAAAACGGCCAAAACGGCCGTGCACACCTCTTGTAGTGTAACTCCTTTAAATGGATTTTTAATAGGAGCTATTTAAAAAGATGTAATTACTTGGATTTATATTCTCTTTTTTAAAAAAAGATTCACTTAAAGAAGTTCGTTTTACTTTGGGCAGCAAACGGCCGTGTACGCTTTAGATACTACGCAATCACCAAATTACTCACACACTGAATATTTTCTTTCTCATAGAACCTTATAGAACAATAGACGTCACCTAGAAATAATAAGTCACGTATCCAATATCCTTCCTAACACTATGAGCCATTTTTGCGGTGACTTTTCTTTTTAGCCGCCTCGGTTTTCTCTCTCTAATGTGACTTTTTTATTTCAACCCCAAGGACTCTTTTTTTCATATGGCGTCACAATTTTAAAAGCCAATCAAAATGATTTAAAAGTCATTGACTCATTTTTCAAACACCAATCATTTTAATTTTCACGTTCCGTGACTTTCTTTCAATTGCAAAAGGTCGTACAAGAATTGAACCATTTTGTCTATAAAAAGGGGCCAAAAGTTTGCAAATTTTTCAGATCTTTATTGTGGCGGTTATCTACGTAGTCTGCTCATAGATGTGGCCTTAGTAAACCGGTCGAAAGACTTTCACAGTTGAAGACCTATAAACCAAACTATATAAACCACGCGATGTCTATGCAGGTGTAGAATGCTGATAACCTATCTGTTGCCCACTGCGAGTTTTTTGAAAATTTTCTCGTCCAACAGGGAGATCCCACTTTCATCATTGGCTGGCCACCAATGGTAAATAAATTCAATAAAATAAATGAAAATGAACCAATCAAAATCTATATAAATTGATTTTCTTAAATCATTTTATATAGATTTTGATTTTTTTTTTGTTTTTTCAATTTTTTGTTTGTGTTTTTTTTATGTTTTTTCAATTTTTTTTTATAAATTAAAAACAAAAAATTAAAATTAAAATTAAAAAATAAATCAAATAAAATAGAAATTAAAATTAAAAATTAAAAAAATAAAATAAAATAAAATAAAATAATACACTCACACTGAAAAAAAAAATCGACCTGCACCCAAAAACAGCCAAAAGAAATCTATAAAATAAAAATAAAAACGTTGCTTTATTCCCATTCTATTGATCGATTACAACATTCAAAACACAATTTCATCAACTATCACCTGTGTTCTATATACGAAAGCCAATCCTTGCAAACACGGATGAATTATGTGTATGCATTTATGCAAATTAAGGCGCAAACATTTACGCCGCTGTTGACACGAGTCTGCCCAGAGTCAAATGCAGAATTAAGAATGTAGACGAAACAAGATTCCATGAGCCAAGAAAATGATTCAAAAGACCTAGAAATATTGACAAGAAGATTGGAAGACATAGTATTCCGTTTCCTGATGCGTTCAAGCTTTGGTTCATATATCGCAGCCCATAACTCAAGCCTTGGCAGAAAACTACAAGAATAAAGATAGGCAAAACTGATCTCATGCTCAAGTCAATTGGGTCGATGAATCAAAATTTACAGTCAATGGTAATGATAAAGGAGCTAGAGCTACTAGAAGAGTTGACGAAAGGTATAAAGTATATATATATATATCATCGATGGAACTAAGTGAGGGAAAGGCAGTGTGATGATTTGGAGCTGTTTCTGTGCTCGTGGTTTTAGGGACCTTTGTTTTTCTTATATGGCAACGTAAACTACGACCAATAGATGAAGACTTTGCTCTGTCCCGAAGGAAGGGGGTGGGATTTCTCCTCATGGGTTTGCCCAACCAAAAAAAAAAATGAAGACTTTGCTTAGCTTTAGAACTTCCTCCCTTGGTCTCAAAAACCTTCATAGGAACAAAACAGGTACTTTGTGTTCCAAGAAGACAACACTAGCTGTCATACTGACTCTTATTTGAGATGGTGGAGATGGGCATGAGATTCGAGAATCTGACTTCTGACCAGCTCAAAACTTGGATCTCACCCCCATCCAGCGCCCTTAATAGACTCTCGAGAGGTGCATGAGTGATGAAAAGGCCAGCACCAACAATGTTATTAATTTGAAGGCTGCCATACAACAAGAGTGGCGAAGATTAGACATCGAGCTTGCATAAACATTGGCAAAAAGTATGCAACATAGACGCCAGACTTCGTAATTGAGTCAAGACAAGCCATGGCAAATATCGATTTTTTATTTCGATAATAAATATATATGTCATCTTGTATTCGAAGTTCGAGGATTTGGGGATTTGAATGTACAAGCACTTTATTTTTGCATATGTGTGCGTGTCATTATATTATTATCGATATTGTCTCTGTATGTCAAAGAAAACGTTTAAATATGATTTTGCTTTTAGCTGCTTATCTGTGCGATAGTCAATATGAAAGATTAAGGGATACGTGACCGATTTTGGACTTTAGACTTTATTTTATATTCTAGTTCAAATGACATTACTGGTAACAAAAGAGGTTCTCAATTTAATAATCAATCTACAAGATTCTTATTTAAGTACTCGAATAGTCCAACAAAGTAGCTCTGGTTCTAGTCGATGTTCAGTATGACTTTCTTGAGACGGGCACATTACCTGTGCCTAAATCATCTGAGATAATCCCCGTAATCACCAAATTGATGAAGCTCATCAAAGACAATGGCGGATTGATTGTTGCAACTCAGGTAATCCATTTTTTATAGCTTTGCTCATACATTTAATATTATTTTTATATTTTTATATTTTTATTTTTAACAAGGATTGGCACCCTGACAATCATGTTAGCTTTGCTTCTAATCACAAAGACAAGCTACCTTTTCAATCGACGATCATATACCATCAAGGTATACCTGTTAACCAAGTTCTCTGGCCCGTTCATTGTGTGGTAGGGATAATATAACAAGTACTCTTACATAACATACATACAACACTTGTGATTGATTTATTGTGCTAGCAAAACACACACGGGGCACACATTGTAGATGCTATCCCCTCTGAGCTCATTGACTACACTGTTCAAAAAGGTCTTAACCACAACGTGGATTCATACAGTGGATTTGCAGACAACCAATACTTTGAGATAACCAAATTAGCAAAGATCCTTTACCAAAACCACATTGAGACAGTGATTATAGTTGGACTTGCAGCAGATTATTGTGTTAAGATGACTTGTCTAGATGCAATCAAGTTTGGATTCAAGACAATCCTTATCAAGGAAGCTACCCGTTCCGTTAATCCCGATGAGTTTGATAGTACAATGGAGCTATTGAATTCTAAAGGTGTGATAATAGCCCATGCAAAAGATTTGGCAATTGCCTAGAAATATTATGTGTAATAGAACTCGTTTTGCTTGTAACCAGGCTTTTTTTTGGTTTTTTCTTTCAAAAATTTCATTGTATAAATTGGAAGAAATATTTTTGATTTAAATCTCTGATATCATTCGAACAAAAGAAGGCAAAGGATGTTTATATATAAGTCAAGATCATTATTGATTTAACAGATATATATTATATAGCGATATTTTAGAAAACGCATTTAGGCTTGTAATTTGGCATTACAATTTTTTGAAAAGACAGTTTTTGTCCATTCATTTAGAGAAAAAAGAGACGAAGAGAAAGATGTCTTGATATCCCTCTTTTCCTCTTGCCTGCAATGCATAATCATGTGCCTCTGCTATACAACATATGTTAAGTTTGCTCATTTAACGATATATGTTCTATATTTCATAATATGGAGCTTTTTTAAATTCGCATTGTAACGACCATTCAAAAAATGAATTCTGTTAAAATGGCTACTTCAAATTGTTTCTATTCTTTTAAGAGTAGCTTTGTAATATTCATAGAAGCACTATATTACTTAGAGCATCCACAGCTGTTTGTGTAAATTTAACAAGAATGTTAATTTAGCTAGAAAATTTAGATTTTTTCATCCCCAGCGGATTGCTTAACTAAAAGTTTTAACTGATTATTTCTCAATAATAATTACCGGCTTTTTTTTATTTTACGTAATTATTTTAGTTACACATGCCACTGTGGATGCTCTTATAGGCAGAAAGTGTGTGCACTGTGAAAAAGAGCAAAACAGAAAGACCCTGAAAAACTTTGGTTCTTATAGCTCAATGATTATATTATCGAAATATTGACGATAGTTCGATTACTTTCATGAGAAATGAGATATAAGGATTACAAAAGAAGGGCGTTTCAAAATCGTCTTGCATAAAATAATTTAAAAAATGAAAACTTTTCACATTGAAAATAATACGATAAAAATTTGAAAAGCCCTATATTATTATCATTATTTTTTTTAAAAAAAAGGTATTGTTTTATTTTACGGTAAAAAGAAATTGAGCGGGAAGAAGGGTAGGAATACATTTTCGGGATATAAAGATAAGACTGGAAAGGGAGCAACTATATATATATATATATATAAACGTAAAAAATTGAGTATAAAGAAGAGATTTACTCGTCGTCAGAATCAGATATGGGGGTTATATCTATCATTTCATGAGTTAATGTTGATGTCGGCTCTATGAGTACAGGAGATTGAGGATCTTCTGTTTCAGATGCCGGATCCACTTTGTGTTCTGATTTATCAGTGTGATTCAAGACCTCCTTTTGAGCTTCCCATTCCATACGCTCCATCTACATAAATAAAAGTTGAGATAATGGTAATCTATTGAGACCCTCCAAGGTTACCTCTAATGTTTGTACTCTCTCTTGAAGAGCTCTCATAGCCGTGTAGAGCTCGTCAATTTCTCTTTTATGAGATAGCTTCTCAGACTGACATATAAAAATAACAGATATATGAGTCTTGTTTGGCTTATGCGAGTATAAGTACTATACGAGCTTACCTTGTCATCTATAGAGACGTTTGTCTTTAATTTCATCTGATACTCTTTGATTTTCTGTCCAAGACTGTTTATTTCATCCTCCCATTGGCTAATAAAAAAATAGAGTCATTATAATTGTAATGAATAATATTATATATCTACCTTTTCTTGTCTTCCAATGCACGGTTTTCCGTTTGAAGACTAGTTACTAGCTCTTCCATGCTCCATGATTGAGATAGCAAATGATCAATGTATTGTTTTTGTTTTTCAAGATCAGCCGTGTCTTCCTCCCTAAAAATTCGACGTGTTATGTTATGTTTTTTTTTTAAAAAAAAACAAAACTTGATCTTACCAAAGTAGCATTTGCTGCGTTAGTTGCTCTACACGATGCTCATATTCTGACATTCTTTCCAGCTCTGGTTGAATAGTGGAAAGCTCATTTTCCAAATTGAACGCCCTTTACACAAAAGTTAATATCAGTTTAATCCCAATCTTTCTTATATATACAATTACTTTTGTCGAGCTTCTTCAAGCTGTGTTTTTTGCTCTGCTAACAGTCTTTCGTATTCAGCCAGCTGTAATTGTGCAGCATCTGCTTGGTGCTTCCAATCTTTGCGCATCTCACGGTACCCTCGCAATTTACTAGATTGCTCGTCTTCCCATTTAATATGCTTTTGTTTTGTCATTGCAGATTCCAATTTCAGTTTTTCTAAAGTATCTGTGGTTTGCTTTAATTGCGCTTTCAACATGCGTGTCGTGTTGTACTGAAATAATAATGGTTTTTGGTTGGTACTTATTACTCAAAGTGAAAAAAAGGTCGTGTATCTTACCAGTTGTTGTCTTTCCGCTTCAACTGAACTGTCTAATACATGCTCACGATGCAATCTTCCAATGTGTTGAAGATGTTGTTGCTTGAGAAAAAGCTCAAAATTGAGTTCGTTTCTCAATAAAAGCACCTCACGCTTCAGAGCAGCAACTAAGTGTCTTGTTTCAGGAAGGTTCGGGCAATTGTCCTTTGGAACTTCAGAATTTTGTGTGTGTGAAGCTACGCCGTGGTCTTCTAGTTGAGGTGTGTTGACACCTGAAGGTGGCGGCGAAGACAATCGTTCAAGGCCAGCGTCCTTGAATCTCACACACGTTAATTTTTCTTCATTTTGCAGTAGATTCCTACTTACCCAGATATCATCACCAACAAGTACTTCAACACCACTTTTCAAGGCCCGGTGCACCTGAATAATGTTAGAGATCATTGGCTTCGGCTTCGGCTTCGGCTTCGATTTTGATTTTGTACTTGTACTTGTACTTTGGGTTGGTTTGGTTACTTCATTCGCTTCACACTCTGAGATCGATGGTTTAAACTGGTTGTTTTCGTCGATAACTTCATTTTCTGCATTCGCCTCTTTTGAAACATCCTCGCAGGTTTCTTCTAGAGTCTCAACACATGTCTCATTGTTTTCATCCTCATGTCCCTTTGTTCCTTCATTGTCTTCTTCGTTATCTTTCTCTTTTAATATGCTCTTCTCCGGAGCAAGCACATCTTTGTCCAAACGAGTAATATTGCCTGTTTGGACCCATAGGGTCTCATCCAAAAGATCCTGTGGCTGATAATGTTCTCGCTCATTTCCAGCGCTAAATGCTACGCGCGAAGCAGCATTAGTCAAATCAAGACTCATAATCTGTGCAATCACATCTGGAGGTTCCATTTTCATCCAACGTGATCGATCTGTTAGTTCTGTCTCAGGATCCATTGAGACCAGATTAGGATGCAACATGTGCCGTGTTACTTGTAACTGTAAATTGGTAGAAGAAAAATAACATCAGATTAACTTATTTGCTTTAGGGTTGTACATACCATGGTCCGTGTTCGGAAAGTTTCCTCGTCAAATTCTTCTGGTAGGTTAAAACCATTTGTTTTAAAGTATCCATACGGTTTGTGAAGAAAACGAAGAAAATTGCATGGGTATAAACCATACAAGGAAGTGAAAAAAGGTCCAGTTTGAGGGTTTGAAGGCGGCGCAGATAATTTTGAAAATGTATAATCTTTTATAAGCATAGATAAAATCAGTTTTATGCGTACACACGTAGCTAAATCAGAATGAAAGACTTACCGACACAATCCCAATTATCGTGCTCTTGTTGAGAGTTCCCCTTATCTTCTGGAGTATATCCCTTAGGTGACTTGTTCTTGCGCATATCTCGTAATTGATCCCAGCAAAGAGCTCTGGCAAAAATGTAAAAAAGCTTCGGAAGAAAAGGAGGTAAAGAAGTACAGATTCGAGGAAGAAGCATAATCATGTTGGTTACTGAGATAGCGATCAGAGTTGTTGAGTTGTCATACTAGTAAAAGAAATTGACAGTTAAACACTAGCAAGTAAAACGCAATAAAATTCTTACCATCAATGATTGTAACATTGAATTAAAAAGAGCCGTTTCCAATATTTCATGCAAATGGGTACGCTTATCAAAAATAGGTAAGCTTACATTATATATAGTCTAATAGTTATGTATTACCTTGCGTATCATAAATTCACTAAGCAAATATACAACTTGAAGTCGATGCTTACTTGAAAGAAAGTACTCGTTCAGCAGCATAAAAAACGGCTAGAAGTCAAGGAATAATTACTCTTAATCTATGTTGTCTTTCTTTTACCGTTATTAATAGTCTATTATACCTTTGGCTGGTCAGCACCCAACGTTAACAGAATAATTTTTAGATTCTTTGACCATTCGTCTTGTTCGAGATCTAGTAATGCTTGGTGCTGCATCTTCATTCGATCGGTTTCGTCTTTTCCAGTGCTATTTTCGAGTTCTTCAAGATTAATCTCTTCACGTTGGTGATAGCTTTCTGCCCATGCCAGGTACTGATCGACAATAAAACGACAATATTTTGGCTCGGCTGCAGGATTCTTTCGACATTGTTTCTGCTCTGCAATAAGACAATCTGATACGATTTCGCGTGCCTCTTTTTTTATTTGGTCTGTGTAAGGTGCTGTGGTCAGGATTGGTTTGAGAACGGGTTCCCACCAATCCTGAAAGATGCGAGGAGATTTGAGAATTGGTAGCAAGTGATGTACGAAACATAAGATTAGGAAATGTTGATTGTGAGTGAGAACTGCTTCAGGGCTACTTGACACGGCTGCAGCGTCCTTGAGTGGAATGCCGGTCTGGCCGAACAAGGCGATGAGTTCAGTCGATAGTTTGTCAATGGCATTATCGCCAGAATTTTGCGTGGAATTATCAGTGTCAGAGCTGGTCTGCTCATCGAGATATTTCTCAATGACGTCCAGAGTGGCTTGACCATCTGAATCTGCAGTAGCAGACTTAATTGACTGACTAGCAGAACGAGCAATCTCCTTGAGACTCATGCGTGTCTAAAAAAAGGAGAAGGAGAAGAGGAGCTATGGAGTATGAAAAAGCAAGTCCCGCCATTTCATCAAGACAAAAGAGACAATTTATATAATAAAAAAAGACAATTATATTTATACAAGGAGATGGAATGAAGTAAAGAATAACAAGTAAAAGTTCAATAATTAATACGAGCAAATCCTGGTCGTTCTAGCTTGACGTGTGTTACAGGATTGCGAACATGATCGGGGATCACCATGGTCTTTAGGGTGGTTTTGATTTCTTTGATTTGGATGCCTCGGTAGATGAGCTCATCCCGACCGTCATCCGGTAAGTTTTGATTTGCGTGGAATTCTGATTCTACTGGTGGTGTACTTAACGTATCATTGAGACGAGGTGAATTGTACGGAGAAGTAGCAGAGGCAGAAGAGGAGCGAGGGGAGCCATTATTGGATTCTTTGGAGGATCCACTCGTTTGGCTGGCTTCATCACTGAGTTCTCGCTGAACTTGCTTGTCTTGATTCTTTGACTTCCAGCCAATCGAAAAGAACCTTCTTCGACTTGGTTTTAGATCTTCTGGGGAATTGTGAGTCGGGGAAGTATTTTTAGGGACAATTGAAGCCATTCCAGAAGAAAGAGAGGATGGGGCACCACCAGAGGTAGACATGTGGACAGCAGAAGCAATTATAGCTGATACTGCTTCGAGTGTGAGGGGTTCTGCATTGATTTGTCTCGGTTTTAGATCAACTGGAGATTGTATAGGTGAGACTGGAGCATGGATAATCGGATTATGATGTTCAAAATAATCTTCAGGAACATCTTGGGGTGTGAGTGGTGGGGATAGTTGACAAGGCTTTCCACTGATGATCGAAGCCATGCCTGATGTGAGAGACGACTGTGGCTCGTCAAGGGTCCGTGTGCGAGAGCGAAACATTATAGAAGAAGAAGATGAAGAGTAAAAATGAGGACAAACATTAATTAAAAAAAAAGAGACACCGATGTGTAACGTTACGCGTTCTTTATTCATATTTTTTTTTAGGTATGGTTTATTGTAAGTATGGACGATCAGGGCCAGGACATTGAATAGTAATATTCTCAAGTGTATACTTCTTGGTTTTTTCTTCAGGAGTAGAGAACATGTTCTAGGAATTAAATTTGATAGAGAAATAATAAACAATTGTAATATAATCACAGCTATTGGTAGGGTACCTACATTCCATAATACAATGGCCATGACCTGATTGGCGCATTTGTTCGGATGAAAACTGTATATATAAGCAGTATCAGATGATTGTCTGGTTTATTACAACCCAAATATTATAATTACCAGTCAAATCCGCTCAGATAGTGCTGCTTATATTGCCCCACGGGAAAGAACATAAATCCAGGTTGGTAACCAACCCCAAATTGCCTGTCATTTAACTCGTTATACTCGAATGCTATTTTTTCTAGTCTGGTATTATACTCCATCACCACGAGGTCAGCAGCTAGAGTAGGAGAAACCGGTCACTCTCGAATATATATTCTCAACCTTCCCGTCGCCGCTTCTATCCTTATCCTTCTGTCTTCACTTACCTAAACGCTGCTTTTCGTCACCCTGGATGCACGAACATACCGAGAGATGAGAAGGGTCAAGAATAAACTCACAATAAGGATCTCCTCTTGACGCTTCATAAACACTTGAGACCTATAAGATTTCAATTTAGTCAAACGTTTTTCTATCATTCATTCCTTACATTAAATAATGCAACCAGATTGACAAATGACTTGCCAACTTCTGTTCGCAGCCGTTCCATCACTTGTCGCATACTATCTTCAAATACATCTGCGTCTGCTTGGCTTGGAAGACCCGTTCTTTCGTCATTGCATAAAACACAAATGTTGTTAGCTCCCACAAATATGGTAATGAGCTTCCATTCATCTCTAATTGAATCGTAACTGCTCGATTTTAGCAGTCTCACTAGTCGAGTCACTTCAATGTCTAAATCCTGCACTTTTGCACCTGTGACCTATAGGAGGTTGATTTTGAATATAAGACACATCAAAAGACGATGATAAATAAAGTATAATACAACAAGTGAGAAGCTTACTGCATTATTCAGTCTTTTTCCTCGTGCCATAGGTAAAGTCACTCCTTCTGGTGCCCCGTGTGTATTAGTGAAATGTGACATGAAGTTTGTTAAAGTATGTTCCCCAACATCTGCCCCAACCGAGAATGCTTTGCCTCGGTGCTCCCAAACAGATGCAAACGGGGGTCTCCCTAAAAAAATTGAGCAAAATCAAAATAAACGCATAGGTGGCGTCATATATAGCTAGATTCTTACCAGATATCATGCCAAATCCTGCAGTTATACTATCTCCAAGTGCGATAACACTCTTGATATCCTTTTTATTTTTTATTATTATATTGTTTCGATAGAATAAGGTAGCTAAGATAGATGTGTTTGACTTGACAAAAGTGCTTACTTGAGGTCGAAGATGCTTGGCATCTCTGTTCTCTATAGAATCGTCCCAATAGAAGGGTGGACATTTGAATGCAGGAACCTGATGTAGACAGCTGCCGTCTCGATCAGTTCTATTTGTGTGGGGAAGTGTGTTGTAAAACTGCTCGAGAACATGCACCCATGCATCGGTATAAGGTTTTATTAGCCCTGTTGGCTTGCTACCAATGGGTACTTGAAGTACATCACCTAGTATAGGAGATACTAAGAGTACAAGACTGGATATAATATGATTGAGTCTCATAAAGAAACTGATTTGAAAGTTTGAAAGAAAGAAAATGAATGATCAAATCAATGAGCTTAATCACAATATATAAGACACACAAAAAATAAGCCAGAACAATGGTCACGGGGAAATAGAATGTGCATTATATGGACTTGCTGAAAAGTGGGGTTGGATGACGTTTTATATGTACAGTAAAGCAAAGGATCACAGTACCAGAAAGAAATCCTGCTCAACTGCCTCTTTGACAGACAACTTTCCGTGCTCAGAAGCGTACTCTTTTAACTGCCCGTAGTCTTCCTCAGTGACAAACATAAAAGTATCGTCTGTCCACAGACAAAGAGAGAACTGAGGATCCAATGCACAAATCATCTCCAGCATATCCTTACAATCCTTCATAATATCATTAGCCAGTGAATGGTTAAGGTACAAAAACTTACTTTTGGTTCCATACCCAAGGTCAGCCCGACCTCTTCCATAGTGCACACTTTGAGCTTCTGCTTTGCGATTAATATATATATATATATTTAATTTAATTTCTTATTTACCTTTACGAGGAGTTTGATCTTCTCACTATACTTTACAAATCTGGCGTCTTTCCTCTTTTGTTCTCTTTCTTCCTCCTTCAACTTTCGTTGACGTTCATCTTGCTCTCTTTTTGCATTCTTGGCTTGAGTTTTCCGAAGTTGATCCAACTAACAAAAAATAATAAATAACCAAACTTTTTTCTGTTCTTTCTATATTGCCAGCTATTACCTCATCTGCCCGTCGAATAGATTCCTCTAGTTTGCGTTGTCGATACTCTTCTTCCTGTCTCTGCTCCTGAGCTTTTCTGACTTCATTTTGTTGGTGCAAATACTAATTAAAAATACTGTAAATAAACAATGCAATATAAGGAGTACATATTCACATTTTCTTACCTCTTGGTATTGTCTTCTTTGCTCTTTTCGCTTCAACTTCTCGCCGCGTTTCTTTCCAATCTTACGGACACGTGTTGCTGTTGACGAGCCTTCGGCTGGATCTCCAGCTTCAATCTCATCTGCAACTGTGTCAGAATCATTAAGGTCCTGGTCTTCATCAATCACAGCATCCCGAGTGAATTCTAATAAATCTCTGTAGTGAGCTTGATCGTTGTGATTAAGAATGCAAAAAAAAGCCAACATGAGCTTACCTGCCTCCAATGCATGAGCTAATTGTGTTTGCTGTTCTCTGCGAATTGAAAGTAAGAAGCCAATTCCCAAAAGGCACAATATTAGTGGCACAAAGATGATGAATGGAAGGTCGTCTTTTGATGTCATTCAACTGAGAAGAAAAATAGAAATATATAAAATATAAAATATAAAAAAAAAAGATTGGAGTACACCTAAAGGAAAACTTGAAATCACTCTGGGCTAAAAATTAATATCATTCATATGTATAATGTTCACATTTATTATCTTCACATTTACGCATATCAATAAGGTCAATGTATGTAGTAAAAAAAGGGAATTACAAATTAAACGATCGTTTATTAACTTAATTCTAGTAAACGTCATGGTCCTTTAACCAACTTTCTTTTTTGGGATATAAGAATATACATATATATATGGTTTCTTTAGAATTAATTGGAATCATTAGCTAATTTGTTTCTGCAAATCCAGAGAAAATACATAGAGGGTTGGGTGGGTTGCTGGGTTAATAGAAATAAGAGTTTCTTTGGCTTGTTTTGTATAATTTAGAATATTTCTTCCCTGTATTGAAAAAAAAAATTAGATAAGAAATTTATTATCAACTACCACTTGTTTTTACCTCTGGGACATATTTTAGTAACAGTTCAACATATGACAGACCGAGAATTATAAGGTGTTCTTCTTGAGATTGAATAAAGTCAAGAAAAGCTTGGTAGTTCATAATAAATAAGAATTAGAGTTAAGACTGCCGAGAAACATATGGGTTACATTAGACTACCTGGTAAAAGAAATTGGTGGGGTAATGCTGCAATCGACGGTGGATCGTGCATGACCATATTAAAGAGACATTTGGATGCCTAGATATTTCCCGAAATATTTACTTTCTTTAGTTAACAAGTAAAATAGTTAGTACAACCTGGCTGACAGAGACCAACCTCTTCACGAACTTCAAATTTTCCATGCATAATCAATTCGGCCATGTGTTTAACCTCGCCAGTATCTCTAATAATTTGTACTATATCATCCATTTTACTGGATTGAAAATAAAGTATTAGTTTAATATTCAATCAGGTACCTCTTTTTTCTTACATAGTCGTAACATTGGAAAGGACCCAAAGTGCTTCTTTTGTAATAACCCTAAAATACAGTTAATGTCAGGAATGACTTTTAGAAAATAGGTATTTACCAATCTTCTGAATGCGTCAATTGAATAAGACAAGGGAGAAATTGGGGCTCCAACACTAGATATCTGCCTGTGCCAGAGTCACTTGATAAGTGACCAAGTGTTCGTAGCGCAGGCAATACAGCACAGTCCTCTGACTTCAGTAGTTGAAATACATTAATCTATTTATCCATCGAGATTATTAGTGCCCGTATTATATTACTAATGTCATTAGTAGTATAATTCTAGTAAGTGCCTAACCAATAGAGGTAATAGACCTTCTTCGATGATCTGCTTACGAAACTGTTCACTATTTGCTGTCATAGATCCCATCAGCCAACACACTTCGGTTCCTGTGGTAGCCTAAAATACACATTGGTGTTCTGTGAGATCATACTTTAATGTGGAATCGTCAGTACTTACCCCATGTCTTGTCAAATGACGGAGCAAAGCCAAGGTCATGGCCTTGGACCTTAGTTCCCTCCATTGGTTCTCAGGACCTCTGGCCAGATGAGACATAGTCAAACAGCTAGAACGAATGAGATTCGGTTCCTGTTGATAACAAGTGAGTTATTTAGAGAATTTAGACTCAAAGATTTTTTTTTACATTTGAATCCAACATTTGAATTAACAGAGGGATAGCCCCACTCAAGATAATGTCTCGGCGAATCTCTTCGTCTTGTTCAGATGTACGGTCATAATCTTCCGACGCCATATTACCAAGTGCATACGAAGCTAGCTCACGAATTTCCTAAAATTAAAGCCACAAGTTAGGTTGGGTAAATCAGACAGACAAAAGAAAACATTTTACTGTGTTATTTGAATTGAGCATAGTAACCAGGTAAGGAATAGCAGGAAGACATTGGACACACAAGTCATAAGGACCGGCAGCAATATCTAGATACAACTCGCATTTAATTATTTTTCATTCTTTATTGTTTGCAAATATAAAGTAAAGAATTTCAAAGAGCAGAGTAAAGAAGAAAAATGATATCTTACTAGAAATAACCTGGACAATTTGCTGAATTATGACAGGATCCACTTCACAGATAACCATATTCTTTGATGGTTACTAACATTAGTATAGTATATTATCTCTGCCAGAGAAAAAAGTAACTTACCACAAGAGACTTGATACATTCGCCAGACTTGATGTACTTCACCAAAGCCTCGGAAGGATTACACGCATAATCGCCTAGATATACAACAGCGTCCATGCGTACTTTCTTGTGTGTGCTATTGAGATCGTTTACGAGCGATTTTACCTGTGGCTCTGCCAGGTTAAATAAATCGGTATCTGGATCAAATTCAGGAACACACTGTATCAATTTATATTCTTTTTCTTCTTCCTATTATTATTCTTTCAAATATCACTGGTTATTTCAGTGGTTCTGTACATTTATCATGTATCTTTGCACTTTCAAGGTCTACAATCTCAGGTTCATTGATAGACAAGAATCGGAATCTCTTGGATGTAATGAGCTCATCACGATGTCGATTTCGAATTGCAGTACTTATGTCTACTCGTCTTTGGCGCAAATCCTGGGCTGTGCCAGAGATAGCAGTGCGCTTATACATGTCATGTCGTGCTGTACTCATTAGGATCAGAGACAGAGAGATCAACTAATTCATGCGTTGTTTCAAACGCGGCAGTCACCTAGTCTTTTTTTTTGAAACAAGTATATAATGCAGCTAGTCTATTTCCACCCGATATACAGAATATTCGTATCAAAATAGCTGTTTGCTACCCACATTTAGACTTGGGCGCAAAAGTAAATAATCTCATATAAACTATCAAGATAGTTAAGGGTGTAAATGAAAGATATTTATTTAAATGGCTCACTCCATATTAATACATCTGCTGTGAAATGAGATACGTGTAAGGCATATATATATAACAAAAAAAAATTGTGCAAAAATTCCTTACCAGCAGTGTCCCATTTCTACAATAAGGGTGGTCAATAGGAATTTTTCTCGGAAAAATTCCATTTTTTTAATCCCTTCTAATCCAATAATATTGCAGAAAAAAAAGTCAAAAAAAATGAAAAAGTGGTAAAAAAGCGGCTATCTTTACCGAATTTTTGAAAAAAAAATTATGAGATGCAATGCCTTGAACTTTATCATCTCTTTTTGGTAAAAAAATTCTTTTTTTTTATAAAAAAAACCCACAAAAAAGTGGATCCTTTTAAAAAATTCCAAATTTCTGAGTTTTATTTTTTTAACAAATACATTTACTCAAAGAAGAAGCGAATTTTCTAAAAAATTCTTATTGTCCACCCTTAATAATATTTGCATGACATACCTAAAATCCTTCAAATAACAGCGTAAATATAATTTTATTTTTTCCCTGTTTAACCTTTTGTTTTCACAAGAGCACGCTCTCCTGTCTTCGCTCTGGCACGATTATTGATAAATTAAAGGTACACCCAGGTTCATCAATTAAAAATACATTCTTGGCGGTAGATAATGGACTTCAGGCTGCATACTCACTATGAACTCGCGCCTTTTCAAGAGAGTATCTTCATCTTTTCTCTTCTCCTTCAGCAAGCGTTGCTCTCCTGAGAGTTATTTCACCAGTAAAATGAATATTATTTGCACATAGAAATACTTATGTTACCAATATCATCAAAGTATTCTAAAGTCTCTTTACGTAATTCTAATAGTGTGGCTGTGTTGTTATTATTAGTAGTATATATATATATATAAACATACTCCTTGTAGTGGTCTTGGATAACAAGCTCTCTTAGCACCATCCACAGACTTGCAGCTTGTGCTGCCTCTTGTCTCGAATCTTTTTGACGATCCCGTCAACTGGTTGGGGCTCTTTTCAATGACAAACTCACTGGTATGGCCCAAGTAAGATGTTTGGCTGTATTTGGTCTTCTTTTTGGTAATAGATGCAATATATGAATTAAAGAGAAAAGATCACAGTGACTAGAAGGGAAATACAGATTATAATATCCTGCAAAATTGCTTCACAGAAGTTATAAAAGTGATGATAAATACTATAGTCTTTTTATAGCTTTATCACTATTGTGATAAGTTTGGTTTTATTTTATTGTCAATGTCATTGTCATTGTTATTATTATATAAGCACTGCTCAAGGATACTTTGATATTGTATTTACAATTATTTACTTTTGCGGTCAAGTCTAACTGTAGGTCACAAAAATTATTTTGATACGAGCATTTTGTATAATCATAGTATACATATACAAGATTAGAAGGATTCCAAAAGATAGTCAGAGTTACAAGGAATGCTGTGTAGCTCTGGCGTAATATGAGCTAAGTGTCTGAAGCTGATCCAAAGATTGCCACATCATTAGCAAATAGTAGTGATAATTGGTGTTAATGAAACTACATTACAAAAGCCATGGACACCAGGAGGAGCAAGAATTGAATGTACATTAGATGAAAGAGATGGTGAAATTGTATGAAAATGTAACAAGTTGAAGTATGTATATATATATTGAATGGAGATAAGGGCTAAGGATTGAACTTTGAGGGATGTTTCCAGATGGTGTACATTATGATGTGAAATTGATATTCTTCAATATGGTATCATTTTATAAGTAATTTCAAGATTTGACATAAAAAATGAATAAATAAATATAATATTAGGTGGTGATAAAACAAAAAAAATATGCTCCGTAGAGCGTTCCATCTCAGAAGTTTAGTGTCATCCTTGTGCAGGGGCCATGCTAATCTTCTCTGTATCGTTCCAATTTTAATATGTGACAGAGGTGCAAGCACTTGTCGACTAAAATAAATGTCCCAAAACCCTATATATATGCATTTATTTCCCGCTTTACAAAAGTTGTGGGTTTTTAATAATTTCATAAAATTTTTATTTATTATAAAATATTTTATACTAAACAAAATCAAGTAAGCTGTACTTTTTCCAATCGCTCTTTTTTGAGGGTTTCTTTATACTACTGTCAGTTAACATATAGCCCTTTTCTACTTTTTTTAATAGAATATAATTAAATTTATTTTCTTTATTTGTTTTTCTTTTGGTAAAATAAAAATGAACGAAATGTGATAAAGAATATATTTTGTATATGTGGTATAAACACCAAAATAAAGCAAAGTACAGGCTCCACACCAAAAACTCAGGTTCCTTCTGCCTAACGAACCTAGCAAGTTGACAATCTCCAAAATTGTTACATGATAGGCACACGTAAACTACGTACTTATACAGTGTAAACCAACCATTATAAAACTGAGATTTATATTACAAAAAATTTTAACGTTAATAGATATAAACAATATTACTTTGTCTCTTTAATAAATGATACTCTCACAATATCTGTTTTCCATTATTGAGATTTAACTTATAAGCACTCACAAATACCTCATATCCAGCCTATGACTTTGGTTGTTTTTAGTAAAATAACTAAAACATTAGTCTTATAATTGAAGGTTTACCGTAAGCAGTTTATATTAAACAATTAGTGAATAGGCTACCACATAAATAATATAATATTTACAGGGTCTGATTCTGAATAATTATGAGGGCCTTAGATACTTTAATCTACTCTTTATCTATTCAATATATATATATTGCCTATAAGAAATTATATTTTGATATATTTATAATTTTTTAATTAAGCGATTTTGACTATAGATTAATACTACAATCTACGCTGCTGTATACTCTCTTATTTTTACATATATAGAAAACTAGCAGCTTTATAGATAATTATTGAGAAGTACCTTTCAAGTATATATTCATTTCATAACTTTTACGATATATCATTAAAGACCAAGTGTTTTTAACTGCACTCTCTAAAATGAGTACCAATTACTTTTGGCAAACATATGGGTTTTGATAATTCATGATCCAGGATCCATATTCCTTGATATTTGTTATTTTACAGGGGACGCAATCGAGCAAATTCCCTCCTTTTTCCTATTTCTCTTTGAAAGTTAAGGTTTGAACAATAGCTCTCTATGATCCTTTGATGTTTGAAATTAACAACTCTTTGGGTTGTTTAATATTAAGCTTATTCAAATTTGGATATGGTTATATATATATTTGTGAAAAAGAGAGGATACTTTCTAGATAAATTATTACAGCAACCCCAAAAACAAAACAGTTGGGCCGATTGTTTCAGCTAAGAGTAAATATACTTTTGGCAAAAGTATATAGAATGAACAGATATTGCTTTTATTTTTTAACCTTCTTACATCGATTTTACTGAAACAGTATGCACAATTGATTTCCAAGACAATACAAAAACGCACCTTTTTACCATTTCATCTAAGGGAAAAGAAGAAAGAACGGCGAGAAGATATATATATATATATATCTTAAGAAAAGCTATTAATTGGTGCCCTAAAAATTATGCTGTGTATAAGAGCCACCTTTATAAAGTAATATTCGAGGCAGTGATGGTCTTGATATATGCCATGAACAATGACCCTGCAAGTAAGTATGTGGTACATCTTTACCCTACAAATATGCGGTTCTCATCGCCAGATTTTCTGCGGACAGCCACTGACATACACCGAATGGTAATATGCGTCTATTGAGACTATTAGACAACCCCTCTCTGTTACCCTCCTGATCAGTAAGGAGTGCATTAATGCCAAACACCTTGTATAGAGTAGCTATTTCAAACGTCAACAAATAACACTAAGTTTCTTTTTGTTAAGTTCAATACAACAGCTGCACTATTGCAAAAGAAAAGGAAAATAGAAGATCGAAATACCCTAATTTATGTCGTCTGTAAGCATTATAATCATTGATGCAATCAAAATGAGAACCGTACTTACAGCGTATGTGTTCGCATTAAAAGCAGTGTAAATACACTCACTGTTATATGAAACGCTATCACATAAATGACAACAATTATAGTAGTATTCAGGGCAACAAGGCAAGGTAAATACACCAAATATTAACCCGATATTGTGTTGGTCAAAAGGAGCTGATTATTAAAAATTATCAAATACAAAGTTCTTAATTATAGCAATACATAAGATACGGGTGTGCATTTACTTTGCCAAGCCATCTCATTTTTTTTTTAAAAAAAAAGCCTCATATCTAGTTAAAAAAAACTTAGTTCTGTATCCTAAAACAGGCTACTACACACACGCAACCTTAAAGGACAGAGAGGTTTTGCTATATGTGAGTATAAATTTTAAGGGCTACTCATCACCTACATAATGCGGGGCATCTTTTGAAGAAGTTGTATTTTAATATTAGACAAAGAAAATATTATTCACAAGTAAGAAGAACCATAATTTTTTTATCCAATTTTGGCGCCAAAGCTTGGCAGAATATATATACAGAGATAAAGATAATAATAAGGAGTGATACTTTTATCAAATACACTAGTATGATTATACAGATTATCATATAATATATTTAATCGGAAAAAGCTTTATTTTATTTCTTCATTTATTCTACACTGTGGAGAGAAATCAAAATGTCAAAATCTTCACACAAATAACGCACAGGCCACTCTTATATTGCTATATATATATATTACATTTAATGGTTACAAGATTTATACGACTCTAAACCTTTTTACTCTATTCTATTTTATAAAAATAAAATAACTACTGGCGGTTATCCCAGGTCAATAAATATGTACTTATTACGCCTCCATAATTATATCCCTACCTCGGTCCAAAAACGCTTAGGTTAAAACCTTTTTTCTTCTTCTTTAAAAATAAATAAATAAATAGAATATAATAGAATACCAAATCTCATTGAGTTATTTGAAAGATAGATCAATTTAGTCTGATGCTTTCTGGTAATACAAATTTATATAGTGTGTTCTGTCTGATATGTAATATATAAAAGATTCAGAGCAATATTATATTATACAAACATCTCAAACATATGAAAGGCTATTGAGATAGTTTAGTACAGCAGTAAAAGCCTAACATTTTATGTTATTTTATTTTATTTCGTATTAAAAATCTCTAAGAATCATAATCATCTGATCTAATCTTTTCTTTGAGATTTCGATTCTTTCAAGCACCTTGTCCATCTGAGTAATTTCTGCCTTGTCTCCTTCACCCAATAGATCGATATTCTCTTTTACGTCCTGACGATTCAGCTTTTCCAGCAAGCGACTTCTTACTTTAAGTTCTTGACGACGTCTCTGTTGAAGGTTTGCCACAGTACGGTACACATCTACTAAAAGTTCCTCGTAGATTTTTTCCAGTGGCACATACCACAAGTGGAAAGAACGCCCAGGGGCACGATCTGCTGTCCTTGGAACTTCCTATTGTGATCAACAGGTTACATTAACATCAAGTCTATCTTCAATATATATATATATATGTACGCGCACATATATTTATTTATCTGGTTCTTCGATGCAGGCATTTAAATTAATTTATATATATACATATATATATATTTACTTGCCTGGATTTCTACAAAGCCTCGTAGGTTTAATAACGCAAGTTTTTCGCGTGTGTCTTTGGGAGGCAACATAGCCAGCTTTTGGACTTGCGATTCATCAAGTTTTCCTTTTTCAATCAAAATCCGCAAGATGCGGCAAGTGGCTACGCCCATCTTTTCACGCACCAAACCTTCCAAAAGTTTCCGCTTCATATTCTCACGCAACTTGAGAAAGTTTATAGAGTATTGACTTGAACCAAGCTCATCTCTTGATCTTACAAAGCCTGCTGAGTCAATCTTGAGAAGGGTGATGTAGCCTGTGATAATATCTTGGACAGATGGCTTCTTTCCTGGATTAATCAAATCAGGTTGAAGGACAATATCACCCTGGTCGATTACATCCTGAGGTATGATATTGGCGATGTGCATTGGGGTTGCAGATGCTATAATTCCGCACAGAAACATACATTTGTAAATGAATATACATATATACACATATGCAATTAAAATATACAACCGAGGACAAAGTACATACGAGAGTCATTTTCGTGCAGAGATCGGATCTTGTTCTTTCCATGTTCGAAGAATGCCTTTACTATCTGTCCAGCTGTACGATTGATACGCTCGATCGCATAATCCATAACAGACTAAATAGATAGCTATTTAATATCGCATAATATACAGTCCCAATATATATAAACTTACATTATTACGGAAAAGGATATTAAAGCGTTCATAGTTGATATGGAAATAAATCTTTTCATCTACTTCCATGTCTTCTATTTCTACTGCCATGCGCTATACACACATATATATAGAAAGACAAATTTAAATCAATTAGCAAAAACAAAGCAAAAAAAAAAGTAATGGACTTCGTCTTGACTTGCTTTTACCAATAATCCTGTTAGACCTCACCTTATGAGCAGAAGAAATTGCATCAATTGCCTTGCGCTTCAGACCTGCATTTTCGAGCATTCCATATTCTGCTTCAACTGACTCTAGAGCGGATTTTTTGATGGCCTGGATTTCTTTGGCAGTTGTGATCGTGTACTTCTCGCTTTCCTTTTGTTCTGCTTCCAAATATCGGTCCACTGCTGATCTACTGTGTTCTGGTAATACTGCAATGATATAATGTTCATTGGCCATCTTTGTGAATGCTTTTATGTATTGATCCATTTCTACCAGACAAAATTAATATCCAAAATAAATATAAAAAACAAACTACCCGTTTCTCTTTCTCTTTCTCTTTTCTTTTCGCATTTAATTACATTACATATATACATGCATGTATGTATGTTGCTTGGAAACTTACTATCCTTGCGTTTTGAGTCTCCTTTAACCCAATCCCGCACACCTCCAATCTTCATTCTACCATGTATAAACAAGAGTCTACAAATATCGACACCCTATATATAAACACACATACAAGCACACACACACACACACACACATATATATATATCGCATAAATATATCGCATAAATTATTATTTGCTCTTTCTTTCTTATTTTTATTTTTTTCAAGTGTGTTGGAATTTCTTACAATTTCTTCCCATCGTTCTTCTGCGACTTGCATAATAGCTGGCATACGAAGGCGCATCAAAGTTTGTTCCGCACTAACTTGATAATGGGTCTGCTCTTTTTGACCTTCAACAGCCTCGGTAAAGAATGCCAAACCATGCTGAATCAATACTACTAAGGATTCTCGAATCTGTTTAGGTGTCAATTTGGTGAAGCGAACAATATCTGGCAATGTCAATCGTCCTTTGAGAAGGATTTGATGAGCCACTTTCTGAGGAAATAATATAATGTAATATATTTTATTTTATTGTTAATGGTGAGTGAGCCATTAATTCAACGATTGTTGAAAAGTAAGACGACTTGATGCCTTACTGCTACAAAGGGTCCAAATTCTTCTTCGATGATTTCTCTACACAGACGAGCTTGTTGAGACATGATTCAGTAAATGACTTGTTTTTTTTTTGGTACAGGTATTGAAATATATATTAAAAAAAAGAGTCAAATAAAAAAAAAGAAGAGAAAAAAGTCAAATAAAAACGTGACTTCAATTCTGAAAGGTTAAATGAGAAACTTTTGAAAAAAGGCAAGAGGTTTTCTTACATGTCTTTCTTTATTGTGCTCAAATGATAATTGAATCCTGTCCAAGAACAAAGAGTCTTGATTCTATATACATTCCAAAAGACCCCTGTTTTTTTTTTGGCTACTAATAAACCAACAAATAAACAAAAAAATAGATAGACAGATAAACGAATAGATGCAATGTACATTTGCAATTCTGAAATTTCACATTGTTGGAAATCTGAAGCATTCGACACAATTATGTTATTTTTAAAGCCAAAGCTTCTAAAGAAAAATAACTAGGTACTTGAAAAGAAACTCGCTTTTTTCTTACAATACCATAAAAAAATTAAAAATATATATTAAAAAAAAGTTGGATTTTTATAGGGTTTTAGAAAATTGGATTAAAATTTTGGTTCATCACAAAACGTGTCAATTGAGATGTACAAATTATGTAACTCCTTTAACTCCAATTGTCTTTATTATTATTTATTACTCTCTTTCACTGTGTGTGTATATATATATAAGTGTAGTATTTCTATATTTTGAATGACAAAAGATATACAGCGCTTATTATGATTCTTATTTCAAGCTAGTATCGAATATTAGTTTCTCAAATAGTTAAATCGTCATTTTATTGTTCAATAGATAGTTGTGATCATAGTGATTTCTGTTTCTGGCATTTTCTACTAGATTTTATTGGGAAAAATTACTGGTAATAATCAAAGTATAGCAACAAATAGAACACTCAAGGGTTTTTTTGGCTTATAATGAATTGTATTGAGCAGAGTTCTGAAACACTAAACTTCATTGTCCATACTGCTATTGAACAAAGAAACTAAATCAACATTTCCCTCCTCTACTCCTCTCCTTTTATATATATATTTTTAAAAAGAAGTTTGATTCCGTATAGCTTCTGGTACTAATGGTACTATTTTTACTCTTACTACTAATACTCTTCTTATAAACATAATTTGATGAAATACATGGTGACAAACCTGAATTTAAATCAATTATGGTGATATATACTGGTTATCATTGAAGTCGGTATATCAATGAAGATTTTCTTATTCACACAGATATTTTATCCTTTTTTTTTCTCTCCCCCCTTTTCTTTTTCTTTTTGATATATGTGGACCAAACTAATGGGCATCGCACTGACATTTTCTTTTCATTGCTCCTTATTATAAATATTGATAAATAGAACAATGCAGTGTTGTGAAATATCTGTGTATATGTAGAGGGGCAACAAATAAAGGGGGTGGAATTACTTATAGTCTTTGAATTGGGGTTTCTTTTTCATGTCCCTAAATTTGATAGACAATCTTATAGCTGACACAGATATATATAAATATAAATGGTGCTCCTGAGGGACTATCATTTCTCACTTGCACACACACATACATACATACATAAATACATACATACATACGTACGTACGTACATAAACATAAACATAAACATAAAGACAATGAAATTCAACCTGACTCGACCGGATCATGATATTGTACACAATTAGTTTAATGTCAGTCTATAACAAGATAAATTATTAATAATTTTCATTTAACTAGATAATCCTATGCTTGTCAATATTGTTTTGAACCATTCGATATTAAGCCATTCGTTCTGTTATTTCGTGCTTTAAACAAGCACTGGAAAACGTTGGACATCCCTGACCACCTGCCAAGAGTTATTTTATTTGTATATTATAAAATGAGTCAATATTCCAAAGAGAGAGAGTGTGTATGTAGTCGCAGTTTAGTTCTCCAAAAATAAAGTATCATAACTAAGCATTACTTTAACAATATTAAAATACTCGCCAGATTAACAGCTACAGCTTACAGCTACAGTTGTAACTTCAAATTTAATAATAAACAACAGACATCAAACATCAAACAAATAGGGTGGCTAGATTAAAATGACATGCTTCTTACATTAGTCGCCATTGAGCGAATAATCAAGTATAGACTGCTTGAGAATGGTACAAAAAAAATTAAAGTCAACAGACTGTGTGGATTTTAAATCAAACAAACAAACAAATGAAAAAGAAAAAGAAAAAGAGGGGAGGTGGGGTAGGGGAGAGAAAGAGAGCTAGAACTGATATCAAGATATTTGTTCAACAAGACCAGCAAGTTCCTTGAAGAAACTAGAACGTTGAATGAGCCCAGTAATTCATTTAACTTTTGGTCGTGTGAAATACCGTAGTTTATCTGATTTCTGGTAAGAGGACACGATTCCACTTGTACTTGGCATAACAAATATCTTTGAGGCACCTTTTCCATTGTCCCATTTGATAGTATTGGGCTGCAATCCAAGTGATTTGCATTTCTCACCCATGTAGATCTCATAGATCCCCTTGCCAACAAAACAAACCACTTTTGGTCTGTATTTGCGTATCTTTTGATTGAGTACAGGAATACCTGCTTTCTGTTCAGCCTTGGTGAGATCAGAAGCAGAACGTGTTGGCCGAGCTGTAAGGCTGGTTATTCCAAGTTGATAAATTTCAGGTAGAGTCTGATCATCTTTGTAAGACAATACTTTGTCAACCAGTCCTATTTAAATATAATAATATCATATATACAAGCGAAAAAGATAAAGTAAAAAATCTACATACACACACACACACACACATATATATATATATATACATACACATACACCCATACATATTTTGATATGATATGGCATGATACAGTATGATATAATATGATACATTATGACATGGTGCGTTATATAAAACGAATAGCAATAGCAATAGCAATAATAGCAATAATAGCAATAATAGGAGTCTCGTCATATGGCTTATCATACACACAAGATATTATCTTTTTCGTATTACCACTCTCAGAAAGACAGGGCCAAAAATGATTAGTTGGTCCAGCAAAGTGATGTCCTCGAGTTGAGCTCATGATTCCTGGATTGATGCCAACAAACAAAACCCTTAGATCCTTTGCAATATTGTCTTCGAGCTCTGGTAGATCAACCTCTTCATTCTTTTGTTTCTTAAAGTAAGGTGAGTAATGTCCTGTACTTTTACGTTTGTTAGCCATGCGAGAAAGAGATGCTGCGTCACTTCGGGAATTCAAACGGGGTTTATATCTTTCTTTCTCTGGCTTTTGCCCTTTTCTTTTTCTTTTTTTTATATCATTTATTAATTAATTTATATATAAATATATAAAAAATAAAGCAAAGTAAAGTAAAAAAAAAATCGAAACTCCTAAAACGAGAAATAGAAAAGGACGCGCTATATACATATACATATATATATATACATATACATAATATTCTACCTCACATCTAATATCATCATGGATGAAGAATCTATTCTATTTGGCATCCGTAACTTGTTCACGCTCGGCAACTACCAGGCTGTTATCAATGAAGTGAGCACCCACAAGGGTCTCTACTCTCCTGAATCAAAATTAGAGGCCCAGGTGTACCTCTATCGTTCCTATGTTGCCCAGACCAAATACAATCTTGTCATCAGTGACATTGCTTCTGATGCCGACGCACCCTTGAGAGCTATTCGACTATTGGCTATTTATCTGCAAGCCAAACAGAAGAATACCCCCACAGACGCAGTAAAAGATGCCCAGACTTTGTTGGAAGAGGGAGCCAACCGAGTGAATGCATTGGTTCAGGTAGCTGTGGCTACTTTATATGTCAACGATGGACAGTTGGAAGAGGCTCTCAAGGTTTTGCATTCTCGAAACAAGAAGTTGGAATGGTAGTTATTATATATATTTATACTTTATTTATAGTTTATATATATATATATATATGTGTGTGTGTGTGTGTGTGTGTGTTTAAGTTGATTTGAGAAGAAAAGAAAATTGAAGCAAGAAAGAAAGCAAGAAAGCAAGAAGACAACCGACTAATTCAAACAATGCGTGTGTATCTGTGTATGGATGTCTATCTGTACAGTGCTCAGTTGGCAGTGCAGATTTATCTTCAGATGGACCGAGTAGATTTGGCAAGAAATGAAGTTAATCAGTGCAAGACCTGGGCAGAAGACGCACTCCAGCTGCAGATGATGGAGGCCTGGGTTGATCTGCGAGTCGTAAGTAAAGCAATATGAATCGCACCTAAACTCCAAATATATCTGTCTACATATGTGTACATGTCTATACAGAGGAGAAGGGCGTATTAGTATTAGTATTAGTAGTATTAGTATTAGTATTATTATCAGTATTAGGATTATCATTAGGATTTCTTTATATTTCTTTGGGTCCACACTCACAACAAAACACAACTGAGCTGAATCTTGTGTTTATTTTTACTTTTACTTTCATAACATGGTGTCTATAGGGAGGAGAGAAATACCAGGAAGGATTCTATATTTTTGAGGAATTTGGCCAGTCTACCACTGCTCAGACAGTCAAGGTTCTTAATGGTCAGGCAGCTACAAACCTTGCATTGGGACGTTATCCCGAAGCAGAGAGTGTATTATTGGAAGCTATTGACAAGGTAAATGATAATATCTTATTTTATAGTAGAGGTGATATTATGCCTAGCCAATCTACTCACTCATTCACTCATTCACTTGCTCATTTGCTTGTTTGCTTATTGTTGATATATAGAACAACGATGACGCTGATACATTGGTGAACATGATTGTGTGCGCCACTCTGACGTCTAAGACACCGGACGTTGTTCGTCGCTACGTTAGGTAAGATAATCGAGCATGAAGCGAGATGGCGAGATAGAGTGAGATAGAACAAGAGAAATGATGGATTTAGGAAGAAATATGATAGGGATTTTCCCTATTATTTGATTCTCTAGTCTATCTAATATGTTATGATCTATAATATTATGATTTTTATTATTACTATTTTGGCTAACAACTGCTTATAATGTTATCATTACATGTAGCCAACTTCGCGAAGTTGCACCTCTTCATCCATTCTTGCAAGATCTTGACTTGAAATCCAGTTTGTTTGATCGTAGTGCTGCTCGTTTTGCTATAGTAGATTCTGCTTAATAGATTAATTCTGATTCTGATTATGATGTTGATATTGCTATTGCTATTGCTATTGATGCTGATGATGATACTAATGCTGATGCTGATATACACACGCATACACATAAGCACACAAGCACACAAATATATATGCAATAGGTATATCCTCCAAGCTTTTATTTCTATATTCTCTCTCTATATCTATACATATCTTCTGGTTCTTTTGTGATTCCCCCCCTTGATTTTACTTTTCGAGATATGATCTCTATTTTCAGATCAATTCTATATTAGGTTATTAAATCAAAAAAGAAAAAAAAAGCTGAAAACCAAAAACTACCGACTATAAGCCAAAAAGCCAAAAATATTTCTTATATGATTTTATTATTAAAAATAGAAAATATTTATATTTATATATTTTTAAGAGTACATGGATGCTGTCAATCTAAATGATGAGCGCAGTTGCTATGTACTTGTATCTGCTTATATATATATAAATGTATAAATGTATTTATATATACATGTACATGTACATGTACAAGAAGGCTTTTTGTTGATTTTGTGGTTCTGGTTGTTATGTTCAATCATTAAATACAAAAAAAAATAGCTCTTGACCTTATTTGCACAAAAGTGGCGTGTGTTTACATAGGAGATTAGGATACTTAAGAATCAAAATAAAATAGAATTCTATAAGCCAAAAGGTGTACTAATATCAAACTTTTATTTACGTGTGTATGTGCAATGAATTGCCTTTGTGCATACAAAAGGAGTTTCTTTGGGGGCGCAGATAATTCGGAACACCCGCTGGATTAATAACCATTCATCCTACGCTTACAAAATGAAACGTGCCCAGTGACAGGTTGCTGAGAATATGTGTGCATGGCGGAGGTGAAGATATATAGAAAGAAGGGGCGGAGCGAAAGATAGAAAGGGGAGGGGGAGGGAGAGGGGGAGGGATAAGAGGGGGAGAGGAGGAGGGAAGACAGAAAATAGACAGTCAGACACGGTATATAGACAGCTAGACAGACAAAGTTCAGGGCAGCCAGAATACTACGAACAGAGAAGGGGTAGGCAAGAAGGTTGAGGAGGAATATCTTTCGCCGCTAAATTTTAATTCTTCTTTTTGGTAAACCATGAAAATTGAATTAGACAAAAATGATTATTATTTTTTTTTTTTTAAAAAAATATACACCCCTTGCTTAAGGGTATAAAAAGAATCTAATTATCAGCCCTCTTTCTTTCTCTCAACACAACTCAATTCAACTCGGTCTTCTCTTCATCCCTTTTCTATAACAACAACATAAAACAGATACAACATGCGTTCTTCCATCTACCTTACCCTGGCTGCAATTGTGGCGTCTGTTGCCACCGCCGCTCCTTTTCACAAGCGTAGTCCCGCTCCCGTCTACAGAGAATGCTCTTCGCCCGGGACTTTTGCCTTGACCTTTGACGATGGACCATACCAATTCTCTTGGGATCTAGCAAAGTCTCTGCACTCCCAAGGAATTCCTGCCACTTTCTTTGTCAATGGCAAGAACTGGATGTAAGCCAAAATCTTTTAAAAAGAAAATTATTATACGTACACTTGTAATTATCCAGAGCTTTGAATATACTAACCAAGAAAAAAAATCACATTGATAGTAATGTTGAAACAGACAGTGTCTCCACATCTGATGGAACCAAAACATACATGGAGGTTCTCAAGAACTTTGATGATCTAGGTCATCAGGTTGCCAGCCATACCTACGAGCATAAGCAGCTCGGCGGTTTGTCTTCTGCAGAAGTTGAATACCAAATGAACACCAATGCTGATATCATTGAGAGAGCCATTGGCAAGAGGTATTGTGGTAGTCATGGTCTATTCAATAAGTATCTGTCTATACAGCATTAACTAATTTATTTCATTTGTTTTTTTTATTGTGATCATAGACCTACTTGTAAGTACCCAGTAGCCTACCTATCTATTTATTCTTATGCCCTTGTATTCTTGATTACTTATCCTATTTCTTTATAGTTATGCGTCCTCCAGCTGGCGAATACGATGACAGCACTCTCGAAGTTCTTGGCGCCTTGAACTACCAGTAAGTTTTTGTTTGTTTGTTTGTTTGTTTCTTTGGTTACCAACCATTTTCGCATTTGCATTGATATGTTTATTCATTTTTATTTTATTTCTTTACTTGCCTACAGTGTCATTATGTGGGATCTTGATTCACTCGACTGGGCTACCCACAGCCTTCCTGATGAGCAGCAGCACTATGAAACTCTTATGGGTGGCGAAAGTGGCTCTTCCGGAACTGGCCATATCTCTCTTCAGCATGAGGTAGGATTATATAACTAATTTTGTTTCGATTCAGGGCAACTCGTTTCTCAACTATAAAATTTCCTTTGTACTAGGTTTACCAACAAACTGTCGATGAGTTTGTTCCATGGATCATTGAATATGTTAAGTCCAAGAACTACAGATTTGTTACTGTTGCCGAGTGCATTGGTGTCTCAAGTGGCTATGCCTAAATTTCAAGAACCAGGTTTTAGACAGAGTTGGTAGCCACCCATATTTCTTCTTCATCTTTCGCGTATTTCTCTCCATCTATCGATATCTATCGATCTCCACTTAACTACCTAACTACCTATTTATCTATCTACCTCTTTCTATTTCTTTTTACTTCTATTTCTATTTCTATTTTCTGTATGTACGACCCTCAATACTTCTTCATTTACCCCAAATCTTAGTTCATATAATAGCCAAAAAAAATTCTCGTTTCTTTCTGGCTAAGAGAGTAAATAAAATTAAACAAAAAAAAACCGCCTTTCCACTCTATATCTTTCCTATATATATATACAAAATCACGACCAAGGTTCATTTTAAGCATCTCTCTCTCTCTCTCTTGTTTTATATTTCTGCCTACATGCACAAGCATTTGATTAAGATCAAATGCCCTAAAGAAGAACCCGGGCTTAGAACGAATATGATTAATAATGAAATCAAACAATATGTATACACATACACACACACAGATAAAGAAAAATAATGGGATTTGAGTAGTATATTGACGTCAAACCCATTTTTAGGCCCTTTGTATTATTATTTCTATAGAGAGAGAAAGCAGCCAAGGTTAATATTTATTAAGTTATCATTTTATTTATATTTTTTGATAATTGGTCAAGTAACTCACCAACCAGCTCTTTAGTTATAAGTTCATATTTATCATTTCTTTCTTTTATTTTCTAACCCCTCAAATCCCTCACATCCCTTCCTCTCTTTCTCACTCACTCATTCGTGCGCTTATTATTTATCTATTTTGATGCACAACACATATATACAGACAGAAAAAAAGAGAGACAGGCAAACAGCTATATAGCAGCAAATAATTATAATCATAATAATTATTAATAACAGTAAAATAAATATCATAATTTAACATAAAAGTAATAGCACATTTGTACTCACTCGTACTAGTTTGTACACACTTTCTTATATTTTAATAGGTACAGACAAGTTCATTTGCTAATATCTTTTAGAAATTTATCTATTGTTCTTTATTGCTTTTATCTAGCTCTCTGTTTAGGCTACCTGCCTACCTACCTGCCTATATGACTAGATATCTTTCCCCTATTATTTATATAGTACAATAGTATATCTATTTTATTTTTGTCGCGTGATAATGAAAATAACAGCGCAATAATAATTTTTATTGTTATTTCGCTCTTTTCTTTTGTGTGTGTGTGTGTGTGTGTGTGTGTGTATTTGTAGGTATTTTCCTGTCTCATTATTATTATTATTTATTGTCTACAATTATATATATAAATAATATATATTTAAAAAAAAAAAAAAAATTCCCCTTTCACCTTACAACTTGCTGTTTTAAAATAATAATAATACACATCTTAGCTTGTATATTATGACTTCAACTGGAATGCCATACCAGAGTGTGGCAAGGTGTTATGCCGATGCCAATGGAAAGATGCCAACCAGCTACTGGGACTATGACAATCTCCAGGTTGAGTGGGGGTAAAGTTCAATCTTTCTTTCTTTCTTTCTTTCTCTTTTGTTGTTGTTTGTTTTCTATCTGTAATTACCAATGGATAGAATGGTAACATCAAACACAGTGTCCAGGACAACTACGAAATCATCCGAAAGGTTGGCCGTGGTAAATACTCGGAAGTATTTGAAGGAATCAACATCACAAACAACGAGAAATGCGTCATCAAAGTACTCAAACCTGTAAAGAAGAAGAAGATTAAGCGCGAGATTAAGATCCTCCAAAACCTTGCCGGTGGACCTAATGTAGTTGGTCTATTGGATGTCGTCCGAGATCCCCAAGTAAGAGCAAGAACATCATTAACATCAAACCAAAAAAAAGAAAAAAAAAACTTATGTATCTATACATTTATATTTTATTTCTTCTTTATACAATATATAGTCCAAAACTCCTGCACTCGTTTTTGAGTATGTGAACAATATGGACTTTAAGGTCCTCTATCCAAAGTTCACTGATTACGACATTCGATTCTACATGCTTGAACTTTTAAAGGTACGAATCACTTGTACTGTAGATTACGGAGAAAAAAAAGAAGGTGAAGGTGAGAGTGATATTGAATGAGTTTATGGTTATATACACACTAGGCTTTGGACTACTGCCACTCTAAGGGTATTATGCACCGTGATGTGAAGCCACACAATGTGATGATTGATCACGAAAAGAGACAGGTAAAAATAAATTATAGAAATAAAAAGAGGCAGACAGACAGACAGACAGACAGACAGTATTTTGTGTGTAAAGGAAATAAAAGAAGAAAGAAAGAAAGAAAACAAAGAGTCTCATCATACTATACACACAGTTGCGTTTGATCGATTGGGGTTTGGCAGAATTCTACCATCCAGGAACTGAATACAATGTGCGTGTAGCATCACGCTACTTCAAGGGACCTGAACTTTTAGTTGATTTCCAAGAGTATGATTACAGTTTGGATTTGTGGAGCTATGGTTGCATGTTTGCCAGTATGGTAAGTATCATATATATATATATATATATATATTGATGAGCAAAAAAAACATTAGCTAACAATTTTGCAACAGATATTCCGTAAGGAACCATTCTTCCATGGGCATGATAATTATGATCAACTGGTGAAGATTGCACGTGTGCTTGGAACAGATGAGCTATTTGCTTACTTGGATAAATATGACATTGAATTGGATCAGCAATACCATGACATCCTTGGAAGGTGAGATATTATATATATTGTAGTTGTTTATTAGAGACTGATTTGTTTTACTGCTTTAAACTCTCTTATCCTTTCCCACATACGTACGTATACATAAACCAAATTAGATATCCTCGTAAGCCTTGGTCAAAGTTTATTACCAATGATAATCGCCGTTTTGTATCGGATGAAGCCACTGATTTTCTTGATAAGTTGCTGCGTTACGATCACCAAGAACGACTTACTGCACAGGAAGCAATGTCTCACCCGTATTTTGGTAAGTGCTATTGATCCAAGCATCCTTGCTTATACATACATATACATATATACATATACATATACAATTAGACCTTGTCAAAGAGAAGTCTTCCTGAACGACGAATCATCTACACAAACAAAAGAACACTTTTAAAAAGAAAGAAAAAAAGCACCTTAATAAAAATGAATACACGACGAACGATCGATCCGACACACTGAAACAAGCCAACGTCCAATAATATATACATTATATGAATAAATCAGTTTGACAGTACGAGATATATATATATATATTATCGGTGTGGACACCGAATGCAACATACAACACTTGAGAAATCTACGTAAAGAAGAGAGAAAGAGACAGGAAAAAAAACAAAAAGAAGAATAAAAGGGAATTACTTTAAGGTGTTACGGGAAGCAAACATAAAGGAATAGAATGTTTGCTGCCAAATACTGTGTTTTAATTAGGTACATTAGATTGTTTGTATGTTCGTAAAGACTACGCAAATTATCGATGGCGGGTGAAACAAAGTCTCGAGTAAACTAAACTGACTTTAGGTGAAGCAGAGAATCCCGGTTTGTGACCAAGGCGATCAGACTTAAGATAAGCAGTATCTTGGATCACAATATTAGAATATCGACGATTTGGAAAAAGAATAAGAAGAAAAAAAGATTCAATATTGTCAACCTTGAGATCCACAGTGAGGATAGAAAATAAACGAACCAGGTGGTTGGAATTCTGTTCCATATAACTTTATTTGCCACAGTTTATGAATAATAATAATACTCATAATAATAATACATGCGGTACGAATTTAACCCCAAAAATCTATAGTCGCAAATTACATGAAAAACCCAAAAAAAGGAGAGGGAGACGGAGGGTTTAAATGGGTAGCAAGGGATGAATGTCAGATCTTGTGGTTGCCAAGAAGATCTTGATCAGCCAAAATAAGTACAGTCAAAGTTTTATATAGTGATAGTTTATTGTTCTGAAAACTCTCTGTACTAAATGATTGCAAAACCTGCCAAGCGCACAATGCGAATAATCTTTGGTTTAAACAGCTTTGCTGCCGGACATTTAAATACATCTTTTGGTGGTGGAAGTATCGATATTGTCATTTTTTAAATCTATCAATATCTCCATGAATATCAGCCTGTCTTTGGTCAGGCAAGGACTTTCCGGTATTAATTGACTCGCTCTATAACTTTACTTAGTAAAATAAAGCACAAAATGCTGAATTTGTTTTGGGTCTATGCCCTGAGAGAATTTTGGGATCAAAGATGCTTATGTAGTGTAAATATCGAAAATTCTATTAGTAAATGGGTTTTTAGAGTGAAAAAATTGGATGCTTTGATCAATATTAGAGCAATCAATGTCAAAATACTCTGAAGTAGTGGATATTACTGTGGTATACCATATTAATTATACTTAAAGAAGCACTTTACTTGACCCACTCTGATACATGGCTGATTTTCTGTATTTAATTTGTCATTTTGATCAAAACGATCCGTTCTTATTAAACACTTTTACATTTCAGCAGTAAATTCAACAATCTTTATACTATAGCTGTCTGATTAAATACGTAAATGTAGAGCTGTACTAGTTGTAATGCCGAGACTAAGATGTAAATTCATATAATATATATCAATATTCGTAACCTCCAAGTGATCTGAACCCTGTTGCAATCTCCAACTAGCCTACAAAGTATACCAGCTCTTGTAATGCTTGACACAGAGCTGTAGCCCCCAGCTATCCCACGAAACACAATCTCAAAGATCCTAAAATATTAACACGCTTATTCTTACCATCGCGCACATAAAACCTTTATATATATATATATATTTAAAATATAAGCCAAAGGACCTTCCTTTAAGCCAAAATAAACCTCAGCATACAAGCAGCTTGAAAAGATCGAGACTTAAGGAAAAGAATCTATCAAGCGTGTAAAGCAGATAATCTTGACATAATAATTCTTTCCGGAAGTCTTTATTAAATCTTGTAAGATAAATTAAGCTGTTTAAAAAAGACCTTTCTTTTGTATTTTGCTGTATTCTATATTGTTCACTATTAAGAACTACCCACAGCCTTTTAGTGTCATATATAAAAGAATCTATTATATTTTCTAAGAAATCTATCGGACGTCGACTGTATGTATATATACTAAGTACGTTCAAGAGGTTAACAATTTTTAAACGCGTGTGCATTCTGTCTTACCCTAAAAACTATTACTTTCTATCATGAGTGTTCGCTAAAAGGATGCGCGAATCAACATCGGACGTCAGGCTGAATGAGAAAAAGAGAAAATTGATCTTTAATGCGCGATGTTCTGACAAACTCATTTCTGCAAGAACATGATGAGAGTTATATATAAGCTCATGAGCTATTCGCATGAATAGAATTGTAGTTTTTGATGGTAAATAAGGTTTCGCATCGTTGTCGCTCGTCTTTTTCTGTTTTTTGCGCCCTTTTTTGTTTACTTTTTGCTTTTTTTTCATAGTCTTTGGATATAGTAGTCACATGCATATAAAAATAGTCACATATTTTTTCCCCTTGGTTTTTTTTTGCAGGTGTATGCATCAGCGATGAAAGGATACAAAAGATGTGTAAAGTAGATGGAAGACTTTATTTACTTTGGTCCTCTTCACTGGAAAGGAACTTGTGAAATTCAACTCCGTTAAAGTAGTTGAAGTGACGATTGACGTTCTTTCAAAAAAAAAAAAAGTATGTTAGGTACCACACTTGTCTGTAATCTTTTTTGGAATGAGTTTGAGTTTGGCTCTTAAAATAAAGAAGTAAAGGTGTAGCTGTTTCTATCAGAGAAAGAAACAATATAATTTCACCAATTCAAATTTTACAAAACATAATGAGTTGCTATGAATATATAGGAAGCTTCGCATGAGATGTTTTTTGAGCGTAGCGTGCTCGAAACCTTTTTGATTTGTATCTAAAAAAGGCCTATTTTATTCTTTTCTCTACACTTCTTTACTCCAAGTAACTGCTTTACTTTTAATCAATAAATAATAATAAAGAAAATTCAAGTATGCTATTTAATGAAACCCATAAAAACTTTATGCATTTTTCGTTTTATTAAAGCGCGTTATAAAATATCCTGACACAGATTACACGGCCGTCCATTTTAAGAGTGTCTGTCAAAATCACCGACCTTTTTCTTTTATATCCTTTGATTTTTATGCTGATGTTCTAAATACGACTCGTATATTATTTGTACTCTTTAACACATCAAAATATCCTTGCAATATTCAGCTATCATATTAACCTTATAATGTTTTATATACTGATGTGATCTTTGCTTCTCCCACTATTATCACTATATCGAATTGTAGCTGTAATCCATCGAGATACTGAACCGGGTTATGAGCAAGTTCCAATTTTTTGTTGAACTTGGTTCAAGCCCTATATCACTACCATATTCAATAAATTTGATATAGGCTATGGGAGGTTTATCAATTTTTAAGAAGGGTATGCTTGTTGGCCAACAAGTAAAATATATCAGAGCTTAACCAATTCTATCAATGTTTTATTAACTATCCAATAAGAGTCAATATCAAAAAAGAAGAGAAAGATAATATCGAGTGTTTTTTTAGCACTCTTGGGCAGAAACCTTCATGAATCATTTTACCCTGCAATAAGTTGCTCTTATATACATGGCTTACTCTCCATTTCTCCCAATCACAATCCCATTACTATGGGGTGGAAGTGGATATCTCATGCAGTCGTACATTGATGTTGTCACCGCTAATAAAGATTTTTTTGCTTCAGTAAAATGATAAGCATGTAATTTTTATCCAGTATATACATATATATCAAACACATTATCCATGTAAAGTAGTTTATGCTCCCTGTATTTCTAAGGTCTATATACATCATAATATGTATATAGAATTTAATCATAGTAATTGTAATACAACTGGAGAAAGATCTGATGGGAGAAGTGGGGTAAGGGGTTTTCTGATTTGTAGTAAGAAGGAACATGGCATCAATTGCAGTCATAATGCCAATTATTAAACATATATTATACAAGCATAACAAGACACCTATAAAAGTGGTTTGTAAATAAAACTGAGCTGTACTTTTAATAGCTATATATATATATGTCTGTCAATCGCTTGTGTGTGTGTTTGCATTAATAAATGCATTATAAAAACAATATGTTTTGATGCCATTGACCCTTTAAAAGTTCAACCGATCAATTATTTATTTTATCTTGGAATATTGATACTCGTTAATAAGATTTCATTTGTATAGAAACGCATTTTAAGCAGTTTTGATTTCATTATTTATATGAAAAAATAAGGTAAAGCAACCACTCGTATATATTTATATTATATTCGATGTATATGATGATAGTGAAGTAGTAGTATTGTAAGTTGAGAAATAAGAAAAGAAAAAACAACCATTGATTAGAGATAACCATTATATTCCCATAGCGAATGAAAAAGTCACAACTTTGTACCTGAAGCATTATTCAAAGAAGTAAAAAAAAAGAGTGGGCGACTTGGTCACGTGATAAAGCAAGCGTGTGCGAGAGAGCAAGAGAACAAGAGAAACAGAGACATAGTTTTGGGTTGAGTTGGAAGAATTGGAGAGGTTTCTTTTACACTCATTTTTTTAAAGAAATTAAACACACGCACACACAATATACCCACATTTATGACTGATCTTGAGGTGCCTGTTCAACGTACTCTTCGAAGACTCTTTCCAGGTACTCGGCTCGAGGTATTAATAAATATAAAATAAATAACTATCAACAATATCAACAAGAACAAGACGCTATGTGTGTGTGTGCATAATATATATGTGTGTACAAGACCTATATAACAATAATAAGAACAAATAAATATATAATAAAAGTATATATATTATTAATATTCTAATAATGAATGCAAACAGAATGCATTCCAATGGCCAATTGAGTCCTTAGATGCTCTCGAATCATCTTTTAATGTACAAGAATATCTTCAACAATTAATTCGTGCCGATCGAAGCCAAGTAGATAAACTTGTAGAGCTACCGAAAGGAGTTGATGATGAAGTGTGGCAATATGAGCATCTTAGGTAAACTTAATGTGTTATGGAATTCCACTCACATTAGTAGACAAGTATGCTTGGAATTGGGTCTTTTAGTGGTTGCACTAGCACCTGAATGTACAGCAGAGAACTGCCCGGAAATGAAAGCTGAGGGCTGGCTGTATCTTTGCGCAGCTCACCCTGCTACACAATCAGTAATTATCTGTTTCTGTTTTATTTATTTTTCTTTGCCAATGCTTATATAGTGTGTTGATTTAATTATTAAAATTTGCGCGTGTGTATGTATGTAATGATTATAGTGTCCTGCTATTGACTATATTATTCATACCCTTGATGGAGCTACGACTTTATTAAATAATGCGAAATATTTTCCCAGCCGGTAAAGTACTTGTATTTGTAGTTGTGTTATTCTGTTTTCTAAAGATACATATTTGTATATTTTAGTATTTCTGTTCCTGAACCTTCATTGAAGCATTTTCAATCTATTGCAAGGCGTCTGTATCGTATATTCGCTCATGCTTATTGCCATCACAGAGAAATTTATGAGATTTTCGAGGCAAGTGTCTATACACACACATTTATATATACATATATGCATAGTTTAAATCTTAATTGATGATTAAAATTATTGGATATCTGTAGAATGATACATCACTCTATGCACGGTTTAGATTATTGTCTCGCAAGTATGAGCTTGTACCTCCTAATCTTATAACAATTCCTGATTCTGGGGAAGAGGATGAAGAAGAAGAGGAAGAAGAGGGAGAAGATGGATATTCTCGTAGTCCAAGAGCATCACATTCAACCCTTAAAGAGACAGAGTAATACACAAATCACTGTGAATAAAGCAAAAAAAAATGTGTGCCACCCTAAGCATGTGTGTAACCTCGCTGCCCTTTTCACATGTTCTCTCCCCGCAAAAAATAATACAATGTTTCTACTTGAGATTGAGACAAATTAGGAATTTTTTAGACGAATCAAAATATAAGTAGACAATCTGCTTACCTTTTTTGGACAAAACGAGAATAAAATTTAGACGATGAAAAAAATGTAGTTATTTTATAAAATAATATTTGAATTTTTTTTTGACTATCCAAAGTAGCCCTTTCTTTACTGGTAATTTTATTCATATTCGTATTCATATTTTTTCTTGAAAGTAATAATAATAATTTACTGGTCATTTGTTTTCTATAAATACATTAAAAATATAAAGTTAATTACCAGCAAAAGAAAGTCTGAGGAAAATGTAGATGATCCTTTTAAAGGTAAAAGATAGTAATTGATTTAAATAAGTTTATATTATTTATAGCCATGTACCTTTTGGTATAGATCCGATGTATGAAGATTATGTAGAAAGAAGTCATGCGAATATAAAGTATTATAAACGCACGTTTTATAAAGAAGCTTCAATTGAAAATATATATTTCAACTTGACTTTTTTTATAGCTATCTTTTATTCTAATGGATCTTTTTTTTAATTACTATAATTATTACTTGAAACATCCAATAGAGCCAAAAAAAGCGAAAGTTCGAGTCTCGAGGAAGATAAGCGTAAAGCTAAAAGAGAAAAAACCGGATAGATATTCTTCATTGGTTCTTTGCAGAAGCTGTCAGCAAGAGGATCACAGCACATCATGATCTCGCGAATGTCCTGATCATATACCATCAAAGTTCGAGGAGCTTGCAAGAAATCTTGGATTTCGTTACAAAGTTTCCACGAGAAAACTCCCATTGGATACTGCTATCAATAATAAATACAAAGAGTTACTCAAAAATAAGATTCTTATCACTTCAAACGATCTCCATAATTTCCTATCCAGGGCAATCATTTTCATAAACAGTTACTGCTTGGCATCGTCTCATAATTCAATACCTAACGCCGTTTATAAACGGACATTTTAGTACTCGGTAGGGTCAACCTGTCAGCGCCATAAAAGTAACAAAGAACACTAATGTACCATAAAATCCTGTGCAATCCTGGGATACCTATAGATCCTCAATTACAAATACCATATAAAAAAAGCCTACAAAAAGGGGTCGGGATGCTCAGGAAGAACTTGGTGAGACTAAAGAATGACTGATATAGAGTGAAAGAATTTTTATGGAAGGCTTTGAAGAAACAGGAGAGAGAGAGATGGAGGTCTTGTAGCTGTTGCACTAGATGAATACGATACCTCAAAGATGTACATCAAAATCTACTTTGAAAACTAATTTCTTTTTGTCTAAATTTCATTCTCGTTCTGTCCACAAAAGGTAAGCATATTGTCTTCAGTTACATTTTGATTCGTCTAAAGCATTTCCTAATTTGTCTCAATCTCAAGTAGAAACGATGTAACACATGGACGTGAAAACCTCTTTCTTTCTCACATATATTACTAGTAATATATATATATATAAAATTTAAAGGAACCAAAATAAATAAATAAATAAATATTTATATATATATACACATATATAATAAATACTGTGTATATTCTTATTAGTATTAGTATTACTATTCTATATATAATATATCATCATGCCAACAGATCTTCCACCATACTCTGTTCCGGGTTCTACACCATCTCATACTACTCATTCCAACACAAATGCTCGCCAACAACACAGTCTATTTACAGAAGCAGAGCAGAAACAACTGCAACTATTCTTGGATGGTCTCGATGAAAGAGACGATTTAAACACGGATGGGATTCCAAAAGATTTCAAGCCATGTAAGGTCATCAAGATCATTTGCAAACTTTTTTTTAAAGAAAAAAAAAGTATTGATAATAGTGAATAATAATCTCTTGCCAATATTTACCTATTTATTCATGTTCTTGCTCTTGACTGTAGCATCTCCAAACCACGTTCTTCTCTCTTCACCTTACATTAGAAACCCAAGCTATGGAGCCCAACAGATACAGACTCTTCCTCTCGAAAATTCAAATTCACGCAAACGAAATAATGGCGACAAAGCCAAATCCGAGAAACGAAAAGTTCGCGCTCTAGATCGGCCTTCTCCTGCCGAATCGTCGCTCTCGCCATCTCTCTCTGGGAGTGATGGTGGATCGCATTCTCGGTCGACTGATACCCGCCCAGAAGAAAACAGCTCACCACCAACCGCTCGTTCTGGTTCTGGTTCTAGTTCCAGAGGCGGAGGGGGAGGACGAGGACGAAAACCACCCCACGAATTGTTGACTGAAGATCAAAAAAAGGCAAATCACATTGCTTCTGAGCAGAAAAGAAGAGCCAATATTCGGGTTGGGTTTGATCAATTAGTGGATATCGTGCCCACGCTTAGCCATTGCCATCGTAGTGAATCCTTGATTTTACAAAAATGTAAAAATATTTATAGAATAAATTTATAGATGTATATTTGATTATTAATTATAATTACAATTAATGTTAACTTGAACTATTGTCTTGTTTTCTATTGTGAATTTAGCTGCAGACTATATTCGACAGCTCATAGAAGTAAAGAATGGGTTGCGAGATCGTGCAAGAGAACTCCAGACTGCATTGGGTGAAGCGTAAGTGGATTATGATTCGGTTTAATATTCCAGTACTTATTCAGTTACCTTTTTCATTAGGCCAGATGAAGATGTAAGTTATTAAATATATAGTCCTCATGACTCTTGTTTGAAAGTAAAGGAAAACATAAAACTTATTGATACTAAATAACCATTTACTTGTAGAGCTCTGAAGGCGAAGTAGACTATGCATTCTAAAGTTACTTATACAACTTCTTCCTTTTCCTTTTCCTCTTCCTCTTTTGCTTTTCTTTTCTTATTTTCATTTTTTTTTGTATCATAAACCATTAATTTCTTTCCCTTTCCCTGTCCAACATATATTTAAACCTCCATTACAAACCAACGCACATCAACACACACACACACACACACACACACATAAATGTATTCTTTAAAAGAATATAATAATAATATACAAATCTTTATTACACACACACACACATATATATATATATATATATATATATATATATATATATAACAATTAATGAATGGGCTTGGTCTCCATTTTACCCAATCCAGTCTTGGCTGCCATTGCCTTGACGTTTGCATAAGGCTTCTCGAGAGAGGCAGGGAGTGACTGCTGGAAGCTAGGCTGGTTCATCCAGTCCAGACCATGCTGGAAAATAGTGCTTGCACGATGATGCCCACCCTCAATAGTGCCCATTGAAGCATGGAGAGTGGCGCGCTTGTTAGCAGCAATATAGGCAGCACGGTGAAGAATGTTATTGTCATAAAACACAGTCTGTCCTGGTAACAGACGGACCTGTAACTGACCGGGCATATTGTGGCTCTTGGGATCGTTAATTGTAATATCACGCTCTTCGGGTGTTCGGACACGACGATGAGAATTGGGTACAACATAAAGGCATGCATCTTCATAAAGTGCTCTATTATGTGCATAAAGGAAGTATTAATTTTTGTTTTGTTTTTGCTTCTTCTTTTTAATAATCAACTATACAATAACAATAACAGAGACGTACGTGTTCCATTGGGTACCGTAATGAGGAACCTTGAGTTTTTCGATCTCTTCTTCAGCCGATGTCTCGGCAGGGACGGCATCCCGATGCCAGGTCAGATCAAAGTCAGAATCCTGGGGATTGATGAGGAGATTGAACAGTTCTGTCAAAAGTCAAAAAATAAAACGGAAAAGAAAAATCACAAGAATGTTAGCTATCATTTTGGGGGTCTGAATCTGTATATATATATATTTACCTAATTGAAGATCTTCCTTCTTGGCACCCAACAATTCACAGACAGACTGGAGCAATTTAGTGGACCCGTACCATTCAAGGAAGACGGGTTCATTGAGCTCAGGGTGAATCAAGTGCTGAACACCCCAAACATCAGTGCCCTCAGTCCAAGGAGGGAACTGCGTGCCTACAAGACGTCTTTTGAGGTATAATTTTGTTTTTGCTTTGCTTAGTACCAAACAAACAAACAAAAAAGAATGTACGTATGTACGTATATGCATGTGTGTTATACCTGTATTTCCAGTCTCCTGCGCGGGCTTTGGCAACTACACGATCACAGGCTTCTTTGAGTCTGATCATCAGCTCAGGGTCAATAAGTCCGTCGACAATGACATAGCCATCACGCTTAAGGGCTTCTTGGATAGGTACGTTGTTAATGTCTGTAAGCATGTTGTGTATTTGGGGTATTTGTGTAGGTGTAGGAGCAGTAAGATGATCAATAAATTTATTTATTTATTTTTTATTTTCATTTTCAAGATTACCCTCCTTTTTATAAACGGTCCAGGGTTCCCTTCTCTTCTCCGCTCCTGTTTTCTCACGCGACCCTTGTTAGCTAATCAAGGGACAGAAGACCGTATACTCAGATAAGGGAAGGAACCAATGTCTTTTAGCTCTTATCATCTTCTTTTAGCTGCCGCTCTAAATAAATAAAAAAGGGAACGTAAAAAAAAGAGGGGTCCATGACAATGTAGATATTGTATAAGAGATCTCTGCCACTCAAATAAGTGTGAAGATGTAAGCAGTTGCTTGTGTCTGATTATGGTAAGGTGCTTTGATTATTTTAACACAATCGCAAATAAAAAGATGCTTTGATTCATTAATATTTTCGTTATAGAATTACACCCGTTGATTTGTGATTTTTCAGATACAAGCCGTTTATCTTTCCCCAAAACAATATATATATATATATAAGAACCCTGAATATAATCAAGGTTTTGGCCATGAACCAAATGATAAGATTGCTGATCTGAGCATACAAATCCCATCCTTTTTTTAGCTTTTTTTTAAAAGAAATAAAGATCTGTAAAGCTGACCCTTTTGACCGCGGGAAATTATACATTCTGACATGAGTATTAAATTGACTACCCCATACTATTGCGACAAATAAAATATAACACACACACATACATATATATATAAAGAAAGAAAGGAAAATACGGGGAAGAATATGGAAAGCGGGTTGGCTGGTATTCTAGCTTTTTTTTATTTATATTATTATTACTATTATTTGTGACCAATGAGTATAATCGGGATCGAATGGCTGTACAAAAGCTGGGTACAGGAACATCAGTGAGAAAACAAGGAAAAAACACAACCCACAAGACACTGTGTGTAAGCTATCATTTCTTACTCTTTCTTCTTTTTCTATTTAGATCATTGGTGTCTAAACCTACCTTTTACCGTGTCATGGTATTGTTAATGAGTACCTTGCACAAAGGCAAGAATAAGAGCAAAAACAAAAGCAAGAATTAAATAATAAAGGTAAATTCTATAAATACCTGCGTATAAATATATATGATTTGAACTGAGTTTTCCAATAATAATGAATCATCCGGTTGTACCCTTATCCCTAATGTACCCTGAGCAACCTGAATTTTTCTCTCTTTCCTTCTATTTGAATGCGAGTGTGCTTTCATAAGCAGATTTCAATATAAAATATAGCTATTTTTCAACCAATACACTTGTTCGTTAATTATCTGTATTTAACTTACACTTATATATATGTATATATTAAATCTTTATGATTTTAACAACTGTCAAAAAATCTACTAAATGTATAGGGTAAACACTAAAGATAATAGAAAGCCAATATATATATTAGGTATATTCCTCGGAAGCAATTCCAAATACATGAAATATAGTTTAGTGACAAAAATTGAGTATGTAAGCAAATGATTATTGGCCATACTTACAATCATATAAGAGCCGGACTTTCTGTCCATTTTTTTTTTGCTTTGACAGCGTCATATGTTTGCTGTACAAAAACACATACACACACAAATATATACTATGTATCTACCTATCTATCTCGAGCGTTTGATAATATAATCTAAGAGATCAAGTTTTACTGCCCATTTGCTTTACATAACTAGCTCATCAAAATACTTGAAGTTTTAACACTCTTGCACAATCTTAGAAAATAATCTACACGCAATTACACGTAAAAAAGAAGGGATGCTGGCTGCAGTCAAAGTTCGATATAGTGATAATAGTGAGAGAAGCAAAGATCACATCAGTATATAAAACATTATAAGGTTAATATGATAGCTGAATATTGCAAGGATATTTTGATGTGTTAAAGAGTACAAATAATATACGAGTCGTATTTAGAACATCAGCATAAAAATCAAAGGATATAAAAGAAAAAGGTCGGTGATTTTGACAGACACTCTTAAAATGGACGGCCGTGTAATCTGTGTCAGGATATTTTATAACGCGCTTTAATAAAACGAAAAATGCATAAAGTTTTTATGGGTTTCATTAAATAGCATACTTGAATTTTCTTTATTATTATTTATTGATTAAAAGTAAAGCAGTTACTTGGAGTAAAGAAGTGTAGAGAAAAGAATAAAATAGGCCTTTTTTAGATACAAATCAAAAAGGTTTCGAGCACGCTACGCTCAAAAAACATCTCATGCGAAGCTTCCTATATATTCATAGCAACTCATTATGTTTTGTAAAATTTGAATTGGTGAAATTATATTGTTTCTTTCTCTGATAGAAACAGCTACACCTTTACTTCTTTATTTTAAGAGCCAAACTCAAACTCATTCCAAAAAAGATTACAGACAAGTGTGGTACCTAACATACTTTTTTTTTTTTTGAAAGAACGTCAATCGTCACTTCAACTACTTTAACGGAGTTGAATTTCACAAGTTCCTTTCCAGTGAAGAGGACCAAAGTAAATAAAGTCTTCCATCTACTTTACACATCTTTTGTATCCTTTCATCGCTGATGCATACACCTGCAAAAAAAAACCAAGGGGAAAAAATATGTGACTATTTTTATATGCATGTGACTACTATATCCAAAGACTATGAAAAAAAAGCAAAAAGTAAACAAAAAAGGGCGCAAAAAACAGAAAAAGACGAGCGACAACGATGCGAAACCTTATTTACCATCAAAAACTACAATTCTATTCATGCGAATAGCTCATGAGCTTATATATAACTCTCATCATGTTCTTGCAGAAATGAGTTTGTCAGAACATCGCGCATTAAAGATCAATTTTCTCTTTTTCTCATTCAGCCTGACGTCCGATGTTGATTCGCGCATCCTTTTAGCGAACACTCATGATAGAAAGTAATAGTTTTTAGGGTAAGACAGAATGCACACGCGTTTAAAAATTGTTAACCTCTTGAACGTACTTAGTATATATACATACAGTCGACGTCCGATAGATTTCTTAGAAAATATAATAGATTCTTTTATATATGACACTAAAAGGCTGTGGGTAGTTCTTAATAGTGAACAATATAGAATACAGCAAAATACAAAAGAAAGGTCTTTTTTAAACAGCTTAATTTATCTTACAAGATTTAATAAAGACTTCCGGAAAGAATTATTATGTCAAGATTATCTGCTTTACACGCTTGATAGATTCTTTTCCTTAAGTCTCGATCTTTTCAAGCTGCTTGTATGCTGAGGTTTATTTTGGCTTAAAGGAAGGTCCTTTGGCTTATATTTTAAATATATATATATATATAAAGGTTTTATGTGCGCGATGGTAAGAATAAGCGTGTTAATATTTTAGGATCTTTGAGATTGTGTTTCGTGGGATAGCTGGGGGCTACAGCTCTGTGTCAAGCATTACAAGAGCTGGTATACTTTGTAGGCTAGTTGGAGATTGCAACAGGGTTCAGATCACTTGGAGGTTACGAATATTGATATATATTATATGAATTTACATCTTAGTCTCGGCATTACAACTAGTACAGCTCTACATTTACGTATTTAATCAGACAGCTATAGTATAAAGATTGTTGAATTTACTGCTGAAATGTAAAAGTGTTTAATAAGAACGGATCGTTTTGATCAAAATGACAAATTAAATACAGAAAATCAGCCATGTATCAGAGTGGGTCAAGTAAAGTGCTTCTTTAAGTATAATTAATATGGTATACCACAGTAATATCCACTACTTCAGAGTATTTTGACATTGATTGCTCTAATATTGATCAAAGCATCCAATTTTTTCACTCTAAAAACCCATTTACTAATAGAATTTTCGATATTTACACTACATAAGCATCTTTGATCCCAAAATTCTCTCAGGGCATAGACCCAAAACAAATTCAGCATTTTGTGCTTTATTTTACTAAGTAAAGTTATAGAGCGAGTCAATTAATACCGGAAAGTCCTTGCCTGACCAAAGACAGGCTGATATTCATGGAGATATTGATAGATTTAAAAAATGACAATATCGATACTTCCACCACCAAAAGATGTTATTTAAATGTCCGGCCGTAAAGCTGTTTAAACCAAAGATTATTCGCATTGTGCGCTTGGCAGGTTTTGCAATCATTTAGTACAGAGAGTTTTCAGAACAATAATGTTATTTACGGTTCTTTTAAAGAATTTAAATGTAAAAGTATGGTCATCTACCGTAAAAAAGTCTATAAATTGTGGTTTTTATTATGATATTTCAAGACAATACGCAAGATATTCTTTAAAAAAAAGAGAATATAAAAATATATCGACCTTTGACTGTAACTAGTTTTCTTGCAAGTATTCTTAGTGCAATACATTGATTTCGCCTATGAATTTTCCAAAATCCAAAGATGTTCCGAAAGAAAATAAAGATATTTAGTTTTGGATGTGTTCTACGCAAATGCATAAATTCATACAGCTCTTTTTTATTGTGTTTTTGTTTTGTTTAGATATTGAATGTTGCATTTTCTACACATAACTATCATACCCTATATCATATACGTACCGTAAACACTGTAGCGTACAAGCCACTACAGATGGTATATGTATAAATAAAGACTTCTCTACCTTTCCACTTGCTTTCATTTCTTTCTTTCTCATTGCCACACGCTCCTATTTTGGAATTGGATAGACATAAATGTCTCGAGAAGCATTTAATGCATACTCCTGATTGATAGAATAGTTTACGGTGTTAATTCTTTTAAATTAAAATAGACATTTCATATATTTCTACGCGTTCGAGACTTGTTCTATCCTATAAATTATTTAACTTTCAAATTCAATAAGATTCAGACTTGGGCATACATCTTGATATCTATAAAATATTACACCAAGCAAAAAAAATTAGTTGAATTTGGAATATGCTTTTTTTACTACATAAAATAAAATAACATGATCTTATATTTTGCTTTCATTTGACGGTAAAAAAAAAGGAAGCACAGAGAAGATTGACATCTTTCTCTGATACATTATCTAACGGTCTTTTTTTTTCTGGTATTATTTTCCTAGCTACTTTAAACTACTTAAGTATCATTCTAATAGCCAATGAAATAAAAACAGGCGTACTATACATTATATTTTTATAAGTGGTGATAAGAATAGCAGTAAGAGCAGAACTAGCAACATCAGTAGTGGTGGTCGTAATTATCTCAAGAAACATTGATTTAACAAATAATTATTATAAAAAGTAAAAGTAAATAGTCTCACACACTTACATGAACAATTCTAAATATAAATAAAGCTTGTTTATTTATTTATGTAAATGCAAAAAAAAGAAGGGGACCGATATCATGGTCATAGTTGGTTAGATCATAAGGCTACTCAAAATAATCCTACTTAAGGGATATGTTTCATGTAAAAAGTAATATATACGCATATGAAGAAGAACTTTACTTTGACACTGACAGAGAGGCATTACACGCCTACACACACATATATATATATATATATAAAACAAAATCTTGCTACATATCCTAAACAATACAAGTTATGGAAAATATATATTATACATTCTATAATTTTCATCCAAGAAATTCTAACAAAAAAGAAATGTATCTCTCAAGGGGTCACCGTATTCCGTCAAGGGGAAGGGTACAGGCAAGAACACAGGCAAGGACGAGGGCAAGGACACAGGCAAGAACAAGGTCAAAGTCAAGAATCAGGGATTAAAAGGCAAATGCTGAGCTGTGAGAACAACCATAAATTAAATACATAGTATTTTAGGGGATGCAAGCGTAAAATGACAGATAATTTTATAAGCTTTTAGGGACTTTTTGCCAATCGCCAAACATATAAAACAAATTTAAAGATAAAACACTTGATGTTCAAAAGACTATGCATCTCCTTTAATAAGGAACGCCTCAAATGTATCCGCCTACCTTATATTTATCAAATAAGCATAAGAACCAGAATTTTGGTTGACTTGTACTGTTTGAAGTACGGGTGATATATATACATACACACGCACACACACACTAGTAAATGCAAAAACAAAGAAGCAAGTGTGACACTCTTTTCCTTGGTATAATATACATAGAAGTAATATAATCCGAGCCTCGATTAAAGCCAAATAGACTTTTGTTTTAGTATAGCTCCTTGCCATATGTAATATTAACACCTCGTTTCTTAACAAGCTTGTGTTTATATCAACATTGGAACATCGTGTGTGTGTGTGTGTGCTAATATTGAAATGTTCGACCCACCAGTTTGAGTCTTTTTTTTAATTAATTTTCTTTTTTAAAAAGAGAAAAACAATAATTAACAAAGACACCCCATGTGTTGGCTTATTAGTGCTAAGAATTTCTTGACAGTATAATTTTATTGTTATTAATATCATGAACATATGCCAATCTTGAAACCACAAAAACTGTTTAATTCAAAGCAGCTGATAGATATAATTTAATAAAATATACATTAACATAAGCTACTTGACTTTATCTCACTTCAATGAATAGAACAACTATCGATTAGAAATACCTAACAATTCTTACCTGATGAATGCCATTTTGTATTTTATGATCGAATTTTCTTTAAAGAAAAAATAGTTAGAAAGTTAGTGCTACATACGGAACGTCTAACGTTTTATAGCACAGCTTAAAAGGAGGAGCGCGAAACTCCTTCTTTAGTAGGGCTCATGTGGTCTTGAAGTGTAACAAAGCTTCATCCCACACTTTGAACACTGGAGAAAATAAATGGCTGTGGATTCATTGGTATCACCTAATAAAAAAAAAAACTCCCGAATAATCACACTTTGCTTGGTTAGATCAGCACATTTTGTAAATCGAGCTTAAAAATGTATACTATTATTAACACTGCCATACAGCCAACACCACTACAGTTACTGCTGCTAATCGAGACTTTTATTGATGATTTCATTTGTGTTTTTATTTGATTGTGCTTGAAAGTGATGAAGGGTTGAAAGCAGGCAAAAAAAGAAAATAAAAGAAAAAGGGGGATGTCTTTGGATAGAATTGGTAAACTTATTCGGGGTAGAGCTTCTCCAAGATCTGAGATACAACATGGTCAATGTTGCCATTGTATTGAACAAGCAGACGAAGAGCAAGTTCGTCGCAGAAGGTGAGGCCCTAAAGATGTGAGAATAAACAAAAATCAAAATTAAAGTTTAAAAAAAGAAGTATTTTTTATTTTTTGTTTACCATTTCATGAACTTGAGTCAACTGAGCGCTGTATTTTTCGATTGGGGGAACCTCTGGGAAAGTGGTTTCTGAAACGGGGGTTTGTATCTTTGCTGTAGCTCTCTCGGCAGCCACTGCGTTCTCAGTAATAATGACAAAGTCGGCTCCACTGTCACTGTGGGTGCTGCGGACACTGCGAGTGCTGTGAGAACTACCGACACTACCATGGTTGGATGAGCGACCAGAGACTGAAGAGGATGCTGACACGGTCGGCGCAGCTGAAGCAGTTGAGGCGGTTGGATATGCTGATACGGCAGGATAAAACTCAAAGTCTTCTTCGTCAGCAACACTGAAGGAAGGAGCACGAGAGTTCACGCGGCTGCTGAATTCACTTGCAGGATAGCTGATTGTAGGAGATACTGTAACAGAAGGTGCGGGGAAAACCATGTTTGAGATGGTCGAGGCAGAGAGAGGAGGGATAGTAGTACTAGACTGATCAGATACAGTGATGTCGCACCACAGACGGTGACCAAAGCGAATACCATCTGGGCTAGAGAGGCGGAAGTAGCTAATGTATCGGCCAGGGGTTTCAGGAGCTTGCAGCTCAGCAACAATAAACGCTTCTTGTTGAGGTGCAGTGACAGGTATTACGAAACTCTTGGGGTCACCGCTTAAAGGATAGGCTTTGAAAATATTTCCGCCACTAAACACAAGTTGAGATCCTTCGGGCCATGCAGAGGAGCCAGTATTTTTAAGCTTCCAGATCTTGAGGAACTGACTTCCGGGTAAGGCCAGGCTGCCGTCTGGAATTGTGATGTCTGCAACAAAAGATGCTGCCAGGCTGTACTGAGGCTTTGGTTCGGAGGAGTCTCTGTTCTTAGCTTTAGTTTCCTGCTCATCAACCTCTTCTTTCTCTTTATGTTCGTGCTCATGTTCGTGCTCATGTTCATGTTCGTGTTCGTGTTCGTGTTCATGTTCATGTTCATGTTCATGTTCATGTTCATGTTCATGTTCATGTTCATGTTCATGTTCATGTTCATGTTCATGTTCGTGTTCATGTTCATGTTCATGTTCATGTTCATGTTCATGTTTGTGCTCATCTTTGTATTCCTGTATTTCATGCTGTACCTGGATTTGACTGTAGCATTCCTTGGACATTTGAGAACCAGAGCGACTAAAGTTTACAGAGCGTCTAGATGGAGTTGTTGATGCTTTAGAAAAGTTATCAAAAGAGACAGAAGAAGCAGAGCCGGAGGCAATAGTAGAGGGTACATGGAAGGACATCTGTTGACTAAACTGATCCGAAAGTTCTGTTGTAGTAATTTCTTCCTGCTCCAATGATTCTTGACACTTTTCGATGCAATACGACAGGATGGGCTTGTCACTTTTTCCGAGGTTGATTGGGTTACGGATCTTGATAAACAAATGAGAGTTGTCGTGGTTTTCCACAGAGTTCTCTTCGCATACTTGACACAAATCATAATCAAGACAATAGCCGCACTATTTATATGTATATATGTATGTTAGTGACAATGAAATAAAACAAAAGAAAACAGGTATAAAATGCTGCCATTAAAATATACCTTGTATCTGATACCATATATATCGTTGTTACATTGATCACATATAATTCCCTCATGGAATATACGATTATCATCTAAGCATGGTGTGTCAGTCAGCCACTTATCATTATTTTCTAAATAAATGAATAAATCATAATATATCTTCTTACCTTCTGATGGTTTCAGATCTGACGCACTTCCAGTGATGTCTTCAATGTGTGTGATAAACTTGTGCATAGGGTGGCAATGCTTGGCTTCCATGAAGCAGTTCTCACACAGATCAAAGCCTTTGCATGTAGTACAGGCATGGCGAATACCTACAATTTCAGAATTGCACACATTACAGGCGTATACGAACTTGGTAGATGAGTCCTCGGGTATGTCAGCAGGGGTATGTGTATTTTCAGGCGGAGGAGAGTCTTTTCGGACAGGAAACTTTGGGAAGTTTTTAGGAATTCCAACAAAGGAAGGACGGAATGTGTGTGTGACATCATGAACAACTCCACGGTCTTTACAAGCACGGCACAAGTCGTAATCCATGCACTCGCAACAAGTCCAGCTGGCGCCTGAAATTGAGTTGTAACAGTCATTACAGTAGATGGAAGGGAATGTGGTAGAGCGAGCATTTGTTCTGACACTGGAACTGGGACTTGTGCTGACACTGGCACCAGTGCTAGCTCTTTTTTTATCGGCAGCGTTTTTAGTTATGTGTTCAGGAATACCAAACATATTTGCAGCCGACTTAATAGCTGACTGTAGGATAGCTTGGGTAGAGTCTTGCTCAAGGAAGTTGACCAACATACTGGCAGAAGCAGCCATGATCTCGTTGACCGCTTTTTGAGTAGAGTCAACCCCTTTATTTGAATTTGACTGAGTCTCCGATTGTTGCCGTTGCTGTTGCTTATCATCATCCTCTTGCTGCTGCTGCGGCTGAGGCTCTTCTGTTCCTGGGGTTGTAATAATGATTACTTTGAGGGTGGCTGGATCCTGAGCCGCCTTGAGACGATTGTTGTCTATGGCCTCTTGTAAATCCCACGAGTTCTTTACAAGAATATTATCGCCTTCGTTATCCGTGTATTGTAAGACAAAGTTGGTATCGGGTAGTTGAAAGGTTTCGCGGATTTTGTCCTTGACCTTGCGGTAGGAAATTGAAGTGGGCTCGCGGTTAGGGGTGCGGCTATGAATCTCAATACGTCGAGTCTCTTGATTTGATGGTAGCCATGCTTTAATAATCAGAGCCTCTCTGACTTTGAAGCGTGTCTTATCATCCATTTTTATGAGAGAAGAAAGATATAGTTCCTGATGTGCTTATCAACCCTCCTTTTATACCAATTTCTCTTGGCACACCCACTTTTGATCCATTCGCAGTCACGACTCTTATCCGAAACCAATGAGGCGCATTCCTTTCTCTATATTGTTTTGCTTGTCAATCCAGTCAGCTTACTCACATTATGCAGACTTCAGGGTCACACAAAAGGCTGGGCTGCCAAGTAAATCTGCGATTCCTCTGCTGATCCTTCTTTTAACAATATCAATACCCTGTCCAATAATATCACTTCTTTATTCCCCTCTTCATATTCATCCCCCCTGCATACTCTACGCCGTTTTATGATAAATTGGGGAAAAACTGTCTACTGAATGTTAATTCAAAAATAGCCAAATATCATGTATAAAACAGCCCATGAATCAAAAAGACCAACAATCCAAGAGAAAAATAAAACACATTAAAGATATTAAAACTAGATTGAAAGAAGAAAGAAAGAGCGAGAGAGAAAATGCTTACGTCGAATTGTGTGACGACGGTTTGGTCGAACAAGAGACTTTTTACGGATTAACGGCTGAGGACCAATAACTTCACCTTTGACCTGACTAACCTGGAATTAAATGGCATACCCGGGACAATACGGTACTCACGGCTACGGCCAGCAACAGCAGCAGCACCAATATCCTCCTCCTCAAGGATATCCACAACAAGGATATCCTCCTCCTCAAGGATATCCCCAGCAAGCGTATCCTCCTCCTCAAGGCTATCCTCAACAAGGTTATCCTCCTCCACCCCCTCAACAAGGTTATTCTCAACAAGGTTACCCACCCCCTCAACATGGTTATCCTCCACCCCAACAAGGCTACCCTCCACCTCAACATAGCTACCCTCCACCTCAGCAAGGATATCCTTCACCTCAAGGTTACTCCCAACAAGGATATTCTTCGCCACCCGTAAGGCTTAATTAGCATGGGCATTCACATCTTATACTAAATTCATTCCTTTCACTTATAGCAATATGCACCCCCTCCAGTTAACAGCTCGCCTGAATACCGCCAACACCAAGAAAATGCACAAATTAGACCTCCAAGCTATACAGGCAAGATAATATTATTTCAATATAAGGGCAGTAGTAACACTAGAACTAATCGTGTAATTAGGCCAGGATCCAATCTTCAGACCAACCGACCCTTTGTTGTCTCAAGCAAACTACCCGCAGCCACCAAACTCTGCGCACAATCAGGCCCCCAACCCAGGTAACTGAATTTTTTTTTGGTAATTTCCTAGGGTTATTATTAACAATATATCCTATCTACGAATTTTTTTAGTGCCTTATGGCGGCAGTCAACCTCCCCCAGGAACAAGTGACCAATTCGTTATGCACGTAGACCCAGCATTGCAAAACAAGCCTCCACCTCAATTCCAGCTTTCTAACTGTAAGCCAACTAAAAAAAAAGTGGAATTATTTCAAAAAGTAAAGATAGACCTAAAGAAACAGAGAAACACTTAATTTAGGTCAGGGAAGAAAGAGAGCTCTTTTGATTGGTATTAATTACTTTGGGAGCAAGAACGAACTCAAGGGTAATTATACTAGCTAATTCTAGGAACACTGGCTAGTATTCTCTTGGCTTACCAATATTTGTTATGTTTAGGATGTATCAATGATGTCCAGAATTTGAAAGAATTCTTAATTTCACTCTATGGTTTCAAAGAGGTATTTGTCATGTTTGTCGGAATAGCTTGGCTAACAACATGAAAAACAAAATAGGAGGATATGGTTATCTTGACAGATGATAAAACAGATGAGCGGTTTATTCCTACCAAACAGAACATTATCTCTGGTATGCAATGGCTTGTCAGAGATGCTCGTCCCAATGACTCGTAAGTAGGAAGATATATCAAATTCGGAAACGAGTAATTAATTTTGAAAATGTTGTATTAGGTTCTTCTTCCACTATAGCGGTCACGGTGGAAGTGTAAGTTCAACCATTTCAAGTTAGCAATGCAATTAACTCGGTTGAATCTTTTACAGGTTGAAGATACTGATGGTGATGAGGATGATGGTTGCGATGAGACAATTTACCCTGTAGATCATCAAATGTACCCTGGAGAGACTGGCCAGATTATTGATGATGTAAGTTTAAAAAAAGTACACAAGCAAAATAAAACATAATTTGTATATATATATATTAAATCGATATTTATGTGTACCAAAGGAAATGCACGAGTTGTTGGTTCGTCCTCTCCCATCTGGTTGTCGTTTGACAGCCATCTTTGACAGCTGTCACTCTGGAACTGCCCTGGATCTTCCCTATGTATATTCTACTCAGGGTGTCATTAAGGAACAGAACCTTTTTAAAACTGCTGGTAGCGGACTGTTGAATGCAGGCATGGCATATGCTAGCGGAAATGTTTCTGGAGCTTTGTCTTCTTTCATGTCTCTTGGTAGCAAGATTATGAAGAGCAAGTCCGCAAACGAGAACGTGAAACAGGCAAAGAGCTCTACAGCCGATGTTATCATGTTCTCCGGCTGTAAAGATGAACAGACTTCTGCCGATGCATTCGAAGCAGGCAGAAGCACAGGCGCTATGAGTTATGCTTTTACAAGTAAGTCTCAGTGCAACCCAACCTTACACTCAATTTTTGAATGATATTGACCAAATCCATACTTTGACGGTTATCCTTTTTTCTTTCTTTCTTAGCTGCTTTACGACAGAATCGTCAGCAATCATTCCTTCAATTGCTCAATTCTGTACGAGACATCTTGCGTGAAAAATACGAACAGCGTCCCCAACTGTCAGCATCCCATCCCATCGATGTTAACCTTTTGTTTATCCTATAAATCAATAAATTAATCAGTGTATTTTAATCTAACCAAATATGTTCAGCAAAGGTAACCCTACTTTGAGAAAGTTACTCAAATTCTAAACGCCAAAGTGACAACCACGGGGTTTCCTCACCTTTGTCGCCGAGAATAGCCTGTACTTTCTGAAAACAAAATTTTGAAGAGCAATTATAATAAAGGGGTTAGCCTTGAGTTAAATATACTCTTTACTGAGTAGAGTTATTGTTCATTCGGTTTGACTTATATTAGCAGCTATAGAAAATTTGTGGTAAAAAGATGGAAATTCCAAATAGATATTATTGCCCAGATAATTTTTACTGACACGAAATACGAAACGCTTAAACCTGAATCCCTGATAAACTATCGCTGATAAAGTATAAAAGAGGGAAAATTGCTCTTGTTTTGACATAAACGTGTTTCTGAATAAGAAAGAAATAATATATATATATAGTTTTTTTTGTTACACGTACAAAAGATGGCCTCGGGCAAGTAGTAGCAAGATCGCTTTTTACATTATCATATATAAAATAATTTTGTAGCCGTTTTCTTATCTTTACTCTTTTGTCTATCTGTCTGTTCGTTTGTTTATTTGATCGATTGTTATTAAATATTCTAAACACGGCATTGAAACAGTAAGAAGATCAAGTATAAAGCGTGCGTGGTTTATTCATGAAAAAAAAAACTGAGTAACCATGGAAAACATATTCATCTCCGCCAGAGGAGAATTTCTCAAAAAAAAAATCAGAATCAGGTTGAGCATCTTTTCACTCTCTTTCCTGAATGTGCATAAACATCTGTTTGGGATGGAGACAAAACATGCTTCCATGTCGGCCGGAGGACCTTCTAATCGCCCACAGCCAAGAGATCTTATCCTAGAGATTCCACCTCACGATCCCCCTCACCGTCCCCCAACTTTAAAAAACGAGCGAGTCATTGCTCAGACACCAAGCGAACAGGATGCTCGTTTCTTGCTTCCAGCCCTCTCAACGGCTTATGAAGACAGTATTAATGAAACAGTTCAGCGAAAGGCGTTGCATAGATACATGAATATTGAGGTAGATCAACCTAGTCCTGTTGAGGTATCACAGTCAGACCAACATGTGCCCGAAAAACCTATGCCCGATAGCGATTTCCGGGTAGTTCCTTTGTCTCCCAATTCTGCCAATGTACAGGAAGATGAAAAGGTATAAGATGATATTATAGGTAATGAGGAGTATTATTTCTTAATAAGCCCAATGATTTTCTCAACAATATATTAAGCAGTCGTTGTTCAGAGCACGTACCAGTAACGACCGTTACATATTCTACTCTATAGAGAGAGACAGTCTTAGTAGCCCATCGCTTTATGACCTCTTAAATTGTCGATTTCCAGAAGAAAACGGTGGAAAGAATGTATCCGAAGAGCTATTGACTACAAGCTGCTGGTGGATAGACATATTTAATCCAACTGATGATGAAATGCGATCACTGAGTAAGGTTGGTGATAGAGCGTGCTTCCTCTTGTTGTGTATTTTACTAGATTCTAATTAATTAAAATTAATCTTAAATAGATTTTTCGGATTCATCCTTTGACAACAGAAGATATTCAAGCTCAAGAGTCTCGTGAAAAGTGTGAAATTTTTCAAAATTACATGTTCATTAGTTTCCGAAGTTTCAACCACGATTACCTCAGCCAATCTTATCTAGAAGCTGTTAACTTTTATATCATTGTATTTAAGGATGGAGTACTTACGGTAAGTCACTATATATCAAGTGATTGGACTAATCACACACCGTCAAACTTAGTGTATGAGCCATTATTTATTATGTTTCTGTTTCTGTTTTTGGGGGCTTAAAATAGTTCCACTTTAAACCTCTACCTCATCCACATAATGTTCGAAGACGTATCCACCAACTCAAGGAAGTAGTACGAGTCACACCAGAGTGGATAAATTATGCACTTATTGACAACATAACTGACAGCTTTGCACCTCTGATTCAACACGCCGAACTTGAAGTCGATTCAATCGATGACCTTGTTTTGGTCCTGACAAATTCTGAGCAGTCAGACATGCTGCGGCGCATTGGAAGCTGTCGAAAGACTGTTATGCAACTCCTTCGTCTCCTAGGTCCCAAGGCAGATGTCTTGCGTAGTCTCATAAAAAGATACGAAGATCATATGCATGAACTAGCACATATTGTAAAGACCAAACCGAAACAAAATATTTTAGACGGATTAATCGAAGAAGCAAGAGTTCAGCATGAGGTTATTCTATACCTAGGAGACATTCAAGGTAAATCATGCGTATGTGTATGTGTATGTGTATGTGCTTATATGCTTACAATGCATTTTCTGAGTAGATCATATTCTTACCATGTTGCAAAACGTTACCCATTTCGATTTGACACTTGGTCGTGCTCATCGTAATTATCTTGGCCAAGTATCAATTGAATTGTCGCAGGCAGGCAATACCACAAACGAAGTCATCAACAGACTCACTTTCTTGGCCACTCTTGTAATTCCTCTCAACCTTGTTGCCGGTATTTTTGGTATGAATGTAGAAGTACCAGGACAGAATAATACAGATCTGGTTTGGTTCTTTTGGATTGTATGCGGGATGCTGGTATTTGTTATCACCATGGTCGCTGTGGGAAAACGCAACAATATTCTCTAAATATCACTACTCTTCACATCAAAACGCGCACATATCTGATACATTACATTAAATTATGCTACATTACGCGTATATTATCTCATATTTATGAGAACAAGAAGAAAAAACAAAAACGGTGATGTGTTTTTTAAAAGGCCATTGAGCTCCACTGCACACTATGCAAGCCCAGATCATTCTGGACTCATCTCAGATATCTCGTATAGATTAAATATCGGCCTTTTCTTTTTTTTTATGTAAATAATAACATTATTATAATCAAAGGTTACGTTTTTTAATGTATCGTGGATTAAAATCACATCTACAAATTTTCAAGTAATAAATAAACATACTTATAAAAATAAAGCCTTACAGCATTTCATGAATTGTAAACGAATAAATTTTAAAAATATAACTTATAGCTGAAAAAAATAAAAATAAAAATTATGCAGTATGTATTTATATAAAAGAAAGCTTTTTGATACTGTACATAGAATCTCTATTCTTTGTTTTATAGATATACTTATTAAAATCAGTCGCGTAGTAATACACTCTGTCAGTCAATTCATTATCATTACAGAGGGTGTTGACTAGCGAAAAATTCACATTAAATTGCTATAATGCCCAAATAAGGCAAAGCGGAATTTAACGTCTTCTCAAATATTTTATATACCGACAAAATGAGAAGATACTTGCGACAAATTGAGGGGAAAACACCGTAAAATTAAAAATACATATTCTGAAATTTAAATTATCTAAACCAAGAGAGACAGCTTCGACAAATATAGTAGCGGGTAATTTGCCACAAGTACTTCCAATCTCTTCGGCGGACAAAATATTAAAGAAGACTTAAAGGTCCTCATTACCTTATTTGGGCATTATAGCAATTTGATGTGAATTTTTCGCTAGTTAACACCCTTTCTAACAACAAGTAGTACTCCATTAAATATTATTTGCAAAGTGGCTCTTATACCATCTCTGTAGAATCGAGATGACTGATTTTTAGAATACGAGAATACATATCTGGTAAATATACTCGTATACTATAAATCTAGTATTAAAGCCATATATTAGACAGCTCAATATCTTAATATTATGCTATAATTCTCGATATGCAAGAGACAGACCATTATCTTATCTTTCTTATATTTTCTAGAGAATTGATGAATGATTACAATAGTTTGTTTTGCACTTAATTACCATGTAAAATTTGGCCTTAATACTGCATTTTTAGCTTCATTTGAATGCATGCATTTGTTCCAGTCCAAGGACAAAAACAGACATACGTAGCAGTCACGTACTTTTAATATGTGATTTTATTGGTATTGCGGTAACTCTTTATTTTATATTGTAATTTCAGTAATCATTTGCAGAATGTCAATGATTAGAGCAAATGTAAAAGATGCTTAAGCTATGGAACCCTAACGTTCATCTTCCAACAACAATCGAGTATTCCACTCTTTTGGATTTGATCCTATACTTAATACTAGATTTTCTGTGATATGATTGGCTGATAGCTCTCAGTAGTCACATTATCATACTGCATTTTTCAGTGTCATTTTTAGAAAATTAACTGCAAAAGGTGCGCGTTACCAAAGGTAGTTGATTCCTTGCTACTATGAGTCAAGCTACAAGAGGAACACGCGTTGTGTTCGGTGAGGAATAAGACATTGCAGAAATCATTACATAAAAGATTTATAAGATATTACTTTCTATAGTGGGAAATATTCCATTTGAACTGACAGAAGAACAATTGATCGATATCTTCAAGGAGGTTGGTCCTGTAAAGTCATTCCGGTAAGATTTTGAGCATTATTACTTCCAATGGTATGAAATATTCCATCTTACACATAACTCTATAGTCTCTTATTTGATCGTGACACTGGTCGGCCCAAAGGTTTTGGATTTTGCGAATTCTATGGTAAATCGATGCAAATGATAAATACTAAAACACAATTACTTACCATAAATAATACTAGATGCCGAGACTGCAGCAAGTGCTGTTCGAAATCTAAATGATTACGATGTTGTTGGAAGACAATTAAGAGTTGATTATGCCGCTATGGATCCACAATCCGAAAATCCTAGACAACAACCACCACAACAGCAACAACAATCCTCACAACATCAGCATTCTCAACATCTTCAACAACAATCACACCATCATCAATCCCACCATAAACCCCCACAGCAACAACAACAACAACAACAACAACAACAACAACAACAACAACAACAACAACAACAACAACAGCAACAACAACAGCAGCAACAACAGCAACAGCAACCGCCACAGCAGCAGCAATCACAGGTAAAGTATCTGGAATATGTGGATAAGAGTGGATTGTTAAATATGTATAAATAGCAAAGAGGACCTCACATTATGGCGTCTCAACCTACTTTACCACCACAGCCTGTACCACAACAATCTATGACGAACACAGTAGGATCAGCTTCATCTGTTAACGAAATCTCAAAAGTGCTTGCATCGATGAATTCTCAGGATTTGTATACATTAATGGTCAATATGAAGGTATGTCTAATATCCACGTTAGTCCCGTGCGCTGTAAACTTATTGTCTATAACATTCAATAGCAAATGTCTTTTGAGCGACCGGCCTTTACGAGAGAATTTCTGACGACAAACCCACAGGTTGCATATGCCCTGTTCCAGGCTATGGTTATGATGAACATTGTGGATCCCAACATTATCACAGTAAGTTAGATACTGTTTATTTTTTGTATTGGCTGTGTCTAATTTGTACTATTTTAGAGAATTATGAGTAATCCTGTTGCGCTTGCTACACCACCTGCACCTTCTTTCCCTCTGCCTACTCCTACGCCACAGCCAATGTCACAGCCTCCACCAATCACACAGATGGCACCCGTCCAGCCTATGCAATCGATACAACCAATGCAGAACATGCAACCGATGCAGAGCATGCAGAACATGCAAAACATGCAACCAATGCAGAACATGCAAAACATGCAGCCGATGCAAAACATGCAATCAATGCAAAATATACAACCAATGCAGAATATGCAATCGATGCAAAACATGCAACCTATGCAGTCGATTCAACCAATGCAATCGATGCAGAACATGCAACCTATGCAAAATATGCAATCAGTTCAGTCCATGCAGCCAATGCAAAACATGCAACCAATGCAAAACATGCAACCAATGCAGTCCGTGGCCCCTCCAATGATGTCAAGCCCTGCTCCTTTCTCAAATGCCCCAGTTGACACTGGAGGTAAATTATCTTGCACACAAATAAATTCATTCTCTTTCTCTCTAACCTTTTCTTTATTAACATGATTGAAATAGTGGACATGGCAAAGGAGCAGCAAAAGGCCTTGCTGATGCAGGTACTGCAACTTACAGAAGACCAAATCAATGCCCTTCCATCAGAACATAGAGACCAAATCAGACAGTTGGTAAGAGAAACAAAGAAAATAGTATTAACCACGCATACTAATACAATTCATAGAAAGCACAATTGGAGATGCAGCAACCTCATTAATTCTTTTTTGGATAAAGAAGTCTTTTATATATAAATATTATATTTTCAATCACATCTTGTCACATCAACAAATAAGGATATTTCGGTTATTTGCTTGGATCTTTTTTAAAATCAAGCTATGCGGTCAATTGTATCTATTGTTCGGATATTTCTCTTTTTATCTTTCTCCGTATATTCTAGAAAATATAACAAATATAAGAAGAAACACATATACATATTTATTTCTGAAGTATGTTTATTTGACAATAAGAATGGAGTATAAGAAATATTGAAAAAAAAAACTCGATATTTGACGAAAGTACATCCTAAATTTGGCATATTTACTATTAAACCTATCTATTCAAATTAAGAGAGTAGTGTAGAGATTAATAAAAAGTGAGAAAAAAGAATACGTGTTTGGCTTGGATGTAAATCCTCGATAGTAATCCTGCTTGGTTGAATAGAGTAGGAAAAATAAGCCCTAGTTTAAAACCTAATTGCCACGCTTCAAAGTATCCGAATAAATTTGATAGTAAGAGTTCAAGGAACATTATGGACGGTTTATATAAGATTAAGGCTTCAATCCTTCTTCTTCACCTTTCTTCCCAAAAAATTGATTTCTCTTTCAAAATATCCCGTACTTTGACTTATGCTTTATAACGCTTATTCTCAAAAACTGACGGGTCAAGTCCGATCTCGGAAGGATCCCATGTCATACTTGAATGTTATACTTGTTGGCCCTACAAGCTCAGGAAAAACTGCGTTTATGAGAACCCTCTGCGAGCGCATGAAACACAACATCATTCAGGGAACGTTTAGGGAATCCAAGCCAATGGTTCTCAAGGAGCCAATTCGGCCTACTGAAGAACTCTACAGCGTGTCCATGCATATTGAAGAGCATGGCCAGCGTACTGCACTTACTCTTGTTGATACTCCTGGATTTACCACTGGATTCTCTGTAGATCACCAGCTTCGGTACATTGCCAAGTACATTGATCACCAATTTGAACTGACCTTGGCAGAGGTAAAGCAAGATAAAGGATATAAAAATAACTTTATAAATACTTATATAAAATATTTGTGATAATATAGGAGACAAAAATCAGACGAGACTCCAAAGCTCTCGACACGCATATCCATGCATGTATTTACTTTATTGATACCAAGGTTTCTGGCTTAAGTGATGTAGACCGTTATGTGATCAAATTGCTGGGCTCCCGTGTAAATGTGCTCCCCGTGATTGGCAAGGCAGACACACTGACTCAAGTTCAGCGGGAGAATATCAAATCGGGATTTCGTAAAGAAGTATTCGATGTTTTGCATGCACCTGTCTATGGTTATATTGAAGTTGACGATGAAGATGAAGACATTGAAGAAGACGGGGATGAAGATAATTCTGCTAACAGCGAAAAAATGGTTTTTCGAGAGAAGGCACAATCAGGTCAAGAAGAAAAAAGCTCTGGGCGAAGCCTTGAAGGAATTATCCATTTCCTCCAAGAATGTATTGATGAAGACGATGATAAAGATGCCCATGCAATGTTGGAATACCTGGATGTGGTGCCATTTACCTTGATCAGTTACGAAGAAGATCCCGACACTGGTCGTCCCATGTTAATCACACCCAATTCAAAGGAGAATCACACACCTTTTGGTGATCTTGGAAATGATTCGGACGAAGAGGGTATTTCTTCTTCTCCTTCTGTTTTCTTACCGCACAGTTTTTCTGGGAATTCATATAAATCATTGCGCCTCGGAAGATCTGAGCCTATACTGAAGCCCAGTAAGTCCAAACCAGTCCTAGGTAGACGATATCCTTGGGCAGTTGTGGAATGTGGCAATCCAGATCATTGTGATTTTGAAAAACTCAAGATGTTTCTCTTGGGCTCGCACCGAGATATGCTGCGAGTTGACACATTTGAGCGCTTTTATGAAAAATACCGCTCTGCACAGCTTCTAAACCGAAGAGCAGACCAGATATTGAATCTCAAGACCAGGACTCCTCATGTGTCGACTTAAAACCATAACAATGCCCATAGTATTTTCTTTGTATGCCTCAATATCCCCCTCAATTTCTTTATATGTTTAAAGGGTTATAGTAATAATATATAAAAAAAAAGATTTTGATTATTTTCTATAAGCTTAATGTCTGAATCCATTTCGCAGTGTTTCGCTCGCCCTTAATCCAAGATTGGCAGCAGATACTCCCCCAGACTTCTTTTTAGCCTTGTTCATCTCTTCGATAGCCGCAACAATTTCTGTTGTATTCGTCTCCAGAACCATACCTCCTTGAATTATTTCGGACAATATGTGGTGAACCTAAATTAAGCTAAGTAAGTTACCTTACTTTTGAACTCTGAGTGACTTCAAGCTTACCTCGTCAAAGTGGAAGATCTGTTTTTATAAATAAATACATCAATATTTGATAGTTTCATACTAAAAAAAAATAAGAAAAGAAAATAGGCTTACCAAATCCAGCTCACACACATTCTGAAAGCATCTATCCAAACTCTCCACGAATACCTATGTCAGGATGGTCAATTATTATTATTATTTCATTTTTAGTGTGTTTTTTTTTCTTCTTCTTGTGCCATAATTTGTGTAATACTATACTCACTTGGATCAAATCAAGTATGCCAAGTTCGCTCTCACTCTCATCCACAACGAACACAAAATAGAGTGTTGCATAGTGACGGTATATAACTCTGGTATCTTTTCCACCCAAGAGTTTACTTCCTTCAAGGAAATTGCATACTGTGTCGGGTCTCTTAGACACCAGCGAAAAGATCTCTTGGACTAGCGCTTGCTGAGTGGCAATGTCCTACGACAGGTAGAAAAAAGGAAAGGTTCGATAACTGCCGTAATGAAGAAAATCAATTGTGGAATTCACACTTGCGATTTGTTGGTAAAACTTGATCAAACGCGCCTTGCCGTGATTGTTGAAGATGAGAACTGATTTGATCATTGAAGAGAGCAACCCACACCAGTAAGCTGGGTTCTAACCCCCTTTTGTTCCAAACGTGACCCCACCGGGAAGCGCGCCTCTCTCCCTCTCTCCCTCTCACTTTATATTTTATTTTTTTGTCGTCTGCTTTTTTCTTTTCTTTTTTGTTCTTACTTTACACTCAATCACATCATGAACCACGGCTCGACATCGCGCCGACAAGCTGAAAGAAGGACTCCGCCAAATGCTGTACCTACTGTATCTGTTTATGACTTTGCTCTCCGTTGTGCTATCCGTGCCTGTCTTGAACAGACCGGTCAACAAAGACCTGAGCCAAAAAAAGACTGGACTGACCGGCACTCTGTCCACCTTGGTGTCAGTGACATGCTCAGCAACATAACCGAGAAATTTTCAGACGACAGCAGGACTGATAGACTGACAAGGGAAATTGTCAGGGGATTGATGCGAAGATTAGATGATATCAGAAAGGGTCGAGATACTTCTAAGCCAGAATACCAAGATACACGCTTTCTTTCAGTGGTGACACAGATCAAAGGAGAGCTTCAAGGGTATCGTTTCAGACCCTCAGGAACAGTCAACGACCTAGTAATCCTATTTACAAAGACATCCGAGGTTACACTCAAAAGATCGAGTGCTATGCCTGCAGCGGTGTATGAGGAGCTTAATAGATACACATCCCGCTTTGTGGAGCTTGTGATCTTGACACTCCAGGAAGATGCCCCATCCTCGGCAACCCCGGAGTTAATGGAAAAGTTGAGAGGTTTTCTGGGACCTACCAAATCAGCCCGCAATAATTCGGATAGAAGATTATCTGCTCGTCCCAGCATCCCTTCTCTTGTACCATCTTATGGATCAATCGAATATCTTGAAGTATTTCCTATGGTCAAAACTGTCCAAAAGCTATTTCAAGTCACCGATGTAGAGCATAGTCGTAAATTGAGAGAGCTTCACTCTATTTGTACAGAATCAGTAAGCATGACATTATGAATGAGAAATTGTTGAAGGCAGTAAAGACTCTAATATACATATATATATATTATCGTTATTTTACCCAGGCCCTATTAATAGATATGAAAAAATATATAACCAACGTACACACTGGACAGTCTTTCCCCGGAAAGCGGGATGATTTTCCCGACAAGCAAGTGTTTGACAACTGGCAGATGCGTGAAGTCAAGCAGCTCACCGAGATGATGAAGTCTATGATGTTACTTAACCCCACCTTGGCTATCAGTGCCAATAGTGAAACAGACGTTGGAAGTTCGAATCTCTTATCATCTTTCCGCAACAACATCTACAGTGGCTCTGAAGTTAGTTTAATGGTAAGCCCGTTTTTCTTTTGCGAACATAAATTTTCTATGCATCAGCCCACTAACTTCTCAGCCACAGAAGAACGAAATGTCTCAGGGAGCTTATACCTATATTCCATCTGATCCCCGAGCTTATTTCCGCTTACTGATGAATATGGCTATTGACTACAACATAAATGTAACCCCAGATAAGGAAAAAGCCAAAACCAGTGTTCTTTCCCACCAAGAAGATGAATTGTTACGTGAATGTTGGAAGACGTGGCGCCTGTCTGAGGCCTTTAGAGCCGTACTTTACTTGGAGGCTATTAATACACGTTATGTCCACAATGAAGTTGAATTCGAAGATGTTAAAGATGCAGCTAGATCTCTTGACAAAGTCATTAAAGAAAGCGGAATTAATAATTGGGCGAACAAAGATGTAAATAAACAGCCAGCACACAAACCAAATAATAATGCAATTTTGTACACTTTAATTTCTTTAGCGTGAAAACTTGATCCGAGCCTTTGACGAGCTTAACCAAACTCTTTTGCATAAACTGACAGAAGCGTTGTCCGAATATTGGCAGATCAGGTAAATAACCCAAAAATTAATAACACTTTTTTTTTGGAGAAAGCTTACGGGAGTTTCTTTAGTCCAGAATGGGTAGGCGATCTAGTATCAAGCTTAGACCGCATATATGACAACCCTGCTTATATTCAGGGCCATCGAGGACCACTGTTGGCTCTTGATACGCTCACCGAAGTTGTTGAGGCAAGTACTCTTGCTCCTCACCAAAGATCAAGATTGTTGATCCAATCCAATCCAACTATTAGGGAGCAGCCGTTGTTCGATGGAGATCAATTGGCAAGATCGAAGATGACAATTATGAAGATGGAGGAATCACCGGATTGATCGGTTTGGCTGAGATGCTTATTAAGGAATTTGTCTCTCTCACCAAACGCCGATTCAAGACACCTATTAGCGGGTAAAGTCTAAAGTCGGTTTGTTTATTCAACACTCACCCATATTTCTATCCACAGTGTTCTTTCTGTTCCTAGCGTTGTAATGGGAAGACAGATGCCATTTTTTGCACTTCAGATGGAAAACTGGGCATATCTTCCAGAGGCCAAAAATGCCCCTATCGAGGTGATCTTTAAGCTCTACCACAAAGTCTTGGGTTTGAAGAGACTCTACGATCAATATGGCCCACAGTAAGTTTATTGATGGTTCACCATTAAATAAAATCTTACTTTTTTGGGGTAACTATTTTGGAAATAGACAAAAGAAGTCTTTATTCAAGGTCGAATCCTGGTTCTTGCAACACGTCAAAAGATGGTTAGAGACCACTAATGAGTCTACACCAGGATGGGTTGAATCTGCTGTTAAACATGATAAAGTAAGAGAAGTGATTGTCTTGAGCCGCATATCTACAAATATATTGAATAAAATGTTTTGCAGTTTACAACAGTTAATGAAACAGTACCTCACTCCTCCTCTGTGGTTGATCTTTTTACCATGTTCCATGAGGCCGTAGACTTTGTGCAAAAGCTTCAATGGCCTAATGAACTTCAACGTTGTCGTTTCTTAACCGCCCTTTCAAAGGTAAAAATAAAATACTGGCTGGATAGTGTGCTGAATACAAAGAGCAGGTCATTGGACACGCACTCGACAAATACACCGCCATTCTAGAAGAAATGATTATAGAAGATATATACCCTACATTGGGTCATGAAGAAAATTCTTCGGCCACAGTGGCTTTCTTTAGCAAAGCACGTCTCCAGCTTACTGGTAACCATCATTCCCGCAAAAATGATGGCGTTCCTCCAGATTTTACCCCTCAGGTAAAATGCATCATCCATAATTTAAATTTTTAAATCCAACTTCTAATCAATCATGATCCAACACAGCTTTGCGTAAAGATCAACGATATCGAGGCTGCGAGATCAAAACTCGATAAACTGTATCAAATTATAGATGTTGACGATATATCGTACTATATGCGCGAGAATGATATTCCTGCAGCTGATATACCAGAACAGACAGGCTTTATGTATTCTATCAAGATTGTCCGCGCTGAGAACTTACAGCCTTTGGATAACAATGGCCTAAGTGATCCCTATGCTATTATGGAGATCAATGGAAAACAGATTGCTCGCACTCGTACAGTCTATGAGACCCTCAACCCTCGTTGGGACCAAGTGTTTGACATATGGCTTAATGAAAAGACAGTAGATGTAGTAGCCATTGTTTACGATGAAGATATGATTGGTGCCGATGAAGAATGTGGTGGTGTTTGGTTTAAGCTGTCACCAGAATATTACGATGATTATCAGCAACATGATATAGTTTTGAATCTACTTCCCCAGGGAAGACTTGTGTTGCGTGTTAGTATGGAAGGTGAAAAGAACGATATTCAATTCTGGTTTAGTAAGGCGTTCCGTACCCTGAGACGCGTCGAGAACGACTCTGCTTCTCTTATTGTAGATAGGGTAATGTATTTATATATGCGTGTATTTGTATCTTAGCACTAACGGCTAAATTAGATGAGTCGCTTTATGCGTGCGTGCCTTTCACGAAAAACTCTCGACAAACTGCTCCAACGCGACAGAAGCTTCTTTAGATTCAGTCGCTCAGTCAAATCTATTGATCCCACTCTTCAGGATTGTGAGGATGCCATTGCACCTTTGCTTGACTATCTGGAAAGAAACCTCAAAATTCTTAACGATAACCTATCGGAAGGAAACATGCGTCATGTCATACTGAAGATCTGGAAGGAGATTCTTTTATCATTAGAAGGTGTATTATTACCTCCCCTTTCTGAACATCCTTCGGAAATGAAGCCTCTAGATGACTATGAATTTCATTGTGTTTATAAATGGCTTGAGGTAAGTTTGATTTAAAAGGGTGACATTGCAATCCGAACCTCTTACTCAAATGTAATTTGTAGCTTTTGAAGGTTCTCTTTAACGGTGGTGAAGATGAAGATGGTGTACAATTAGAGACCTTAGAAAACGCACAGTACTACTCTCTCTTAGCAATTAATGTGGCATACAACCTGGAAACCGAAGAGCTTATCGGAATTTACAACACTGCCCTTAACAATCAAATGGAACTCAAGTTACAGGGTGGAGCAAAAGCTGATCGTAGCAAGTCTGTGTATCATTCTCGTCACACTGCTAAGCAGCAAAAGGCTGATAAGAAGGCTGCATCTATTGATATGCCTAGCAGTGAGACAGTACTTCGTATTCTTCGTATGCGATCCGGAAAGCGTGTCCGCGATTTCCTGCGTTCTGAGTTTGACAAACGTAACAAACCATCCACCTCATCTGGACCCGCTGCAAATATAACAGCCACAAAAGATGAGGCGTTGCAACCTACCACATTAGTCCCACCTATTATCCCTGATCGTATGATCACACCGTAAGTTACGACGCATTGTTTATGGATATTAAGACTAACATGTTAAGTAGATCTGATGAGAAAATGATGCCTTTGCCATAGACATATTTATTTAATTAGTCTTTTTTCAGTAATAAATAGTCTTGTTCTTTATTTCACTCTCTTTTGTTTTAATGTATATTATATAAGTTTTTCTTTTCTTTTAAATTTTGTGCCATAAATTATAACAGATACTTTGGCACTTGACTGATTTATCTAATGAAATACAAAGCTCTGATTTTTCAACTGTTGTTTACACTATTTTACAAAGCAAAACAAAAGCGAAATGAATGTTTCTCACTTTTAGTGTATACATTGTCGCATATTTATACTTAATTAATATTTAGTATTTGGTATTGAGAACAATTATGATGTTTTCCATGTGAGTTTTAAGTAAGGACTACATTATATTATTTAAGATCGGCTTAACATATTTATCTCTCTTTTTCTCTCGACCTTTAAAAGTCAATACAGTTATAAGACCTGTGATAAACATACAAGTCTCTAATTAACTAAAAAAGACTAAACATATATCTAATGTGCTAGCCGTTTTCAAGTCAATTAATATAGCCCTCACGCTTTTTACAGGTACATTGTTGGGTGCCTACCCGGGTTCGATATTACAGAAATACATTATATACATACATTAGTAATGTCAAAAGAATGTTTCAAAAGCTCAAAGTTTCTTGGATTTTGATGTTTATATATTTTTATTTTATTTCTGCCAACCAAAAGGTGATAAGACCTCAAACTTTCTTTTGTAGTATCCTAAATTTCAAAAATTAGAATATTTTTGTCCGATTTACCATTTTAAAAAAAAGTATTATATTCTTTACTGTGTACAAGACAAAGCTCTTAGGACATGCAGGTATATACAAAAAGATTCTGTCTTGTGTATACTATTTCCTTTATTTTTACTTTTAGCTCTCATTAATAAAGTATTCTAGAAGGGCAATATTTATTCAATACATCATATTTATATTATATATATATATATAAATCCATGAACGACAAATTTGAATGGCAAGGACCGGTAAATTAAGCAAATAAAAACTAAACGTCACAGTGGGCGAATGAAAAGGGTTGAATTATAGAAAAGTTTGAGGGCTTGCCGGAATTTTGAGTTCAAATACTTTTTTTTTTTTTTTGGTTTTTTTTGTTCAGCGTTAGTTGACAGCTTACAACACCTCAAATACAATGTCGATCGCATCAACCGCACATTCAGCACAATTGTTGAACCATGTGCTGACAGCCTTTCTCTCAGAAGAATTGTCTGTCGATCGTAATCTACCCTTTGTTTTAGAGATCATAATCAACCACCAATTGCTTGCTTTTTCACCAGCGGAAGACAATGTGGACGAAAGCGCTGTTTTCAGAAAATGGACAGTTAGACTCAACGCATTACTGAACTCAAAACATGCATCAGTACGCTGTGCCGCCATTGCACTCATCAAAATTACTTGTGAACAATCTTCTACTATGCTTGTCACAAATATCCAGACATGGTCTATGCAACTTCTTAATCTTGTTCTGGTAATTCGAATGATATATATTATCCACAAAATTGATTGTAGAAATAATAAAATATGTCTTATAGAAACCTGAACCTGAGGTTGTTCATAAAGAGGCTATCAATGCGCTTTCCTATATATATCAATATACTGTAAACAAGCCCGAACTTCAGCGTGAAATCACATCACCCAATATGAGCAGATTTAACCAGGCTCTCTTGACATTGAGCCATAACCGTGAATTTTTGGTTAGTTGAGTGGTTTAATGCATGATTATTGATTAACACGTACACATTAATAGCCTACCACACTTGCAGCCTTGACAATCAATGCAAAACTATTCCCTTCAGCATCTCGCCACGTTGCTGATCATTGTCAAAAACTTTGCTTGTCACACATGGATGGTTCTTATTATCTCGACACAGAGACCACTACAGCTGTTGCACGTTGTATGGCAACATTGTATCAGACTGGCGTAAAGGTGGCTGTAGTGGACCAGTGGAAACAAACTCTTCTGCGACTTATTGGATCAGTCCACGTCTCGCTTGACCGTTTATTCGATACTGTAGATGAAGGTAAACCGAAGATTAAAATATATACTCTTGTGCTAAATATACAAATGACATCAATCACAATGTAGAGTACGATGTCAACGATGCATTGGAGAGCTTTCCATATCCCCCTCTTTCAATTGACTTTAGAGAAGCCTTCCCAGTACTTGCAAGAAGAATCCATATTCTCGAAGAGTGCATTATAGAGTTTACGAGGTGAGTTAGATTTATATGATCTAACTAAAATATTAACTTTATTGTGTTGCATTTTTTGTAGCACGCAAACAAGTGTGGCTGTTCCAATGCCAGTTTCCCATATTTTGGATCTTGTCTGTAGAATTTATAATGTCTATGAAGGATCGTTGGTAAAAAAAAAATCCGTGTATTTAGTGTATAAGATTTTTTTTATTGATGTGTGCTGTCTTACTGTCAACTAGATGCGTGAATATAAGGAAAAGGCAGAGTTCAACTCTCTTATGTCTTTCTTGCCATCTTTACATTTGGGTGCAAACAAACTACTTGCAAGCCTTATTTACTGGTAATATATATAAACCTATAATCGTATCTGTAGATTTTTGTCTAATTTATAAAGTACAGCTCAGGACAAGAGATGTCACGATATAGTAAATTGTTCTCACGGATCCTACTCCGTCTTTTGACCGAACACAAGGGCAGAAGGTGAATATAAAATGTGAAATATGTAAATACCTAAAAAACTTAAAAACTTAAAAAAAAATGTAGAGTATTGAAGATTTCTGTATATACCCTGATGTCTTTATGTTTCCAAAAATGTGGATATGCATTTGCCAATGCTGTTGCGAAGCCATTATGTCCTATCTTGTTAGAGGATATCAAACTTGTGGAAGAGCAGAAAATTAGTGTCATGAACCCATCCCATGGTGGAAAGGTAGGCTATAATATATTTAAACCAACTGTTTAAACTAACACTATTAATATTCACAAGAAATCAGGCAAGAAGAGACGCCATGAAGTTACCAATTCAGATGCTTTGGCAACCACCGAAACTGTTTCAGCAGCAGATACCGAAGTTCAGCTCGCTGCTCTTTCTGTCCTTGAATCACTCATGACTTGCTACGGCTCTTCGATGGAAAACATTATGCGCACCTCTATTGACAGTACTCTTCTTTCAACCATCCTCCAAGGAACTCAGATGACAGAGACTCCTCGTGAATCATTTGTTCTTGCCAAACAGAAGCTTTACCAATGTCTATTAACATCGGTTATGCACCCCATTGAAACACAAGCTAGCATCCTTCCTCATGCTATGCGCATTTTTTCTGCTGGTGTAAATGATCAAACTCAACAGGTAGGGATTAATAGCAAATCTTATGTATGTAGGTGATTATTTCTAGCTTCTAATTACGCTTCGTATATATATATATATATATAGCTCCGACTTACTTGTCTTCATGGCTTGGCTGTGTGTGATCTTATTATCCACCCTCGTCTCCCACCTATTCAACGTGCTGCAATCGAACCTTCGTCTGTACATCTTCCCGATACAGAAGCCTTCAAATCTTCGGTAGAAAATCAGACACCTACCACTCAGCAGCCTACCACTCAAGACAGCGATGCATTCGGTTCGCATAGTGTAGCAGACAATTTAACAGAACATGACACAAAAAAGCAAAAGATTACAACCACAGAATCTAGTGAAATTTATCAGCATAGTGTTTCGTCAATTGTGCCTACATTTGGCCAACCTAAACAAACATCTTCTACTCAATACACACCTACACATACCTCACCTTCGCTGAACATTCAGAAAGATGAAACCGAGACGTTTATTGCTACTACTACAACTACACTGGTGCCAGTAAAATCTGTTGATGATGCGCCGAAAAGCCCAATTACTAAACCTACAGAGACGACCCACGTATCCAGTATGATTGCATCGATTACTTCAGAGCAAGAAACTTCACAGAGTATAGCTCCCACTCCTGTTCCGCAAAACATCTCTTATGGAACAGAGGATATGGATGATGATGACATGATGGAAATACCAGAGATTGATTTGGCTGGTCCAGACTCTGACGAAGAGGACTAGAGTCTGGGGTTAATCTATTATATTTTGCATTGAAAAGCTAATAAAAGACAAGCAAATATTCTTATGTTAATAAAGTTTGATATATTCCATGAAAGAGAAGGCACTCTAGTCACAACATTACAGGATATGATAGGCAGTTTAGCCGATGTTTAACGATTAAAAACATTGATACATTTCTCATGTTATCAAATATTGTCCTTCAGTTTCCACTTTTTCCATTATTGTGATACTGACCCTAAAATCAATCCCGAATAACTCAATAGCATTTTGAAGTAACAAGCTATTCTTTCCCTCTTACCCTCATACTACTTTTTCCTGTAATTTTTTTTATGTTTCTTACTCTCTTTTTATTTGTTAGCTTAATACATGTTCCCACACTTATGTGTGTTTATTAATATCTTCCCAGGCCTCTATCTCTATTTTATAGGAAGTAAGAGCTGTTTTTTTTTGGGACATTTAATAAAATTTCGTCTCAGATAGCAAAAGCCTATGAGATGGGATGCCTGAAAGAAAGAAAAATGTAGAATCTCTACTATATCGAACGTTGGTTGTAATACATCGGGCTAACGAACCGGGTTAGAGACAGGTTGACTGTACAGGTTAACGGTACGAATTAATAAACCATGTTATAACGGTCAAATAAATTGGGGTTCAATTCTTTGTTGAACTTGGTTCACACCACGATTCATTATCAAGGGGTACTCAACAGGATTTTACATATAATTTTAAATTTTGAAGAAAATAAATAAAGTATTATTGGACGAAAAGTGTTTTATCAATGTACGAAACTTCTGCGTCCATGAAAATACATCTTTAAGCACACCCCAGAGTACATTTAGAAGAATATACCTTAAACGCACATTTTCTCCCCTGTAGTGATAATTTAATTTGCCCTAGATATATATTTTTTAGGCATAGTTTCAATAAAAGCACTTTATCAGTTTTTTTTATATAATGACTATTGTTGGTACAATTATTAAACCGCCTTTATATCAAAATTTAAGCATTGAAAACTAGCAAAACCCTTTTTGAATCAAAATTTAGTTTAACTACGACCATTTTAACTTTCAGATACGCACACTTTTTATTTATATTCATTAAAACAGTATGCCTCTTAATGTCATAATTTTGGTTGGTCTTCCTGGTTCCGGAAAATCAACATTCTCGCAAGCATTGATCAATCAGCGATCAGTATGTATAAATTTAGCATCATGAGAAATCGCCTTTTATTATCTAGTTAATGTTAATTGACTTGTTATTTTTTCTTTCAAAATAATAATAATAAAGGACTGGTGTAGGGTCAATCAGGATGACATGGGATCGCGAAAAGCCTGTGAAAATTCTATGCGAACTTGTCTTAAATCTAATTACAATGTAATTGTTGATCGATGTAATTTTGATGTTAGTCAAAGAGAGACTTGGTTGAAAATCGCAAAACAGTACGATGCTTCAGTTTACTGTGTTGTCCTTACTGCCTCTTCAGATGTGAGTCTTTACCTTATATATATCTAAGTCCTTAAATAATTACATAATAGAAATGTTTATTAAATAATATATAAAGGAATGCAGTAACCGAATTTCCTATCGTGTGAACCATCCAACTGGTGTAGAAGGCAAGAACGGTATAGCAATTCTTCGCCGTTTTATGAAGAACTATCAACCTCCAACCAGTGCATCACCCGAAGGATTTCAGCGCCTTATTTATTTAAGTCCAAGTCCCGCTACCGTTTGTTCCCAAGAGAGAGTTGATCGTGTATTGAGAGACTTAGGGATCCTTGAACCTGTCAATCCAGTTGTGACTCCTGAAGAAGTGTCAAATAATGTTGCACAGATTGGCATAAAGAGAGACCAAGGAGAAGAATCCAAAGAAACAGATTCAAGCCAAGATTTTAAAGAGACAAATGTAAACGAAAAAGAACCCACCGAGACAAGTGGAAATCAAGGAGAGCAAGTAGTATAGATTCAAAATCATCCATCAAATCTTTTCGTATGGCATATATGCACACAAATGCTTTAGTTAGCCTTAGTTTTGTGTTTTTATTTGAGAAACTTTAATTTTTTTAAAAAAAAAATTACATATTTCTTATGGTCTTCTTTATAAGTTGGATAAACCTTCCATTTATTAATATTTATTATGTCCGAGATATACTCTATCTATAATTGTTATCTAAATCAGTCTCTAATCTTTGAAGGCTGCCATCTATCCACGTATGATATTTTACAATCAGTTACTGGAATTCGTTGTCTTTGATTACAGAATGCCACTCGCTCATCTTCAGGATATCCTCTATAAGGTAAAGTTACGAACGGGTGGTTATGTTCGAGGCCTGTGAAGAGGTCAATATTCCGTGCACCTGCCCAGGGCAAATATTGTTCTGCAGCAGCTGGACAATCTGGCGCAACATAATTTGGCTGGTAAGAATAATTCTGCGAGCGATGATAGGATGGTGAATATAATTCTGCTCGAAAACTATTTGAGTTGCCAGAATAGCGCTCTCCGTTGTGGTAATCGAATGTAGCCTGTTCTTCTTCATAGTACTGACTTCGTAATGAGGATGTTTTATTATGATTATTATGATTATAAAAATTAGAGCTGGTAGATCTGTGCGCAAAATTGTTCAATGTGTTTGTAATTTGCATAAGTTCTTGGTGGATTTTTTGTATATCTGAGAACTTTACAGGGCGACAGTCATCTTCATGACCTTGCATATTACAGCGTTGTTGATGCATATCTTGATAGCGCTGTTGGTGCAGTTCTCTATAGTATGCTCTCTCTTGCTCTTCTCGAGACAGCCTTTGTCCTTCACGAAATACCATCTGCTCTTCTGCGTGATATTGCTTTATTCTTGGTGACTTGCTTGTATAACCTCGTCTAGAGTCTTGCTCATTGCTTTGAGAAGGGTTCGACATAAAGTCCTCTTTATGCTCGCTGGGCTCACAATCTATGAAGTATTCTTGTCGATCCATTTTGTGGTTCAGCTCTTGTTCAAGTCGCTTTCTTTCTCGATCTTTCTTCTTTTATATCAAAATTTGTCGTAAAAGAGAAAGAGAGGGATCTTGTGTCGATTACGTATCCTTATTTTCATTATAATTATTTAGCAAATCTCCATTGTTTGTATAAACGAAGAAGACACACTACCTTGTGTACAGTATAAAGAACGCATATGAATGAATGGAACCAACTCATTGAAAGAGCTGTCTACCTTAAACAAACACCAGCTCTAGAATTTCTAAAATTGTCAAATTTGTAGTCATAGTTTGCATTAATGTGTATATTTTTTATGAGTACAAGGATATAAGAAAGACTTTATTGACGCATTGAATCCTCTTTATTGGAATATAAACAAATAGGGCGCATAATTTACTCTTGGTTGTCTTCAATAATATCACTAAAAGCAAAAGGCTCAAATTGAACACCATCACCCATGTAGAACTTTCCGTCAAACTCAACCCTAATATTTATATTTAGTTCAGTAGGTTTCTCGATTATTAGAATTACAGAAAATAAAGAAAAGGAAAGAAAAACATACCAGTGAAGACGGAGAGCGTGCAAGAAAGCAGATAAACCTTCCATGCCCAGCAAGATACCGACAGTTAATACAAACCACATAGAGAAACCGATAACAAGACCAACAACGGCAAGAGTTCCGGTGAAGTTGAACCAAATCTTAAGGGTCATATCCCACAATACACTGGATAACTCTGTATATTATATTATATATTTAAAAGAACAATAGTTTAGATGGAGTACTATCAAAATAAAATGTTATATACGTACGAGCGTGAGCAAGGGAAAGAGCCCAAAGACGAAGGTATGAGGCAGTGTTAGAGATACAGTTGAGACAGAACTCAATGGTATGAATTGTCTGATGGATCATAACTTCACTGAATTCAAACTATAAAATAAATATTAGTAAGATTCGTTTGAGATTTACCAAAAACGAAATAATATACCTCTTCTACTTCTTCCTCTTCTTCAACAAGTGCTTCAGTATCTTCGTGAGCAACGGTCTCATACTGATGCTTGGAATTTTGAACCTTAAGATAATAAGGCTTTGCGAACCACATCCATGGTACACAAATGAGAGCAATTGCAATCAAAGCTCCTTGAATTGGGCCCTATAAATATAAATATGCAGGATTAGACTTTCAGTTTAATTTCGTACAAGGTACTATTAATAGTAAAACATACTTGTCCAGCAAAAAGCTGCTCTTTGGGGTCAACAGTACCAGGACTCAAGAACATATAGATCAACATGTTCAACAAGTTTGGAGGAGCATTTCGAATATGATGACCCTCGGAGTCAAGTTCCCACCAGTTAACACTCCATTTGTACATGATACAGAAGATAAGATAACCAAAGATAGACTCCATGAAAAGAATCTGGGGCAAGAATTCGAGCCAGACAAACATTTTCTTGCCATAGTAGACGTGATTGAATACGTTCAAACAGATAGCGAAAGACATCTATAATATAAAATATAAGGAGCGTGTTACGTATAATAATCGTCTTTACAACATACGTGAAGGACACCCAAAATAATGGCCTGTTTCATTTTGTAAGAGTTTGAAAACAACAAGAAGTTCTCGGATCCGTGCCATGACTTGAATATTTAAAAAAAAATTAGAAAACCAGAATATAAAAATTGTAATATAATATATAAGTTTAAAAGTAAATAAATGTATCTTACAGGGTCAAAACCAAAGGGATAGACATGACCGTTGGTAACAGCCTCTACGGGACCAGTACCATTGTGATGGGGCCAATCAAAACCAGGAGTGGCAAGGTTGAGAGACAGAGAAAATACATCGTTATAAATAATTCCAGTGAAAATAGAGAAGAGACCCATCATCAGCATCATGTAACGACCACCAAAGAACATTTTAAAAATCTATATCAGAGTAATAAGAGCAAAAATCAACAGTTAAAAAGTAAGTTTACATTCAACCATTCGACTTTTCTTGTTTATGTGAAACTCCAAAATCCATTACTTACCTCGCCATTATCAAGTGCGAGTTTCTTCTCGTTGAGAACAAGGTAGAGTGCGAATAGGAATAAAAGGAAGCCGTGACCAATATCACCAAACATGACAGCAAACAAAAAGGGGAAGGAAACTAGGGTGAAAAGGCCAGGGTTGACCTCACGATACCGTGCGATACCATAAGCATCGATGATTGCTTGGAATCCCTGGGTAAATTTGTTGGTGCGGTGGTATGTAGGGGGTGTCTTCTTGGTATTCAGGTTGTGGACGATACAAGAAAGGTTGGTACCCGTAGCTTCCTGTATGAAATATCAATACATTAAACATTAATATTAATGCAAATGGGGTTGATTTAGACAAACTTACGCTGGCTTCTTTGAGTGTGCGCTTGATAATGGCGAAGTCGTTAGTGGGGCACCATCCTTCTGCGATCAGGGTCTTACGAGCACCATCATAGATGAAACGATTCATGGTGTTATAAATAGCCTTTTCCTTACGAACAATGGTTGTCCAAGCTGTCAAGTTGTCAGCGATTTTGCTAAGCTCTGAAGTACGGGCAGAGGTGGTGGTGAAAAGGACCTGTATGGATTCAAAGTTTTACAAATGTACAAGCAGAAATGAGTCTACGGCTCGCCGATATTTCTTCTCACATCACCACACACTATAATACTTGAGCACTCTTACATTGTTGAGATCCTCAATGCTCGAAGTAATGTTAAGCAGAGTATCGCGTCTCTTATCAGCGGACTCATCAACAGTGTAAAGAGTACCACCCAAACTCTCGGAAATCTTTCTTGCTTTGCTAATCATCTCTTTACCATGGGTAAAGATAGCAAACACATTCTTCTCAAGAGTCTCATCTGAATCGGGATCCACGATCATTTCATCAATTTCAGCAGACTTGACGAGCAAGTTACCACGCAATGAGCGCCATAGCACGCGTTCAAAGGTCTGCATGCGGTGACGGGAGATCACACCAGTTACATAGCCAAGGTTGGCATGGCTGGGATCTTCACTACCAGTGCCAACATCGTGTTCAAGAAGAGGTGTGGTAGCATCTGTTTCATCAAGGGACACACGGGGATCTTGTCCTGGGTCAGCCTTTGATAAGTCGATAGAGAGACAGAGAGATATGATATAAGTTATATATGTCACTTATTTTGTATACTCCCAAATATCATAAACTTTGCACAATCATTTATGGTTCTTACTTGTTCAAAGAATGTAGCCGTTTCACGGAGAACATGACGGAGCTCGGTGAGTTGAAGATAACGACGCTGAAGGGCCTCATAAGAGTTGTTCATTTCAGAGAGACGACCTTCGTGATCGCGAAGCTTCTCTTCAAGGTCGTCGATTTCCTGGGTTGACCGTGCTCGAGAAAACTGACCGGCGAGGCCGAGATGGCGAAGGGGAATTCCTGCCTTGTCGACCTGAGACTTGAAGAAACCTACGGGAAATTGTTTTATTAAATAAGATATGCCTCATGAATTTTTGCAGGATTCTTTTTTTTTGTCAAGGAGTCTCATGTGTTTCATCGCCGGGCTTCGCGTTGACAAGTAATAAAGATGGTGGACTGGGACTCTGTCTACTTACGGCACTGGCGCTCCATTTCGTCGAATCTTCTTATTTCGGAAACATAAGTACGTTGGAAGGCATTAACATCGGGATTAAGCTAAATATTGACTGAGGATGAGTAGGGTTGTCGAAATCTCTTGACTTTGGGCTGGGTTTCTGACTTACGTCTCGGAATTGGACCATGCCAAGTTCGCCAAGTTCGGCGACACAGGGTTGGACGATTTCCGTAGGAATGTACAGCTGAATTAGTGACATCTCTTCCGAGCGGAAGAGAGTAGTCGGTGCCATGCTGAATGAGAAACCTAAAATGGGTAAGAGAAGAAGGCGACACACACAAGGGGGTGAAGGGAAAGGGTTCTGGGTATTTGCCCGAATTTACTCACGTGATGAGACTCCAATGACGTCCTGGAAGAGGTGAGCTTGGGTTGAGTTTTGGTTGAGTTAGTCTGATCTGACTTGTTCCTGCGTTTACTTATTCCTACCCCCCATTTTTTTCTTTTAATATATATTCTTACTTTATTTATTTTACATATATATATATATATTTATTTTCTCTTTTCCTTCGTTATTCATTCCTCTCCTTTGACGCCATCATGATCAAGAATCTTGGAAAGTTTAAGCAGGTACGCTTGGTTTTTGCTTTAAAAGTCTTTGGGAACACAGACACCCCGCTTCTTGCCGACCTTCAAGTACAAAGTAGAATTTAAGGACAGTCATTTGTACCGGGATGGATAAGAATACATCATCCTGAAATACCATTCATCAAAGCTTGATTATGTACTTGTTGGTCGTCTTGACCTATTCGGAGTTCTATTGATTGGTTGCTGATTATGGAAGCAAGGAATTAAAAAAAAGAAATCACGTTTATTTATATACATATATAGTGGACAGGTGAACGCTTGGGCGCTGCCAAGGCAACACTTCAAACAGAAGAGTTTCAAAGATTAGAAATAGAGACAGAAAGAAGAAGAGCCGGATTTGACCGTGTAGTGGAAGCTATTGATGTCAGCCATGCTCAGTTGAGTAAAAAGAAACCATCGCCAGAAGATGCCAAAATCAAGATTTCACCTATGGAATCTCTTGGTGCTTGTTGGTCACATTATGGCGACTCATTTGATACAGACTCTTCTGCTGGTAAGCAACTTCTTGGGCCAATTGGATAAGAAATATAATAAAGGGGTGTGAGAAAGTGTCTGATACAAAGATATACATATGCATGTACATCAGGTGCATCGTTTGTCAATTATGGTCAGGCAACAACATTGGTAGCACATCTTCAAGAAGAGTTTGCCTTATCAATGAAAGAAGTGTACATTGCAACTCTTCAGCGTGGACAGATAGAATATAAAGAGTACTCGGCTTTACGTAAGAAACTTGAATCGCGTCGGTTGGATTATGATGCCAAGCTGGGCCGACTTCAAAAGTCAAAAAAGGAGAAGCCCGAATGGGAACAGGAGATGCAGGCGTCCAAAATGAAGTATGAGGAGACAGAATATGATCTCATTCAGAAGATGGTTGCTCTCCAAGAGTTTGAGGTACGAGGCATACTGCTTATTAGATGTATTTATTAAGTTTATTTATATAGGAAGAGCATTCGGAAGCCTTGAGTATGCTGTTGGATGCTCAAATTGAGTTCTTCAACAATGCAATCGACCGTTTGTCTAGTGTCCGATCAAACTGGCCACAATCCACGCGCGAAGGTCCGCGTGTTCCCATGACCAGAACAGCTAGTTCCAGTTCAGGGCTTACTCGCAGTCCGGACGGTGGTCCGGGAGACTATTTTACACCTCCCCCTGATCGTACGGGTCTTACTCCACGCTCGCCCAACGGGAGCCCTTGTATTCGGGGGCCAACCTCACGCCAGTTGAGTGCGGATCCTATCACTCCACGCCGTGTTCCCAGCCATTCTTCACTTCGTGGTGGAGAGGACCCTGTTACTACAATGACATCCTCTCCCGGTAGACTTGCCCCACAGATGCCACGTCGTCAATGTAGGTATAATATCAACCTAAATAAATCACATTTATTCATCTATATCTCTCTCTCTTTTTTTAATAGCACAAAGCACGGTATCTAACAAGAAGAGACGCAAGGCTATTTATGATTTTGACGGAGATTCTGTTGATGAGCTTTCATTCCGTACCGGAGATGTGATTACAGTAGTAGAGGAGGTTGATGAAGGGTGGTGGCTGGGTGAAGTAGAGAATATAGGACCCAAACGTCGTGGTATTTTCCCTGTTAATTATACAGAGGAGATTTCCGGAGCACCTCCTATGCCTGCTCGTCCTTTGGTTTCTTCGCCTAGCCCTCAAATACCTGAAGCAGAGATTGAAGTAGATGAATATGAGCAAGAAGTGCCGCACGAAGCTTCTCCTTTCCATGACAAACCAGCTTCCAACTACGGATATACTCGACCTGCACAACCTGTCCGCGCTTATTCCAGCAATACCTACACCAACCCTTCTCCACCCCCGATTGCTAGAAGCACAACTTTTGTTCCTCAAGCCACTAAACCTACTGGTGCATCGCGCGCCCCTCCTCCACCACCTGCTGCCCGAGCTTCTCCAGTTATGTCTCGTAGCTATACCACCAATACCAATACACAACCTACAACCCGAGCACCCCCACCCCCACCCCAGAGCCGTCCTTCTCAAGATCCTGTAGGCTCAGGAGAGCCAAGTTGTCAGGAGTGTGGCTGTGTTGACTTTAGTGCAAACTTGTTCAAGCGAGGACATTGCAACAACTGCTTCCACAAGCACTAAACATATATTGTCCATAGATCGTTTATAAAAAAATATATATAAGAAAAAAGTGAGCACAGGTGCGACACACACACAAACACAAACACAAAAGCATTTGTGTATATTTATATTATATACAAATCTTTAATATATATATATATATATATATATCCATATTGGATACCCAATATCTTTTCATTCCATTAAGCCTACATGTTAATGCTGCTGGTTAGATAACTAGATTGATTTATCAGAACTGAAGAATATACTCAATAAGCATTGACCACCTTTGAAGGGTTAGTGATGCACAAGGCTTGGATTTCAATAGAAGAATACTCTGTCCTACTGTCTTTTTCTTTTGCATTCCAATTGACCAATAGGGGCCATTACAATGACTACAATATAGTCCATCGATTTCTTTGTCTTTATAATAAAAGATAAAAAAAAATTAGTTTTTGTCAGTAGCATCAGCCCATTCGACAGCTGTTATTTGCCTGAAATAGAATCGGGACAAGAAACCTATAGAAATCCAACGAGGTCAGTTGTCGGAAGCACCAAGACAAATATACATCTATATTATATTTGGACAATCTCAACGTTTATTTGTCTTCATTGAGCCCACGCCACAGAAGATGTATATATGAGGCCAGTTTAAGTGAAGTAAAGCGAATCTATAAAATACATTGTGTGAGTATTTGTGAAGCGGTCACTTAATGGGATGTTTTCTTGTTATTATATATTTGTTATGTGTGTATTCCTTTAGGCATTTAATTATTTAATTATTTATAATAAAATTAAATAAATAATTAAGTTAATAAATAATGGCAGAGGTTTGTATAGGGAGTGAGGAATGAAAAGGCGGGGTGAGCAGCCTTTTTTAGCTTCTTAATTCTCTGTGCAGTACTTTGCTTCCCTCTTTGTTTTTATTTTATTTATTTTATTTTCTCTTTTCTGTGTGTGCCTGTGCCTGTGTCTGTGTCTGTGCCTGTGCCTGTGTGTGTGTGTATCTTTATATTTATATATCTTTTTTTATTTTATTTTATTTTATTCTATCCAAGCTGGGATACTTGAACCCTTGAGCCAAGCAGAATAATATTAATAATAATAATAATAATAATAATAATAATAACAATACAACCTCTGTTGCAATGACTTCACCAAAGAGCATCCTCAAACAACTTAACCCCTCAAACCCAATTGGATTACAGTCATCTTCATGGCTCTCTCGCATTCAATCCAAGATATACTCAACTCCTCTCGACGATCCTAACGCCGCAATCACCCTTCCGAGACAAGAACTAAAAAGGGTCACCTTTTCGGTCAGCAAACTCACTTCAGAGCGTATTTTTTACTCTGGAGACGACGTCCCCGAAGAAGATTCCACTCAGACAGATCTCAAGGAAGCTACCCTTGCAGATGAGGACATTAAACTCGACCCAAGTCAGGAACTTCCAAAGTACTACGAAAAAGCCTGTCGTATGAGAGAAGAGCCCGTACTAGACCGTTTCCTAGATGTTCTACGCTTGAATTGGTGAGTAAAGGAAGCCATTTTCATTACCCAAAATACACATAAGAATACTTGCTAAGTGACGTCAAGGTCCACCAAAGCTTTACACGATTAACCGCCGTAGATTTATCCAACAAGGTCATCGATCGCCACCAGGCAGGACCAATTGCCGATATATTGATGCTTCAGCATTGTCTCACAGATTTGAACCTATCCAACTGTGCGCTTGAAGACGAGGTAAATAATAATAATACTGCTAATTATTGATATCATCAGCACACAAACAAATTCTTATTACCGTATGTTTTTTCTCTTACTTTCTTTATCCATCCAACTAAAACATCAGACGATTCGAGTACTTCTTAACAGTCTTCTACTCAGCGATACTCTTCCTGTGTTAGATTTGTCAAGCAACCCCTTTAAAGCCAAGGGCTTTAAATACATCTCAATATTTATCAGTCAAGTAAGACTACAAATTTGCCAAGCAAACTTTGTTTAACCTTATCTACAGTCTAGAGCTCTCGAATCTCTTTCTCTCGCCCGATGTACTCCAGACCGCAGTTCGATTCAACACCTCTCACAAGCAATTCAACTTGCTCCTTCACTTCGCCATTTAGATATGGATGAATGTGGTCTCAAACCCCAGCTCTTGGAAGTTCTGTCTGAAGGTGTCAGACAATCAACCTCGCTTTCCTCTCTATCCCTTCGCAACAACCGTATAACTCACTTGGGTGCAGTCTGGATTGCAGCCATGCTATTGACCGAAGAGCCTATTGATATCTATTGGCAGTCTGCGGAATATACCCGTCGTGGTCTCCAACGCCTCGATCTTACAAACAACAACTTTCAGCATGGTCTGGGACCGGTCGCTCAGGCACTCTACAACAATCAATCACTCATTCACCTATCACTCAAAGACTGTCACATTGGACCTGATGGCTGTAGCCTTTTGGCTGAGGCTCTGGTAAGGAAACAGTCTACCCACCAATCTTTTTTTTCTAATTATGCCACGGGGTGTGAAAATGTTAGTTATCCAATCAATACCTTCAAACCTTGGACTTGAGTGGAAATCCTCTCGGAAAAGGATCTGACGACGGAGTAAGTCATGATAGAGATGACGATGACAGTAGTAATGTGTGGTTTGGTGGTCGGTGGTGATAAATATTAATATACATTTTATTTTATTTTTTGCTTTCATTTTTTGATTTATAGATCCAATCCCTAAAGACCACATTGGCTCGTAACCCTAGACTAGTAGAATTAAACTTGGCTGATACTACACTTGGCTCTAGTGCTGCGATTGCTCTTGCGGAAGCTCTTCCAGAGAATTCACAACTCACTCGTCTAGATTTGTCCAAGAATCCTTTGGTAACCATGGCTGGTGTCCTGGCCCTGTCTGTGTCTATTCGAATGAACGACACGCTTACCTTTCTTGATATTAACATTCCGGTAAGAAATTCGGAATCCAGACTTGATTTGAATGTCCAATATTTTACTAATATTGGAAATAAAGCCAAATGACCTTGATTTGGCTCAGTTACAGAATGATATCGTTGCTGTGTGTACAAGAAACATGCAACGTACGTTTGAAAACAACAAACCTCAAACAGCCAAGGAAGACGTCGAAAGTCCCGAAATATCATGTGAACCCAAAGTAACCTGTTCTTCTTCTACAATTTCATCTGCTTCTTCAGCCTCTTCAGGCCTCTCACATTCAATCGAAGAACATCCAGATGTAGCCTCATTTGACTACTCAAAACAGCATCCCAGTCTTCCCATCGTAAGTCATTCCATCTATTCAGTCCAACCAGCCGTGCTTATATCCTCTGGCAGAACTATCCATTAGAAGACATATCATTGGTCGATGATCTTCAACTCTAGTTATTATTATTTTTGTGTTTATTATTACTTATCTTACAAACAAATGCATACATTATCCCTACAAACTCCTCCTCCTCTTCGCTCATAAGAAAAGAGTCTATTTTCCATATTCATTCAAAAAAAAATCATCCTCAAATTGAAACCGGGTTCAACTCTAATTACGCCAAATCTGAACATAGTGAATGTGACATCTCTGACGACATGTCTGGAAAGTACAGAATGTTGTTTGTTTATTTTTGTTGTTGTTTTGTGTGTGTATGTGTTATGTAAAAGTTTAAGCCCTGGATACAAAGACAGAATATTTTCGGAAGTAACAGTGGAAGCCGAAATTAACCCTGGTTTCTTGCTTAGAAATACAAAAACACTCGATTTCAAGAAATTCCTGTCGGGCCACATTTGCAGCATCAAATTTAGTACACAACGGTACCTTTCCCTTCCCTTGCCCTCCCCGATACGCCCAAATATATCCATATATATATATATATATATATTTAGAAAATTTGAAAATTTACTATAATGTCAATTCTTCTACATTTGGCTCGTTAGTAGGGAAAGAAGGAAAAAGAATAAAAAACGATGCTTAAATAGTTGACTACAGGTTAATTCTAGTTTCATTACATATACTAATGCAATAGCCAGGTCTATATCCTTTAATTATATATATATATACATTGAAATTAATTAATTACTTAATGAATTAAATAAATAGAAGAAATCTTAATATAAATCTTGCTTAACTTTTTGTCTACTATACAAGATACCTGTTCACAAAATATCTAACAGTTGGAAGCTCTGTGACTTGAAAGTAATAGGATTTGAAGAAGAAGAAATATCATCAAATATGAATCTAATGTGTATAGAATTCATTTACTCGCACATCGCTTTCAGTAGAACTTTAATTCTACAATTTGTATTAATGTATTTATTTGATATTCCCCATATCCCATTTTATATAAGTTTTTAGCTGGTTGTCAAGGCTTGTCCTATTGTGCTACAGCAAACTACAGTGTTGCTATGAAGCAAATATCGGAATTTGAAGGACCTTGCATTCAATTGTAAAATACCTTGAAAACTTTCAACTCAAAATGTTGCTTAGATTCATTCGAAATATTTTACAAACCAACTCAATTGGCTTACGAAAGAATGTTTTCATCATTAACTCGACGCACACAGCTCAATTCCCAAAGATTTTCTCGACTTTTCTCAACTCAACATGACGAACGATTGACACGACTAAGACAAGTCATGACCGAACTACCAAAGCCTCTTGATGCCTTGTGAGTGGAAGCATTAAAGAGAATTAAACAACTAAAGATTAATTTAAGTGTTGTTCCGTCCGAGGATGCTCATCAGGTTGCGTACTAAAAATAATAAATAACTCTTTGTTTTCCAATTATTTATCTATTTATTTATTTATTTATTTATTAGAGCGAATACACTGCAGACTGTGATAATAGAAGATCATGGATATCTGGATTTACAGGCTCGGCTGGTACGTGTCAATGTATAAAGTAGCTCTTACTTACATACACGTTTTCTATTTAAAGGATGTGCTGTAATTACTTCTTCAGAAGCCGCATTGTTTACAGACGGGCGATACTTCTTGCAGGCCTCTCAGGAACTAGGTCCTAAATGGAAATTAATGAAACAAGGAATACAAAATGTACCTACATGGCAAGAGTACCTTGGAAGTTTACCTACAAACTCCAACATTGGAATTGATCCATCTTTAATTACAGCAGGTAAATCAAATTTAATATTGGTTATTTTCTTTTGTAGTTTCATTATCATTGTTTGTTGGATTGAGAATTAAACTTTTTTTTTGTCTATAGCGGATGCCAAACAGTTGAAACAGAATCTGGCTACTCGTGGTTCACATCTGGTGTCTATTTCCAACCTTGTGGATATGGTTCGCGATGACCGGCCTAGTAGACCTTCAAATCCTGTCAAGATCCACCATGAAAAATATGCTGGTCAGGATCACCAATCCAAGATCAATCAACTGAGAATAGCTTTGGATGTGAGAAAGTGTCAAGGCACAGTGATCTCGAGCCTTGATGAAATTGCATGGCTTTTGAATCTTCGTGGATCTGATATCCACTGTTGCCCGGTGTTCTTTGCTTATTGCATTGTTACCCAGCAAGAAACTATGCTGTACATAATGAACAAGGGCAGAGATAATTTATCGAAGAATGTAGTCGAGCACCTCAACAAAGCAGGTGTTCAATTGTGCGACTATGATGATGTTTTTGAAGATTTAAAGGAAACAACAGGACAATTTATGATTGACAGTAACACTACCAGTTATTCGATACTGCAGGCCCTTGGCTCTGTAAGTATCTATAATTGACTATGCTTTGTTTTAAAAATCATATTCGCTGACCTTGTTAAAGGACCGTGTGTGTGATGCCAGCTCGTGGGTTTCTGATGCAAAGGCAGTTAAGAATGAAGCCGAGCTTGCGGGTATTCGTGAGGCACACAAAAGAGATGCTGCCGCTGTGTGCCGGCATTTTGCTTGGTTGACCAATACCCTGACTCAAGGAACCACTATCCGAGAAGCGGAAGCCGCCATTCACCTTGAAGAGATGCGTAAACAAGATCCTTTCTATGTTGGATTAGCGTTTGATACAATCTCAGGAACTGGGCCTAATGGTGCTATTATACACTATCAGCCCTCTACTATCAATTCAGCAATTATCGACCCAAAGCAGGTTTACTTGTGTGATTCTGGAGCACAGTACCTTGACGGTACAACAGACATCACTCGCACATTTTTGTTTGATGGACAGCCAACAGACTTTCAAAAAAGAGCCTTTACTCGGGTTCTTCAAGCTCATATATCGATTGACCAGGCAGTTTTTCCAAAGGAAACCACAGGTAAGATCACAAATAATACAAGCCATTGAATATAATTCTCATCTCATATAACAGGCTATCAAATTGACTCTTGGGCACGTCAACCATTGTGGCAGGATGGTCTAGATTACAGACATGGAACGGGACATGGAGTAGGGGCTTATTTAAATGTGCATGAAGGACCTCATGGTATTGGTAGTCGTCCTATATACAAAACAAAGCCTCTTAAGCCAGGCATGGTGGTTACCAATGGTAAGACTCTTAAAAACATGTTTATATATGTATATCATTTAATCATATTTTCTGTAGAGCCTGGATACTATGAAGATGGACAGTTTGGTATTCGAATCGAAAATGTTTTGATAGTCCAACCAAAGGCTGTACCTTACCCTTCAGAAACCCCTTTTTATGGATTTGAGCATGTGACCTTTGTGCCTATGGGTCGTCGTCTGTTGGATCAAACACTGTTAACTAGAGAAAATCGGGAATGGTTTAATAAATACCACAAAGAATGTAGAGATGTCCTTGAACCTTTATTGAAAGGGGACTCTGCTACACTCCAATGGGTTGAGCAACAAACAGAAACCATCTAATTCAAACAAGTAAACGTTTTATAAAAATCATAAAATAAAAATAAAAATAAAAACGCAGCCAGAATAGGGCGACAATTCAGGTCAAAAACTCCGGTGAGTTTCAAATAGTTTATTTTGTTTTCCTTTGTCACTTTGTTCATCTGTTCATTAAGCATGGTAAAAATAAAATAAAGAAGAAGAAGAAATCCATCATATGCTTTGGGGAAATATTTGTCTCATTGCTCATTAGCCTAGTGAGGTTGATGACACATTAAAACGCCTGTCGAACCGTAAAGGTGTCAAGGGTGTGGTCATTCTTAATGGTGACGGTCAAGCTATTCGCTCCACACTCGATCCTGAATTGACAGTAAAATACGGCCGTTTGATTTCAAGTCTTGTACAACAAACCCGCACAACCATTAGTACATTGGATGACCAGGTAAAAATAACCTGGCCAACTCATTATAAACAGAAGAGAAAGAATCTTACTCGACATCCTTTTTAGAATGATCTTACGTTTTTGCGCGTACGAACAAAAAAGCATGAGATTATGATCGCACCTGGTAAGAATAAAAGAATTTACTAAACTTTCATCTATACGTATATGTGTACATATATATGTATTTTGTGGCTGCTAATAAATTGCTGTTAGACCGTGAATATCTCCTGATTGTTGTCCAGAATCCAGCAGAAACTATGCAAGCCTAGGTCATCCAATATTTAAGCTTGGTGTGTCATTCCATTGAAAAAAAAAAGACAAGAAAAGCTCAATCTCGGTTTGTTTATATTGTATACCCTTGTTCTCTTCTTTAATAAATACACATCCAATATTTGTTATAAAGAGAAAATCGAGTGTAAGAGAGAAAGAGATAATTATATTCTAAAGTTGATAGGCCAGCTAAATAAAAATAATGAGTCTTACCAATGCTTTTCTCTTTGAGTACGTTCTTTAACAGTCACAATTAGCTACAAAAAGAGAGTTAAAGATGGAGCATCATTGCGGTTATGCTTGTACACCCCCTTTTTTCTTTTTATTTGTTTTATTGATTGAACACCATGGCCGAAGATTTTAATTTTCTTCACAGAGACAGCATGCTTGGCCAGACATTCGAAACTTCGTCTGACACGATGCCTAACGTACTCATCGTACTTAATGTAACCCAGCTTCCGGTGGAGTTACAAGACGGCGTTTTAAAGGCCATGAAGCATGCACCCCGCAACAACATAGTGAATGGTGCTGTTGATTGCCTTGATAATGACTACCAATGGCATACAAGGTAGATTCAAAACAGCTGAATGGGGTAGCTCGTATTGAATTCCTTAAGATAAATTTGTACAACTTGGTGTGTGTGTATAAAAAATAATGCTGTATGAATATAATAGTTTTGTCTATGATCAAAGTTTGCGCCCTGGAGAATTAGTTGTGAACAGCAACCGCTCCAATTATGGAGACACTAGTTTGTCCGAAGACTTTCAAATATGTGTACGATACAATCGAAGAATTGAAGGTATATGATGTGTTTTATTATTCAAATATTATAAAGAGAAATTCATTTATAACCTTTTGTTCACACAAAGCTTTCCGCGCACTGGGAAGACTGCTGGGTGCTGCGCGTGATCCAAGAGTAGGGACGGGTGAACATGGCATGTTTTTAAATTTTACAGAGCAGGCACAATTTGAAACACAAGGGTAAATACATATCCATAACTAAGTGTACGATAATTGTAACCTTTGATGTATTCGTTTTTGATAGTGTACTGATCGATTGCAGTCGAAACGGTGTTCTTCGACTCCACAGTGTCTATTTCATCCTGTGCAATATGGCCTACATGGGATTAAATATGCTCCAGTTATATACTGAAGATACTTATGAGGTACGCAATATAATATTATAAGCAAATATAGGAATATTTAACTTGAGAATAACAAATAAAAATAATTAATTGTATAGGTTGAAGGAGAACCGTTATTTGGATATTTAAGAGGTAATTAAATAAAGTCCTTTTTATAATAAAAAAAATAACAGAAAATTAGGTTAATTTCTTTGCTTATTTACAATATATATATATAGGAAGATATACCCATGAAGAACTTTCAGCAATTGACGACTATGCATTTGATCTGTTGAGTACATTGCGCCAGTTCATCGAGTGGTCCACGTCAGGAGTTGGCATATACTAACGAACAGATGTAGAGGAATTGAGGTGATACCCTGTATTCAGACACTAGGTCATTTCGGCCAAGTTTTACAATGGCCACAGTATACACATCTGCGAGATAATCAAGAAGTTCTGCTTGCTGAATCAGAGGCAACTTATGAATTTATCGAAAAAATTGTAAAGGCTGCCGCCAGCCCATTCAGGTCCAAGCGGATTCATCTAGGAATGGACGAGGTTTGACACTTCAATCGATGCCAATATATTAGTTTCTGATACTGCTAGATTAGGCATATGGCTTGGGTGAAGGAAGATATGCGCAATTGTTTGGCTTCAAAGAACCAACCAAGATATTTGTGGACCATCTGAAACGTGTACATGAGATCTGTTCCCGCCTTGGGATCCAACCTATGCTCTGGTCAGACAGTAAGTTCTTTTTTTAAAAAAAAAACAAAAAGGTAGAATTATTAACATATTCCTGTGCTGGTCTATTCAGTGTTATTTTGCTTAGGTTGGTCTTTTTTTATAGATAAATACAGGTTTTTTGTATATGTATTAGTAACATTTTTCGTAGCGGCCAAAAATAATACACTTCAAGGATATTATGATGAATCTAGTAATCCGGCAACTCCAGAACTGGTTGAAAGCATGCCTCAGAATATTGATCTTATTTTTTGGGACTACTATCACACTAACCCTGATGTTTATGAGCAAAAATTGAAACAGCATCGGGATCTAGGATGTCGACAACCTTGGCTTGCAAGTAAGTTTCTTATTTATTACACCGAAAATTGTATCAAGAACTAATATACATTAGCTGGAGCATGGACTTGGAGTAGGTTCTGGACAGCCCTACCTTTCACCTTTGCATCTGTAAGAGCAAGTACAGTAACAGCCAAGAATAAAAATCATGGTGTTCGAAATACCTTTATCACCATCTGGGGGGATGAAGGCAATGAATGTGATATGTAAAGATCGGTTATTGGTGGGAATATATAATGTCTCGGCTAACTAGAATATTTGAATAGATATTCTGCTCTACCTGCCATGTGCTATTATGCACACCATGGCTATAGCAGCCAGGATGAAATTGATATTTCTTTGCTAAAACTAAGCTTTGGTAATAATTTTTGAGATACACCAAAAAATGAGTGGTGTTATCGATTGTACTTATGAGTTATTTTGCTTTGCAGAGGGTATTTGTGGGGCCAGTTTTGACGATTGGGTATTTGCATCCAAGGCAAGTATACATATTTTGGAACTACTTTACGAAGAGTCGTCATATTAATAAATAACATTAAAAATAGATTGATGACACACCTAGTGGACTTCCTATCACCCAGCGTACGCATTATGCCCCAAATACAAGCAAATGGATGTTGTGGGAAGGTAACTTGTCAAAATTGTGTTGCCTTCTTTTAAAAAAACGAACAAATGTCTTAACAAAGAAAAAACAACTAGATCCATTCGTTAGCTTCTTGTCTCCTCAATACTCAGACGAAGACTTTGAAACTCATTATCGTTCCATTGCAGAGCATCTTTTTGATGCTTTGGAAACCAAGAGAAATCTGGGTCCCCTTAATCTACGCCTTGAATTTCCTGCTCGTATAGCTACTGTTCTATCCCTGAAATGCCATCTAAGACAACGATTAGAAGATGCCTATCGAAAGCGTCAGTACGAACAACTTTATGATCTTGCTCAGGGTAGGTTGAGCCGCCTAAGAGAAGAGGTAGATCATTTGTGGAGGTACCATCGGCAGATGTGGATGAAAATGTATAAGCCTTTTGGCTGGGAGGTTCTTGAGTTACGATATGGTGGGTTACGCACAAGGCTTGAGACTATGTATGACCAAATAATGGCTCATGTTGAGTATGCAATGACAACAAAGGACTCTTTGAGCGAAAGTGATCCTTTAGAAAACGAGCATGCACGTATAGAAGAATTTGAGGTGGATCTAGAATGCCTTTTCTTTGGATCACGTACCAATTTACTTTTGGACTATTCCAGAGCAGCAACTTCCATACGCCATGGTTAAAGATGTTTAATTAAACTTTCTCAACAATCTCGCACCGTTGTATGGAATTTATTTTTCCTTTCTTTCTTCTGCTTGACATTATTGTTTATGCATAAATAGAACAAGCTTAATATCATAGCTCCTATTTTAGTGTACTCTTATTCTGTCGATGCTATTATATATATATTTATGTATTAAAAAATATTTAAAGAAGTATTATATATATATATATTATATAAATAATCAGAAATTTAATACGTTTATATATTTGTACGTCTGCAAGATGGCATTTGTGATATGAGGGGAATGAAGGGGTTAAAAAGAAAAAGAAAAAATATGGAATAAGGGAGGAAATTTTGACGGGGCGGGTTTACTCTTTCCATGAACTGTTATACGATGCTGATCTTCCTCTGACACCTTCAAACGCGTTGTTAATATACAAGGAAGTCGGCATAAATTGAGGCATCGCTGTTTCCTGTTGACCTTTTTCTATTGTATGATCTTGCTTTGCATTTAAGGAACCTGTCCCAAATGAGTCGGCTGATTCGGGTAGGGTTGGAGAGAGGAAATTTGAGGCAAGCGACTGAAGGATCTTGGAATCGATGAAAGGAAAAGATGTTCGTTGAACTTGGGAAGGTTCAGTGGTACTATCCTGAGGTTGTTTCTGGTAAGCTCCTGGGCTAGTATCAGATGAACGGCGGCTATGGAACTGAGGACAGGCTGATGTATGGGACCCAAACGAATCTGTTTTCTCAAATGTTCTTCCACATTTGCAACGGAATGGCATTACTGTTTTTATTGATTTATGTTTTTGAAGTACAAGCTGTAAAGAAAGAAGGAATAATTTTTTTTTAAAAAAAAACTACTTGTAATTTATAAAGAACTTTTATGTTTCTTTCGTAATCTGTTACGCCCACCACCCTAATCATGTGCTTATTAGTCGAGGAGCAATAAAGTGAGATGTCAGAGAAAACTATACACAGTCTGTCCCTCATTAGTTGGCATATATACACTTAGGTAACTAGTAGGCTCTCCAGTCTTGTTTAATGAAGAAGAACGCGGACTCCTTTTTTTTAAAAAAAAATGACCCGGGGGCAATGCATACTTTCTGTTCTCACCCAACAGATTTAAACAATGTAAAAAAAAATGGGTACAAACTTACAACATGCAACTAACAAGGAATACATAATAAGAAATTGCCAATTGTTTATGCTAATTTTGGTTTTGTAAATTGAAAAAAAAATGAATACATACACAAATATATGCAGGTCAAGAAAAATCAATTAGGAATGAAGACTGTAGCATTCTTCTATCTAAAGAAGCGTTTCTTAATCTCTGCAGGACTTAAACAAAAATCAAGAATATATGTATACAAAGGTCTGTTTCTTTCTAAAAAGAAAATAAACCATTAATGGCCTGGTTTTAATACAATATATATATGTGTGTGTGTATAATTGACTTTATTATGATTAATTTAATGAAGCAGGGATTATGCGCACGGTCAAGGTTATTATATGAATAAATTTAATTTTTCACGGATATTATTTACAAATCATGATATATTCACAGTTAATTCTCTAGAGTAGTTATCAGATAAAAACATATATATGTAGTTATTAGTATAAATTTTTATAATGATGATTATAAATATATTATTATCTGATCAAATAACATTTTTATTTATGATATTCATCCCAATGGATCTAGTATTGTTATATTCTAACTGGGAGAAAAAAGAAGAAAATAATGTATACCTTATAAAGTCGTATACAGATATTGCTCGTGGTACGTGTATTGAATGAGAACTATGTAGCTATAGAATAAATTAACTGTGAGATTTAATACATGACTGTAATCACTCAAACGGCTACACTTGAAAATTATGGGAAGTAATAGACTTTGGATTGAATTTACATAGAATCATATATCCTGTAAAGAAACAAAACTCTTCACTTTTTTCTATTGTCCTTCATTTGCACACCAGTCCCCTTCTGAAGCTAGCCCCAAATTTTGATCACAAAGTTAGGATATCCATATATATATATAACAAATAGACCGTGATAAAAGGTTATTGTTAATAAATACGAAAAACCCTATCAAGTATCATAATAATAAACGCTTTATCAAAACTATATTGATGTTTATTAACATAAATGAAAAGAAAATTACACATTTTTCAAATTAATCTTTTTTGCTGTGTTTAACACTTTCAGCACAAATTAATTATTCAAAATTTGTTCCTATATTATCTATAAGGGAGTATTATTATTCTGCTTATTTACAATGAAATCTATGGAATACTACTGTTAAAATATAAGGCTATTTTAGTACAAAAAAATATTATAATTAAACAAAGAAATTGACATTATTTATAAAAATCTATTATGGACAAAGAATAAATTACACTCAGGAAATAAAAATAAATAAAGGACTACCCAAGGTTCTTTGAGAAGTCTTGGAGCATAGGTATTTGTCTCATCAATAGAAGTCTATTTAAATTAAATAAAAAACGTAAAAAGAATAAGGGAAAATAATATAGTAAGCCTTATTCCTCTCAATAAAAAAAATGTGTAAGAATAAGCGATTATTTGTAGTTTTATTTCACTTTTTTTAATGGAGCATTTCTTACCTCTAATCCTAGGGGGTCGCCGTTTTCTGACAGGAGTCAACATTTTAATTTTACCAGACCACATAAAGGTAACTTGTTATCTAAAGTCCAATAAGTATATCTGGTCCCTAACACTCCATGATTATTATTATAGCAAAATTACTTTAATAAAGAAGGTGTGGGCTTGTAGCAATTTTCTTGGACTTTTGATTTTTGTACGTCGGTAAAAGACTTTTCGTTTAATAATATTGTTTACGAAATTTAAAACTATACCTGAAAACCTGTTGAGTACACCTATGGCAACAAATTGTGGTGTGAACCAAGTTCAATAAAAAAACATATTGATAACCCAATACATTAGCCCTGTTCATTAACACACTTTTAACCTGGACCTGTAACCCGCTTTTAGCCCAGTGTATTATAGCTAAAGTTCGATATAGTAGTGATTCTACAGTTTCTCTTTCAGTCCTCTCGTATTATATAGTTTTCTCTCTATTATGATCATCCTACTCTCTTCTATTCTATCTATTCTATCTATATATGCATTCCTTTTGTTTCATTTTGTTTCCTTAGTCTCTGTATTTTCTGTATTTCTTCCTGTCTTTGTACTTATTAGCTTACTATTTTATCGCTACACTTGGTGTGATTATCAATATTCTTCTCAGGCACTTACCTCTTTTTATTGGAAGTAAGACCTATGTTTTGGGAAATTTAATATTATAATTTTTTGCCTTATAAAACAACAATAACAAAAATTATTAAAGCAAAAAAAACACACTCAACAAATATAGTAGTAGGTAAGTTGCTACAAATGCATACCCTCTATAATACAAGGCGGGTTAATGGTCTTAGATAAATATAAAAGGTATAATATTAAGTATATAATTTTATTTATACAGCTTTATACTATTAGTATATGCGCTTTAATATATATATATATAATAGGATAGCTATCGAGAATACTACTTCAATATGGTATATTCTAAAAGAAAACGACGGATCCCACCTTGGAAACATTGTGCCCTTATCACTGATTGTTGATATAAAAAATCATTAGGCGTAAAATCCGAGAAATTGAGTGAGCATTTTATGTTATTATATATTACGGTTTAACTGGTCTACATAGGTTATATATTAATCGTACATATAAAACATAAATAATATTGCTCTTGTATAATTGATATAATAATTGGGTGTAATCAATTTTTTATTGTAAAGTACAGCCCGGCCGGTGAATATTGTCAGTTACAAAAAAAATAGTAATTACCAGCCACAGAAGAATGAAGTTGGAGGTTGCAAAAAATCGACTTGGCGGTTATAAAAGACATAAATGTCGAAAGACAAGATTTGATTTTGTTGGTCAAAGATGCTGTTAGGTTTAGTTTATAGCGTTTAACTATGGTTCAATTAATAAAATCATATAGTGTTTTGGTTCTCGTAACATTTCAGTTGATTTGCAGCTAGAATTAGTAGATGTTTATTCAAATAAAGGTTTAGAATGGAGTTCGTTTAAAAGCAGTTTATAATTTGACGTTTGAAATGAAGGCAAAGGCAAAGGCCACAAGGGCCACTAAAGCGAACATCATTGCATGTATAATCAATTATAGGAGATAATGTTCCTTCTTTTATCAAGCGATGGCGCTTTTATTTTTCCTCTCACTAAGGCTCAGAACTGTTCAATAGGATTTAGCTCAGGCGATTAAAGGGGGGAGATAGATTGTTCTATAGCCCCTATCTTCGAGCATTCAAATTATCGGTTTCGACTTATGGATACTAGTATTATCCATCACTAAATAACTTCCCTTTAAAAATACATCCTCATCCATAACTTCAAGAAGCTCATTGACAAACTTGATAAAATGAATAGTCGTTGTACCTTTTGGAGCTGGTTTTACACCAACTGCACTGGTTGTTTATTTAATGAATACGAACAATAATAATAAAAATGGTAAAAAAGATATAAGGATAATTATGTCTTTTGCAACCGTCAGGTCGATTTTTTGCAGCCGCCAACTTCATTATTCTGTGGCTGGCAATTACTTTTTTTTGTAACTGACAATATTCACCGGCCGGACTGTATAGGAAGGTCATTATATAAATAGGTATATGAAAGCCAAAAAAAAGGCTGAGTTAAAGATGATATCTGCGTCATCTGTTGTTGTAGAATATAATACATCACACACACACATATATATATATTGATAATAATTTGTTTTCTGCGTAATCATGAATAAGGGAGTTGAGATCATTGATATTAATGAACTGATTGAACTGTTCTTTACTGGAAATGAAGACATTTCGGGTTCGTTTAAGATTTACATTCGATGATCAATAAGAATCGAGAATGCTAAATTGTAGCATGAGGAGTTGTATAGTTCTCCGCTCTGCCACACCACATTTGAATGATGGGAATGCTGATCTTAATCGTATTTCCAAACTTTTACCAAGAATAATAAAGCATGCCTGTGATGCTGGTCAGAAATCAGATACTCAAATCAAAGATTATACTGAGATTTTGGTGGATTTACTTGTATTTCTAATATCAAAGAGCACAGACCATGCTATTATCTTTATCGGAGATATCCTGAAAGCTTTAGAAGGTTTTTATATTATTTTACATTATATATATATATAATATCACTTGGCTCTAATTACGATATCTAAATATTGAAAGATGTTACGAATGAATGCCAGACAACAATGTATTATGAAGTTGCTGTGACGGTAAGTTAAGAAGAATTAAATAGGTACCTTGCTATAAACTTTAATAAATTTGCCCACTATTCCATAAAGTTATTCCAAAATATGTCTATCCTCGCTTCCGCTACGAGTTTCATAATAAAGTTCGACCCGTCTATAAATTTTCACGCTTCTTTTAAAGCATCTACTGTTCTTCCAGCCATGTTCGATCTAAGTGTCAACGCGCCTAGAGAAGTTGTAAATTGTTTGTTAGAGGTAATAATGAATTATAGGTATATATAGTTTCTTATAAGTCTATAATATAGGCATCCACGCAACTCTGTGCTACTTGTACTAAAGGAAAACTTGTAAAATTAAATGTCATATTTTTCAAATCTTTGAGTCTTTCAATAATGAAAGCTATAATTTTTATCTTATATACAGATTCAATGTAAGTCTCGTAAAGCTTAATTTTTCTTTCATAAACCGTACTAATTTTACGCACAAAAGTCACAAGTATACTCTTGCTGATGAAATGGGAAAATGTCTTAACCTATTAAATGAGCAAATTCAATTTTGCGAACTACTTGATACGCATGAATCGGGACAAATTGTTGACAAACTCTATTATTCTTTGGGAATACAACAAGTACCTTCAATTCAAGTAAAGTATCAAAATAAACTACAAAACACTAACTAAATGATGATCTAAACAAACTTTTGATTTTCTATACCACAAAGGAGGTTCTTCTTGATTCGGCTTTCGCACTTATGCTGAACGGAACTTTTCCTACATGGGTATCAGAGCTACTCGAGAAAACTAAAGATAAAACTGATTTCAGAATTACTAGTATGATGTGTAAAGGTTTAATTGACAATATGTCTAGTAGTTGTATGTCAAGCTATATGAAGACAGATTAAACTTGGGTGATGACAGGAGAAATAAAGAACAGATGTTAGAATCTTATTTTCAAAAAACTGATTATCTTCCCCTCTTCCTTTTTTTTTTAACTTTGTGATGTACTTCTTCAAAGTGATTTACTTTAAACTTCACCATAATTTTCTTCTATACAAAAAACTCCTCTTCCTTTTTTCTTTTATCTTAACTCCGTAATCTCTCTAATAAAACTGATCACACTATCACAGAACAATGAAGCTATCACTGTAGGAAATGGCAGGATTTATACCTCCGACCTCGTACCGAGTTACGTACTCGTAACTTCTGCTATTTAAAAGTCAGTCGTTAAAATACCGACCTCGTAACGAGTTACGAACTCGTAACTTTTATAGCCAATCACCACCAGAGAAATTTCTTGTGTAATCATATTCCCAAAATAGTGTCGGAGTATACATGTTCATTACATGCCCATATATGGACACACAAGTATCTGCGATAAATTCTGGTCGAAATAAATCACGGATTTAAAAATGCGTTTTCCAAAATATCAAAAATGGTTCAAAATAAATTATGTTTCAAATAATGCGGTTTTTATTTTTGTTTTCAAAGTTGAAAAAAATACCAAGCTATTTCATATAATTTATAGGCAGAAATATATAATATGATCAATTTAATTATTCTAAGCTAAAGGTTGGGTCATTGAGTTCATATCACTCACTATTCTTGAAGACAAAAGCACCAAAGAGCTACCTTGATAGTGGAATAAAAGAGCAATCTAATAAAATATAAATATGAATGAGTATTTCAAGCTTAAAAAATAAGTTAAATAAAAGCTTACCTTTGAGTTTACCGAGATGCATCTCATAAAAGTTTGAATATCTACAAGTGAAAATGAATAAAAGATGGTTAGTATTCAATTACTTTGTAAACTAGGTGTGCAGTTATTACCTCTTAACTCATTTTGACCAGATGATGAAAAGGCTAATGTTAGTTAATGAGACCCGAGATGAATAATTGCATCACAAAGCATAATATTGCTTTTCTATTATACATACCTCAAAAACAAGAATATACAGACACGTCTTCTACAAAAATAATATAATGTAAACACACGTAATGAACAAACTTTTGTCGGTAAAGTAGAGTAAGAAACAACGCAAAGGACGTAATCCCACACTTATTCAAAATCGATTTAAAAAATTCTCATTGGTCTACTGGCTTTTAATACCAATGATGCAACTCGCAGAAATGTTTTTAAAAAAACGCTGTCATTCTTTCTTGGTTTGCCTTATTTTTATAAGTTAAAGAGGTATGCTTTAATAATAAATAATTGAAAATACATCTGTAAATTATTAATAAAAAATATGTGTATATCTTTATATCTTAATTGGGTTGAGTTTTCTCTTAAAAGATTGCTTGTGTTGGGCATTTTTTACTGATATTATGTAAGAAACAAAAAAAATTGTATATTTTTTCTTGTTTGCAATTTTGACAAAGTCGTTTTATATGCTGAAAATCATTGCCTTTGCCAAATTTTAACAGAATTATTTTTTCATTGCTCAATACAATCTCCGAACTTCCTTATTCAACGTTTTGTCTTACTTAAACAGCTTTTTGTTGTGATCAGAAAGGTTTGAAGTAGGACCAAACCTTCTTTCCTCCTTTATTTGGAAAAGAAAAGATTCAATTCACGAAATTACACAAAGAAAAAGTATCTAGGCCAATAATATTGCTTGGGTACCATACACTACCATATTTGGTTTCTAATTTCTGTGGTGGTGATAGCATGCCTGTTTTAGCCTATTAGTTTTACTTTTTGTCAAATACGATTTATGGGATTTTCTATTATTTTGCATCTAAGCCAATAAAATATTCTAAATATGGCAGATCTATACATTTTTAGGTATTTGTATTCTCTTTATGATTGGTTCAACAAATGCATGATGTTTTATACTGAATTTTTTTGGTTTTTATTGATCAAAATAATACAAGTTAAACATAAAGAAGTATGCGAAGAAGAAGTACTAATTTTTATGACATTTAGTAACAGCTTAAGCTATACATTCATTAAATAATATACATATATTTATTTTTATGTGATACTTTTTACATTGTTTTATCTAAAAAAAAAGCTATTTTCTAAGTACTATGATATTGATGAAGGAATGTATATTTCTTAATTGATTCTTTTAATCAAAGAGTATAAACCTGCTTTGCGTTAGCATTGTTATGCCTGATTCCTACTTTTGAAAAAACAGAAGACAGATTCCCTGCGATTCTCGAAATCTACCGAGATCTCAAATGAGCATGCGAGCAATCTTGACAACCAAATTGTACTTGATGCAGATATTTTTCTGTCAATTCTTCTCAAGTTACTTTCTTTTGTCAACTTTGCTGATTCGTATTTTATTAATACTAGCCTTCATAGTTGGTAAGTGTGTTCCTTTTAGAGACTTTTAATAATTTTAGACCTTGTGAAAAAAAAGAAATAAAGAGAAATAAGAAAAAGACTTTACAGAATAAAAAAAATTATTGCATTAAAAAGTGAGGTATTCGGGATTGTTTATGGGTTAGTATCTCAATAATGGGAAAAGTAGATACTGTGAGAGTGTTATTTATTAAAGAGACAAAATAATATTGTTTATATCTGCTACTATTAAAATCCCTGTAATTCAAATCCCTGTTGTGTAATGGTTGGTTTACACTGTATGAGTGTGCAGTGTATGTGTGCCTGGTGTGTAAAAGTTCCGGAGATTGTTAACTTGCCAGGACCATTAGCAAGAAGGAACCAGAGTTTGGTTGTGGGGTCTGTTCTTCACTCAATTGTGGTGTGTATACCACAATGTCTCAACATCATTCAGTAGAATAGTAGACCTAAAAGCTTCTTACTTTGTGAATACCTTTGGCATAAATTTTATTATTTTTGGGAACGTCTGTTATTTTCTACACCAGCATCTCTAAACATCTTAAGGAAATCACTCATTCCCTTGGAAAACTGTCTTGATACTTTCAATTATCGTTATAATATTGTTTCAATAAAACTTGACCTGGAATTCAACATTCCGTCACATATTGTGTTGAGATCCAGATAATATTGTCTTGAAATATATGTGGACCAATTTTCTGGCGGCTGTTGGGTACCTTTTGTGCATAATTGTATTAGCAAAATAAGAAAATAAATTATTGTGCCCATGAACAAAAAGCGCACAGACCACTTTAGAGTAACCTACAAATCGCCTTTCGAAACTTGTACTCCACTTTGAGAGTTATTGCTACACCGATCAATACTGAACCTTTCCTTACTTCTTTGCTTCTTTGCTTTATTCTACTTTGCAGAATACTTTTGCAAAGTCTATAAATTGTCTCTTAGTGGCTGTTAATTCTGTCGTATAACAGTTACACAGCCTCAATAAAAGGAATATACAGTCATATCACATTTGCTCTGACGTGGACATCTAGGACTGACAAAAAGAGCAGTCCTAAACTTTAATCGCAGACGAAAATTTTCGATTACATATAGAACCCCTCCAACGCGCGTCGTTTGTTTTCTCCTTGAGCAACAACAGTCCCGGTTTCATAGTGAGGCGTCTCTTGCGACCGTTGCAGGGAGATTCTTCCATGCTACAAGCATCGGAAAGTGAAAGTTGTTACTCGCCAGCTCAGTTAATTCTGAGAAGTCGTGGGGCATGGTCTCTTTTCATTTTTGGAAGGACTACTGTGTACATCGCATCGCCAATGTGGAATCATGATGCTGGGGGGAGGGAGGTCTAACCTGTGGTGAGATGTGCTGGCTCTTCACTGCTAACCTGACTGAACTCTTTAACGGCTGACGGTGAAGCTACTGGTAGTCGAATGAGCTGGACCTTATCACCTAGTGGTAAGTTCTCTGGCGAGTTCGCACCCACATTACTCGGTGACGAGATGTGGGGCTGGATGAACGGGTGCTTTCCGTTGGTTTGCCACCATTCCAGCACCTCCTTCGCTACCAAGTCAGGTTTACGTCCTGAAGGAGATTGAGCCGCGTAATGCGGGGACAAAGAACTTGGTGTCATGCTTTTTATTCTTTTACTCATGTAAAGGAACATTAAGTGAAATTAAATCAAATAGAATAGTTTCTTTATGTATATATATGTATATCTTTAAATAAATAAATAAATAAAGTCTTTCTTAGCTATTGTCAACTTTAATAAAAAAACACGCTTTTAAACTTTTTTTTACTTGATTGATGTCAATGTTGTAATTAGGAGGATTAATTTACAAGAAAAAATTAATAAAATAAAATATAATATAATGTAATGTAATTTGATGTAAAATGTATGCTCTCATCATTGTGCCGAACACCGTATTTGATTGCATAGACTGTTTTTGTCTATAACGTTTATATGGAAAACTCATAATAATTCTTGAGAATGCCGATGGAGCGATGTATATATTATTGAATTTGGCTAATCCGGATGGTAAATGTAAAGAGCATGCATTGGAATGAGGGAAAGAGAAAAAAAAAGGAAGAGGAATGCGAGATGAGAGGGAATAAATAAATGTTTGTTTGAAAGAGAGAGAGAGAACGCGGTGAACTGAATACACAAGGCTCTCGTTGTATTTACACAGAATGTGTACAAAAAAGAGTTAATTTGAATGTATCTATGAAACAATAATCATTACTTACAAACCTTTTTGACTTTTAAATATCAATGAATGGCTAGTACCTTCTATTTTTCGTTGCATATACACACATGCAATTATATTTACAGTGCAAGCGATGATTTTAATTCAGATAAGAGTAAATAAGTATTGAAAGTATAAAATACATCCTTCAATATTCTATATAAAAATAATTCGCCAAAGATATACAGAAGTTTTTTATATTGTAACCATTAAAGGTAAGCTGAAATACATATGGTATATTGAATAACAAAATATAAGCATCATAAAGAAGCACATTTTCATATTAAATTGCATGGAGTGGAATTCTGATATATTCCAGCTAATACAGTTGATTCATTGATATAACTTGTTTGTAGTTCAACTTACTTATTTTTTGGTTTAGGTGCAAGTGCAAGTGCAAGTGCTCAAAACATGATCTGCTTTCACCATTTCAATATCATTAGATTATTAAATAAAATGCATTTCATTTTCCATGAATATAGTAAATAAAGTGTGTTTACTATACTTAAGAATCGTGTAACTACTGCTTGATATGTCTTAAGTGAGACAAATCCCACAACCGGTTTTTAAGAAGAAAAGAAAAGAAAAATAAATGAGAGCTAATGTATTTATATATGATAGTGTGGTTACATATGAAGGGCAAAAGTACATCGTATTTTTTGGCTGATTAAATGTTTCTTAGGCCACTAATTAATTTGTGTGTTATTATTACTTTTAACGGCTCTAGTATTAGGTTTCTATCCAATCCTTGGTAGCTGCCCGGAATATGTGCTGGCCCATCAACTTTGCTACCACAGAACCGATAGCTTCTTGCTCCATTACAACCTCTACAGATCCAGCTGCGTATGTATGCCAGTAAACCATCATATCACATTCATTGTGGGCTTCTGGAGTATGCATAGAATAAAGTGTATCATACTGTTCCTTCCATAGCTCTGCTTGACGCTGTTGTAATTTTCGTCTTGCTTCTTCTGCGGATGGAAGCGAAGCTGGCAAAGCTGACTTTGTGCCCAAAGATCCAGAAAGAGTGAATAAATATAGGTGAACTATAGATGCCAATATTTTGCGATGAGGATTCATAGGATTCATTATCCCTTTTCGTACTTCAGGTCCAATAAGTTTCTGTTTTAAAAAACAGATTGCATTAGTTGAATCTAGAGCAAACTCTAAAAATTCAACTTACTTGAGCTCTGATCATGTGGCTAATCCAATAGAGTATCTTCTGTTCATGTTCGATAATCTTTTGATAAGACTCTATTGGAAACGGAGCCTTACTTATTCGGGGTTCCGTACAAGATAACTGAAGCATTTCCCGCGCTGATTGAAGTTGTGTCCAAAGAAGTTTACTTTGTATAGTGGTGTCGGCCAAAGTTGATTGATAGCGATACGAAGACGTATTTTCTTGGCACACAAGTGAGGCTACTTTTGAGTATTGGATTCCCGTATCGTTAAGAAGGGAGGCTAGCTGCTTGCGCATAACCTCACGCGCCCAAACAGGCCAGAACAGATTATCAATAATCATGGCAACTAAAACGGCAACAATAGAAGTTGCGGTTCTCTTCCACACTGGATCGAATAGCGACTCATTCGTATTATTGGAATAACCGGTGGACACAATAACACTCATTGTGAGTAAGGATATAAAACCAATGCGTGGATAGGTCGATCCAAGTAAAAAGTACCAAAGTGGAATTTGGAATACAAGCACAAGGACGGCAACAACATACGGATTCTCATTGCGATTTCCAGCCAACAGAGCAATATACCCACATACTGCGCCGAGAATAGTAGCAACAATTCTATAAAAGCACTGTTGCATTGTTGATCCTACTGTATAATTGAATACTACCATGGCCGATAAAAGTGCCCATTGGCCGTGATTTTCCTTTATTATGTTAGTTTAATGTTAATTCATATGAGAAAAACTGTAGCATACGTTATAAAGTCCGTTAACACCTGGTATTGGCAACCATGCCATGAAAGCCAGAATTTCAGTGACCAGGCCAAATTTTATTGCGTATCGCGTAGGTCCAGATTGAAGAAAATCAAAAACCGAACGTAGCCATCGATTCCACGCATGTCTTCCAGGTGCGTTTTGAAGTGGGTATTCTTCATCTGTGAAATTTCCATAGTCGGTCTCCATTGATGAATATGATCGACTTCGATTGATAGAACTAGAAGTTTCTCTAGGTTTTGAGACACCAGAAGCCTGTGAACGTAACCCTGGTCTTGTTTCCACGCGCTCAACCTCTTTGCTAAACAAAGTTTGCTCACTTGGATCATGCTCACCCTTGTTATCATTCCCTCCCTTGGAAAGCCATTTTTTTAATGGAACTCTCGGGAAAAATAAACGAGCCCAGCTTCTCGGCTCCCTGCGTCTCAACAACTCATCTACGAACATTTCCAAATTTTCCATTTCTTTACCAAATTCTATTAAAGTAAATACAATGGTGTATACCAAGTAATGCTCTTCCATTGGTGTCATACTGCGATCTTTGAACTCGTGATGTAGCAATGTATAAGTTGCCTTGATATCTCCTAGGGCTTTGTCAAGACTACAACTACTTTCAGCCCCTTGAAGAAACTCTGGTGAAGTATGTGTAGATAGAGAGTTCTTTGATTGTGTACGCTTTCTTGGTATGGCTTTGCGATCTGCCATCTTAACTCTGATGTCTTCCATAATCTTTCTGCATGTCCGAAGAAATTGCTTGAGTTCTGGTTGGATTAAGTTTTGAAGATGTATAATGTGAAGGTACTTGATTGGGTTGGATGCCGATATTAAGTTCACCGTATGGGTAGAGTAAACATCCAGATTATTGACTCCAGGTTGACGCTGGCGTAGAGTATCGTGTTCAGTTACTTTCTCATTGGATATACCTCTGTATGACTCTTCTAATTGACGGGAGATTCTTATATCCAACATAATCCGGGCTTCTTTCTCAATTGCTAATGAGAAACCTAGCATGCTTTGGCAAAGGGCTTCAACAGAATGAACTGTTGCTTTATACCATCGAGGATAGAAGTGAGATACGACTACCTCATACTTTGCTTCAGACCAGGCTTTATTCATTTTTGTCATATCTGCTTGAAGTTTGGCACTCATTGTTGAAAGCTTTCTAGCCAACTCCAAATCACCTGCCATTATTCCTGCGTCGTCATTCTTTAACATATCAGTATGTACAAAATCAAGAATCTGACTAATCGAACAAAGGACGTCTTCAAGAGATGTTCTGTGAATTGGTAACAGAAATACGACAAGTTTTTTTATGTCGTTAAAGATTAAATATACTGCAAATAAAGTAGAAGAAAGACGACTAAAACTTACTCAAATGATTTCGATGCCGTTGCAGGCCAGAGAAATATGTTGGTGAGCAGGGCTAGGGCGCCACCCATAATTATAGGATAAAATATATCGACAATAGATATTATATTAAAAGAGGTGTTGTAAATCCCTTTCGTTAATGCAAACATCGGGATGGTAAATCCTTGAAGGGCCGGAATATATAATCGGGGGTACTTGAGACGATAGTATGCAATCCCCATCATACTGATACCAAATCCTATACCAGCTATTACACCTGCACCATTGCTGTATAATCCTTTATGACCATTTAGGAGAGCTCTGTTGTAAAGTGTGCAAAGATAGGCTACAATGGCGGACCAAATAACAGGAATGATCATCATTCCAATGTTGAGAATCATCTCGATGCATTGATTACCGGTTGTTCCACTTGGGTTAAAGAACAGAGTACCTAAAGGTAGTAGGTAAGGCACAGCTCCGAGATGAGGGCTGACCTCTGGAATGAGTACCAGGATAATTCCAATTTCATAAGCTACGGTGCATTTGATTATTTTCTTCCAAAGTTCTTTTTTTCCAAGAAACAGTGATTTGGTCCATTGAACCAATTTTATCCATGACATAAGACAAGCGGTTATCTCTCTTTTTTTTTAGAAAAATTGTTTCTTGGTTTCTTCTGATTCCTTGGTGGTGTTCTTTTTTCTTCAAAAATTGTATTCGAATTGTAGATGCTTTAAATATGACTTCGAGGAATTACGATCATTTTCTTGATTTGTGCGACACAATTATTTTTTAAAAAGTGTGACACTCTTTATTTTTAAGAGCACGACAATTTAACTTTATTTTTTCTTTTTTTAATTTTTAGCTATTTTTTTTGCGACATCATTTTGACAAAAAATAATAATAATAATAATAAAAGTGTGTTTGCTTTCTTGTGGAATTAAAAGAATCTCATCACATCATGCAACCTTTTTTCGGAACAAGTGGTTGGAGTCTGCCTACTCAAATTGTGCTCGAAAAAGATGAAAAATCACTTAAAACCAGTAAACCTAGAGGTCGTAACCAGGAACCCAAGATATTCACCAAGGAAGAGACTGCCACAAGGGAAGCCGATCAGATCCAAAAGCAGATTTCACGATTAAATCGTCAGACCGGCCAGACTGAGCAAAAAGGTCCCACACCTAGCAAGCGTCCATTGGATGAGAATGGTGTCCCAAAAAAGAAGGCAAAACCTTCTCGTGCCAAGCGTGCAAAGTTGGCAGCTGAAAGACGAAATGGCAACGTTCAACAAACACCAGCATTCCCTCAAGTTGCAGCACCTGTTAAAAACACTCCTCCCAAATCAGACAAAAAAGTTACTAAGGAAGAAATTGTAAATGAGACCATAGAGAAAACTGCCGAGATTTCCAAGACCCCCAAAAAGACTGTTGAGATTGTCAAGACCCCTAAAGAAACGGTAGAAAAGACTGTCAAGGTTACAAAGATTCCTAACGAAACAGTAGAAAAGACTGTCGAGATTTCCGAGATTCCCAAAGAGACTCTTAAAAAGACTATTAAGGAAACTGTCAAGGAAGCTGTCAAGGAAACCCCTGTTGAGGCTACTAAAACTCCAAAGAAGGCCGAAAAGGAAATTATCAAGGATGCTCCTGCTGTGACTAATGTTAAAAAGGAACAACCCAAGGTAGAGACTACTGGAAAGTCGTTAAACAACGTTCAAAAGAAGAAGCTTCAAGCTGTAAGTTTTTATTTTTTATTTCATTTTATTTATTTATTAAAAAAAAAGAAAGAAAGGGTGAAATACAATGGGGTGTGTTAATAATTATGGATCATAATTCTCACAAAATTAATTAAATAAATAATTCTATACACATAGCTTCTCGCAAATAAAAACAAGGTCCAAGTTTCCGAGGTTACAGAAAAACCAAAGTCTGAAAAGACTGTAGAAAAACCCAAGAGAGTAGAGAAAACCAAAAAGACACCAATTACCAAAACTGTAGTTCCTGCACAAAAGGCTGGTGTGGTTACCTCTGCTCCAGTAAAAGATACCAAGAGCACATTAACAGCCCTTCAACTTAAAATGAAAGAGAAACTGTCAGGCGCTCGTTTCAGATGGTTGAATGAAAAATTGTATACAACCAAGGGCGATGAAGCTTATGGTCTTTTCCAAGAGAAACCAGAGCTCTTTGACGAGGTAAATATTGTGTGAAGATAAATCGGGTAGGGATGATTTACTGTGGTCTAGAAAATACTTACTTTTATGTTCATATTCATATAATTTCTCTTTTTAAAAAAAAGTACCACGAAGGATTCCGTCATCAGGTCGAATCTTGGCCTGTTAACCCTGTCGATGTTATTATCGATCAATTGCGTGGATTGCCTGCTGGTACCGTTGTAGCTGATTTGGGCTGCGGTGATGCCAAGATTGGACATGTCTTGACTGAGCAAAAGGTGTTGAGTTTCGATTTGATTGCCAAGAATGACAAAGTTATTGCGTGCGATATCTCAAAGCTACCATTGCCAGCAAACTTTGTCGATGTCGTGGTATTCTCTCTGTCCTTAATGGGCACCAATTATCTCGATTTCCTTAAAGAAGCTCACCGTGTCCTCAAACTCGGGTAAGACTTATATGGATTTTAATAAAAGAATAAGACAGACAGAGAGAGAATATTACTGACATAGTATCTGTTTTTAGTGGCGAACTCAAGATTGCCGAAGTTGTCAGTAGATTTAGTGACTTGGATTCATTTATTGACTTGTTGGAGAACCTCGGATTTGAGTTTATTGGAAAGGCAAGTATTATCGAGTTCATGAATTTTATGTGAAAATAATGTCTTACACGTATAAATATACTATTTACAGGAGGACGATAACAAGATGTTTGTGATGATGTATTTCAACAAGCGCAATTTTAAGCCCACTGCCGATGATGCTGAGGATGATGATATGTTGGAGGGTTTGAGCAAGACTCAGAAACGTTCTCTTCAAAAAGGTGCAGGTGTAAGAGGCATGTCGGCTTCTAAACTACAGAAGCAATCTCAACAATTATTGAAGCCTTGCCTTTACAAAAAACGATAGATAAATAGAAAGAAGAAGAAACCCCTTTCTGTCTTTTTGTTTAAAGAAGATAATAATATTGCATATTCATCTCATTGAAATTTATCCAAATAGATTTATCATTTTCCTTCATTAAAATCAACATCAATACCAAAAACATTAGCGTTGTCCTTTTATCTTGTATATTAAAAGAAAGAAAGAAAAGGCTTTACATCAAGTGAAATAGAATATTAAGCCAAAATATCGCGATCTTTATGGTTAAAGAAGCGCTCTAGACTCATGCGTAAAAAGTTGTTGTACAAAGGACATTTTTCCCTCTCTCTCTTATATAGAGTGCTTTGTCATTTTTGTTCCCATGGCTTTCTTTATCAATTATATTACCCAAAAGTACTTTCTGTATTTCCAATCTTTTTTATTCTCCTTTTTCCTTTTCCCTTTCTCTTGGTCCCCATGGTTCGCTCACAAATCCTCTCTCAAGTACGATGTCTTCCAAGACAATGGTCCAACAGGGCATTTTCTGCGGTAAGAATTAATTAGCGGAACGTGAGAACAAGAGTGCGGGGAAAAGAAAATAAAAAGAAAGCTCATTCGAGTACTGTATAGACATCATCATCCCTCGATCGATGGAGTGATGTAGTAAGCCGTACCCAGAAAACTCTTCAGGTTACCGAGATAGCTGTTTCAGATCTGGAGAATGAGCTCTCAGGAGACTCTCCTTCAAGCTCGTTGGACTCGCCCGTAGTTATTGATGTTAGAGAAGCAACCGAGTGGAAGCTTGGAAAGGTAAAAAATAAAATTCTGATGGGAGAAACCAGATAGGTGTACATTAGAAGCATACTAATGCACGGTGAGTCTTGCTTAGATCCCTCATGCTATCTGTCTTTCGCGTGGAGTGTTAGAGCTAAAGATAGAAAAGGTTGTTCCAGTGGACTCTCAAAGACCAATCGTATTGTATTGTGCAGGTGGCTATCGCAGTATCATGGCTGCAGAGGCTCTAGTGCGCATGGGTTACAACAAGGACCTTCTGCGCAGTCTCAAGGGGGGTTTTGGTGCATGGTGCAAAAAAGGCTATGCAGTTGAAGGCAACTAACAAAAAAGAAGAAAAAGAGTACGGGCCTTTGAGCTTTCCTTGAACACTGGTTTTATTATCTTTATTATCATTTGTTTATTTATGTATGTATTTATTTATTTATTTAGTTTTTACAGTCTTTGGAACTTTCTTTCAGTCTCGAAAATCAGTGCTCTCCAAAGCTTCATTACAAACATCATGGCCTCTTCATCCAATGTCTAGAAATTATGTACAACAGAATAATATTATATATTTATTTTATACTTTTTTTTTAAAAAAAAAAAAAAGAACCCACAAACAGTATAATCACTTACCATCTCCAATTCGCTGACAAGTTCTGTGGGAGGTTTCTTGTTACGGATAAATTCAAGAATAAAGTCCACAAGATCGTCTTCTTGTACTCCCACAATTTCCACAATCTTCTTTGATACAAATGGCTGTAATTTCGTAGAAATGAGATCCTGTACACGCCAAAAAAAATACCAATACATTAATTAGTAAGATAACAAAAAAACTTTAATCCAGATCTATACAAACCTCATCGAGTTCATTCCACTTAACGGGCCAGTTCCAGAGCTCTTGTTCTGAACTGGGAATCGATCCAATAAGTTCTTTCACACGCTGGGCGCGCTCTTCTGGATCGAGATGTGATGTGCCATCAATAGTCATATCATCACCATAATCCAGAGGAACAAGCACACGTTTTCGCTTTCCACCTTCTTCTTCGTCCTCTTCCTCTTCGTTACCACCCATATTGGGCACTCGTTTGATGGGTAGATTGAAGTTGAGTTTCCGTGGCTTGATCTCGATCTTGGTAATCTCATCTGGCTCTCGGTTGAGAACATTAGTCTCCTGTCGTGCTCTTTCTTCTTCTTCTGCTTGTCGTCTAGCCTCATCAAGCTCATGTTGTTCTGCTCGTCTATCTTCATCATCTCGTTCCTCTTCTCTTCTCTTGACATCTTCTCTTGACTTTCTCCACCGTGAGCTGTTTATCCCGAAATTAGCTTATAGTCCTCCCAAAAAAAAATAGCAAATTGCCTGTCTTACCGGCTCACATAGAACTCTTGCGATCCTCTATCCATCTCCACTTCATCATCCCACTCAGCCAGCCGTTGTGCCCAATATTCTCGGCCTGTTCTCTCACGTTCATTGTCTTCTTCTTCTCGCTGTATATCGCGGTGGTAGTTTCGGAGTCGAGTTGATTCTCTGTGTTCATAGCGTTTCTCTCTCTAGACACATTCCCATCATAAATTGTGTGTTGTTTCTTTGTGATTCCACCCGTAGTATACTCTTTTTTCTTCATTACTTACCAGCTGGAAAGCAGCAAGGACATCCTTTTCATGCTGCTCCTGTCTTCTACTCTCATTCTCTTCATCGTCCTCGACATAACCGTCTGGTTCGGATAAATGTTCAGTGTTTCCACGATGGAAATCCTGGCGTGATGCGAACCTATCGCCTCTTCGCCTGTTGCTGTCATGCTCTGGCCATCTCTCTCTACTACGATCTTGATCTCTTCTAGTCTTTTCTTGGTCACGTTTTACGGCTCTATCTTTGAAAACAGCAAGTTCTTTAGAAAGTAGATCTTCTTCAGTGGGTTCGCGGGCAGGTGCATCTGGATCCCGACCGTCCTGGAGTGCTTGTACGAGTTCCTGGATCGTTTCCAATGCCTTTTTGTCAGCTTCGGCGTCAGTCTATCAGCAAACACTGGCTTTTAGTATATTATCCTGTCTTGAAAAATTATGCATATACGCATACACACACACACACGCACACCCCTATATATAAATATATATATTTACATCTGTCTTGGTACGCGTCTTCTGATATTGTTCGAGATGGTTACGGACATTATCATCCACCTTAACCTATATTATATATATATATATATATATATGGATTTAACAAATAAGAAATAAGTCCACTCTGTCGGGTATCTACATTCTTCTATACTTGCGATCAGTTTTTTCTTGGTATCACTTCCGTCCATAGCTGTCAATGTGACGCCTTCTTGACCTTCTGCTCCACCAAGCACTCGCAATGCACGTAATACACTGTCAGGATCTTCATATTCTGCAAATCCAAATCCCTTTGGTTTTCCAGCCTGGTCCATTACGCGTTTCCAATGACGCAGAGATCCGCATGCCTTATGAAAGAAGAAGAAGAAAATGGTTGGATGAGGTTCGATGAAGATTGAGATGAGATGAAATGTAAAGATGGGATCTAACCTTGAGAAAACGTTCGATCCACACATCATTTACACCAGTTGCAATTGCGCCCACAAACAAGGTCGAGAGTTTTCCAGATTCATGGGGTGCTTGTACGGGTGGGCGGACGGAAGGTGGTCGGGGGTTGTTGTAAGATTGAAGGGTTTGGTTACCAAATGGCCTCTGGTGTGGTATGAATCCGCCTGGGCGGGGTCCTCCATAGGAATTATGCCCTCCTGGGGGACGGTAAGCTGAGAAGATAAAGATGAGATTTGAATTGGATGACGATAATATACTTTATATTACCATAGGGATTGGGTCTGTAAGGATCCATCGATGGTGAGCTCGCAAGTTATTCTTGTAACGAGTGGCTGGCTTACCAAGGGGTAGAAAGTTGGGATAGTTCTCGCAGTGATGTGACTCGCATTGGTGAAGAGTGTCATTTTTCTTTTCCCTTTTTTTTTTTTACTTTTTTTCTACTTTTTCTGCTTTTTTCTACTTTTGTGATCTTGCATACTTTGTAATTTTTGACCTCTTTATATATATACACAATAAAAAGCAAACAAACAAACGTATATTTTATTTTATTTCTTCAAAGGTTTTAAAGTCAAATGAATTAGGTGAGGAAACTGCTGTCGATTATACTACCTTAAAAAGACTCCTTGGAACTTGTCTTTAAATAGTATCAATTTTCATGCCTGGTTGTTTAACTGATTGGTTTGTGAATATTTATCAAGCAAGTCTTTATATATATATATATATATATATATCAATGAGATTTTAAGTTTGTTTAATGAGTTTGTCTCTAAATTCCACCAGCAAGAAATATGCTTAAAATAAATAAATAAAAATAAAAGAATTCATATTGACATGGCATTAAACAAAATGCTTCAAAGTTATATTGATTCTAGTTTATTATATATTATCTTATTTGATTTGGTCCAATTGAAGCAAATTGCATAATATTTGAGATATTGACAGGTTATCTTTTTTTTTTGAAAACTGTCAGAACTATATAATTTACTTGTAAAAGAGTAAAGAGCAGTTTAGTCGATGCAGTTCTCCTCCGACTATTTAACATGAGTGCCATTTAAATAGATTTATATACATTGGAATTAATTAGAATTTATAGAAAAAAAAAAGAAAGGTTCCTTGATAAATAATTATCCTATAAAGCACATTATTTGAAAGAAAATCAAAGAATTTTAGTAAGAGATTCTCAAAAATGATAAAAAGATTATAATTAAAGATTAATATTTGCATATTAAGTTAATTGATTACTTGACATTTAATTAAGGTAGATTATTTATTAGTTTTTTGTCTACATAGTAAAGTATGAATATGAATATAAATATAAATATGGAATATGGATATAACTATTACATTAGGCATTAGTCATTACATGCACCCTATTTTCTTTGTATATAAGAAAATCAGAGTTTAAGCTTCGACAACAAAAGCCTTGGTATCGTTAACAGGAGCTTGAATTACGACTATACTGGCAGCAAAATCTGAAAGAAGTAATTCACTGGCCAATTTTCCAAGTCCATTCTTTAGCCCTTTAACATACTGAGCATCCGAAAGATCAGATACAGCGGTGTGGGTGACATTAGATAATGCGGTATGATCAGCAACAGATCTGCCTACTACCACCAAGTCATGACTTCCCAAAGGCTTTGAAAGACATTTAAAGATATTGGGTGTGCGCCATTCGGATTGCGAAATTGTGTGGTATACGATTTGCCGAGAGACCAATCGAGTTTCCACGAATAGAGTATCGAGAATCGTTTTATCTGAGGTCGTACTGGATAACCCAAGAGTTTGGGACACGGACTGTGTGGTTGCGTAGCGTAGATTGGTTGGTTCTGTTTCAAGTCGTACGACTGTAACGTTAACAGGGTAAACACTCTGAAGACGAAGAGCAAAAAGGACTGCTGCACGATCGTCAGGTCCACCCACAAATGGAACAACGATCTGAAAGGCTTCAAATAGGGAACGAGTGTCTTGGTAGTCTCCAAATCCACGATCAATAAACAAACCCAAGGCTGTGTGGGAGATACTAAACGCGCTACTGGCGTATTCAACATCAGCCATTGGATACTTCTGTCGGTCGGCTGTGACACCAAAAGTCTCCATTTGGGACTGAGTCTGAGTGCCCTCGATTAGTGGTATCTGGCGGGTTGGTGGCCAGGGAAGTACAATCATGTCCGCTCCTGATCGAACGCTGTAATCTGAAACGGCCTTGATGTATCCAGTCAAAGGGCAGAAGTCAAGTCTGGTGTGAAGGTCGTCTACACCAATTAGACTTCCAAACGCACGCAACACACTCAAAATTGTGTCCTGGCGTTCGGTCTCTCGCAGATCTCGGATTTTCATTACATCGGACGCTCTCTGGGTGAGCTCCAGGAGACGAAGGACATGTATGTCAATTTTTGGGTTCATTTGGTACTTTGCCTTCTCGTCCTGTACAGGATTGGTTAACAGGCGCAAGAGCGCAATCATGGAAGGTACAGCATCGACTCTGTTCAACATTGTAACGAGGCAATAATGTTCATTTCCAGTGTCTTCGTATACCATCGTAGGTATGACGCTGGAAGCTTTTGAGTTCGTGAAACGTTCGCTGATGTCTTGGGAATTTCCTGAAGTCTGTTTCTGGTACCACTCGGGATAAAGCCATAAGACCACAGGAGTTGTCATGAAGGTCGTTACCAATGCCATCACAACCATAATAACAAATACTATACTTTTGTGTTAATATATAAATATATTCCAGCTGTATATACCATACGCTCTTATTCTTACCTTGATCATTCAGAACACCAGCATCATGGCCAATGTTGAGGACAATAAGCTCCACCAATCTACACGCACACACATATAAAAGAAAGTTGAGGTGTTACACACTATTCATGTGATGTGGAATACTCCAAGATTTTTTTTCTATTTTTTTTTACCCTTTACAATTCATCAAGAATCCAATAGTGAACGATTCTCTTGTAGTCATTCCACACAGTTTTGCTGCTGCCGTACACCCAACAATTTTTCCAAAGCAGGCCAAGAAGATGACCAGGATCACATAGCCCCACACAACACCTGTATCGAGAAGACCGATTTGTGTCTTGAGACCAGAAAGAGTAAAGTACTAATAATTGCATTTACGGTTAGATCTGATTAGGTTGCTTGGAATATACACGGAGACAAACACAAACACAAACACGTTCACATAATATACATATACATATATAAAAGTGTGTATGTGTACATGTGTACATATGTAGATAAAAAGTATACTTTACAAGAGGTAAAAAGACAATGTTGATGATATCTTCAATCTTTTCGGTAATCTTGATAGCCAAGTCTCCTTCGTGAGGTACAATTACGCCGGCAAGGAATCCACCAAAGATAGCATGAACACCAATGATGTCCGTCACAAACGCAGAGACTAGCACAATAAGGAGGGTGACAGTCATCAGGAATGGAGAGGGTCCGTTTTGAAAAGAGCCTGTTTTTACACAGAGCATCCGATACAATGGACGAACGCAAAATATCAAGAACAATGAGTAGCCAACTGCAGTCAAGAATACCCAGAGAGCTTCGATTCCACCCGAAGAATTTAGCAAGGCAACAACTAATGCCAATAGAACCCTTTAAGTTTGTATCAATCAATAAGGTTTTAGTATCATTGGGGTTTTTTTTTGCTTTATATAGAAGAAGAAAACCAAGTAAAATGATGTGATATTATATTGTATGGTATAGCATAACATAGAATAGCATAGCATGATTGATACAATTATATATATGGGTGTGTATGTGTATGGATATATTGTTAAAATAAACATATAAATAAAAGAACTTGATCTTACCATGCTGTACAATCGTTAATAAGCCCACTTGCCATGGTAATTGCACCGACTTTTGTACGTAACAATTTCAGCTCAGCTAAAATTCGTGCAAGTACGGGAAAAGCCTAATCAGAAAACAGGAAAAGTCAAGGCAAGAAGGTAATAAAGACAACGATCATTAAGTTGATTGATTGATTGATTGAACAAATTACAAGAAGGTAACAGGACAAATGTGTGTGTGTGTGTGTGTAATCGAGAAGAAGAAAATGCATTGCTTACTGTAATTGACATTGCTACACCCAAAAACAAAAGGAAACTAGAAAATGGAACTGATGGATCGTCCTGGAGTTTATAGAGTCCTACACTGACAGCAATACCGAGGCCAAATGGAAGGGCCATTCCGGCAAATGAGATTGCGATACTCTTGCGCCAGTCTCTCCTGACTACCCGGAGATCGACTTCAAGGCCGACCTGGAAAAGAAAGAAGACCAGGCCAATGGTAGCAATAAGATTGATAAAAGGAAGAGATGCGGTGGGGAATATGGCGTCTTTGAAACCTGGTATACGACCCATAACGGATGGTCCTAATACAATGCCAGCAATAACTAAAATTGTTGAAGTTGAGGTTTTAGATTTAATGAATAACGGCAATAGAGGTATAGACAATGGGTTGCTTGCCTTCTGCGATAACTCGAGGTTGTTTAAGCCAGCCGAGTGGTACGGCTAGTAGTCGACAGAATACTAGAATGATGGTCGATTGTATGATGAATAAGACAATAGGATCGCTAGCATTAAATTGACTTGGGTTAAGACCGGCAAAAACACCGGCCTGTTGAGGAGCCTTTGCGCTCATAAGAAGTCAAAGAACACGCGCAAAAATATAAAAGAAGAAAAAAGAGCTCAAAATAACAAGTGAACTGAAAAGTACTGTATTTAAATAATGGAGTCTCCGATTACGCGTGAGTTGATACTGCATTAACAGTCCAATCAATCCGCCATAATTTATTTTTATTCGATCAATATATAGTCATCATAGGAACGAACCAAAATGGGTACCGAAGACCTTGACAAACTGGTGCTCCCATGGCTGCGGATTTTATTCCACCTATACGACTCCAGATTTCTGTCTGGTTAGCATCTTTCGCCACAGTACAACGTATTTTCTGGACATTACTGCTACGTAAACTACTTACAAAGTATCTTTCAATGAATGGTATCATTGCTGATCCACCTCCCCCATCTGGTGCTGGGATGTAGAGGCTCATATCTTGCTGTATATGTCACTTGGTGGGCACCTTTCTCCTCCTCTTTCGCCTCCTCTTCCGAGATCTGATAATAATTACAACATCATTGTCCATTCTTCTGATTTCAACCAACAGCTACTTCCCCACTTTTCATGACTTCCTTCCTTTCTTTCTGCTCCTCTTCTGGGCTATTCTGGCGGGACTATACATTAATACTATTTCATGTTTCTCCTTTATTTTCTGAGTAGCGCTTATGACCGCTGGTTATGCCAATAAATATACACACAAAAAAAGACACTGTCGTTATGAGAACTATCAGTTAAAAATGATAAAGATGAGCTGAATTCAATAGAAAATAAGAAGTACGAATGAACCAGATCTATTATCAACCACTTTAGCAGTTTGTCCCAGAACAGCTTTTGTTTGTTTCGAGCAAGTTACTACTACAAGATTCGCACATTAAGAATATTGTTCGGGCGGCAGTTGTGAGAGGCTGTATGACGGGTGGTTCATAATATGCTGAGACCTGTGATTGATATGACGAGCTAAATGCTGGGGTTGTGTATTTTCCTTGGTTAAAAATGATTAAGAATATTCCACCGGTGATTTGCAAAGGTTCAACAAAATATTAAGCACATGCTTGTCACCCGTACCGTGTGCATATTGCCTCGTTGTACTCGAAAGAAATGAAAGACACTCAAATTCTTGTTGCCTTTAACATCGATAGTGTATTATAAAAGGGAATTTTTTGAAAAAAAAAAAAAAAAAAACTACAACAAACAACAAAAGCGTTCACGATCGACGACGACGACGACGACGACCCATTTCATACTTGGTATGAGTTTTAACAGTCTCAACAATGAATTCATTATATATATATATATATCAGCGATATAGTCCATAGTGCTCAGGGTCACACTATTCTAATCGACAATATTTACGTATCAGCTTTCATATAAAAACTGTGCTCATGTCGAATTGTGAATAGTTGAACAACAACAACAAAAATCCCCAAAGTCCAACCTCATTTATATATATATATTGGCGTACCAAGAAAACGGCGATTGCTAAGCAGGCGATATGAGTTTCTAAAAATACAAGATCTATTTTAATTGGCTACAACATTGCTTTTTAGAAGCACTGTCTTTTTTTGTATTTTTTGTATTTTTTTTTGTTTGTTTGTGCATTTGTTTCAAAAATGAATAAAAGATAACCTTTCTCAAATATTGAAACAAGCTATACTCTGGACGTCTAATGAAGATGTATATATTTATTCTTTATTCTTTATTTTTATATTTAATAAATAAATAAATAAATAAATAAATGTAAAAAAAAAAAATGATAATGATAATAATCAGTAAAAATAAAATAAAATAAAAATAAAATAAAGAAAATCAACTAGAGAATGGCTCTATTCTCTTTAAGCAAAGAATGTGAACAGAATATATGTATATGTATAAAAGAAAGATATGAAGAGAATAAGAGAAAAAGGGAAGATAATGAACGATACAAGCCCCTTGTTTTGATATATGTATGTATATATTTTTTGGTTTTTTTTTTGTAATACCATTATTCATTATTCATTACTTATTATTATAGAGGGGTGTTTTTTTTTACTCTTCGGCTTCCAATTCACTCAGGTAACGTTCGGCATCAAGAGCAGCCATGCAACCAGAGCCAGCACTGGTCACAGCCTGGCGGTAACGCTTATCCTGGACATCACCAGCAGCAAACAAACCAACAATGTTAGTCTCAGCGGTGCCGGGAATTGTGCTGATGTAACCATCATTATCCAAGTTAACCTGGCCCTTGACCAACTCAGTGGCGGGAACGTGGCCAATGGCGTAGAAGAGACCGTTGGCAGGGATGCTACCGGTAGCACCAGTCACGGTATCCTTGGTAGCAACTGAACCCAACAGCTTTCCATCACCAAGAGTCTCAGTAGGAACAGTGTTGAAGTGGACAGTAACCTTGGGGTGCTTCAACAGGCGGGAAGCCATAACCTTGGAGGCTCTGAGTTTGTCACGACGAACAAGGACATGAACGTGCGAGGCATCTATATAGATATAGATATATTAATATTAATATCCACACATAACTGTCAGAATAAACCCATTCTTTCTTTCTTCCCTCAGCATAAATAAATATATTTATATTTATCTCAAAGATATATCTATATAGATATATTCTCTTGTGATACTTACACTTTGTCAAATAGATGGCTTCTTCAGCAGCAGAGTCACCACCGCCAATAACAACCAAAGGCTTGTTTCGGAAGATAGGGACAGCACCGTCGCAGACAGCGCAGGCAGAGATACCGTTTTGCCAGTAAATATCCTCTCCAGGAAGGTTCATGCGCTTGGCAGAAGCACCAGTGGCGATAATGACGGCATCAGCAGTGTCGGTGGGCTCCTTCTCGGATTCGCTACCCTCGCGCCAGAGCTTGAAGGGACGAGCAGATGTGTCGAGCTTGGTGATGGTTTCGGTCTCGATCTCAGTACCGAAACGGACGGACTGCTCGCGCATCTTTTCCATCAACTCTCCGCCCATGACACCTTCAGGGAAGCCAGGGAAGTTCTCGACATCGGTGGTGGTAGTCAACTGTCCTCCGGGGGCGAATCCGTTGGCCATCATACCCTCGAACATGAAGGGGTTGAGGTTGGCACGAGCCAAGTAGATTGCGGCGGTGTGGCCTTTAGGATTATTATGATTTTTTTTTTGGTTGTTGTTGTTTGTATTGTGGTTGGTGTTTTGATAGTGATTTTGATAATTCATAATGAGTAAAATTGATTAAATAGGGCATATATGTATAAGTATATAGATATATATATATATGCAGTGTCTTATAGTAGTTGATTCTTACCAGCAGGGCCGGAACCAATAATAACGACTTTGTGGTGTTGAGGAGCCATTTAGAAGAAGAAGATGTGGAATAGACCCAAAAAGTAATTTGCTTAGACATGGTTTTTATAGGAGTCTCAAAATAGGCGAGATTAAAAGGCGCCTTTGGTAATGTCCAATAGACTATCTAAGCTGGATGTATTAGTAATCCCGCAGCCAATAATCAAACGGGGCAAAATTCAATTGCTGACTCAGGGAACAAGAAATGAAGAAAAGAATACAAATGTGTATATATATGTAATTGTAAAATAATAATATTAAATAGAATGTCGGATATTGAAATTCTGGCCAATCACTGGTGGGTTTCGTAATGGTTACTTTTGGTTAATGCTTAATGTGCGTATCAAAAGGATCTGATAAACTTGATTAGAGGAAATGAATCACACAGAGACCGAGTTAGAAACCGAAAGAAAGAAAAGAAGAAATACTTTATATATATATATATATATATATACATAATGAGAGAAGGAGATAAAGGTAAAGGTAAAGGTAAAGGTAAAGGTAAAGGTAAATAAAACCACCTTTCTTATCGCAGTAAATACGGTTATCTTTTATTATGTTTCTTTGATCTAGACTTGGATTTGGATTTGGATTTGGATTTGGGTATTGGTATTGGTATTGGTACTGATATTGATATTGATATTTATTCTGATTTTGGTTTTGGTTTTGATTCTGATTCTGATTCTGATTCTGATATTAATATTGATATTAATGCTAATTGTGATTGTGATTGTGATTGTAATATTGATATTGATATTGATATTGATATTGACTTTGCCATAAAAGCCTCAAACAAGGGGTGTGTATGTGTATGTGTAAGAAAAAAATATGTTGAAGCAAATTTGTATTTATTTATTTGTTTGTATTTGTTTGTCTGTTTCGAATAACCATGAGAACCTTTTTTTTAATGGAGCAATGTTACAAAAAATAAAGAAAAAAGCGAAATTGAGAGAAACATAAGGTTTACGTGTACGTGTACGTGTACGCGTGTGCGTGTGCGTGTGCGTATACGTAGTGTTTGTAAATTGGGATTTTTGATTTGTGTGTGTTTGTGTGTTTAAAGGGGAAGGGGAAGGAACAGTGATGTAGAAAATATATATATTTTTTGAAAAAGTTGGAGAATTGTAATTTACATATACATATATATATAATAAATGACCACCCTGATGGGAGTTATTCACTGTTGCTGTGTCTGGGAGTAGAGATGAGGGACTGGTAGTCGTTACCACCCACCACCACCTCCTCCTCCGCTGTCATTATTACCGCCACCACCATAGCCGCCGCTGCTGTAACCGCCGCCGCCGCTGCCACCATAGCCGCCGCCGTAGCCTCCACCGCCACCGCTGTAGCCTCCACCGCCACCGCCGCTGTAGCCGCCACCGCCACCACCGCCGCTGTAGCCACCACCACCGCCACCGCCGCCGCCGCCGCGAGCTGATGCCATGTTAACCTTGATCCTGCGACCGTCGAGTTCTTGTTCGTTCAGAGCATCGATTGCTGCCTGGGCCTCGCTATCACTACTATAGGTGACAAAGCCAAAACCACGGGAACGACCAGTGTCGCGGTCTCTCATGACGATAGAGGACTCAACAGTACCGTAGGCAGAGAAGGCCTCCCTGAGAGTGTCATCGGTTGTGTTCCAAGAGAGGTTGCCAACGTAGAGTTTGGCAGCCATTTGGAGAATATTAAGCTCGGGTTAAAGAAAAAAAAAGGGAAAAAGAGAGATGGAGAGAACGCGTAATGGTCAAGAAGAATAAAATAAAAGGGATAACGGAATATACGCCGAGAAGAAGATGGAAATGAACATCTTGAGGCTCTCTATATATTTAAAAATGCTTGACATTAAGGGTCATGTGACGAGTAGACTAGGCATTCATTAGGCAAATGTTTGTACACATCAGATGACAGAGTATGAAAAGTAAGTGACGTGGGATATAGAGAATAATAAAAGAAAAGAGAGAAGAAAAAAAAAGGGGGGGTGAAGAAAAAGGAGAAAGTATAAGATCAGGGATTTTTCTTGACATTAGGCTTCTATATACTCTCACACGGATTATAGCTAGGTGTGCATGTGCATGTATATTTGTATTTCTACTTATTATAATAATTGTAAATAAATACTGTCTGCCTATTTGTTTGCATCACTATTTATTAAAGCAAAAGGTCACCACGGTAAATAAATATTGCAGGAAAAAAAAATATTAAGCTTCCGGCTTTGCAACCTTTCTCGATTTTTTTTTTTTGCTTTTTTTTTTACGCCTTTCAACATTTTTTAGGCCAATAGAATTTCAACATTTGGTGGTACAAATAACGATTTGTTTTTTTTCTTTTCTTTTTGGTCAACATCACTTCCAAATTTGTAAGCAGATCGGTACCGTTACAAGGCAAGCTAGGAACTTTTTTATACTCTTATGATTATCATTATATATGGATCTATACTTCCTAGAATCTTTACTTTATATACCTTGTATAAAGATCTGCCTTGTACTCTAATCACAAAGAACCATATATATATATTTATTTTTATGAGAAAAAAAAAAGGGCAAAGAAAGGTAATATTTTTTCTAGATTACAACCTGATTTTTCTTTTCTAAGCAAATATTCCTTAGATAGAGATGTGGGGGTGTAAGCTGTTTTTTTCTTTTTACTCTTATATATACTCATTGTCCAATAAGAATTGGCTTTGAATAAAAGTTCTTATTAAGACGAGAGTAAAGATGTTGAACCCTCTTTTATTAATGTATTTATTTATTTATTTATTTATTTTTCGACAGTGTGACTACAAAAGTCTTTCTTTATAATCTTTACACTCGAACCATGAGTTTCGATGCACCTAATTAGGATAATAACATTAAGGACCTTACTATGATTTAAAACTAAAAAAATAAAATAAAGAAAGTAGTATTTGTGGTTTAATTACATTGGTGCCTTTGTATACCGCAACAACAACAACAACAACGCCAATAAAAAAGTGTTTCCGCTACATTATTTTGTTACAAAAAAAAACATTAAATCGTAGGATCTACCTTATCACAAGATAATTGAATTTATTGAAAGTTACCAAACAGCCTGAATGTCAAGCGAAATTATAATTGACTTGTAAAAAAAAAAAAGGGCCCAACACAGAACAAATCCAGGGATTTTTTATGAAGCATTTGGATCTTCTGTTCAGGGCCAAAAAAAAAAACTCTTTTGGGCTTTGGGAGCAGCCATCTCAAGAAAGGTTAACTTTATCAAAATCTTTTGCATAAGACTTATGAACCTTGTATTAGTTAGCAACATCATCAGCTTCAATATTCCCAGCAATGTTCGCCGGGAGACAAAGAAATCTCAGAGCAGAAATACATGCTTGCATTGAACTCTAGCATAGCATAGCAAAAGCAGAAGATGGGTACTAGTACTAGTACTAGTACAATTCCCATTGGCTTATGTTTATACTTGATCATAGCTCACGGTCTCTTGTCTTTGTGGTCTATATGCAAGATACTTAGGAACCGTAGAAGATCAATTGGATCAAGGAACGTAGCCAGGTATATGTTATACCATATATCTCTTATAGTAGTAAAAACTAATCTGTATATTATTTTTTATTGTAGAAGCCTGTGTATCATACCAACGACTTTGATTGAGTCATATCCAAACCAGCTAAAATCGCTTTATCTAGGTCGATTTTGCGATTGCAGAATTGCCAAGCCTATAAACGCTCTAAACTAGGTGCTATGCAATATATTCTCAAACTGATTGAATAAACACAAGCACACAGACACACACATACACCTGTATAATTTATCAATATATTCATTTGTCTATCAATATATCCTAAAAATTAGAGCGTGATAAAATTCAATGTAGAGTCTCTTGGAAATAAACAATAAAGTCTTTTTTTTTGATAAACTACTATTGTTGTTATTATCATTGTTCTCGTTATTCAAGAGAGAGAGAGAGAGAATAAAATACATTCGAGTAATTGATTTATTATATGAGCACTGTGAATATCTTGAAGACTTAATAAAAAAGATAAAGGAAAATATAGTGACATCAAATGGTTGGGTAAGTGGTGAGACTCATAATACGGGATCAACACAACGGAAATTGCATTTATTGTTCTTTATTTTCATTTATTTCTTTAATTGTAAAAGCCCACGAACAAGAATAAGGGTGTTTCGGTGTTGTATGTATAGGAGAAATTAGAAGAAGAAGAATAAAGAAGGGAGATACTTCTTTTTATATTTATGGGCGTTTGTGTGTGTGTGTTTAGTATTGTGTTGTATTATTGTATTATTGTATGGTTGTTATTTTACTTCATTTTTTTCTTGGGAATTAAGTTTGGTTTACATGATACTACAATCATCCTGAGAACCTTTCTTTTTTCTGGTTGTTGGCTGGCTACCCAGACTACCTTGGAGTCTTTGGATAGCTCTTTTGTCGCCATGGTCAGCCGCCAGAGTGTACCATTTGGTTGCCTCTTCAGGGTTCTTTGGAATCCCGATCCCGGTCTCGGTAAAGTAACCCACTGCATACTCGGCCTTGGCCAACTGTTTTTCAGCAGCCCGATGGGCCCACACATAGGCCTCTTCATCTGACTGTGGCAGGACATCTGGTAAGCCAATAAGGTACCATGCAGTCAGGGCAAAGCAGGCGTCTCGGTCCCCACGTTGGGCTGCGACGGTGTAGTAGTGGATCGAGAGCGCAGGGTCAATCTTGCAGCCAAGCTTACCGTACTCGTAGCATTCGCCGAGCCGATGGGCAGATGGGCCGTAGCCCAGATCGGCTGCCTGGGTGTAGAGTGACACACAATAATCGTGGTCTACAAACACCACGTTTTCTATACCGCGTTCGTGCAGGAGAGCAAGTTCGTGGATCGCGTGGGGGTATTCTGAGGTTGCTGATTCAACCGATCGCTTCAGCCATTTAACACCGTCCCGAGGGTTCTTGGAAATCCCCAACTCCCCATTGTTTTCAGCCAGACCAAGGCGGTACATTGCGCCCGGGTGACTCAAGGAGGCGGCCTTGCGATAGAATTGCAATGCCTTTGAACTGTCCTTGCGAGATCCCAGGCCATCTTCATAACATTTTGCTGTCCTGAATAAAATTCAATATAAAAAGAATACATATTTAAATATATATTTATGTGTGTGTGTGTGGGTAGGTAAGTAGAGATAACAAATAACAAATAACAAATAACAATATACAGCATGCAACATACAACATGCAAAAATAAAATAAAATAAAATAGGGGAGATATGAAAGAGGAGAGAGGAGAAGAAGAGAGATAGAAGAGGGGGTAGAGGAGAGAGATATATAGATAGAGATGAAGAGAGGAGAAGAAGAATAAAATAGAATAGAATATGGAAAGGTTGTTTGGGAAGGAGTAGAGGAGGTTAAGATATATATATTTGTGCGTGTTAGGCTTGAGGTTGAAAGTTTTCTCTTCTTAATAACACACACGCACAATTATATATATATATATATATAATTAAGAAAGCACAACCAAAAAAGAAAAAATACTCCTTGGAAAAATACCTGTAAGAAGCATCAGCGTGATGGTGTTTTGAGGCCTGGACAAAAAGCGGAAACGCCTTGTCAAAATCGACCTTATTCTTCTTGCTTAACAAACCCGAGCCGTACAAGTTTCCTAGATAGTATTGTGATTCTGCATGGCCTCGTCCGGCCAGCTGTCTCAAGAGCTTTTCGGCTTCTGCCAGATAGTCCCACCGACAGGTGTCAGTTTCCGGAAGAGGTCTGGCTGCCTCGACCATGAATATGGCAAAGTCAGACTGGGTATCTGGATTGGTTGTCTTTTTGGCATTCTCTCGGTACATATCGATTGTCTTGGCATACGAAAGCAACGAAGCCTGAGTACCTGGCTTGAGGTGGGAATGATCCAGTAATTGGTCATTGTTGTTGCTATTGGATATAGTAGAGGATGAGGTATTGGAGTACAATTGAGGTGGTGTAGGAGATCTAGAAACCTCTTGAATTCCATGAACAATTGTGTGGGAGGGAACGGGAGATTCCTGGAGAGACTGGGAAATTGATGGTTCAAGCATTTGATTGAAGAAAAGGTGTTTGTCTATCAATCAATTGACTGTTGATGTTTATAAATGACAACCAAATATATATATATTTATATAAGAATAATAATTTAATTAATTTAATTATAAGAATATATATATACATATATACAAAACAAGTGCTTGCATTGTGTAGTTTGGAATAATCTATTTTACAAGCCAAACTGATCCCAAATGTACCTGAAGCCCAAAAAAGGAAATAAAAAAGAATAGTTGAAAAGGCCAAGCTGTGTTCATCAAACTTGCCGTCATCACATATTGTAACCCCGATAATTTCCCTTGACTCCTATATTCCTTTTTTTTTTAACAAAAAAAAAAAGGGCACACGCTTTAAGCTCATTGAAAACTCAACATCTACATTTACTCATCATGACAGACATTTATGGATATTGCTACAGCACACTAATTGTTCTTGGTGGATTTATGGGCTATATGAAAGGTACTGTATTGTACTATGAGGTTCTAATACCAAATAGTGCATATATATTAAAAGGCTCGGAGATATAAGTCAAAAGAATAACTGATATACAACCTATATATACTCATATTTACATACATGTATATATGAGTATAAATATATATATTTATCTGTCATCTATTTATTTTATTTTATCACTTATAATATATATAAATATATATAGCTGGTAGCCAGATGTCTCTTTTGGCAGGTATTATATTTGGTGCAGCTGCAGGTGTGGGTGCTTACAAAGCATCTCAAGAACCTGGAAGTGTGATTATTGGCCTTGGTAAGGAATTTCGCCTTATTGTATACATGTGTGTTGGTTGGTGAGTGAGATTGATTAGACACTGAGTGACAATCAAACACACGCACACACACACACACATACACATCTATAGATATAGATAGATATACTTTGTTCTGTTTATTTTAACATGTGTTTTTTAATAGGAGTCAGCTTGGTTTTGTTGTTGGTTATGGGCCTAAGATTCAGCAAGTCTGGCAAGTTTATGCCAGCTGGCTTAGTAACTTTACTGAGGTAAGATTATTATAGCTGTTATTGCTATTACTGGCATTACATAAAATACTAGCAATAATTATATATAACAATAAACACTTCTTTAACTCTCCAAAATCTATGTGCGTGTGTACGTTTTTTTTTGTAATCACTAGTGTATTGATGGTTATTCGTTATGGATCCCGATTGATCAAATAAACAGAAATTACACATGTATTAAAAAAAAAGAAAAAAAAAGAGAAAAAAAAGGAAAGAAAAAAGAAGAAAAACTTCATTAAAGAGAAGAAAAAAATAAAGGTAAAATTGGTGGAATGTACAAAATAATAATAATAATAATAATAGTTAAAGAAGAAGAAAGACGATGATAGAGGAACGGAGGGAGGAATAAAGAAAGAAAGAAAGAAAGAGAAAAAAGAAATAGGCAAGTCTTAGGAAGAGTTATCGAATTTCACAATGCCTTGGTATGTGTCAATAGTGATTTTGTTGCCTGCGGGTGTAGCAACATAAACCAGTCCTGATGCATCTTCTTCTTCTAAGAGATGTCCCGGGGGAAGAAACATCAGAAAACCTCGAATCAACCATGGTTTACCGCTGAACAAGCGTGTCACTCGATCCAATACTTGAGGTGTATTAATTCTAAATTGTATATATATATGTCGATGTTGATTTAATGAGCCAATTAAAGAAAGAAAGAAAGAAAGAAAAAGACTATTTGGATTACCTTTCTGTTTTAAAGTCACCCATAATCACTAAAAAGTCATTGAATACTTTGGGGCTGTCTGCATAATTAGTCTTGATCTGTTCCAAATATCCTACTGCGTCCTTTTCCAAAGATCTCTTTTCGACTGGCTTGGAAGGAAGTGTGGCAGTTGTATGCAGAGCCCTAATTTCTTTACCAAAAACACCCTCCATTAAACGCAGCATCTTTTGTTTTTTTTTGTTTGGACATTATATGAGTACAACATACATACATATACATATGATATACGTGTATAACCCTCTTCCGTTTTATGAAATAAAGGAAAATTACTCTAATATCTCTTTTTCTCTCTCTCTATTGTAACTCATATAGATCAAAATTCTTTTACCTCTTCTTGCTTGCTTTCCCCGATCTTCTGACTCGTCAGAACTTTGAGTGTGTTTTCATGTTCTCTTCTCAAGACGGTTCGGACCCACATCAACGCGTCTTCTACTACGATGGCATTATCATGAGATCTGGACACAAGCTTGGCTCCACCTGTTGCAACCAGAGCTCTGGCCAGATCTTCATTCTGGACAAATTTAGCCAACAGAGCACGTCTGAGGGCTTCGGCGGGAATCGGTTCTAGCGAGTGTTGGGACTTGATGAATTCGACTACCTCTGCGGCGGTTGCCCGACCGAGTGGATCGTTTGAGTCTAGAGTGAATCGATGGTAGAGGTCTGGGATGTGTTGGACGCGTGAGGCCTGGAGATAATGCTGAACGGATGCCCAGGCGTGGTCGTCGAGGTGGATCAAGACCAGCTGGGCAGGGTTGGCAGAGAGATTGGGTGATATAGGGTCGTGGAGGTCAGTATTCCGCATATAATCATGCGAGAGAATACGGCGCCAATGCGGGAAATTTGTGCGGAGATATCCATACAAGTTGTCATTATTATTAATATTAATATTAATATTAATATTATTGTCATTACTGACATTATTGACATTATTGCTGCTGTTGTTGTTGTTGTTGGTAATGAGGCTGTCGGTGTTATTGTTATGGTTGTTGTTGTTATGATTGTTAATTGGGTTTGTTAGATCGGCAGTTAGGTATTGTTCGTCTGCAAGAGATCCCGGTGGTTTTGCTTCGGCGTGAATGTCGAGATAAAACACGGTAGAATCCCAATAGTCTTGGCTCTGAGGTTCAATGTCTTTGATCTGTTCGGTGTTCATTGAAGTAGGATTGTCGAGGATAAAATCTTCGCGACCTTTTGATGAGTTTGTGTCAGTGGCAGCCATCTCAGTTGCTCAGTCGATGCATGGAGATAATCTCTTTTCTTTTTTTTTTCTTTTTTTTTTCTTTTTTCTTTTTTCTTTTTTATTTTTTATTTTTTTATTTTTTATTTTATTTTTTAAAAAAAATAAATAAAATTTAAAATAAAATAAATCAAAGTGTAAAATAAATAAAATAAAAAAAAGAAAAGATGTAGGGTTAGAAATTGGCTTCCCTTTTTTTTTTTAGAAAAAAAAAAGGACAAGGGGACAGAGGCTGAAAAAACACTCTTTCAGAAACGACGTCATCTCATTGGTGTGCCTGATGAAAATTGGACAAGACGGTATGGATCACATGATCAGCTTGAATATTTCAAAGATACAGATATACGTATGAAAAGACGGATAGATGAAATAATTAACATTTAACCAACAAACTAGCTATCTAACCAACTGTATACATTTGTAAGTAAGCATATTTTATAGACTTATTTTTTCTTTAATTCACTAATTGACTAATTAAATAATGAAATATTATGAGTGTAATAAAGTAAATAATTTGAAACACATTGAAACAAAGAAATTGATATATTGATATATTGATTATTGTATGAAATAAGAATAATAAGAGAGAGAGAGAAAGGAAAAAGAGAAGAAGAAAAAAGGTGATTTGTGTATTTAAATTCGACAAATAGGAATCAATGGTTGTTTTTATCATTATCATTGTTACTGTTACTGTTATTATTATATGGTGCTTTTTGTACAGCTCATTTAAATATCAAATGATACTAAATTCAATATTGACGAATGATGGGAGAATGATTTACACAACCAATAATAACACTGAGATCAAAATCAAGAATACGAAAAAAAAGGAACCAGATTTCTGATTTACAGGAAAGAAAAAAAAATATAGGATCATGATTTATTTTATTCTATTCTTTTATTATTATTTTAATAGCAATAATATATATGTAAACGTAAATGTAAATATGTGTATTTAATAAGATTACGATAGATTGTTGTCCAGGGTAAATTATCAGTGCGGGTTTATTTATTAATCTTTGGCTGTCTAAATGACATATTAGATTCAAAGCAATCCAGATCAATAAATAAAATGCGGTTTTTTTTTGGTCTTTTTAATATAGGAAGATTATTTTGTTTCTCTTTATAGCTGCAGAAACATTTACGCGGATAGAAATCACAATCATTTTTTTCTTAAAAAAAAAAATAGGGACGGATAAACAATACTAAAAGAAAGAAAGAAATAGAGAGCATGAGCGAGAGCAAGAGCAAGAGCAAGAGCGAGAGATAGAAATAGAAATAGAATAAAGGAACATGGAGCACCAAACGGAAAAGCCGGATAATTTGTTTTCTATTTTCAAAAACAGAAATACAAAGATTTATATCTTATTTTGATTGACAAGAAAATCAATGGTTTATATTTTACCGAGCAAATCAAATGAACAACGAAAAAGAATAGAGACTATTAATGATGTCACTGATAAGCATTCATACATACGTATATTACTCCTAATGATTAAGATTATGGTTATTTTGTTATTATATAAATATATATATATATATATATACAACAATAAGTTCTAGATCATTAATTTCTATTACTCCCATTAAACTGTTAGAGGAAGAAGGAGAAGAAGTATTAAAGGATTTTGATGTCATGATTAAACCAAATCAAATCAAATCAAATCAAATAATTATGTGCTGTTCATGGTTAATGTTTTTATAATAATATCCTGATCTCAAAGAGAGAAAGACTTGAATGATACACTGCGTACACACATATATTTGTCTTAAGAATAATTATAATTGAATCAATAGAGTGAGGCTGGTAAGCGTGATTAGTTTTTTTTTTTTTTTTTAAAAAAAAAAAGGCTTTATGTAGAATGCACACACACACACACACATATATATATATATATATATACAGATTATGAGTCTTACGACAAGCGAATAGAATAAGAAAATGACACACGATGGATTGAATTGATACAAAACAGTTTCTCTCGTAATTAATATAAATATAATCACAATCATTGAAAAGTAAGAAGTAAAAAAATTGAAACAAAGGAGTAAAAAAAAAAATAGAAACATTACCAACATTGAAACATAGTGAATTACCAATAATCTGGATGTTATGTAATACACAGCTATATTTATTTATTTATTTATTTATATAAAAACCTAAAAAAAAAAAAAAAAGATATAGGGATAATTGGGATAGAAATCAATCAGTCTTGTCAATCACATCAATAGTCACACCAAACCATTAATCCAGCTCAACTTATCTTATTTCTTGGCCGCAGCATACTGAGCGATCTCAGAAGTGGTGTATTCAATAATTTCAAGATATTTTTATATAATCATCCTATTATTGACATTTACAAGTAGAACATTGTCTATTAAAATCAACAATAAGAACAGCAACAGAAATAAAAATACTCTGTTAGACTATTCATTCATTCATACATAAGTTTATTTATTTATAGTATTAGTAATTGGGCTTATCAGGGACTGCTTGTTTGTATCGCGTATGTGTGTGGGTGTATATTTGACTTGGTGGTTTGACAGGTAATTGATTTGTAATTATATTAAGCATGTTCTCGAACAAAAGCTTTTGCACACACATATATAATTAATTATCCGCCTGTATTGGTTTTGGCTTACACTATTAAAAAGAAGAAAAAAAAGGGAGGGGGGATGATTATGTATGTATGACAGTGGGAACAATGCTTAGTAAAAGAAAGAAAGAAAAGGGAATATTTTGGTAAACTTGACCAATGTCAGGTGAAATCCAGCCATGGCCTCTGGATCCTAGTATCATGGTCTTTCTTTGGTTTCATAGAAAGATTGATGGTGGTAATATGACAAGACTTCAAATAAATGTGGCTAAATTCTCATTGTTCTTATTATTATTTTGTGATCTGTCAGGCCATCAAATATACCTATATCTATAAAATCTTGTTTGAAATTGACATATATATATATTAAAGCCATATTTATTATCTATTTCTATTACACTATTACTATTCTTTTTTTTTTAAAAAAAATAATAATAATAATAATAATAGTATGATGATAATAATTTCTTTGATTGTATGCAACATTTCCATTTTTAGTATAATATATTTATTTTGTATGATCGGAAACATAGGCAGATAAAAGGATAAATGTCTGTATATATGTATTTATTGTATCGGGCAACGGCGTAACAGAATAGGCAAAGAAAAAATTGGACTGAATTGAATTGAATTGAATTGAATTGAATTGAATTGAATCGAATTGAATCATATTTCATTTTCTTAAAACAAAGAAGGAACAAATGACTATATATATATAAATACGATGTGGGTGTTTATTCGAATTTTATTAATATATACTTTGAATCTTATTACCCTAGATGCTGAGCACTTTATTTTTTCTTTCTTTATGTAGATAGGTATATAGGTATGTAGGTATGTATATACAATGGAAAGTGATAGTAATTACTATTACTAGCCAGTATGCCAAGCATTAACTACTATATATAAATACATATACTTTATGTATTTTATGTACTTAATTTATTCATTCTTTTTCTATTTTTGATATTTGATATTTGATATTTGGAATTTGGAATTGAATTTCTTACAAAACCTGGTATTAGACAAATGTATAGGAGACTTCGTCAAACACACAAAGAGTAAGAAAGAAGATGAATGTTTATTTTTATTTTTAAATTATTATTTTTTACACGGCTAAATATAGAGACAGTGCATCTACATTTCCAAACATGGTAGCTAATTAAGAGAGCTATATATGTATCTGTTTGTAGTCTGTGGTATAGTGTATAGTGTGTTGTGGATCTAAAAGCATTAATGATATTAATAAGCCCTGGCTTTTTGGCTGACTGTTGCTAATACTAAATGATGATAATACAAGTACAAAAACCTTAATATGTGTACAACTGTTAATCCTCAAGCCTCTGTTTGCTTGGCTCTCTTTTGGAAGACGGTAATGAATTGTTCCGTGCTATATTCTATTTGCCAAAACAATCATAACAACAATTCATTATTCCATCCGGTTGACGCGTGGATGTATAATTATCATAATCCTAAATAATAGATAATAAATCACAATTCTTCTCTTTCTCGATTGAATATATTAACAAAATTCTTAATTGGTCAATTAGTTAAACTTGTTATATTTTAGCTTCGTTAAATTTGATCGGTAATTATTATTAATTAAAAAAATAAATAGAGAGAGAGACTTGTGGATATATAAGCTACAATGGACGTCATAACTTTATATAATTACTTTTTTGTTTGGAGATCAAAGAACATATATACAATATACTAAAAAAATTATGTCGCAAAATTCGGAATAGAATTTATAATACAAATACATGTATACATACAAAGATGTAACATCTTGGCACGATATTTCCTTTTCTTTTTTTTTTTTTTTTTAAAAAAAAAAGATATATATATTTATTGCCATGGATACAACAACATAAATCATAAAATAAATAAATAAAAAATAAAAAAAAAATAAAGAAATGGAAAGGGGGTTATTATTTTTGGATTGTTTGTTTTAAACGTGGCAAAGTGAATAATGTATTTTCTTGGAAGAAATAGCTAATGGACAACAAGGAATGGATAAATATCCGGCCCTATGTATATTCATTAATCAATCAATCAATCAATCAAAAAAAAATGTTCTGCGTCTTGCACCTGCTGTGATTTTCTTCTCTTCTGATATTGCATTCCTTTCTTTGTGACGGGAAAAGCGGGAAACAGATAAGCCAGCCAATCGATTGGGTTTTAAAGCCTCATGGTGAATTTTGCTGAATCAGATAACAAAACCCAAATAAAATAAAATAAAATTATATATAAATTATAATTGGCGCAGAACAAAGAGAAAGCAAGGAAGAAATGATTTTTTTATAATAATTAAGAATATAAGAATGAGTTGTATTCAAATCAAGGGATATTTATGTATTTATAATTTATAGGGGATCTGGATCTGGATCTGGACAAGACAAGACAAGATCAAAGCCAAAGCCAAAGCCAAAGCCAAAGAAAATGAAAATGAAAATGAAAAACCAGAGCTAGAACCAGAGGCCAATGTGCCAAGGTAAGGTTGGATAAGCTTTTCTTGTGTGCTCTATTAATAAATAATAGATAATAAATAGGGAAGTTTATTGCTATTGCTATTGATCTTGTTATTTATATTTATATTTATACATTGTGGCAATAGAATAGTCAAATATAGATTCTTGTAAAAAAAAAACAAAAAAAACAAGTAGATCAAGATTAATTCTTTAATGAAATATGAAAGCAATAGAATAATCTTACTCTATTTTTCACAATTGAATGAATGAATCTATAGAGCAGTAACTTACTCAAGATTATATAAATTCTTGATCTGGTTACTCACTAATAACTCTCCTATAACCAATATGCATATGCATGTGTATGCAGCCACTAACTAGCGTGTCATATCTTTTTTTTTTTTACTAAATGTCAATTTGAATTTTAATGGATCTGATCCAGTCTGCTGTATTCCCTTTTACTTTCTTTTTTTGGGTACTTGTGTTTATGACTATTGTGGATTTCCAAAAAAAGAAACACTCACAAAGTTTCGGCGGTTGATGAAAAAAAATAAAATAAAAAATTAACCTTGGCAATCGTTGATTTGTATGGCATGTATTCATCCAAAATCATTCACCCGCAACAGCGACATAGATAGATAAATATATTCATATTCACATTCATATTCATATTCACATTCACATTCACACAGATTCATATATCTGAATTATATAGGCATAATATTCTTCTTGTTTCTTTGGTAAAGATATCAAGACACACCTATACATCTTTAGAGCTACATAGCTTAAATCAAGTTACATACACTGTAATGTAAATCTAGTCTAATAACAATTTAGTAAGAAAGAAAGAAATAAATAAAAAAAGTATCATATTATATTATATTATCAAAGAAATTCATGATCTCTAATCATACCACTATCACTATCACTATCACTATCACTACCATTACCATTACCATTACCATTACCATGACTACCTCAACACAAAATGGCCTTTAGACTAAAATATCCATCGCTAATTAATAATGCTATTTTTTTTTAAAAAAATAAATAAAATAAAATAAATGGCTGTAAATTTTAAGCTTTGGGTTTTTCTTTTATATATTTATATATTTATTGTTTGTTTGTTTGTTTTTGGCTTAATTTCAGCCGCTCATATTTTTGAAAGTAATAAGAAAAGAAAAGCCCGTGCCTTTTAATAAGGATTGTGATTTTGCTGGTAAAAGGTGCTGGTAAAAGGTGAGGGTAAAAGGTGATGATTATTATTACTATAATAATAAAAATAAAAAAGTCAAAATGAACACGCACGCACACGCACACGCACACGCACACGCACTCTTTCTTTCTCTCATATATAATATAATATAATACAGTATAGTATAGTATAGTATAATATAGTATAGTATAGTATAGTATACAAAAATGGCCCTTAATATTCGATCGCACTTTTCTAAAATAAAAAATAAATAAATATATGTATATACATATAAAAAAAAAAGTGGCTGTTTATCCGGGTGTGTAACCCGGTAGGTCAGTAGCCCGGCCTGACCGCCTATTTCCGGCTCCATTCACGGTTAACTTTTTTCCCCTCCCCCTTCCCCTCTCTCTTTCTCTGACTCTCTGGTTCTGACTCTATTCCATTTGTGAATACTATATACGTGTATCATTTATGTCTGTGTCTGTTTTTGTGCTTCTGTAGATTTGATTAAGGCCAAGCAAAAAATTATTACAGTTTCAATAACTAAATTTATGTATAGTATTATAATATAATATTATTTACCTTGATCTGGCTAAATTGGCCATGCCACCCGCTTAATAAAATAAAATAAAATGATAATAATCCCGATTTATGTTTTACATATATATATATATACATACATGCACATATTCCTGTGTCCTTTTCTCTTTGCTTGTTTAGCTTGCTTGCTTGCTTATATCTACACCTCTTTAACCACCACCACCACCACAACTACTACTACTACTACTACTACTACTACTACTACTTCTTGTTACTGCAATCCTTTTCTTCAAGTTTATATCCATTATATACTTTTTCTTCTTTTTTGGTGAGCGTCCTTTTCTCTCTCTCTCTATCTATCTATCTATCTATCTATCTTTTCGTTTTATATATGCATATTACGAAATCTCAATTGGATCAACATAACTCTATACATACATTATTAACCATTATGCTTATACTTATAGAATCGTATAGACAATCAGTTATTGACTTTTTATATATATAATATATATATATAAGCTCATAAAGCAAACCTAAGCAAAAGCAAACATAAAAGCAAAGATCATATTTATATATATATATATATATATATATATATTATCTATTATACTTCATCTTTCACATTCCATTTATGATTCGCTCAAATATCAACAACACTCCCTCGACACCACCTTACGACTACTCGATATCAATGCACCCCCATAGCCCAACCTCGAACTTCTCCGACATCGACCACCACAAGAGTGCCTTCCGTCGTGTCTCACCCATCTCTCTTTCCATGCCATCTCCCCCAGAACTGCTCCACGACAGCGAAGAAGACGACGAAGACACCATCCCGACTCCGAGACTCTTTAGACCAATCTCAAGTCCCTCTCGTCCTATCAAATACGATCAATCCGGTCGGCTTTCGATTTATCGTCCAAAGGCTATCCCCCACCGATCGCCATCGATCATAGACGACGCTCTCCAGCAGACAGCCATAGACCAAAGTGTGGTCTTTCAACTCAATATCCAGCGCTACCAAGACACACCAAACCAACACCCCAGTACACATGCACATGCACATGCACATTCATATGAACACGGAGCAATAGATCTCCATAACCGTGGAATGACCTGCACTCCAACAATCATCTGTGGAGAGTCTCTCTTGACAGCCTTGCGCAAACGAGTTGCTGCTGCCAGACATAGCAAACTCAAGGCCAACATTAACAATCGCAATCGAATGGCCCCCGGGCGTCCTAGAAACACACCTGCGACTCGAATCCGTATCCCTAAGAGCCGCAATTTTGATGCCACATCACCAACATTCTCCCAACCCGCAAAACAAGAAATAATAACATTTTCATCATCCCAATCATTATTATTATCTACACCAACACCAACATCATCATTATCCTTTTTTACATCATCACCACAGTTATCAACAACAACATCATCATTATTATCATCAGCATCAGCATCAGCATCAGCATCATTATTATTACCCTTATCATCATCTGTGTTGATGTTCCCGTCCAATTCAGACCTTACGAATTCAGAAATTTCTGGTCTGTCTTTGTCAGCAACACAAGGATCCGGAAATCAACAAAGCCTTGAATCCGAGCCTCACCATACTCCCCAAGTCCGCCGTCGTCCCTGGTTGGATGATGATTGCAACAATGACAATGATATTGAGAACGAGAATGATATCTATTGTGATAATGATAATGATAACGATGAAACTTATGAGGAATCTGGATCAGTAGTTTCGACCAATAACTCAAACTCAAACTCAAACTCAAACCTAAACAGAAACAGAAATAGAAATAGAAATAGAAATAGAAACCGAAGCAGAAGTAACAGTAGCCACAGTAGCCACAGTAGCCACAGTAGCCACAGTAGCCATCATAGTTATGAAACATCAGCAATAGCTGCCAACTCTTCTTCTTTGTCTTCGGCTGCTCCTACCATGAGCCAAGACATTCAAAAGCCAAGGAATCGTAAGAAGCCTGTCTCGCCCCGCCAATCCCATCCTACATCCGGCCGGCCGTCTCGTGTAAAGGGACCATGTCAGGCCTGTCAAGAAACTTCTGATGGGTGCATGCGAAAGGCATTCGACTGGCCATTCCCTGCCACGTCTGTATTCAATGACAAGGGCAGACCATTTGTGTATCTCTGCAACAAATGTGGACTTCGGTAAGTCTAAATTTTTTTTATTATTTTATTATTTTATTATTTTATAGCTCATCAGTCATTATAGATACAACAAGAGTGGTGGAAGTGTCTGCCGCAGTTGCCGCTGGGTGTTCTGTAAAGAAGAAAAACGCAAGGCTGTGCAACACATCGATCAGATGCGCAAATCTCGACCTGATGGACGTGTTGATCCTGAGGAAGAAATCGAACACTTTGTCTGCACACCGAAGTACTGGACCTGTGGCCGACCCTGGAAGGTTGGGTGGGTACTGAACAACATGCCCGAAGATGATGTTGATGAAGGATCCCTGTCACCCAGACATTCTCTTCCTTAAAGAACACCCGCGCTAACAAAAGAAAAGAAACAGAGATACCAATTCTCTTGACCTTTTCTTCTTCTTTTATTTATTATTTACTTTATATGTTTTTTTATTTATTTATGTGTTTATGACCTTTCTTTCTGTCTTTCTATATTAGAAGGGACCATATCTGAATTTCAGATTTCCACTACACATTTTCACTCACTCACTCACTCATTCATTCACTCACTCACTCACATACATATTCTCCCCCCTTTTTTTTTCACCTTGTATTTTTACAGCAATTCGTTATTTTCTTTGTCCTTTTTGTCCTTTTAGCATATTAGTTTTCTGTATTTCTGTATTTCTGTACCTTTGTATTTTATATCATTTTTTTGTATTATTCACTTTTGCTTTCTTTCTCTCTCCTTATGACACAAACACTTCACTCACACTTCACTTCACTTTTCTCACGCATATATCTTCGTTCTCTCTCTCTCTTTTTTATTTTTTATTTATTCGATACCTGTTTATATGACAAATATTTTCGAATTTATTATTTTATTAAAATCATTATAAATAAAAAAAAATTACATATACAAATACAGATACAGATACAAATTTGAAACATATTGCTTTTTGAAACAAAAAAGAAAAGAAAGTAAATCATGACTGTATAATAACTATAAAAGTAATAATTGCAAGTCAAATTATACTGAGTGAATATTTTGTAAAGGAGGGCGAGGGATAGATAATAGATAGGGCAAATCACTATCATTATAAGAGGTGTATATATCAAAATCTCATTTAGTCTGATCTAGATAAAGATTACTATTAAAATAAAATAAAATAAAATAAAATAAAATAAAAAGTTGATCCATCTCAATTAATGTGTAATCATTTGGCATTTAATCGGATGATTGATTAAAGGCAATCTTTTTTTATTTTTTAATATTTCTTTCTCCATGTTCTCGTTCTTTCTTTCTCCCTCCACGTTCTCTTGCTCTCTCTTGCTCTTTTCTTTTACCGTCTTTGACTGCATATACAAATATATATATATATATATATTTTATCTTCTTATTTTAATTGGGTAAACTCATGGCCGCTGCAATGGCTAATCTCGGGAAAACTGAGATTTAAACATTATTTTATATATAAAACGTATATATTTTATATATATTTTATATATATATATATATCCGTTTTACATTTTGACATTAATATATATATATATATTATTTTTTGAAACAATAGCAAAACTAACGCTAAATTTCAAATTTCACATGCAATATAAAGCATTAAACACAATAATGATAACTGGTAATTTAAAAATCACGACCACCACCATATCTTGTCTTGAAGATTTTGATTTTTAATGGTGCATCTTTTTTCTATACAAATAAGAAAACTTATAATTGCTTTCCATAAGAATCCAAATAATAATAATAATAATAATAATAATAATGTTTAATTTGGTTGATATATTATAAATATATTGCCTTCATTTCAACAGGGACAAAAGAGAGAGAAAAAGAATATGTTTGAGTGTTTATGTGAATATATGAGTGGAGTGAGTGTGTAAATGTGTGTGTCTTTATGTATTTGTAATGGGCAATATATATATATATATATATATATATATATATAAAAGGGAATGAACTTCTCTATTCTATTCTCTTCTTCTTCTTTTTCTTTCTTTCTTTCTTATTTGATTTGATTTGTTTAAGCCTTGGTGATGGTAATGGTGGCAGGTCCATCTATACCTCTGACTACAATAATCTTGTCATCCTTGTTACCAGGAATGATTTCAGGAGTACCGGCACCAGAGATGGCAACCTTGACACCGTTGGGATACATCTTGTGGGAGGCCACAAAGCGGGCCTCACCCTGTCCCTCGACGTGGGCAACCAACGAGCGCTTGGCGTGGTCAAAGTGTTCGCCCTGGAAACCCGAGGTGCACTCGAGCACGATGGGAGGGAAGCCGTAGGACTTGATGTACTCGACAACCTTGCCGGCACACAGGGGGACCTGGATCTGGATAGTCTTGAGGAACGACGAGGGAATCGAGCCAGCAAGATCGACCTGGGTAATGTAGGTCAACGCAACACCGTCGGCGACCTTGTGGACCTTCCAGCCCGAAACAATCAGGTTGCCGCGAACACAGCCAGAGACCAGAGGAATAAGAGGGTCTTCAACAGAGGCAATGACCAGGTTGCACTCGTCATCGCTCATGTCGCGCAAACAACAGGCAGCAAAGTCACGGGGGCTGGATACATAGATACATACATACACATATAATAATTATTTAGTCGATTGATTGATTGATTAGTGTATATATATATATGTATGCTGGTTTTACCTGATGGGCCAGGGAGCCTTAAGCTTGACCCAGAAGAGGGACTCAAAGGGAGAGAACCATTCCTTTGTCTCGGAAACATCATAACGCTCATCCCCTAATAACAATATATATATATTTTTATAATAGATACAAATTGATATTCAATGTCAATAACATTGGCGTTTCAATGTACCCACACTATAGACACTAAATTTTTCCCTACTGTATAGTATAGTATAGTATATGGTATGATATGATATGATATGATGATACATATTGCATCATAAACACATATTGAAATCTAGGGAAATGGTACTTACAAATCTTTCTGCAGCCAGGTACCAAGGCAACAGCAGCAACATCTCTGACACTGTAGTCGGTTCCCTTGAGGACAATCTCACCACGAACCAAAGGCATGGGACTTCCTTCAACCTTCTTGCTGTAAAGCTTCACGCCGTCCTTCTCAGATGAGAGCTCCCAGCCCTCAAGGGTGGATGCCAAGGCCTTGAATTGTTCAACGGCAGCACGGTTCTTTTCAGCGTGGCGGTGGGAAGCTTCGGGAATAGTCATGGTGATTAAAAGTTGGTCTTCTTAACGATTATATAAACCAAAAAAAAAAAAAAGAGGAAAAGAGTCTTTAAAAAAAAAAGAGAAAGGTAATGCGCCTTGGTTTATATAGAATGCAAATCGAATGACCTGTGTAACCATGTACTACCTATTCACCCTCTCTGTTGTGACGGAAGGTGGGAAGGGAAAACCAAAAATAAAATAAAATATATATATATATATATAAAAATGAGGGGGGTCAGTGAGTGAATGAATGAGTGAGTGAGTGAGTGAGTGATTGGAGATGGAGGGGAAATAAAAATAAAATAGAATTCAAGGTAATATTAAGGTTTCTCACTTAAAGAGGAAGGGGGGGTTTGTTCTTTCTTTCTTTATATATATATATATATATTGCAAAGGGGGTCAATATGCTTTCTTTAGTTGCTTGGTTGCTTGGTTGCTTGGTTGCTTGGTTGACTGGCTGGCTCCTTAAAAAGAAGACAAAAACCAAGTACATACACACACATATGAATATGAAAATGAAAATGAATATGAATAGCTTGGCTGACACGAGGAGGAAGGATTTTTTTTTGTGTGTGTGGTATAGATGTGAAGATTTGAATGGCCGGGGTAAATGTATATACAAATATTTAAACTACTTTTTACATATAGACTATAGCCTATAATCCTTCTATTTATTTATTTATTTATTTCTTTTATGCATCTATATATGTATATATGTATATATGTATTTATTTGCTTGGTTGCTTGGTTACTCGCTTTTTTTGTAGCTCTAAATTGTAGGTCAAAGTTTTGAGTTCTGGTTCTGGTTCTGGTTCTAGTTCTAGTTCAGGTTCAGGTTCAGGTTCTAGTCCTGCTTTAATAAACCGCGTATTTCACGTGACAATATACAGCCTAACAACAGAGAATATAAGCTATAGTATATAAATAGATAAAATAAACATTGAGTATATTCCAAATCAAACAGCCAATATCAATAGTAACCATCGTATAGGTCGCAACTCTTTACAAGAATATATATATATATATACACTTGGTCCCAGTAGAATGTTGTATACATGTATAAGATGTCCATATATATCTATTAAATATTATTCTTCATATGATAGTCAATTCAAATTGTCCTACCATCTTGTACTCTTCCCCACACAAACTGCGTTCAAAACTGTCCAAATTCAATAGCAAAAATAAAATAAAAAAAATAAATAGGAACTAATTGGCATATTCAGGTAAAGCCAGATGACGCATCTTATTCTCTCTCTCCCACTCTTTCTCCCATTCTTTCTCCCAGTCCCAGTCCCCCCCCCCAGATTAACTTAATAGAGAAGGTTACGCTTGGTATTATTTTTTTCCGACACCGCAAATCTGTGTAAAGAATAAATATTTTTATATATTCTCTTTTTTCTTACAAGTGGTAAAGAAGGCTTCCTATACTTCTTCATTAGTTTAATGTGCAACTTTGAAAAATAACCCAGAGCTTGACATGTGAAAAAGAAAGAATAACAATAAGAATAATAAAAATAAAAAGCGCGTCTGTAATGTATGTTTTCTGGTTTATTATTGGTATTTTACATACAACAGCAACAATAAGTATCTTGTAGTTCCTGCATTCAATTCAATTCAATTTAATTCAATAATAATAGAGAGATTATTGTTTGAAAATATAATTATTATTATTAAAAATAAAGGTGTACATGAAAATTACAATACTAAAGACACACACACACACACACGTTGTTGATATAAAATAGTATATAAAGAAAACAATATATTATATTATAATATGACAATGTAATGTAATGTAATAATATAAGAATACAAAAAAAAATTAAAGGGGTGTGAGGAAAGAGAGAGAGAGAGAGAGAGAGGAAAGGGGAAATAGAAGGGGAGATTTGGGGGAGTAAAGGGGAAGGGGTATCTGAATATTTTTATATTTATATATGTGTGTGTATGTGTGCAATTAGAGTGTATGTATGCAAGAGGTTGTTTCTTTTCGTTTTTGGTGAACTGCTTTATCAAAAGTAAGGGGGAAATGAAAGCAAGACATCCTTTTTGTTGTTGTTGTTTTTCTGTTAAAATTATTCTTGCATAAGTAAGTTCTTGTGTAAGGAAAATATAAATAAATAAAAGAAAAACGCAAGGAAGTCTCCTGATAGATCATTATACACATACAAACACACAGAAAAGATAAGATAAAATATAGTATAAAAAAAAGGGATTGTTTGAACACAATACACACTATAAGGCACATACATAAGCAAAACACAAGGAAGATCAACGACCTTGATAGATATCATGACGCTCAAAGAAACAGGGATCCGACCTGTCTGCAGGGATAGCCTTGACTGCCGGAAGAGTAAAAGGTCTTGCAGGCTTTTTGTACTGAACTGACATTGGACGTGTGGGAAAAGTCAGACTCATGCGCTTGGATAGAAAAGAAAGTGACCCGGCACCACCAGTATCTAAAGAACAAGATCAGAACAATGGTTTGCAGCAAGGCTCAATTCTCATGCCAAGTCCTTTGATATCATTTCATTTGCCTTTATCCTTACTTTCTATCTCGGCCTCTATCTTTGGTTTGGAATGCAGGGTGTAGGTCTTTACTTCAGCCTCCTGGGCTGCTAGCTGAACTTTTGTTTCCGCAAGCATCTTCTCAAGTTCACGACACCTCAATTCACTCTGCACGTATCTTGCTTCTTCGTCAATCATCTGTCGGTTATTCGTATCAATTCTTGTGCTCATTTGAGAAAGTGTACAACGTCGAGCCTGTTTATGTTTATGACCATTTTCCTTCTGTTGCTGATTTTGCTTTAGCTGCTCCGTGTATGCTCCACTGGAAACAAAAGTCTGACTCGGCATCGTATCTGTAGCTGTAACTGTAGTTGTAGTTTGAGCTGGAGATTCAGTAATCGCGTTGGAAGTACCCTGACAAATACCCGTATCTCCCAATTGAGAACCTGTGCTGATAGCAGTAGTTGCAGTAGTTGCATTATCCGTGGTTGGTCTTATCATATCCAATCCCAATCCCAAGTTCAAGTTCAAGGGCACATAGTACCGGGCCTTTTCTGCCTCGAGTTTGGCGACCTGACAAGCCAATCTCTCAACTTTCCCTGCGATCGTGTCTCGCTCTAGACTGAGTTCGGTTACCATCGTTCGAGCAACCACGACTCCCTTTTCGAGATCCTTGCCTTGCCTGGCCAACGCGTCATTTTCCTCCAGAGTCTTGGCGTTTTGCTCCTTGATGAGTTTGATGGTCGATTCGAGGTCCTGGGTCTTTTGGACCAGCGAGCCGTCAACTTCATCCAGGAGCCCGAGTTGGTGCAGGACGTGTTGGTAGGCATGGCACATGGTTTCGTACTTTTGGCTCATCTCAAAGTTGCCGAGCTTGATATCGACTAGTTCAGAAGTAACACGTCCCAGCATGGCTGCATCCCAACCCGTCTCAAGGTAATCCTGATTGATTTCTTTTTGCTGTTTTTTGAACATGTCACTCTCATTGAGATTCTTGTTGTTGTTGGTGTTGGTGTTGGTGGTGTTGCTTGGTGACCAATCTACAAGAGTCTCGGCTGTTTGATGGGTTCCACAGCTCTTTTGACTCAGGGTGAGGAGAGAGGAGCGATTGGAAAGGGGTCCCGAAATTGGCGAATCGAGTGTGCCTACATGGCAATGTTTGGTCAACGGATCGACAATGACAGTGCTGGGAATCGAGGCATTAGATTGGTATATTGGGGTCATAATATTATCATTATCGATTGGCACGATTTGATTTAAAGTTTCTGTTGCTGTCGATACTTCCAATGGCAATGGTAATGGCTTCTGTCTTTGGTGTTGTGTTTGGTCAATTTCGTTAGAAACGCTTATCAATAATTGATCAATTGCGGCCGGAGTGAGTATGGCACTCAAGGCCATTGCATCTTTGAGCAAGGCACCAGGATTGCTATCGTTGTAGCCCGAGCAGACGACAAGCTGTTCAGAGGTCAAGAACCTGATGATATCAAGCTGGCTGTGAATGGCCAAGAGAAGGCATTGGTTGGCTTTTAGAAGCGCAATCGCTATCCGGGTGACACCACTGACCGATCCTTCGAGCAAGATCAGATCAAGCGTGCGCAAGACACAGTCCCGCGGCAGGACATTGCACATCAGTGTCTGATACCATGAAGCAGCGTACATCTCGGGCCGCACATCGTGGTGCGCAAAGTGCTGGTGAAGGATGGGGCATGTCTGGGCCAGTACGGAATCCAATAATCCTAGGCGTTCTTTGAGGGGTTTACTGTTCAGAGTGACCAAATGAAGGTTCTCGGTTTCCATCCATCTTTTTTTGGATTTGTTGTTAATCATCAATATTATTATTTTCATAAATAATGATAATTATAAAGGAGACAGGAGAGGTTAACAAAAAAAAAGGGGGGGGGGAATAAGATAAGGGAGCATATTGGGGGGGGGGGGGGGGATGAATATGATGAAAATGATGATGATGATGGTAATGACGGTGAAGAGAAAGAAAGGGATAAAGAGGGGTTGAATTAGAAATTAGCATGACTAGCATGAATTTTTTTATTTTATTTTTAGTTGAAAGGGTTCAATAATCGACTCACCTTACGAACACACAAAAGGCTTCTTTTTCTGACACCTGTCAAGTAAAAATAGATATGTTCACAGACAAATATATATATAAATATATATTTCAATCAATCAATCGATCTATAGCATAAAAATAAGGGTATTTACCACAGTCGACAGGAAATCAACCAGGACCTGGGTCTCGGTAGACAAGTGATCGAGTTGGTCAGTTAATGCATCCCTGAGTCTCTCTAGAGATGTCTGTGGCTGTAGCTGTGGCTGTGGCTGTGAATGTGAATGTGGCTGTGGCTGGAGAGGCTGGTTTAATATGATCCACTGGTCATATAGAGCTGGCAATGATGCAGGCATGCACAAGATGGCCTGCCAAACAAGTCCACGCCACAATTCAGGTATTCCTCCTTCTTTTTCTCTTGCGAGACAATCGATCCACAGATTATCATTCGGACAAAAGTCCTTGACCACATAGTCACGCCAGATACTGTTATTTTTCTTGTCAATAGGTAAGTCTGTAGGTATCCAACGCATCGCTTTTGCATTTTTGTGACATTTGTTCCTGTGTGCCCGAAAATACAAACTCATGCCCTGTATGCAATTAAATAAATAAATATAAGTAAATTAGTATTGATATTCTATGAAGGTATAAATGTACATATCTCTAGATATCTTTTTCTTTTGGTCTTATCATACCAAACATTGGCTAATGCAGTTTGATGAATCTTGATGGTTTGGATTTGGTTTGGTGACCAGATTAGGATCGTCGGAATGCTCATCTTGGATGATTAACATAATTTATATTGTATTTCTTTTGATTTGCTCCTTTTTTTTTGAATGATGAAATGTGCGTCTGATGGGTTAATTATAAGAATGCGCACTTTTTTTTTTGGTCGAGAAAATCAATATAAATAAATCAATTAATTAAATAAAGGTTTGACAAAATACTATTATATATGTACTAGTACAAGTACAGGTACAAATATATATATATATATATGGGATAAATGGACCTAGATAAAAAGAGAGAGGGAGAGAGAGGGAGAAAATAATAAATAAATAATAGAAAGACAGAAAGAGGCAGAAAGAGACAGAATCTGTAAGCTGGTGGTTTGGTGGTTTGGTGGTCGACTCGTACCTGTGTTACCCTGAAAGAAGTTGCTGTATACATGTATGTATTTATTGTGTACGTCTCTTTCTCTCTTTCTATGGCTTTTATTATTTACACATAGATAGATATATAGATATGAATTTTGTATGGGTTATTTGTTTGAAGAAATCCTGCAACTATATTTACAAATAATATATATATATAAAGAAAAGAAAACAAAAGAAAAGAGAGAGGGTTATTGCTATTATAATCACTGTAATTATTATTAGTATTTAATCATTTTGGTTATCTGAAGAGAGAACTGTGGAAATGGAAATGCGAGTGTAGGTTTGTGATTGCTGTTGAACGACTGGCTCTGTTGTTTTGCTTGAATTTGGATTCTCGGTTGAATTCTCATCGCAATTTTGACTTTGACTTTGACTTTGACTTTGATATGGATATGGATATGTATATGGATATGGATATGTATATGTATATGGATTGAGATTCAAATTCTTATTTCCCTTGTTATTTGACGTGCAGGTAGAGGCGGATGTTGATGTAGAGGTAATGGAAGTGGTAGCGGCAGCGGCAGCGGGAGCAATAGAGGTAGAGGTAGATGTAGAGGTGGCGACTGAGACAGATGTAGATGTGGAAGCAATTTTAGAGGCTGTTGTTGCTGTTGCTGTTGCTGTTTCTGTTGCCGTGGCCTCGGTTGTGGCCGTGGTAGATATTGCAGGTGTTGCAAGATTTGCGGATTTAGTGGTCGGTGGAGTGATATATGGTTTAATATTCTTATTGATTGCAGGGAGGAGTATATTACGCCTGGAGTTGTCTGGATTGAATGCTGGATTGGTGGGCTGCTTGATACGGGTACCCTTTCTAATGGCAATCTTGACACCCTGCAGTGCAAAACACCTTGATAAATGTGTAGATTCTACAAATAGATTTAGGTAGGTAGAAAAATATTAGTCTTGACGCCAGTATAAATGACACACACACACAGATATATGTATGTACACACATATATATATATATTTGCTTGAATTGTGTACCTGTCATGCCGGGAAAATTCTTGGCTGTATAGACTGTGAATGGTTCAGTGAAAGTCTGGTTTTGTATCTGGGTACTCATTGTCATAGGTTCTCTGTAGATGTGTGTACATTTTTGTTTTTGGTTTGGTTTGGTTTGGTTTGGTTTGGTTTAAATATACAGTAATAGCTTTAGTACATATATATATATATATTCTTCTATGGGCTTCTTTTGTCTTCTTCTTCTTCTTCTGTTAGTATAAAAGTAATATTTACCCTACTGAGAGATCGATAAACATAAAACGGAGACAGAATCTTCCCTCTGTACGCACCGACAAATCTGGAAAAACAAAGAAAATGCCGCTTTCGTTGTTTGTGTCCAAGAGTTGGTAGGCGTTGGCTGATATGGCGCCCATTAGATTACGGGCTGAGGTTGGTTCATGAAAGGACATTACGGTCGAAAGAGTCGAATCACCAGTAGGATTAGAATTGGAATTAGAGTTGGAGGTAGCATTAGGATTGGAAGCACTAAAGGCTCCAGAACCAGTTCCAGTTCCAGTTCCAGAACCAGAATTAGGATTAGGATTAGTAGTAGAACCACTATTACCACCACCACCAGAAGAAGAAGAATAATTGGGTACAATCGTGGTGTGTGTGTGAGACAGAGAAGACGGGTGATAGACTATGTTGCGACAATCGAGTTGATCTTCAGAGTACAGATCGCAATGAACGACCAAATGTGAGATATTATCGGCATCACTATGACAGATGTGTTAGAAAAATTTCTGCGTTTTGTGTATAACATATACAAATTACAAATATAGATATAATAAATAGATAGGTGTATTAGTGTGCGTATATCTATATATAAAATGACAAAAACTATCTTGCTTTTTTTTTTGTAGTATTTTTCTTAAAAAAAAAAAAAGGTACGTAAACTGATGCATTTTTGTATGCTGTTTAAAGAATCAAAAGCGCAAGAATCATAATAGTTGCTTAATTCTAATGCTAATGCTAATTATAATCATTTGCCTTTATGGCGGTGACTTTCGACAGTGATTCTGTACTTACTTTACTTTCTGTAATGTGCCGTCCTGCCTTTCAACATAGAGCTGGACAATAGGCGGGGGATCAATGGGTCGTCTGTCTTTTTCACCAAAACCACAGCATCGTGCTCTCAGTGGATGTTGTGCGACAACTAAAGGAAACAGTTTTTTGTTTTGTTTTGTTTTGTTTGTTATTTACTATTATGCTTTGTCTTTCTTTTTTATATTATATTATATTATATTATATTATTACTTAGACGGTAACGAATACTTCTTCGACTTGGGCGTCCTAGTCCTAAAGGTGGTGGGACAACATAAGATGTCATTAGAGTGCTCGATTCCAAACGGAATGGCGATTTCAAACAGTTTGAATGTCAAGCACCAAACAAACAAAACAAAACGGAGAGAAAGAGAGAGCGCGCGCAAAAAAAAACAGAGAGAGAGATAGAGTGTGAAAAGGACGAATGATTCGAATACCAATAGGAAGGAATAAGAAGGAAGAAGAAGAAGAAGAAGAAACAAGAAAAAGGAAGGGGGGAAAAGAACAGAGAATGAAATAGAATGAAATAGAAGATAAAGAAAAATATTTAGCATTAGTACAATATAAGTATTGGGTATTTAGTGTTAAAATATTTATATATAATTTATATTTATATAATATATATATAAATATAACACTAAAAAAAAAAAGAAAAAAAAAAAAAGACTGCGATACTTGAAAGCAAGTCCATCATCCGATAAACAACAAGTACAAGTTTGAATAATATTTTTAGATATTTTGAATATTTTGAATATTTTGAATATTTTGAATATTTTTGAATCTACTCGATTCAGACTGACACACAAACTCACACAGACTAATACAGTCTGGCATACAGACCAACTCTGCCATAAAAGTAAGACAATAGACTCAGTATGTATCTAAAGTATTTTAATGGAAGACTACAGGTGTATAGAAGTTTAATGAAGGGAAGGAAAAGGAGGAGAAAGAGAAGAGGGGGTGGGTACCAGTTATTCGGAAATATCAATTTCTTATTTCTTATTTCTTATTTGTTTCTTATTTATTTTTAAATAAGAAATATATAATATATATTTGAGTCTCAATTTTCTATTGTTCTATTTTATATACATATATATACATATTTTAATAATATAGATAATTAGTTTTTTTGTTTCAATTTCACAATTGAGAAAAATCCGATATTCATAAAGATTCAAAAACAAAATCGTACCAAAAAAATTAAACCTTTTTACATTTATATATATATATATATATATTGTGTACACAAAGTACTACACAAATCCAACTAGCCGCTTCTTTTTTTTTTTTTTTTTTTTTTTTTTTTTTACAAACAAATATCCTTTTTCATTTTTAATACCGAACTCTGGACGCAAATAAATAGATAATTAATCAAGGAGCTGAATTGACAAGTTCGATATTTCCCCTCTTTAACTTCATCCCTATCTCTTTTCCTACCCTTTAACTATCTACATATATTTATGCGCATATATTTTTCAATATAATATTCTTCTGTTTAATCAACATGTCTAGCAAGAGAATGTTAAAGTACAAATTGAATAATACAATATGTACAATCAAGTATTTAGAATGTTCAAATAAGTAAATAAGCAAAACAAATCTTATTGACAAAGTCTCTGTCCCCCCCCTTGTTTTGATATCATTTCCTTTAACCCGACTAAACATAACCCAGCATACATACTTACATAGATATCCATATACATGTAGGGTGCATAGCTGGGAAAAACAAAAGAAAATCACTAGATTAAACTTTCGCGAATGATAATTCAATATAGTCAACCAATAATGCCAGCAAAAGTAATAGGCAAAAAAAAGAAAAGTTTAACTGAACTATCCTGTCTTCCTTCTTTTTTTTTGTTTTTATTATTATTTTGCCCTATACCTTTTTAGGTTCCCAAAATTATTGAAACCATTACTCCTTGCTGTAAACCAAGTAACCAAGTAACCAAGCCAACAAACAAATAAACAAAAAATAAAAGAGAAAATGATCTCTAAAATGATCTTGAATATTTGCAGCAAACAACAACAACGCTGATTGATAATGATCAGAATTCAATTTCAACATGGCGTGGTGCGAAAAATTAGGTATTGCCAAGCTAATCGTTTTTGTGAGTTTTGTGATATTTGATATGTTTTTTTTTTGGAGGGTAGCAATATTCAACTGGAAGTTTATTAAAGAAAATAGTCTACAATACAATAGATTGTACCAGGATCTTACTAGATAGATGCATATACACGTATTTAATAGATAACATGATGTATATCTGATTTTCTTCTTGGACAAAGCGATATTTAGTTCAATACATTTTTACAAGACTTGTTACGGAATATAAAGTACCTAGCCTTTTTATTTACCTACTTCTTTTATTGCTATTCTACTATTTTTTTTAGCAGTAAACAAAGCGTGTAAAAATTTAAGAATTAAGAAAAAAAAAAGAATTCGCTATATAAAACACCATGTATTTATTTATTTTGGATCAATATAAAGGTTTTGCTAGAGGTACTTAAAGAGGGCATAGACTAATTATTTTCAAGAGAGTTAATTGGCTTAGATGTAAGATGCTCTAAAATTATACAGCTTCTATTGGCCACTAAAGCAAAAGTAATAAGCTAACATCTGCTATCATATTGGCTAAATAAAGTATACACGTGCGTAATTATAAATCCTATTATTTTTCCCACAGTTTCTGTTGCCTTGACAGCCATTATATATTTTTTTAGAAAGAAAAATTATCTGAAAACCCTCTTGTTTTCTTTACCTTAATAGAAAAAATAATACCAAAAAAAATATCTTCCCTTTGCTCTTTATCATTTTATAAAGAATAAATGAAAGAAGCTAATCAGAAATGTCCTGAAAACACGACCTTTTAACCATATTTAATCAAGAGATGCACACAAAAATATCCCAAAATAAATAAATCCAAAGATAAAATAAGAAAGAAATAGACATATCACCCAATTTATAGGATGGTTGAAACCTCAATATCACTATAGAGAAACAGTGAAGATTCCGATTGTGATTCTGAAAAATGCCAATGGTACTTTTCAAAATCATCACCTTTTCTTTCCATAATTTATATATTTATATAGATATAAAAGAAGAATAAGAAACTTTTGATACGCCATTTGATGCTTGATGATCAACTTATTCTTATTAGTATTCTCTTGGAACAAGATCGACGCATAGCCCACAAGTTTCACATTACTACTTCTGTTACTACTATTGTCATCAATATCAATTACCCGCGTGTAAAGAAATATATTCGAATAATGTAACAAGTCAGGTCAGAATACAACGCGACCAGATATGTTCTTTTTCTGCTTATTTTTTTTTTATTATTTTTTTATTTGAAAAGGAAGAATGGCTTTATAATTTTTATTGGTACTTTTACTACTGCTATTATTCGAAAACTTGCTCATCTTTATTAGCATATATCTGTTGTTGTTTTTCTTCTTAATTCTATGTGTGTTTTCCAAGCAATATTACTCACTCACTCACCCACATTTTGAAATCAAATTTAAACACTTGTCTCATTAACTCATCTTTCAATTCATGTGTCAGATCAAGTCCGGGCTTGAATCTAATAGACTGAGAATCGCGTAAGAGATAAAAACTAAATATCAAACTTATGAACTATCATTTTATTTTATTGGGTAGAAATCAGATTAAAATATCTTTTAAAGATAATAATGACGCTAATAAAAAGAAGTGTTTCATGCTTAAAAGATAAAGAAGAAGAAAAAAAAAGAATAAAACTTAAAATGAAGTTTCACGCCAGTACACACATACACACATACGCTAGTCATATTTCTAAATTTCCAAAATTTCGTTTCAGGTACACAACCCTTTTAGTTTAATTTAATTTAATTTTTAAATTTATTTATATATATATATATATATATATATATATATAATATTTGATCCATTTGATCTTCAATGCCTTTGTCATTGTTCTGTATGGTGTACACCTCACAAGACTTTATCCCATCAAATAACGTTTATTCACTTGTAATTTGCCCAATATGACGTGAACTGATGCGAAATGATTCGGAATAATGTGATATTTCTAGCAAAAACAAAAGTGGTATCCAAAGTAAACTCACAGTGTGGATCGACCCTAAAATAATAATTATAATAATAGCATAATGATAGTGATAGGGATCAATATCCAAGGCACTTACTTTACTACATACAAGCCCTAATATTCATAAGTCTAAAATGAAAATCCTTGACCGTTCCAAAAGACTGACCAACTCCTTTTTAATGTAATAGCTGCAAACAAGTCCTTTCTCTCTCATTCTTTTTATCATATATTTTTTGTCGGTGCTACAATACAAACTCTATTCTAAGCCTGTAGAACGAGTGATTAATATATATATATACACACACACTCGGGCTGCTTATTCATATGTGGTGTAAATAGCGATCTTGGTTCTGCAAATTTTTTATTTATCGTTCAATATCCGCTCCTGTCTCTTTTTCTTTTTTCTTTTTATTAAAAAAAAAAACCTCTTTTTTCCCAGCATGAGTACTTTTGAAAAGGTACCTACAATGTTCTAAATTCTTCAATACTTCTTCATTACCTTCATCTTTCAATACTCGAACCTTTTGCTTTTCAACAACCAAGACAAGTCAAAAAGAAAGAAAGAAAGAAAAGACGATGTCATTATTGTAGACTTGAAAACAACAACAACAACAACAGCAGCAATATACACAGAACGATACTTATTTAAACTCGACATTAAAATGAATTACCATTAAAAAAGCAGAGAGATAAACAAGAGAAATTTGACAGAAAATGAAATCAATTCATATTATTATTATTAATTTGTCTACCTACTTACCTACCTTTATTTACATAATTAAATGTTTAATACTTAATACGAGAATAAAGACTCTTGAAAGAGTATTACTCTATTATTCTACTAGTTGATATTAACCTATACACAAAACCTTATTCTTTTTCTTTTTAACAACAATAATAATTAAGGTGGTTGTCATTGACGGTAAGGGTCACCTCCTCGGTCGCCTGGCTTCTATCGTTGCCAAGCAGGCACTTAACGGCCAAAAGGTCGTTATCGTTCGTTGTGAAGAATTGAATGTCTCTGGCGAGTTCTTCCGCAACAAGCGTAAGTTGATATACTAAGTATTAATATTAATATTGGTATTGGTATTGGTACTAGCATTAGTATTACTACTAGATCTAATGCTAGCATTGATACTCTTACTACCTTCTTTACCTATTAAAAATCAATTGTAAAATACAATAAAAATCCTAATGCATATATGTATACAACACCATGTAATAATAAATATTCATTTATTAATTTTTTTTCTGTTGTTGTTGTTGTTGTTGTTGTTTGTTGTTGTTGTTGTTTTTGTTTGTTTTTGTTTGTTTGTGTTTTTTGTTTGATAGTCAAGTACCACGCTTACCTCAACAAGCGCTGCGTTGTCAACCCCCGTCGTGGCCCCTTCCACTTCCGTGCTCCTTCCCGCATTCTCTACAAGGCCATGCGTGGTATGGTTCCTCACAAGACTGCCCGTGGTGCCGCTGCACTCGACCGCATCAAGGTCTTTGAGGGTATTCCTCCTCCCTATGACCGCATGAAGCGCATGGTTATCCCCGATGCCCTCCGTGTCCTCCGTCTCAAGCCCGGGCGCAAGTTCACCACTCTCGGACGCATCTCTCACGAGGTCGGATGGAAGTACCAGGACGTCGTTGCCAAGCTCGAGGATAAGCGCAAGGCCAAATCCTCTGCTTACTACGAGCGCAAGGCTGCCCTCATCGCCATCCAGAAGAAGGCTGTCGAGTCCAAGGCATCTTCTCTCAAGACCGTCAATGCCTCCATTGCTGCTCTCGGTTATTAAAAAAAAAAAAAGTCAAAAATTCAAATATTTTTTTTTCTTTTCTTCCTCCCAAAAATTTTGCATACAACATTTCTTTTATATTACATATATAAAACAATAGAATACTTCGATATCTCTCTACAAACTTTTTATGCTATCTATGCATGTGTGTGTGTGGGTGTGTGTAGGTTTGTTTTGTTATATACACTGCTGTTGATGGCAGCTGTTATTTATTGAAAAAAAAAGGTGTTATTGTACTTGTAGGGAAAAGAATAAAAAGAAAAAGTTAAAGAGAGATAGGGAAAAAAAAGGCGAAGTGAAGTTAATTGAGGCAATGAAGGTTAGGTTAGCAAAAGATACGATAAGCTTAGGATAAGGGATAGGAAGAGTGGTAAGTGACAGTGTTGGCTTTGTGGTTGTTAGATTTCGAGGGGAGGGAAAAAGAAAAGGGTTTGTGACAATGATGGTATTTATGCGTAGTCAGGGTTGTTGTTGAAGATCAACAAGTTGGGAGAACCCTTTCCAACATCAGCAATCTTGCCAGCAGAGCTGGTGGAGAGAATCTTGTCCTTGATGTACTTGGCAGAAACATCGTTCTCCTCAAGACTGAGGAAGTAGGCAGCAAGACCAGCAACGTGAGGAGAGGCCATGGAGGTACCGGAAATTGTGTTTGTAGCAGTCTTGCTTCCTGTCCAGACCGAAAGGATATTGAGACCAGGAGCAAACACGTCTACACAGGTACCGTAGTTGGAGAAGTAAGCACGGTTGTCCGAAATGTCCGAGGCTCCGACTGTGATGGCCAACTCGGAAGCAGCAGGAGAATAGTTGCAAGCATCACGGTTGTCGTTACCAGCAGCAACAGCAAACACGATACCACTATCAACAGCCTGTAAAAACAACAACATCAACAACAATACAATTGATAAGTGTGAGTTTGAGTGATCGTATATATAACAAAAAAAAACCTACGCTGTTGACAGCCTCGTCAAGGGCACGTGACTTTCCACCGCCAAGACTCATATTGGCCACAGCACCCTTGTAGCGTCTGCCTTCCTTCTTGGCGTTGCTTGCATCGAGTTCGTGGCGCTGGATGGCCCAGTCGACACCACCGATAACCCAGGAGTTTTTACCGGAGCCATTGGAGCTCAGTACCTTGACTGCGACAGGATGAGCCTTCTTGGCAACACCGTACTTCTTACCGGCAATGGTACCGGAGCAGTGAGATCCATGACCGTTACCATCCACATCGGGATCACCTTCGGCAAGAGTGGCACCCCACTCAGCACGGCCCTCAAAGTCAACATGCTCAGTGTTGATACCAGTATCAATCACATAAACCTTGATGCCCTTGCCGCCATCCTCGTTGTAGGTGTACTTGCTAAAGGTACGCAGGGTGAGAGCATCGCGGTGGGAGATGCGTGACAAACCCCAAGGAGCTCCACGCTGGAGTTCGGAAGCATACATCATCGTATCACGTTCCACGTAAGCAACCTTGTAGACAAAACAAGGTTAGTTTCTTATTTTATTTTTGATTGTTGTTATCATCATATATATATAATATTTTAATCTGATAGTGCGGTATGTATATTAAAAGAAAAAAAATAGAATATATAAATTATGCTTACATCTGGTGAGCGTCTGATATGTTCCAGCATGGCGTCATCAAACTGACCGGAATATCCCTTGAGTCCGGGAAGATCGTAGGTCAACTTGATACCTGGCGCAGTCAAGGGGTCCAGACGGTCATCCATGAGATCGCGCTTGGAGTAGCGGCCAATGTCATTGCAGTGAGTGCGGACCTGGTTGGTGTCGAGATGATCCTTGAGAACAACAATGTAGCCGTTGGCAATAGCCTCAGCTTCAGGGGAGTGATAAAGAGGTGCAAGTCCATCATCCATGGAAGTGGGGTATGCGGACACAGCAGATGCTGCAAGCAGCAAGATGGCTGAAGCAAGAATAGAGGTTTTGACCATGACTGGATTGAAAAGATGTATGAAAAAAAAAGAAAAAGAAAGAGAAAGAGAGAGAGAGGAGACGAGCAATGAAGTGAGATGACACAATCAAAAAGAGAACGTTTTATACACTTCCAAGTTGTGACGGTGATTCAATCATGTGGCCCACATTTCCAAGCGAGCCCAATTTTTTTCCTTTTTGTTTTAAAACTACCACTGCTAATAATAATAATAATAAACACCCTGCCTACCCGTACACACACAGAGAGAGAGAGAGGAAGCAAGACATAAGGGGAGAAGGAGAAAGTAAGATATATAGATGTATATGTATGTATACTTTTATGTATGTATGTATGTATGTACATATATAGAAGAATGGCTGTATATTTGTATATTCTGCACAGACATAAACAACAGCCAGAGCTACAGCTATATACAGCTACAGCTATATAAAGATATATAGATATGTATGTATCTAACTCAAAAGTATTTAATCACTTTTACTAAATAACCTATAGACATAGGTAGTAAATGGACGATCCATTATTGTGGCTACAGTAACACAAATATTCCGTCACCACCACAAGTATTTCTCGTGTAATTCTGGGATTAAATGTGTTTTCTTCACACCCACTGATCTTTTCTTTTTCTTTATTCAAAACTCAGTTGCCAAAAGAAAAATAAAGAGACATAGTTGGCTCAACTAAATTTCTTTATAGAGAATATTGACGCACATTCATATAATTTCTCTCTCTTTCTTTTATACACTTAAAGCACCGACTTATCAAAACTAGAAAATATGGGGGAGTACAACAATAACAAGATCAATAAAGGCGACGACGACGATGATGATGACAACACAAATATCAAGTATTGATTATTTTTATTTTGTTTCAAAAAAACTAACAAACAAAGAAGAAGGAAGAATATCACAGTGGTATTATAATCGTATTCGCTTCTAAATTAAAAAAAAATTATTATTCACAAGATTTTTTTTTTTTTTGGGGGGGGGGGGGGGGTTTCATACTTGACATTAACAGACTTTTACTTATGGTGAATTTACCAAAGAGATAAGAGAGATAGAGAGATAGAGTGGCTAGGAAAGATAAATATAAATATATAAGCTACGCGGCTGTATAGTTAATAAATACCCAACAATAACTACAGCAAATATACTTGAGTTCTATCTCTGTAGACTTCTTTGCTATAGTTCCATATTTGGGATACCATTAGAATCTGCCGTGAGTATATTCTTGTAATAATTTAATAATAATATATATATAGAGTATTTGCTTAAAGGAACTTGTAACATATAGCATTATACAGTTAGATTATATTCGTAAATTGCCTTTTGGTGATTAATATAAAGCCAAACAAACATAGCAACAATAAAGAAACGAATAGTAAGTTAAAACTCGAAACCAGTCTACATCACTATTACTGCTACTGCTACTGCTACTGCTACTACATGTCCACCTGTTGCTTAGTCCATTATAATATCATATGATTGATGAAACTAGACATCTTGAATCACTTAATTATTTGGGGGTCTGTTTCTCATACTTGTATTAGTAACAATATTATGGAACAGTAACGGTAAAGCTGATCAAGTCATAATACAGCAACCATTAACTAAATTGTGCGGGCGAGAAATAAAGCATATATACATACAGGGGCATAAATAAAATATTACCCACACTTGGCATTCTAAATTAACAATTGCTATAACGTTGTGGCTCTTACTTAATGATGCTCTTATTTGAATTCAAAAAGAATCAAGATAAAACGGTTCAAGTCATTAATACTTGCTTCTCTCCTTTAACTTACTGATAGCAGATAAACCTTTCCCTTCTCAATGTTTACAGAATTTCAACTTTTGTTGTTAGGCATGTTCTTTTGACATTACAAAAAAATAGACACCACATTTTTACATACACACAAAAAATATGCCCTTTCTTTTTAATATATATAAATATATATACCGATAAGTATTGGCCAATAAAAATCACCTCTTTTTCGATCTCCCTTACATTTTTCTTCTCTGTCCCCCTTTTCCATTTTCCATTTCAGATTTTTTTTATAACCCTGAGATTTAATTCTGATACAATGAATATAGGTTTACTCCATTTTTGGATATTTTCTAAAGAATCTTGTATACTTTGAGATTTAACATATTTTATACGCCGCTTAAGATATGTATGCCAATAGAATGCTCTGTTATGTTAAAAATTACTACAAATGGATTAAATTGTTTTTTTTTGGTTGGTCAACTTTTATTGGCCATAATTACAACATCCATTTTTAGTCACTTCAGTATAAATATATATATGTATATGTATATATTTCTTTCTTTATTCACAATTCTGTTCCTAATATCTCAATATAAAATATTAATATTAATAATAAGCTGCAAAATCAACAGCAATAATAATAATACTTTATACTCTTTCTTTAAAACAATAACAGCAAAAACGGCAACGATACCTGCTTGGAAAGGGATTTTTTTCTCTCGCACTAAAAACATGAGTTCCACTCACTACGAAACACACATATTTCAACTGGATGCACTGAACAACTTACGAACACAAGTAGAGGGACGTCAACCCGAGTTGAGAATCCGCATTGCTGCAAATTTAGAATCGAATGATCTCACAGTAGTTCCTGGAAAAACTGGCAGACCGTCTGAATGGAACGACGCGACTGTAAAGGTGCTTCTTCAAGTTATCATGCAAAGAGACTTTTATGCCCAACACTCAAAATTGGACAACTCTGGAAAGGCCAGGCTATGGAGAGAACTTCACAGGGATTTCTGTAGTAAACCAGAGGTTCATCGATATGCAGGAACTATTGCTGGAAAGACATTCTCACAGAAATATAGAACCGTGAAATACATAAAAGAGAAATTCCAAACAATTAAGAAAGATTTTCACAAAGCTCTTGCAGAATTAAGAAAGGAAGGGTTAGAAGAAACCTCTCAACAATCAAAGTATCTTCATTTTGATGAAATGAAGGAAATAACGCGGAACGATAAAACTTTCTGGCCTTCCATCGCTGCAGACGATCCCTCTACCAGTGACGATACTCTCACAGGACCTGTCGAACTCATAATTCGTGAAGATGGTACTTCATACGGTACTATATATTCTACATTATCTACACTTGTAACTAAATTTTTGGAAGAAAGTGCTATAGTTACCTCCAGATCTTCCGCCGCCACATCAGCCAATATAAGAGCAGGAACAGGATCCGAAACGACACAGACGCTCAACAAGCCAGCACGTAGACGAGCTCCTAGACAAACAGCTAAACAAGCACCATCAACTACACAGGCTACACCAACAACTCCTGCAACTCCAGGACCAGGACCAGGACCTACACCAAGATCAGAACCAGGAATAGGATCAACAAATAACACTGAACCAAGACTTGCATCTGAATTTGAGGTTGAATGCTTGCAAATATTTGTGAGACACACTAATGTCATGGAGTCTGGCTTTGCTTCTCTTGTGTCTGAACTTAGACAAGTGAAAGAGTTGTTTGCACGTTCGCTTGAAGACCAAAGGGCTAATGCAGCAGCAGCGATGGAGGATCGGCGCCTAGACAGAATAAGCAGAGAAAAAATAGCTGAACGTGAAATCCTCTACAGAAAGAATGCCACTCGAGAATCAATAGATTCGAGAGAAGAGTACATGAGATTGTTTGGACATGATGTACAGACAGGTGTCCTAGTACCTCCGGCTACCACCACTCCTAAAAGCAGCACAGCAGACGATTCATCAGAAACAGTACCACCAATAATTGATGGCAATACCCTAGTAGATTAATAACATTGACTATCTTCTTTTCCCTCTTTCTCTTTCTCTTATTTTCTTTACTATCTTATTTTTATATATATATTTATACTTATATATATATATATATATATATATAAATATACATACATACGTACATACATACATACATACATACATACATACATACATACATATGTATAAATATACACATACACACACACTCACACTCACACACGCGATATCTATTTTTATTTTTTCCTTTTTGTCGTTCCTATTCAAAGTCAATTCAATTCAACCCAATTCATTAGGGGCAATCAATTGTGAATATATACAAGTTCCTTCTCTTTCATTTGACCAAGTTATGTAAATTTATGGCCCCTAATGATTTATTTTATTTAGTTCTTTAATAAAGGTGTTGATAATTTAAGATTTGCCCTATATTTTTTTTGACAGCAGTACAGATGAGTCTGCGGTATGAAACGATAAAGAGACCTTATGAATCGGTCCGTAAAGAGAAAGAGAAAAGTAAAAGAAGTAAAAGAAAGGCAGCAGATAAGAAAATAATTACGCTTAGATTTGCTAGCTGTCAAGCTAAGTATATACCCTAATCATTTACAACAAAAAGATGATAAAACCACTAAAAAAAGGAGAGTCTACAAACGTTCAAATATGTATAAATAGATCTATATATCTATATTCATACATACATACACATATATAGATAGATAGATAGGTGCACGCATTAAATGGGCTTCATTAGTCTCCAATGCTCGACTTTCAAAGTTAAAATTTTCATTGATCATTACCCAACAGCAATTAATATTATAATTAAAATAATAATGATATAAAACATTATCTGTTGAGTGCTATCGACTGATTACTGTTTCAATAGTTGCTGTTTTTGTATCCAAGAAAATACATATTGTTGTGCTGCTTTGACAGATAACTAAACAGCTAAATTATACATATGCAAAAGGTCCTTGAAGATCTGTCTTTACAAGCTAGGCAACAGTATCTCCCAAATATATCCTGGTAAATATAATCAATATTTTTTTAAGAAAAGGTTTACAGTCCAGTTAATGAGGGTGTCGCAGCAGCTTCAACACTTGACAAGCCATAGATAGAAACCATGCTAGAAAAAATGAATCAATCAGGGACCTGGATAAGTTCCTTTAGTAGGCGAGGGCAAACTACCAAACACATACACTACAAAAAAACAAAACCAATCATCAACAAGACAAAGAAGGTTATTGTGTCAAGTTTTAGCTATAAACAACAAAAAAAGACATCTCATCCGATCAATCCCTACCACTACTACAAATTAGCGTGATTATATATATATATATATACAGTTGTGGCTGGTTCCACGAGCTGAAGATAATTGAGAGGTTAAAGACAGTTGCAAATACTAAAGTACAGTAGTACATTGCTGCGTAAATGGTAACTACTCACTGAGTTATATAAACCCCCAATGTCACTTAATGCAATAATACATATCGATTTTTCTCAAGAAATCCAGGTCTAGTTTTTTTTTTTAAAAAAAAACTAGACTTTTTGACAATTGCTTTTTACTACTCATTGGGGTTATCCATAAGGTTTTCAACGAAGAGTTTCTTCTTCTTTTGGTGGTGTGAACAATAATAGACTCGCGGAGTTTAGCAAGCGTGAAAGCTGCGGTTAGGTCCACTTCGTTTTCAACAATATTATAAACCATTCTTGACAGATATTGGAATAGCAACACAGTCTTTTAAAGTATGCTCATTTTCTTATTTAGAAAATCCTTTTTTTAATTAATTACGGGTGACAGGCATTTTTCTCTTCTTGACAGCAGCTTTGAAGTAGGTAGTAGATAAACCATGTATGTAGGGGAAGCTGAGATTACTGTAATTGTGTAATTATTCACACGCCAGAAGAGGACTGGTTAGAGGCACACCAATAGCAAATAACAGCAGAGTATTAATGATGATAAGGACTTGGTTTCAGGACCCCATTTTACCTCAATTTTTTTTGTTTTTGATCCTGAAAACATCTTCAATATAGCTTGGGTCCACAAGTAATTCACGACCACAGAAAATACCATACAGAACACACCCGAATTTGTTTTTTTTTTTAAAAAATAACATCGGTAATCAAGTCAACAAAAGTACCTACAAAAATTTAAAGCTGATTATACAGAGTAAGATCCCCCCTCTATATATATATATATACATACATTTCAAATATATCTAGTCTACACTAAGTCACCAGCAGGTTCAACAAAAATTAAATCATCAACTAAAAAAAAGAAAGAATAGGATACAGCAGAGCCCCTAAGATGGACCCACAGTCATAAGACATAATTTCTTGTGTTCTGTGTAGTGTTGCATAATGAAAACGTATCATAGTGTGGTGTCCATGGGAATACAATCTGGAAACACGGGGTTAGCTTTGCGGACAAGCCTGGTAGCACGATTATGCATCACTTCATCCGAAACATTTTGGTAAGCCAATTACATAACTATTGCTATAAGAAGCCAGAAAAGCAAGCCAATACGCAGCACAGAATATAACTTGGCACCCTGACTTTTGGAATAATCGATAGGATGTGCAACGTTAAATGTATTTACTTTCCAGACATATAGAGTAAATAGCTGATCGGTTTAATGCAACTCCCCATTTTTTTTCGATAAATAATTAAACGTATATGATGTGTAAATCAAAAACGTGTATACAGGAGAAGCTGTCAGCTAACGAATGAGTATATTATTAGCCAGACTAAACACACGCTATTATTTATTTAAGTATTTTATATTTTATCTATTGCTGATTATATTTCAAAATTTATTGCGCAGTATAATCAAGAAGAGCACCATATCAGAGAGAGAGAGAGAGAGAGAGAGAGAGAGAGAGAGATGTAGATGTAGATGTAGATGACTATGTAAAAGAAGAGTGACAGAGTCTAAGACCAAGGCAAAACAAAAAAGGAGTATGAAATAAAAGATTGTACCATGAGCTTGCAAGCATCTTGATATATATAAGATATCTATAAAACTTGGATCTATACATTTACCATTATGACTTAAGTGGCGTGTTTTCTGCACCTCTGATTTTGTATTCTAAAACGTGTATTTTTTTTATAAGAAAAAAACAGTTTAGAGTGTATAATACATATAAAGATGTTCCAAATCAGGGCAAACAGCAAACTCTATAATCCAATATAATTATCTAGATATACAATTAAGGCAAATCTTCGAGAGTTTCAATATATATGTAGGTTTCAATATCAATATCAATATCAATATCAATTCAATTCAATTCAATCCAATTAAGATATATATATATAGAACTCTACGCTGTAATGCATTTTTTTATTGATATGAGTAGTAATGACAGGACACCTTTGGGACCTTATTCCAAATAAAGAATTACATTCGCCCAGCAAGGAATTCCCTCATGAACAACCCCCAGCCATAAATAATACCCACAGCACAATATACACTTGTGAGCATAAGAGGCAAAAATTGGAGTGTTTTGGATCCAAATATCAAATTGTGGCCAATGTCTGTGTAGATTTGGACACCAATAATGCCGATTATGTAATACATTTCAGCATAGGTTAGGATGCTCTTGAGTGGTCTATGTAGATATACACACACATTAGTCTCATTTAAATAGATATCTTGCAGTTATTATCATTGTTATCATTATTGTTTTATACCTTGCCAAACAGCGAGCAAGTCCAGGGACTACGGTAATAAGCCAAAGGAGAGTAACCGAAACCTTGATGGGTGTTTCTAAATAGTATGAATAAATTATTAATAATTACGTATTTTATTACACAAAGTATTGTTCTCTTTATCTTTTTACCTGTGGGCTCAAATAAAAGCGGAAATAACGAAAAGATTCCTGTACTACTCAGGATGATGAATATTCTCAAGTGTGTCTTGCTGTTAGCTGCCATAAGTCTACCATAGTTGAAAAAGAGAAGTTTAGAGTACCAATATAAGTCTTTCTCTCTTTCTTTCACTATATTTAAGTGTGATTACCCTAGAGGGACCAGTACAAGCATTATTGCCTTTTCATGAACATGCCAACCAAAAAGATAGGAAGCAAATGTACACAATGTCAAAGATGACAAGAAATTATCAAATGTAGGTTTTCTCCAAAGGACTTGAAGGACAATCTAAGTTGAATGGTAAATAAAGTCAATATCAAGAAGAGTAATATAATTACATTCAGTCGATTGCTATTCATCCAACGTGCTTTACCAGCTGCACAATAACTGTAATAAGCATGGTGTGTATGGCTTGGACTGGAGGCAGAACAGCAAATTGGGTATCTCCAACATATCCTCTTGTCATTGATCCAAGTGCAGCTTCATTCAAAGGCCAACCTAGTGCTTTTGCAGCTGTATACACAGACATGTAATATTATTATCTATGTTATTGTATTCAAGTGACACTTACCGAAAATCAGGATTCTGTCCAGGGCTGCATACAAGGCCCAAAAATTAGGAGCCCAGTAAGCATGGCACAATCCACGAGTGAAAGGGAAAAGGCGACCGACCAAATTGGGAAGTTGGCCCATATATATAAAAGGACCCATAGATATTGTGAATACACCAACAACTGCACTCCCAAGGGTGATCAATCGTCCAACCGAGAATTTTCTCTGGCCATTAGGTCCTTCCCTATTTGACTCAACAGGAACAAAGCAATATGCTTGCAAGAGGTAGACAAAGTAAGCAGGGGCCATGTACAGATATATATGCTTGAAATTGAGTAGGATAGCAAATAAAATCCCAGATTCCAGCAAATTATTCTATATTTCAAAAAAAAAGAATAAAAAAGGTGAGTTTTCTGAAAGTGCAGTATGAGATCATTTTTCTTTATTTCATTTAATTCCTTTCTCTCTTTCTCTTTCCCTTTATCTCTATTTCGTTTCTTCTTTTCTTTACCCGCTTGGCCTCGACAATAGACAAAACAAGGATCCCGTAGAGAAAACCGTTGTACTGGAAATGCATATGTAACCAAACACTGTTAAGGACATAGTGTATTGAGCTTTGTGAAAATTACACCTCTCAAATTATTACAGCAATAAAAAAAAAGGATATGATCAACAATCAAGATGCCAGGATGAAGGAAAAGAGCACCGGCTAAAATCCAATGTACATATTTGGATCCAAAGTACTTTACATATCTAAATACAATTTAATAATTTATCAATGGTTTGTGTCTATGTTATCTCCTTTCCTTTTAATCACAAACAAATACGCCTTATACACACACCTCTTAAGTGCCCAGTAAAGTATTAGCTCACTAACAATCACAGTTGCTCTCTGGAAGAAGATTGTCTGAGGACTGGCATAATTGAGGTTCTCGACCACAAGCATGGCTGGATCAGCCAGTATGGCAAACATACTCAGGAGTTTTTCAAACCATGCAAATAGAGGTGGATAATCTAGTGTCCATTCAGACGTGTGCTACACACGGGTGAGCCAACCTTTCTTCTTCTTGTCTTTTTCATTCTTAAAGTCTTGCCAGAATTACAAAAGAAGTAAAATACCAAGGCCATACATATGTGTAGACATATATTTATACACTTACTTCAGTATACCATTGTGATATAGGTAAACTATGTGTAATTGCAAGCCAATTACGATGGACTTCAAAATCTGTAGATCGACTATAGATTTATTATAATGATGTGATTTGATAATGAGAACAATTATGATTTCAGTTTTCGAGAATTCCCTTGGAAGGAGTGTTTTTCTTTTCTTTTACAATTCTATTAGCAAGAAAGAGAGGAAGATAACAAGGCTAACATCCTATTCTTCCAAAGTCTCAACCGAAAAGGTAATATGTGGCGAGACTTACTAGGCAGGTATTAAGAGCAGTTTGACTAGCGTGCCAACAATAAGCAAGCTCTCCATTGTGTCCGTTCGAGATGACTAGTACAGAGGTTGAATTGATCTAAAATGATCTCATTTGGCAAGCAATTATTATTCTTACTCTATTTCCCCTAAAAGATATAGCCAAGACTATAGTATGAAAAGCTTCAAGTTCAAGCAACGCCGCTTTTCATGTTTTTGTCAAACAATGACTTTACAAAATTGGGTAATGGACTTGACCTGTATATAAAAAATAAAATAAAATTAAGCGGGAATTTCTTAATAAATATGCTTTTTAATCGCTTGGTTTCTAATGCTTTAATTACAATCATCTATCCCTATCACTACCACTATCGCTATCATTATCATTTTGTACTTCTTCCTCTTTTTTGTTTGAGTTATGGTTTAAATGTGACAAACGATAAAATGTTATTTACAATCATCAATTGAAATAAATAAATAAATAAATATATACATATTTTTAATAATCTAAAACTCTTTAAATAGCCCAGGGTACTGGTCCTTTCCATCCAACCCATACCGTGGATGGTTTTCATCGTAGTGATCGAAATTACTACTGTCTCCGTTGCTTTTGACGGTCGGTACAAATGGAGGCTTCACTTTACGCTGGCCCAATTTCTCGAAATCAATTGAAGCAAACCATGGGTGGTCCATCACATCACGGTATCCTCCCTTTAGATTTCCATATCTTTTAGTAAGATTAGTTGTAAGAAGATGCTTGAGGAGGTCTTTGGCTTCTTCAGTAAAAGTGGACGGGAATGTGGGCTCTTTTGTGAGAATCTTTTCATATAATCTAAATTGACTCTCATCATAGAACGGCGGTTGTCTATTCAGTAAATCCAAAAGAATGAAAAAACCTTCATTAGTATCCTTTGGTCAAAAAATAAATAAACAAGCAAGCAAGCAAGCAAACAGATAATGACTAGTTTGTACTTTACCCAGCCAACATCTCATAGATAAGCACACCAAGTGACCAGTAGTCTACTGATTTTCCATATCCTTTGGACTGTATAACCTCGGGAGCTACATATAAATAGCAATTATTTTAACAAACCTCCTGTAATTAATTATGTCACATCAAGTGTGTTCTTACCAATATAGTCTGGTGTGCCGCACAATGTCCACGTCCTGTCATCTTTTAATATTTTCGCAAATCCAAAATCAGTGATCTTGATATTTCCTTCTGCATCCAACAAGATGTTTTCTGGCTTCAAGTCTCTGTACACAATATTTTTTGAATGTAAATAAACAAGAGCAAGGAGAACCTCTGCACTATAAAACTTGGCTACTTCATCTGGGAATGTCTGGTAGCGCATAAACAGATATTAATTATATATACTATTGAAAAAAAAGGGTCTTGATTATCAGTATTTAAATGAACTCACCTTTTGTTTTCGCAAGTATGAAAACAATTCACCGCCCGGGACATAGTCCATCACCATATAAAGGTAAGTCGAATCCTGGAATGTCCCCCAAAGATTGACAATAAATGGATGTGAAATTTCTAACAGAACAGCTCGTTCGTTGCGTGTGTGTTCGACTTGTTTTAGACGAACAATTTCGGATTTTTTGAGAACCTTGAGAGCATAGAATCTCTCGTTAAATTTCGATTGAACTAGATGTACACGCCCAAAAGAGCCCGTTCCTAATGTCTTGAGAATAGTAAAGTCGATATATTTTAAAGTCTTTAGCTCGTGTTTGGCTGTCCCAGCTGATTTTTCATTAGGATGCAACAGGGGTCCTTGGTGTGCCTCCAAAGATGGGCTAGGCGGAGTTGGGTCGACAGGCGCCAGAGTGTCTCCAACTGGCTCTATATTAAAAAATATATATTCACAGGCATGAGTTGGATCAAGAGTCTATGGAAGAACAATATATCTTTACCTTTCAGATTGTGCTCTTCTTGAGATGGTTCGTGTTCTTCCTGAGTTTTTTTGTGTTCGTCTTGCGACTGATCTTGTACAGTTGGTTCGTTTGGAGGTAAAGTATCGCTGTCTATTTCTGGCCGAGGCGGAATATCTGCTTGTGGTTCTTCTACCTAAGGTTTTCGGTTGGTATGCTGATTGAACAGAGAGTCCAGTGTATTTTACCTGTTCTTTTGTAGTAGCTTCCGGAACAGTGTTTTGTGGTGCGTCTTGTGAAGAGTGAGCTACTGAAAATACTCAATAAGTATGTAATTAAACAAAGAAGTCGAATTGCAGCTGTAAAGTTATAGGTCAACTTAAATATAATTTACACAATTGCTTGTGTTTGACTACCTGGTGGTGTTTCTTCTGTCTTGGAGTGTACATGTTTTTCTTCATCCAAAGATCCATTACTGTGCTTGCTGTGGAGGTGCAATGGTAAGTGCGGGTGTTTGGCTTTATCAATAATTCTGTTGAGCATGGGAAGTCGAAAATGGTACGTAAAATACAATAAGCTAAAGCCATCATTACAAATGCAACCCTTTTATATATAATTTTTCAATTTCCATAATTAGACACTGGTTTCACAATGATCTGAAAGGGCGACGGGCCATTTCAGCGTTACTCCAACTTCAGCTGATTGCTCCATTTTGTTATTACTGTAATTAAAGAAGATGTGGGCCAACAAGTAAACCGTGTTTTTTTTCCTGCTGATAATTGTTTCTTCAGGCTTAAATTGCTTGATATATACACTTGAAAGTTCTGTTTGGAGATACTTTTGGCGTGCTATTTTTCATTTCGTGCGGTGTTCTTACCATTACGTCAAGCTTGTTTTGACTTTCATTTGTAAGAGAGAAAAAAAAACTATTCAAGCAACCATTTCTAGTGCCGCTTTAGAAAGCCTATAGGTTGTTGTGTTATCCCGGTTTAATATACCATATTTTATTTCTTTTTTTTACTGCTTTATGTAGTGGCTATATTGATCAATTGCGTAGGTCTTAAGTCCTCAACTGGAACGGGATCCTAAAAAGAAAATAATTAATAAAATCATACCAAAAAATAATAAGGAGTTATGTAATGTAAAAATGGGGGTTTGTTGACCAGTTATTCGGATAAATAAACTATGGCTATTTGTGGCATCCTCAAGAGGCAAAGAGGCACAATCTTATTCAGAAAAGAAACTTTGGAATTTTTTTAATATACAGTTCAAACTTTAAAAATCTCTATAATTTTTCTATGGATACAATAATATTAAACTCGTTCGTCAATTGATAGATAAATATGCAGGTTGGTATTGGTTTTGGAAATTATAAACGCATAATTTAGATAAATATATATATATATATTGACTTGGCCAATGAATGATTCCATATTTATCATACATGAATACAAAAAAGAAACCCAAGAAATCGCAACTATCGTATTTTCTTATAATCGTTGTATCTATCTTTCAGTCTATATTCCAAGATTTTTGATTCCAATTATTCTATTATTATTATTTAATATATGCTATTAAATAAAATTATAAGTTGAAACTACAGAATGTCTTTTGAATAACCAATAAATTGATGATAAAACGGAATATAATATATGTATATACACATATGAAAGTTTCTTTTTTTTTAAAAAAAAATAGGATTAATGTCAATAAAATGGCTTCAGGCTTGCAGAAAATTATATTCTTGAATAATCTAGAAAAATCTCACTTATACAAAACTTAGAAGTGAGATGGTATTTACAAACACAAAATGTTCAAGTTCGTTCAGTTGCACAAACTACTTCAACGTTTAATTTGCTCCTTTGTACCTTGATGAGAAGACGGCTAAGCCTCAGTATGATTACCAAAAAGGTAGTCACAATGCATGAAGTGGGTAATCTGACAGCCTACACATTTTTTTTCCAATTTCAATTTCAATTTCAATATTTCTTTTATTATATTAAAAAAAAGGAATCCAAAAACAATCAATCGATCAAACAATCAATCCATTATAATGACCGGTGCTGAAGAAAAATCTAAAGTGAATGCTAAGCAACAGCGCCGTGAAAAGGCTCTTCAGGAAGTCAAGCAGCTCGAAGATAAAAGCAACCACCCGGTACATTACTTATACATTCAAGTGTTTCCCTCACCACCCCTTGGGGCTCTGTGACAGTATCAACTTACTATTTTATTTTGTTGATTTACTATAATAGGAAAACTACGTCCAAGCAAAATACTTTGCCGATCTTCCTCTCACTAGCAAAACCCAGAATGGTTTAAAGAAAGCCAATTTTAGACAACTTACTGTGATTCAGCGTAAAGCAATTCCTCTTGCCCTGGCTAAGCGTGATGTGTTGGGTGCTGCCAAGACAGGCAGTGGAAAGACCTTGTCATTCCTTGTACCTGTAAGTTTACCGAGATCCTGGGTCTAATGACTAGATTAACCAAAACAATTCTTAGGTTTTGGAAATCCTTCATAGAGAGCAATGGAACACTGAAGATGGATTAGGCGCACTTATTATCTCACCTACACGTGAGCTCGCAGTACAGATTTTCGAGGTTCTCAAAAAGATTGGACGTGAGCACGCATTCTCGGCTGGTTTGATTATCGGTGGAAAAGACTTTAAGATTGAACAAGAACGTGTAACTCGTATGAATATTTTGGTTGCCACTCCTGGTCGTCTTTTGCAACATATGGATCAATCTGCAGGTTTCAACTGTGATAACTTACAAGTGTTGGGTAAAAACTTTTATTATTATTATTATTATTACTAGCATCCATAGTATATTATATGTTATCGCTAACACTATTCATTCACCTTTTAGTTTTGGATGAGGCTGACAGAATTATGGATATGGGTTTCCAAAAGACAGTGAATGCGATTGTCGAGAACTTACCTCGCCACAGACAGACGCTTTTGTTTTCAGCAACCCAAACTCGATCCGTAAAAGATCTTGCTCGTCTTAGTTTGAAGGATCCAGAGTATGTCGCTGTGCACGAAAAGGCAGAATTCAGCACACCTCAAAACTTGACCCAACATTACGTCGTCGCCGAACTACCAAAAAAGCTCGATATCCTGTACTCGTTTGTCAAATCTCATCTCAAATCAAAGACAATTGTCTTTGTTTCAAGCTGTAAACAGGCACGATTCATATACGAAGCATTCTGCAAACTTCAACCTGGTGTTCCCATTCTCCATCTTCACGGCAAACAAAAGCAGACAAAACGTGTAGATATTTTCCGTTCATTCACATCCAGTCAACATGCCGTTTTGATCTGTACAGATATCGCGGCTCGTGGTTTGGATTTCCCTGCTGTCGACTGGGTTATTCAGCTCGACTGTCCCGAAGATCCTGAGACGTATATTCACCGTGTCGGAAGAACTGCTCGATTTGATGCCGAAGGTCATGCTCTTTTGATTCTCTTACCGACTGAGGCAGAGGTCATGGTTGAGGAATTAAAGAAAAAGAGAGTACCAATTGAAGAAATTAAGATCAAGGCAAGCAAGCAACAATCTATCCAAAAACAGCTCCAGAGCTTCTGTTTCAATGATCCAGAAATCAAATATCTTGGTCAAAGAGTAAGTTACATAAGATATTAATAAACATAAAAATAATCGGATTTACGTATTTTTATTAACCAATTAATTGCTTGCTATTTCTTTTGTAAACTCAGGCATTTGTTGCTTACATGCGCTCCGTTTACCTTCAGCGCAATAAAAAGATCTTCAAGGCTGCCGAATTACCGGCTGATGACTTTGCACACTCTCTTGGTTTAGCCGGTGCTCCCAAGATTAAATTTATTAAGAAGGGAGAGGTTAAGGCTTCATCGAAGGCTGATAAAACCAACGAGGAGATCAATAAGAAGGTTGCCGAGGCAAAGGAAGGCGCGATTGACGAGGAATCAGAAGAAGAAAACGAGGAAGAAGAGGAGGAAACATCAAAGGTAATCTATAGCGTACATAATATTCTTATACTGTTATTAAAAACAAATTTTGGAATCATATACTTATGTAATATTTGTCATTTATTGATAGATCAATGCTACCAAGACCAAGTACGATCGTATGTTCCAGCGCAAGAACCAGGGTATTCTTTCGGAGCATTACAACAAGCTTGTTGATTACGCTGGCGACAAGATGGATGTTGACGAGGACAATGATGATGATTTCATGAAGCTGGAGCGTGTAGATCATGCTCTCAGTGATTCTGATGAAGATATAAAGGTATGTCTATAGATATCAGTGTACTCTAACCAAAAAGGTATATACTAAACTGGAATAATAGGATGCCGATCAAGCCAATATGTCCAAGAGACAGGCTAAGCTGACAAAGAAGGATTTGGCCAAGAAGTTGCCCAAGGGTGAACGATTGGTATTCGACGAAGAAGGAAAGGTACAAAAGAAATCAAAGCATTGTTTTTTTTGGGTGAAATTTTATTAGTTTGCTTTTCTGACAAAACTTTGAATTTTATTATTTAGCCCCATCAACTGTACGAGATGCAGGATGAGAAGTCTTTCTTGGCAGCGGGCGATGCAAAGACTCAGATTAGCCAGTTTATTAGTGAGACTGGCGAGTTAATGAAGGAGGCCGATAAGGATGATAAAAAATTGGCTAGCCAAAAGCGAAGAGAGAAGAAGATGAAGAAGAAGCTCAGCGAAGAGGTAAGCAGATATAATATTTAGCGTCTGAGATCGCAATGGCTTATCTAAATTTTTATATTAGAAACAACGCCGTAAGGAGGAGGCAATGTCTGAGGATGAGGGTGGATCCGAATCTGGCTCAGAATTAGAAGACGAAGCATCAGAATCACAGTCCGAATCATCTGGTTCAGAGTCTGGTTCAGAGTCTGAATCAGAGTCTGAATCAGAGTCAGAAGAAGTACCTAAGAAGAGAAAGTGGTACGAAGAGGAGCCAGAGAGTGAAGAGGATGAGGCAACCAAGAAGAGAATCATTGAGACTGACGCCCCCGAGACACTGCAGGACCAGGAAGCACTCGCTCTTAGACTTCTTGGAATGTAATCTCAAAAGAATATATAAAATACATAATTGCATGACTTTACATTAGATAAACTTTCATTTTTACCTTTAAATTACACTTCCCCCCATCCCCCTCCCCCTTAAATGGTTGTACTATGCTTAATACCATAAAGATGAATTGTTGGAAAACATCCAAAAAAGGGCATGATCCAATTTTTACTTTTTTATTTATTTATTTTGTAATTATTTATTGGTAATATTACATATATACTATACACGCATGTATATAGATATATTTGCATAGATACATGGATATACATAGATATATACTTTCTCATGGAAAGTTTGTTCTTTCCCGCGTTCCCTATCTGTTGTCCGAGAACAAAGGTGGTGGTGGCTTGGCTGCTTTCACTCACTCGGCTGTTTCCATTTTGTTTTACCTTTCTTTTTGACATACAATGGAAAACCAAAATCCCGTAGCTCTTCCTCAACACAAACTCTCACTCGAGCTACGAAGCCATCCAGAGCGAGGAAGAGGCGTATTTGCAACAATCCCTATAGCTCGTAATACAGTTGTCGATATTTCACCCATTCTTCATTTCAACCATGAAGAATATTCCCAGCATGGAAAATACACTGTATTGGATCATTATACCTACCGATGGAAAGATGGTTATGCTTTGGCGCTTGGACTTGGATCAATGTTCAATCACTCGAATCATCCAAATGTCGGGTTCATAAGAGATCTTGAAAACGGTCTGATTCGCTACATCGCTACTGATGACATTTCAAAAGACGAAGAACTTTGTATATCATATGGCTCTAACATCTGGTTCAAAAACACTGAGGCCGAGGAAAAGACTGAATTAGAGCAAAAGCATGAACCCGAAGAAACAGAAGAGCAATGGTGGAATCATCTGACTTGGGAACTTGATTAGAGAAACTACACTTTATTTGTTTGTTTGTTTGCTATTATTATTATTTTGTTTGAAATGTAAATATAAGCAGTATATGCCTGATTGATAGATAATGACCTTGTGTCGCTTTCTTTCTGTCACGCATGCACGCACACACAGTCCCTCTATCCTCTTTCCGCCTGTCCTTTTTTATACTTTGTCCCATTATGGGAAAATAATTCTCCGCCATAGTCACGTCATTGTCTCAACGTGGATTCTCGGTGGGAGGGTTCAGGGTGTTCGTTTGCATCATGGCTGATCAAGGTAAGATTAGCAAATAAGCTCACTGAGGAAGAGCTAATAAGATAATATAGGATCAAGTTACGCTGTATTACAGCATGTTCCTGTCATGGTATCTCCGCAATATACGCTCCCAAAACAGGTAGAACAATGATGCTTCACAAGAGGACAGTCTATGCGGTAGATAGATGGACTCATCGCATTCCTCAAGGTCACTCTCGGGACAGACATCCTTCCAATTCCTGAAGACTACCTAAAGCTGGTAAAATGAAGAATAGTTTAGTTTTGTAGATCCGCACATCTTAATTTTTATATGATAGGCAGTTTATTCCTTTACATTAGAACGAGAGACACTTGAAGATGTTAAGATATCTAATCAGAAGCAAAGAGAGGCTGAAGAAGAGTTAGCGAGAAAAAGAGAAGCATACGAACAAGAGAAAATCAATAAGCAGAAGATTGCAGCAAGGAAGATAGCACCTGGATTCTTGGATACAGACACTCGAATTCTACATCCAAAGCAGATATATAATTCTGGACGGGGTGCAGAAGAAGATGGACATGAACAAACAACCGATTCAGAAGCAAAAGATGAAAATATGGAAAAAGAGACAAGACAATTAATGCCTGTAAGAAGTAAATCTCCTTCACAGGATAGAGTGGTAAAGATTAACATACAAATAAATTAAAATAATATATATGTATGTATATAAAAGAAACATGTATCTGACTCTTGCTGTCTTTTAGACTTCTTCTACTGCTTTTGACTATCTCAAGTTTGAACAAGGGCTAGCGCCACCTGATCCATGGGATACACCTGAAAATGATATGGTAGCATTGCGTTCAATTTTGGGAGAAGCTAAAGAGAAAACAGAGAGATCGCCGCCTAGAAAACAAGACAGCATCACCCAAATGCCAAGTCCATATACGCCCCACTATTCTCCCTATATTCGCCCTTCCGTTTCTTCATATTCCAAAGATGGTAGGCTGTCTATAGATTTTACATATATTACTAAGCTTTTATGCAAGGAAAGAGAAATTACATTTTTTATACCTTACTCTATTGTTCAATTTCTTTGTGGTGTTTAGGTTACTGGCCATTTAACCCTCAATCACCCAACCAAAACTATCCCGCAACCTCAATCTCGTCAGGCAGACCAGCTCCTGGGCCTGCAATCCCACCAAAGTTCTTTTATGATCCAGTTAAACCCAGCCAGTCTCCTAGGCCTCCACCACCAAATATTCCTAAAGCACCCTCAGAATACCGCTCTGATCCAGGATCACCCAACTCTCCACCCCCTTTACCACCTTTACCCCCGACAACTTCACCATTGAACGATTTAGTACGTGAGCTCATCAACATGGGATTTTCGCGCTCTCAAGCCGAAGAGGCCTTGGAGAAGAATGAGAACGATTTGACAAAGGCAACCAACTTTCTTTTGGATCAAGCGGTTGGATAAATAAATAGAACACTTGTTTTAAAAGGTCTGCCTTTTTTTTATATAAAATAATAATAATAATTGTTTGATATATACTACAACAAACATAATCTATACATCGTAAATTTTCATGCTTAAACAGCATCTATACCAAGTTCAATCTCTTCATTTCGTGCAAGACGATACTTGACGTGAGATCTTCCGTCACGTTTCAAACTAAGTCCTTTGGAAACCCATAGCTTTTTCAGCTCATCAATGACAAACACAGAGCTAGATATCAAGGTGATCTTGGCCAGATCGTAGATAGATAGTGCCTCAGTCTGGAAGATGCTCTGTAAAAAGGGTACATAAATAACCAGCAACTGGGCGAGAATAGAACCTCCAGCAGCGAGGTTAAACATGTTGTTAGAAAACAGCCCAATAGAAAAGATAGATTGTTTTTCAGATCGACAAGCCAGAGCATTAAACATATCGAAGAAGACAAAGGTGGTGAATGTCTATAAAAGAGTAGTGTTAAATCTAAAATAGTCTTTTCCAGGAAGTAAGTAGCGTAGAAAATATTTACCATTGTAGCATCTCTGTTGGTAGTTACACCATCACTCATTTCAGAGACATAAACAAACAATGTTCCAACAACCACACAGAGAGCGGCTGACAAGACTCTGATAACAAGGCGTTTAGTCAAAATATTAGCATTACGCGCACGAGGAGATTTCTTCATAATATCAGGATCAACGGGTTCGACACCAAGGGATTGAGCAGGGGGACCATCCATGATGATATCTATAAGGACAAATATGGTTATTAAATGTTTTATGCTAGCCTACATACACATATATAGCTTACTAATCCACAGAATTTGCATTGCGTTCAAAGGAGTTGCAAGCCCAAAAAGTGTGCACACTGTAATCAATGAAAGTGCAGAGACACTTGTACTAAGCTGAAAGGTAAGGAAGTTTTGAATGTTGTAAAAGATTGATTTGCCTGTAAGAGTATAAAAAAGGATTAGATCATTTTATTCTCTATTTGTTATTATAATAATTGTTTTGTGCTTGACTTACCTTCTTCAATGGCATGCAAAATTGTCGAGAAATCGTCGTCAACAAGGATCATGTCAGCAGCTTCTTTAGAAACGTCAGTTCCGCTCTTTCCCATTGAAATTCCAATATCTGCCATCTTAAGCGCAGGTGCATCGTTAACACCGTCACCTGTCATGGCTACTACAGATCCTGCTGCTTGGAATGCCTTGACAATAGCCAATTTGTGTTTGGGAGTTGTGCGAGCAAAAATGGAAACAGAGTGAATGACCTCTTGAAGCTGACGCTCTGACATGGCCTCTATATCACGCCCAGTCAGGCAGCTGGTGCTTGATGTATTGGTAGGAATTCCAAGTTTACGAGCAATAGATACAGCAGTACCCTCTGAATCACCAGTGATCATAGCCACCTTGACACCACCCTGCATAAGCTGTTTTATGGCTTCGGCAATTCCGGGACGAGGAGGATCATAAACGGCAAGGAATCCTGTAAAGCAAAGTTCACGTTCATTCTCACCAAAGGCCACACACAGTACACGCAGTCCATGTGAGCTCATGGCTGCCACATGTTGAGAAACGGTGTCTTTGAGATTAGCAGAAAATGGGGATCTTGATTGGGAAGAGTTGTAATAGGTTGTGCATTTGTCCAAAATCACTTCTGTGGCTCCCTTGAAGTATTTGCAGTTTCCAGCAGAAATGTCTTCACCCTCATTGCGGCATGTTACACTCATGTATTTTTGGTCAGAGTTAAAAGGAATTTCCTCAATGCGTTCAAAGACCTAGAGCACAATTGAGTTTATTTTATATGTATATTATTGCAGATAGTAATGATCAAGAAATAACTTACGTCGCGTTCATCTTTGAGACCTGAGCGAAGAACAACATCCAAAAGAGCAATATCTGTAGGCTGACCAATATATTTTCCGTCCTCACCCACCTGTGCATTGTTGCACAAGTTACCTGTTTTTGGGTTAGTCAAAATAACGTTAAGTATGCAATATTTAAACTTACCAATACGAAGAGTTTGACGGAGAGCATCAGTCATATCACTGGGTTTCTTATATTCATAATCAAAGATCTGCTGGTTTTCGGCAGTAAAGACCTTTGTGACAGTCATCTGATTAAGTGTCAAGGTACCTATTGAAATATATATATATAAGAGTATTTAAAAATCAATACAAGTTTTGTCCAACCTACAGATATTTATATTTGCTTCTTTACCTGTCTTGTCGGCACACACTACATTAACTGAGCCTAGAGTTTCTACAGAAGGCAAGTGTTTTACAATTGCGCGTCTGTTTGCCATGCGAAGCACGCCCAGTGCAAGAGTTACAGTAACCACAATTGGAAGACCTTCAGGAATGGCAGCCACGGCAAGACTCACTGGATTTAAAAATTTAACACATTAGTTTCATTGATTGGCTCATCGTTATTTTTCGGTTGGCAAGTTGGAAATTAACTCACCTCCGATTGTGAACATCTCGAGCCAACCGCGACCCTGGATAAGACCAATGAGCACAATTACAGCAATCACACCAAAAGAAAAGATCGAAAGTTGTTTTCCAAGTTCATTCATGCTCATTTGAAGAGGTGTCTTACGGACCTCCACCTAAATCAAAGTAATAACATCACTTAATCAGAATTTATATCACCAAAAGTTAAATATCCGGTGTGTACTTGCCTCTTGCATTAACTCAAATACATGCCCAAATTCAGTGCTCTTGCCAGTTGCAACTACAATACCAGTTCCATGGCCTGATACATATATACATATATAAGTTCATATTTAAGCTCAAACCCAATGATTGAATACAACTACTGACGCGTTATAAATAAACCTACCGTTGCGAACAAGGGTTCCCATAAATGCAATATTGTCTCTCTCGGATATACCAAGCTCAGCATACATATTGGAATTGATAGCTCTTACATTCTTTCTTCTCGATTTATTTTCACCAGTCAAGTTTGATTCATCGATCTCAAGTTCAACAGACTAACATCCCCAGTGTTACAATCGAGCACATAAAATAGACATTGTCACTTACTGTCACTAATCGACAGTCAGCAGGTATCCGATCACCAGTACTGAACTGAACAAGATCACCAGGAAGAAGTTCGTTTGCCAAAACAACTGTGATATGCCCATCTCTGTATATACATATATATATATATATATATATCTCCGTAAGCGTATTATATTACCCCTGGGAACTCATTTCTGTGCACGTACCGAATGAGATTACAGTAATGAGGTACAAGTTTGTTCAATGCATCCAATGACTGCTCGGATTTGTATTCCTGCACAAATGCCACTTTACAGAAAGTGTAAACAAAAACTACACGGTTTTAAAAAGAACTACTCAGAAACATACCGGTTACGACAATAAGGATAGCCTTTACAGTTTTAAATAATAAAAGATGAGATGCAGTTTGATAAGATTACTTTTTTTTTAGTGTTTACCATGGTGATACTGAGCGCATCATCCAATTGGCCCATCGCCAATGAGACGACAGCTGACCCGAGAAGTAAGAGAATAAGAGGATTCTCCGTGAAAGATTTTATAAACTTTGAAAACATGGATTCGTCTTCTCCCTTTTCCAACTCATTGAAGCCATAGATGGAGCGCAATGAAGAGATGTCCGACTGAGACAGACCTCTGGTGAGGTTTGAATTGAAGTCTGAGGCAACCTGCTCAATCAACTGACGAGCTGCCTTCGCAGATGGCGTCGTTGTTCCTGCCGGTATGGTTGTCATTGAATGCCGGGTAAAGGACGTCCTCTCCCGCTCAAACAGGCAACCAAAGTCAATCTTGGTTCTTTGGTCCTACCGTGACGGTGATCGTCCAATATTCAAATGAAATCGACTTTTTTTATTTTATTTTATATATCGTATTATATTTTTAATCATTTTTCTTGGTTTGTATTTAAAGAAAAGGCATTTGAACTCCATCGTATACACTCACGCTGAGAAACGTTTCAACCCCAGCTAAAAGTTATACCAAAAAAAAAATAAGAAAAATTCAAAATAAATATAGTATTTTCTTCTTATTTTATTAATCAAATCAAACATTGAATGTAGATTCTCATCAAGAAAAGCCCTTATTTTCTTTAAAGCAACAAGTTCTAGGCGTTAATTATGATCCAGTGTTTACAGAAATTTACAGAAAGATGTTGCTGTAACTGATTTAATGACAATATATTAATTTGATTTGATTGGCAAAGACTAATTGTCATTTTAAAAAAAATCCAATTCTCAACCTCATGGAACATGCTTGGCACGCGCTATACAAAAACATATGCCAAGTAATGCTTGATCCCAGAGAGCATAAGATCCAGTATTTTTTTTCTGCTCTTTTTTTTTCTGTTCTGTTCTGTAAGCAGCTCATTAATATATGATATTATCATCTCGTCTTTTGAAGTTTTAAGAGCTTAACTATAAGTACTTATGAACAGTTGAATGCTAAAGATATCCTTTGAATTCTCTCATTTTTTTCTTTAAAATCTCAGAGGATAAATCACTTTTTTTTTCTGGAACGATTATATGAACTTTTGTTTCTAAGCCTTAAGAATACTTCCTCAAAAAAATAGACAAAGACACTACATTACAGTGTTAAACATAACTATTTATCCAAATTATTCATCAAGCTAAGGTTTTTCCTGAATCAAATTTTAGCTGTACTTTACAGTTGTAGGCAGAAACAGCAAGGCTTGTCTAAATTATGAGAAAGTTTCTGATAAAAGAATCGAAAGATTCTCAACGAAGATATGACAATCTCTAATTTTTTTAAAAAAAAAAAGGATTTATTTAATTGTAAAAGCAATACAATGCACTCGTGTGTGAATAGCCAATGGGCTTTAAAGAACTGAATGTTCTTTACGTTCCAAAACAAGGCCGCTGTAATTACTTGCATTGAAGCATCAGATCCAACTAAAGATAGAGCTAACCTTTTACCAATTTTATATACGATTTTGTCTTCTTACCACTCATAGAAAAATCTTCCAGTATCTCTGTCCTGGAACCACAGCCATATAGACTTTCTAAAACAGGGTGTATTCCAGATAATCCTCTTTGGATTTATGGACATAGCTCCACAGGGCTGGTACTGTTATGGAGAATTCATGTAGTGAACACAAACTCCAACTTTTTGTACTGATATTTCATGCAAAGGAACATGCACGGATTCATTTGACAGCTATAATATACCCCTGGCGCTACCTTCTATGTGTATCCAATGTCCCTTAATAGTGGGCGCTGGGAATATTTGTCGGCATGGTATCTAAGTAGATGTTGATACGATAGTCTTGCCTCCTTTGTGAGCGCCGTGCATTTTTTGTTGGGGGTATGAGGTACTCTGCTTGGGTGATTCCTATCTAATAAGGGTATTCCCACACCTCCAGATCAACCCTGCCAGAAACAAAAAAGACGGGTGCGCCTATCACTTTCTTCATATCTTGCTTGAAATCAACAGTGAATATTTGATTTTTTTTCCAGAAAGATTTAAGTATATGTGATGTCGTTTATCATATAGCTCTCTATACTTTTTTATCACAAGGTCTAGAATCAGCGAGGCTTTAATTCCTAACAATTATGTAGCTATCCACCCTTTTACTGGGGATCCATTTGAGATTACTGAAAGCGCGATTTGGCTCAGTCAAATACGCAAATTGACTCAGTCAAATGTGCAAATTGGGCACTGTACTAAGCGTCAATTAGGGTGTTCAAAAGCGCGGGCTGGTTTTAAAAAGCGCCATTTGGCACCGGAGGTTTTGATAGGATTCTTATTTTCTTTCTATCGAAGAACTTTGAAATTGTTGGTACCACAAGCCTTTATCAATTCAAATTACTTTATAGAACTTTAACTGTATTAAGAACTCTTGGCTTTCTATTCCTTTTTCTTTTTAGAACAAAAGAAAAACGATAAATAAAATAAAACATGAGTGGGTTTCATTTTCATTTATAAAGAGGTTTAAATTTATTAGCAGATAGATAACAAAATCCAGCGGGATCATGATTAAAGATGTATTGTAAGTTGTCAATTATATATAAAAATAAATAAATGTGAATAAAGGCTAAGATCAACCAAAATCTTCAGTGCTTTAAATGTGTACATGTATACCTTAACATATGACCATTGTGTTGTATACGCTGTCAAATACAATGATCTGATCACAATAGATAAGCGAATACAAAATTTACTGTCATAATATTTATATAATAAATATAGTCAGAGGGTTTGCCAAACGTGGAAATCAAGTCAGCACAATATTAGACAGCTGGCCAACTAATTTATATATATATATAAAGAGGTGGGCCTGAGGGTTTCTTGTGAGGATTCGCCAGATGATACCCAGTAGAGGTTAGAGAGGGTATAAGCTTCCAGTTATTTGTTTTTATTTGAAATTGATGAAAGTACAATGTATTAGAAAAAGGTATCGAGTGAAAGGTTTATCAGAAAGGGGGAGATTTAGTTGCACAATGTGAGATTTAATTAGTGTGTAATGATGGTAAGTCTTTTTCATTGTTGCATGAGATGCAAACCTATCAAACAAACATTATTTGACACCTTCATCGAAACACGCTATCGGTTTCATTCCATTTTCTCCAAAAAGAATAGATACTTGGTTTTGGTAATCTAAATCGGTGGGACACAAAGGGACTCTTCCCCTGTGAAGTGTTGTTTAAAGGTTGTTGCGAAGTCAATACCATCCTTTACACACATTAATTTACATCGCATTTTCAGGTTTCATCATTAGAACTGTTGTTTTTAATAATCTTTTCGTATTTGGCTATACAGTCACAGCCAAAAACGTTTTGACCTCTGAGCTCAAAAATTCATGATAGAGCATGACATATATTCAACATGCAACTGCTCATTAGTAATAAAAGCTAAAGTCTTTAAATTTCAAATAAAAGATGATATGCATGCCTATGATTGGAATATATATATATAAAAGATCAATAGACGATATGACCTCCTTTGGTCTCCATTACAGTTTGACGCCGATGTTGCATGCTGCCGGCAAAAGTTGATGAAAGTTCGAGGCCCATTGTTTTCCATTAGTGTTGCATTACAGCCTTTAAATAACTAATGTTGTTGATTTTGGCCCTTTTAGCACTCATATTCTTCTCGAGAATCCGCCAAAGGTACCTATAATTAACTCTCCACCACCTCGAATAAGAGCCAGCATGGTAACTGGCGTTGTCTTCTTGGAACACAAAGTACCTGTTTTGTTCCTATGAAGGTTTTTAAGACCAAGGGAGGAAGTTCTAAAGCTAAGCAAAGTCTTCATTTTTTTTTTGGTTGGGCAAACCCATGAGGAGAAATCCCACTCCCTTCCTTCGGGACAGAGCAAAGTCTTCATCTATTGGTCGTAGTTTACGTTGCCATATAAGAAAAACAAAGGTCCCTAAAACCACGAGCACAGAAACAGCTCCAAATCATCACACTGCCTTTCCCTCACTTAGTTCCATCGATGATATATATATATATATACTTTATACCTTTCGCCAACTCTTCTAGTAGCTCTAGCTCCTTTATCATTACCATTGACTGTAAATTTTGATTCATCGACCCAATTGACTTGAGCATGAGATCAGTTCTGCCTATCTTTATTCTTGTAGTTTTCTGCCAAGGCTTGAGTTATGGGCTGCGATATATGAACCAAAGCTTGAACGCATCAGGAAACGGAATACTATGTCTTCCAATCTTCTTGTCAATATTTCTAGGTCTTTTGAATCATTTTCTTGGCTCATGGAATCTTGTTTCGTCTACATTCTTAATTCTGCATTTGACTCTGGGCAGACTCGTGTCAACAGCGGCGTAAATGTTTGCGCCTTAATTTGCATAAATGCATACACATAATTCATCCGTGTTTGCAAGGATTGGCTTTCGTATATAGAACACAGGTGATAGTTGATGAAATTGTGTTTTGAATGTTGTAATCGATCAATAGAATGGGAATAAAGCAACGTTTTTATTTTTATTTTATAGATTTCTTTTGGCTGTTTTTGGGTGCAGGTCGATTTTTTTTTTCAGTGTGAGTGTATTATTTTATTTTATTTTATTTTATTTTTTTAATTTTTAATTTTAATTTCTATTTTATTTGATTTATTTTTTAATTTTAATTTTAATTTTTTGTTTTTAATTTATAAAAAAAAATTGAAAAAACATAAAAAAAACACAAACAAAAAATTGAAAAAACAAAAAAAAAATCAAAATCTATATAAAATGATTTAAGAAAATCAATTTATATAGATTTTGATTGGTTCATTTTCATTTATTTTATTGAATTTATTTACCATTGGTGGCCAGCCAATGATGAAAGTGGGATCTCCCTGTTGGACGAGAAAATTTTCAAAAAACTCGCAGTGGGCAACAGATAGGTTATCAGCATTCTACACCTGCATAGACATCGCGTGGTTTATATAGTTTGGTTTATAGGTCTTCAACTGTGAAAGTCTTTCGACCGGTTTACTAAGGCCACATCTATGAGCAGACTACGTAGATAACCGCCACAATAAAGATCTGAAAAATTTGCAAACTTTTGGCCCCTTTTTATAGACAAAATGGTTCAATTCTTGTACGACCTTTTGCAATTGAAAGAAAGTCACGGAACGTGAAAATTAAAATGATTGGTGTTTGAAAAATGAGTCAATGACTTTTAAATCATTTTGATTGGCTTTTAAAATTGTGACGCCATATGAAAAAAAGAGTCCTTGGGGTTGAAATAAAAAAGTCACATCAGAGAGAGAAAACCGAGGCGGCTAAAAAGAAAAGTCACCGCAAAAATGGCTCATAGTGTTAGGAAGGATATTGGATACGTGACTTATTATTTCTAGGTGACGTCTATTGTTCTATAAGGTTCTATGAGAAAGAAAATATTCAGTGTGTGAGTAATTTGGTGATTGCGTAGTATCTAAAGCGTACACGGCCGTTTGCTGCCCAAAGTAAAACGAACTTCTTTAAGTGAATCTTTTTTTAAAAAAGAGAATATAAATCCAAGTAATTACACCTTTTTAAATAGCTCCTATTAAAAATCCATTTAAAGGAGTTACACTGCAAGAGGTGTGCACGGCCGTTTTGGCCGTTTTTGGCTTTTTTAAGAGCTGAAAATCTCAAACATTATTTTTAATATTTTTTTGTTAAATCGTAAATCCAATCCTCACAAGAATTGTTTACAAACCAATACCTCTTCTTCTTTTGCATTGGTATTAAGTACATCCTATTCACTGAGTAAGCTACGATTGTTAGGTTTAATAGAATTGGTGTTTTATAACTGACAAAGACGCATAGTTGTGCCTTTTTCTCAAAAAATAAAATAATAATAATTAACCAACATTGGGTTACGACGAGGTTCAATTTTTAAGGACAAGACGTTTTTGTAAAAAAGATAAACTTTTGTATATATAAATATAATTGGACTCCTTGCCTTTAAAATTCATTGCAACTTTAATACAAGCACATACAGAGGGAGAATAGACAGCCTTTCCAGAAATCATTGGTGCAAAAACGAAATGGACCGAATGCATCAAATGTACCAAAAAAAAGATCAATTTAGCAGAAGAATGGATAAAAAAAAAAGCGTACCAATTTTCTCTGCTATTTTTGCACAAACAATTTCCGGAAAGAGCACCTTTCTAGCCTTTAATCTTGGGATCAGTAAAGCTATAATAAAATTAAAATAACCAAAACAAAAGACCATTACAATTTGCTTCTAATCCCTCACTCAGCCCCCTCCTTATTTATTATTTATTATTTATTATTACTAGTATCAAGGTCAGTTTTTAGTTCTCTCTCATACACACATCAAAATTACCGGTAAAAATATAAAAACAAAAGACACATCTTATCTTTCGCCCTTTTTACAATAAATTGATTTTCATTTTATATGTATATTGGGTAGGTTGAAACAGAAATATATTAGAAACAACCTAATAATGCTAAGATTAACGATTAGATTCGCTGAATGAGCAGATGATTGTCATTATCAAAAAATATATATACTGTTGTAAGAAGAAAAGGCAAGAAAGAGAAGAAATATTCGCTTGTGTCTACCTATGCATGGTTTCTGACTCCACTCTTTCTATATATCTATATAGTCATTACAGGTCATTAGCAGGTGATCATGTACCGGACACTAATGGTAATATGTGGAGTAAAGAAATGGATATAGTAATCATTATTTATGTTTGTACTTGGAGACATCACATATTGGACAGGTGGCAAAGCTAGATTTAAATATCATTGCATGCGGATTATCAGTAGTGCAGCTATGTAGCTATGCAGCTATGCAGCTATGCAGCTGTCCATATGACTTTTTCTAACATATGGATGCATATTTTGATCAATATATATATATATATATATATTTGTAAATATTATTGAAATTATCACGATTCTTTAATACTGACAATAGAGATTTAGAGTTTCTAATAAAGCAGACATTTCAAGTAGTAAACTTGAGACAGATGTTCGATTATTGATTTGTTTCTGTAAACCGATTCTGATTCCAGTACATACGCATTGGAACAAAGTGTGATTTAAAAGGAGAACTGCCATTTAAGAATACTATGGCTAATATTTATAATAACAATAAAATCTAGTGCTTTATATAATCCCATTTAAGGAAAGTTGACACTGGATACTTGGCCTTCTATCATCGTACTGTGTTTTCCCTCCATAATTATTTGCAAACTATGAATTATTGCCGAAAATACCGTATGAGAAATTTGATTGTTGTATTAAATTAGAATAAAATCAAAGCTCAGCAGAAAATTTTAAGATTTAGAAGAAAAGACAAAAAGAGGGGGTTTATTCCAATGACCAAGAAAAACTATGCCAGTAAACATCAAGATATATATAATTAGATATATAAGTCTTTAAGGTCTTGAGTATTGATACTATTAATAATCATAATTACTGATACTTGAGTTGATCTTTATACGAAATGAAAGAGGGTCAATGCACACAGCTATTATCTAAACAAGACGAACATTTCCTGGCTCAATAACCATATACGGAGACTCTCTTCGTGCAAGGAGAAACACAATAGCTTTTACATTGTCTTGGCAGCATATGACCTACATATAAAGAGTTCTGGGGTAGACAATGTATCATAAGCACGTGGAGCCCGAGGTAATATGAAAATGCTTTGTTTAAGACCTCTCTTTACCAACACAGTATCTCATTCTTTTATTCCTTTATCTGACTGACTTTGTCTACAGAGATTAGTTAAGGTGGTACTGATGAATTTTGTATTCTAATGCCCTGATCCAAATGTCACATATAGCGTATTTGTTGTATTTATGCTTGTGTGGAACCCAGATCTTTTTTTTTTTTTTTTTTTTTTGGCTCTTATTTTCTTTGCGCGGCTATTTTCAAAATGCAATGTAATCTGTGGGCGAACTTTAAAGATAAAGAAGCTTTTCTTTTTGCTTAAAAAAAATAAAGGATATAATGAACTGAGCTCAGCATAATTACCCAAACTATCAATCAAGACCTGTCTAATCAAAGGAACAACCTATTGCCATATCATTATTACCCTTAAAGGACACTTCCCGTTAATACTCATCATTTAAACCAAAATATCTTGATAATAAAGAGGATATTTATTTAATTTATTTATTATCAAGGTAAATCAAAAGAACGCCCACAGAAGACACGCATGACGGACATCCAATGAATGGCGGTGCGGATAGCGCAGTGCCTAAACAGCAGAGCAAGATGTTTGGAGACCGTCTTCCTTATCCTTTATCTCTCTTTCTCTCTAAATAATTTCCTTCTTCTTTTTTTCCCTTAGTTTAATTTATATATATTACGTATACATTTAGTTTTCTTCTAGAACCTTTTTTCTTTTTTTTTTTTTTAAAAAAAAATTACTTTATAACATTATTATACCATGTCATTCAAGTCGAGACAAAGAGCAAAACATGGTATTTTGTTTGGGGATGGTAAGCCTTCAATTCTCTTCTTCCTATAAGCGATCCCAACCATCCCATCTTATTCATCACAACACATTAGATCCCCTCGGTGCATCCATGGTAGAAGCTGACGAGGCCCTGTTTAAGCCACGAGCAACAGTAAATACCCCATCTCATTCACCGCATCCCAGTCAAAGTGCATCAACACCAGTGTTGGACCCGCTTCAACCTCACAGTAGTCGTCCATCTTCTCCTCACCAACCTATCCGAAAGTTTACCCATACAAAAAAGTCTTCGAATGGATCAAATGAGACCAGTAGTATTTTTGGGGATGTAGATGTATCTAAACTCGGAGGAAGTGGTGGAGGTGGAGGAGGGCTATTCTCGGGTAAACGCGGTGGTGTACTGTCTTCGTCTTCATCATTACGTGGATCAAGAATAGCAGATGATGAGGATGATGGTTTGTTTGGAGGGGCTGTAACTCCTAGAAACCGAACGGGCTCAACTGCGTCGTCAGTATCCTCCGCTTCTTCGTATCGTCGTGAAGAGCGAGCCACAGATAATGCAAAGCCATCTACTCCTTTTGTTACGAATTCTACACCTGCACAAGCACCAAGACCAACCCAAACAATCCAAAAAGTACAACCAGTACAACCGACGCAACCTGCACAACCTGCCTATAACCAGCCAATAAGACCAGTACAGTCTGTGCAGCCTGTACAGAATAATTATGGTCAACTAGAAACTCAACAAAAGCCAGCGTATGTCCAACAAAGACCGGCTTCAATGCAAGCACCGGTTCATGTACCAACTCAGGTCCATCAACGACCTTTTTCTGTACAAGCACCGCTACAAGTACCGGTCCAAGTACAGCAAATACCCACTCCAGAACCAACCCCAGAACCAGTATTAAGTCCGGCTCCAGCTCCTGTCGAACCACCCCCACGGACATCTAGCTCACTATTTGCTTCTGCTAGTCGACTTATGCGGATAAGATCTACCAGTACTACTAAAGCAGATCCTCCAGTACAATCTTCCTCGGAAACAAAGCAATCCACTCAAACTGTAGAGGCTGTACCAAATCCTTTGGCACCTCAACCTCAACCTCAACCTCAGCCTCAACATCAACAGTATCAACGCCAACTTCAGTTGCAGCAGCAACTACAACAGCAACGTCAACGTCAACGCCAGAGGGAAGAAGAGGAGGAAGAAGAAGAAGAGAAAAATAAAACAGTGATAGAGGATGAGGCAACGTTAGCTTTTGCAGAGGATACTTTTATTAAGTCAAAGCCGATTCCAGCCTTTGACTACTCATCCTCGCCCGAATTCTCTATTTCGATTGATACCCGCCACTTGCTTGTGCCTTCATCAAGTACACCTGCATCTACTTTGAGTATGGTAGAACATGCAGAAAACCCATGGTTTATGCCTAGTGCAGCAGGATCATCACTTTCGGTTATTATGGATGGACCTTCAGTATCTACAAGCTCCCCACTGCGGTCAACCCAAAACCATCATCTCCTCCCTCAACATAGACCTACACGTCATCCATCCATTGCGGCTACACAAATCGAGCCAACTAAACGAGCTGCATTTGCAGATTTGATTGCTAGTTGGAATGGCGGAGAGCGTAATAGGGTACGCGCACCAACAGAAGACACAACAAAAGAATTAGTAGAGCAGGTGGCAGTGGAACAACGGGATATTGGCTTTGCAGGCATCGCTAGCCCCACAAAAAAGGAAGATAAAGAAGCTGACGATGATGATGATGATGAAGAAGAAGAAGAAGGAGATGATTTGGTTAAAAGACAAGGTTGGGCTATTGAAGCGGATAACCCATGGTGTTAGAGAACTTCTCTTTTGGACCAAGGAAAGGAAGAAAAGGAAGAAAAAAAAGAAGATATTATCAATCTTTCTTTTTTGTAATTAATACGACTAAATAACAACATCTGTTCATTATTCACATCATTATAAGCATCGTCATCATCATTGTCATTATCATCCTATATACTTTATATACATACATATATATAGTGATAATTTATACTTGTATTTATAATTGTGTGTGTGTGGGTGTGTGGGCGTATATATATATATGCTATATATAAAAGACAGAGGATATATCTATGTAAGATGGAAGGGTGGGGGGTGGAGGGGGGGGGATAAGACTACTTTAAGAAAATAAAAGAGGTAAAGGGAAAAAATGGCTATACATAAAAGAAGTAATAAAAAAAAAAGAATATAAAATTTGGAAGATGTGTGTTGTTGAATGGGAAAGTTGGGTTGGGTCGTTTGTTGTAGTTGGGATAAATAAGAATACATACATCATACTTTCCATAAAAGGATAAAAAGAGACTATTTTTTTTATGGTTGTTGTTGTCGGTAGTGTTGCAGAGTACGTTCGAGTTCCTTTACACGCTGGCTATAAGTTGAAACGTCTTGCTGGAGCTGTCGTATATGGTCGACTGATTTACGAAGAATCGCACCTTTATTTGGCTTGTTTGGACCATTATTTTCCACACTATCGGGTAGCATGTAGCCTAGCTCTTGGATTCTATCGTTGATATTGTCCCGTCGTCGTCTTTCGACTATAATGATTTTTTGTCAGTCTATTATTACTATCACTATTACTATTATTTACAATCAGACTCTTGTATTTCTACATTATTGTTATTGTCTTCTTACCTGCATTGTGAGATTCTCTTCTACGACGACGTTTCTCCATCATAATCTGCATACTATTATTATTATTGTTTTATAAAAAGAAGAAGTAAAGGAATGATAATGAATACATCTTTTACATAGATTTGTGTTTGTGTTTGTGTATATTGAATGCCCTCTAGTTTTTTTTTCTTATTATTATTTAGAATTCTTACTTCATCTGTACTGCATAATCTTCTTCATAACTTCTTGGCCCATTGTGATTGGCTGAGATGCTGCCAGTCGAGGTAGTGGTTTCCAAAGGTGCATGAAGTCCAAGATTGGGTTGAACTGCGCCAAATGAGGAGGGTGAGCCAGGATAGCCACCAAATTCATATCCCATTGTAGCTGGTGCAGACATGGGAAACCCTCCTGTTTGATAATCGGCATGATTTGGGTTAAACATTGAATAATTAAAGTCCTGGTTATTCTGTTTCATCTGAATAGGTTGAGTCATTGTTAGACCACCATTATCTTGCCCAGGACGTTGATGAGATTGGCCACTGATAGGCATATTCTTTAAGAAAAATAAATAAATAAATATAAAACATATGTAAATATTGAAACAATTGTGAATATTATTTCTTTCTGTTTTTATATATACATAAAAGGGCACTGACGCACACACGCACACACGCACACATAGTATTATTATGATTTTTTTGAACCAAAATGGCAAGAGTAAAAAAAAAAAATGAAAAAATGAAAAAAACGCTCCTCTCAAAATAAGAAATGCATAAAATAATAACAGTAACAGTAATAGTAATAGCAATAGTAATAGCAATAGCAATAGTAATATCAACATCAACAGTAAAAGGATTCCTTTGTATAAATATAGAAATATATATATATATCTTGGGTATAGTTTTTCTTTTTTTCTTTTTTATTTACCATAGCTTTAGGTCCAGTTGTATGTTGTTTTTGATAAGACTGTAGACCAGACTGATAGTCTAGATCATCAAAATCATGTAGTGGAGAGGTAGACATTGGTGACATAAAGTTTTGTGAGAACGTTTCGGGAAAGTCGAGATGGTCTGAACTGGGTGAATCTCGATTCTGACGGACGCCAAGAGAATAGGCGGGATGAGCTGCGGTAGCCAGTGGATGCATGCTGGGATCTTGTGATTGTTGAGAGGCCATCAGGTGGTACTGTGTAGGGTTTCGTAGTTTGAGTGGCTGTTGTGACATTGTAGAGAAAAATATTAAGAGAAAGAAGAGCAAGAGGAAGAGGAAGAAGGGCAGGAAGAAGAGGAAGAGCAGGATTACGGTGTGAGAAATGAGGACTATTTCGGGATTTGAATGTTTGGTGTTAAAGAGATGTGAATAAAATATATGTATATATATATATATATATATATATTTGTATTATTTATTTTGTGTGTTTGTATGTATATACATATATGTATATGTATATATATATATATTAGTATATAAAATATATATTTTGTGTGTGTATGTGATTTAGGTGGTACGAGTCCCTTGCATGGGCCTAAGAAGGGGAGGCCGAATTACCAAAGCATTGTAGCTGTTTGAGTGGATATGAAAGAATAAGATCAATAAAGCCAGATAGACAGTGAGAGAGAAAGAGAGAGAGAGAGAGGGGTTCTTCACTTCTCTGTTGATTGCGTATGCGGACGGGAACAGAACGGATCATCATATAAAAGAGAAAAAAAAAAGTGGTATAAAAGAATCTGCTCTGGTTTGCCCCTTTCTCCCCCTCCAACCATCTCTTTCTCTTTTCTCATCATGAACTTGTCAATGCGGGCTATTGTCTTACTCATGGCCATAGGTGTTGTCTCCTCCCAGGTCATCTCGCCGTCCCATACCTACAATGTAACCGCACCTGAACCCAATGCACCTTATGTAGCTGGCCAAGTCCTACCTGTTCGCTATACACTTGTGGACGATATAAAACTACCAAACCGTAAGTAAAAGGAATTCATATATAAAAGAGAGAGAATAAAAAGGCTTGATATTCTAGTATTCAACATCATCTGTAGTTCTCTCGCTGTCCATCTATTTTACCACCATCGACCCAAGCATGAACTTCACAGACACAGTCATTACATCCAATGCAGACATCTCCCAAGGATTTAGCTTTAGACGTACTCAGAACACCATGGTCTACTATGAGCACGAGTTATCCGTAGGTTTTGTTTCTTTCTTTACATCTCTCCTTCAGCCCCTATTATATTTTAACTGTTGTGTTCACAAGATTTACTAACAAATTGCCATTCGCCTCTAGTATGCAATACCCAACACTACTCGTGCTGGTAGCTATCAAGTAAGATTACTGCTACTATTGTTGTTGCTCTTGCTGCTCAATAGAACCACTTATATGTATTCTAATCCAACCTATTATTTCTATATACAACACCCCCTTTTTTTCATGTTCATTTTCTGTATACAAAAAAGGTTATTTTTGTAGACTCTGTTTCTCGTACAAATACTTCTGTACCCATTGTAGTCCGTCCTTATGCCCCACCCACCCTTCCATCTTCAACAGCAGCAGGCAATGCCAATAAGGCCGGACCATCGAGTATCTTTGCCATTCACGCCAATTCTTCTTCAAGAAAACAGCCAGAGCTATTTGCATTGGTTGCCCTGATCCTACTCCTCTGTGCATTCCTTTAAATCTGTCGTATCATCCTCTTTTTTATTTTCTTCTTTTATCTTTACACTGTATTCCTTTCTTTCTCTTCTTTTGTTATCCTCATAAGGAAAGGAGATAGAAAGGGAGAAAGAGAAAGAGAGAGGGGAGGTCATCTTCCAACTTCTTTAACTTTTTATTTTTATTTTTCTTTCAACTTCTTTAATAGCAACCCTCTCTCTTTCTTTATTTCTTTCTCCTTTTCCTTTCTTTCTTTTTTTTTATTAATATATTTTGAATTTTACTTTTTTTTTTTTATTATTTTTCGTTCTGTCCTCTGTATGACGAAAGAAACACGCCACTGAACTATTTTTTAATCATAATAATAATAATAATAATAATAATAACTATAATATTCAAGTGTACAAGATAGATAAAAACAGCACCAGCAGATCCAAAACTGATCCAATACAATAGCGAATGAAAGGAGAGAGAAAGAAATAGAGAAATAGAGTGTTGTTTAACAGCCCTTCATTTACCCGAGCCCCTCTCTCTCTCTCTTCTACTCCTCTTCTTCTTCTTCCTCCTCTATATTCTTCTTCACTTTCAAAAAGAAATTCAAGAAAAAAATTGATCTTTATCGACTCATTTATACATCTTTACACACACACACACACACAGAAATATAGATACATAGTTCTGGATATCACTCAAATATTATACATACATATTATACATACATATACATACATATATACATACATATATTTGTTAAAGTTATTATGAGTCAAATGCTACCGAGTGAAATTTGGCTAACTCAAATATTACCCCGTCTACAAGTATCCTCTCTTGTGACATTTGGAAGCGTATGTAAGCACTGGCATGCTTTGGCAGGTGATGACCTTGTTTGGAGAGATCACGCCATTGCCGACTTTCATCTTGTTCATTCTTATCATGGAAACCATGGTTGGAAAGATTTCTATGTCCGACTCCTAGACTCTGTTGTCTATACTTGGGGTGAAAATTCGGCGTTTCGACTCGGGCATAGTCAAGGCAGAATTGGGCGTCAGAGGTTAGCATCTTATATTAGCTTATTTATATATATATATATATATATATACATGTATGTATGTATGTATATGTACTGTCATTATTCTCAGCCATCATCTTATTCTTTATGATAAACAAATGTCATGTAATAATTGTTATTTTATCAGTCGTGTATTCCATACAGCTATTCCACAAAAGGTCAATACTTTGAGTAACCAAGCCATAGCTGTGATTACAAGTGGACATTCATCTTTTCATGCACTCGATGGATATGGCAAGATTCGGATCCTCACAAAGGCAAGTATTATAATGGAACCATAAGCTGTTTATAGTCAAAAGTTATATATACACACCTTTTGCTCAAACAAAACCAAATCTATGTATGTATGTCTGTATGTATATATCTTAATGTAGGTCGGGAGGATCCTCAGGGATAATATGTTCAGACTCCAGATTATGCGTCCTACCTTGACTCATGTGCAGTTCCCGCCATCAACCCAAATCGTTCAACTGTCTTCGGGCCGGTCACACTCAATCGCTCTCGACAAAACCAAAGTAGCCTGGCACTGGAACCACGGAAACATGCCACAGGCTATACCGATTCAAGATGTCAAGCAAGTTGTTGCAAACTGGAACTATTCTACTCTTCTGACCTGTTCTGGAAAACTATTCACTGTCCGAAAACCCAGATTGGAGATGCCATCAGCGACAGCAGCAGCAGCAGCAACAGCGGCGGCGGGACCATTATTGGCACATTTGGCAGGATCTACTACTACTACTACTACTACTACTACTACTACTACTACTACTATTACCAGTAGTAGTTTCGCTCTCGAAATGCACCCACCAGAACCGCTGGGATATAACCACATCGAATTCGATAAATTGATAACCGATGAAAATGAGTCTATCTCTCAAATGGCTGGCATGGAATACTTTACACTTGTCATGACCACAGCCGGAAAGCTCTGGCAGCTGTCATCGACCACCGAACCTGTGCTTTTGGAGAAATATTCAAAACCCCATTGCGATATCTTTTCTCAGTCAAATCCAATTGATCATAACAACAAAGATCCTAACAGTAGTAGTAGTAGTAGTAGTAGTAGTAGTAGTAGTCTCCTGGTCGCCCATCAGAACACATTTGCAGTGCATTACTTTGGAAGCCAGGTGATATTGCTTGGACATCATACACCTGGTCTTCCTCTCTCATCACCCACACAAATTTCCTTGAGCCAACCGATATGCAAGCTCTCTCTGGGCAAGTAAGTGGATAAAAAATAAATAAATAAATAAAGCAAGAGTTGCAAAGCACAAGTTAAATAATACATGTACTTTCTCCTCCTTTCGGCACCTTATAATTTATCTTATTATCATTATTCTTATTTTACACACATACACACATTTATGTACTTGTGTATATATGTACGTATGTATGCATGCATATATGGATATATGTATGTATGTATGTATGTATATCTTGCTTCTTCAAGTCGCCACTGTGGTGCATTGACGCATGAAGGCGTTTTGTTGACGTGTGGATCTTACAGTCAAGGTGCATTGGGGCATGGGTACGACGATGATCTAAAAGATCAGCTTGTTCTCAGACCAGTCAAGGAACTTGAGAATATGTTTGTATTGGATATTGGGTTTGGTGGGATGCAGTCAAGTTGTGTTGCTGTACCTCTCCATCAAAAATCATAATAAAATTCTCTCTCTTTATATATAAGTGTATATAAGTGTATATAAATGTATGTATATCTTATTGCTTTATATAAATATTAGTAAATTGTGTATATGTACATGGGAATAATAATAATAATAATAATAAAATAACTAAGTATATTAGTGTGGTTATATTTTCTGAAACTCATGAAGAGTAGAATCTATATACATAAGCACATATACATATATACATATAGAAATAGATATAGAAGAGGCTTAGTTAGTTGGTATTCGATGTACACTTTGTACGAATTCAAACTTACTTTTTGTTGATAAGATAAATCAAAAGATTAACATTGACTTTGGCAAACCCGTCCAAGACTTTCATTGTTTGTACACCTTCAAATTGGGTCTGCAGTAAAGATTCGTATCTCATATCTACCTGGACAGAAGAAATACCCCAGCCCGAGTAGCTTCCTCCGATAGTGATGATTCCTGCCTGGTCCATCGAGAGGATAATCGGGATTCGATCATAGTGCTTCTTGTCAATGCCCGAAAGCTCGACAATGATTCCGCGATCGTGGAGTTGTCGGGCCGTGTACTTGTAAGACCCGTATCTGGGCACAAGCCCTTGTTTTTCTAATCTCTTGATATGGAAGTATTGTCTGGTAAAAGGCAACATAAACTTGTGTCTCTTGCCACGTTTGGACGCCATGCTATTCATGCACACTTGAAGATAGTCGTCGTATTGTTTTCGCTGGTCGGCTATGTATTGTTTCTTGACCTGGAGATGCTCAAGCGAGTTTGTCAACTTGCCGATCTCGCGGTCTCGCTGCTTTCTTTGGGAGTTCTTTCCTGTGATAGCTTGGGCAATCATGTTAATCATATCTTGGAAATCGTTTGTATCTGAAATCACACGACATTTTTCCAAATGCATCACCAGCCGATGCGCAATTGTCTTGAGTTGGAAGAATGTGATGCTACAAGACACAAAGCTTGAAAGTTAAAGAAACTAATAATATTTTAACTAATACCATTATTATTATTTTTAGAGGAGAACTTACTTTCCGAGATCTACAGGAGAATCGTTTGGATTAAGACGAAGGTACCGTCTTTTGGTTCTAATAAGATGGTCCTTTGTGGGAGTTCCTTTTACTTGAATTCCAAACTCATGTTCTTTGACTTCGTTCCAGTTCTCTTCGTGCTCTTCTGTTACAGGTTCTTCAAAGATTGCCCGCAGATTAGGGCCACTTTGGGACTTTATTACATACACAACCAGACGCTTGGTGTCAACCAATAACTGCTTGAGTCTAGACGCAGGATCCTGAGGAATATCCTCTGCTCTGTTACTAAGCGACAGACATATTGGGGTCTCTGGCAGGTGATGCTCATTTCCAGGACTATAGGGCGATTGACCGACTTGTTTGACGATATCGGCCAGCATTCCGTTTCCACTGCCCTGATCGGTCTCGAGGGAGTCAAGGTTGGTTTCGATCATGTAGTGGAGATAATAGAGCTCATATGGGGATATATAGATCATTGGCTTGTTTGTTCTTGCCATATCAGCCAGTGGGTCCATTCCAAAGTAGGATTCGGGGTCTTCGACATCCGTAACTATAAATAAAGCTTAATGTGAATTTTCTTTGCCTTTGTATTTGTAAATATATATATATATATATAGGTGGGTGTGGGTGAGCAGCAAAATTGACTTACGTTTCATAAACCAGTTTGAAAATCGTTTTCCCGCATCAAAAACATAATCGTTCAATGGGGCTAAAAACATATCATCCGCGTCAAATACCTTTCCACTTGATATTTGTTGAAGCATTTTAGAAATCTACAAAGGAAAATAATATATATATATATATATATTTAATAAGTGTCTCTACTTTTTTTTATACAGTAGAAAATAATATATATATCTATACCTCTGCAAGATTCTTTCTTTGTACAGGACTTATTGTATCATCAATCACATCGTATTGTTCAGGAGCACTAATGTGTTTTTGCACAAGTAGTATATAGAAAGGTAATAGTGTGACCCCAAATGGTTAATATTACTTTCTTAGGCCTTTTCTTTTTAAAAGAAAATATTAATAATAATAATTAAGATACTTACACTACGGCTGGATTAAGGTAGCGATAATAAATAAAATTTCCCAAGATCTTTACGATTCTTTCGGGCCCTTCATCAGGAAAGTTCTCTTCGAGTACTAGCCGTAGCTCTCGGGCCACTACACGGATACCATACGGAACTTCATCAATTACTGATGTGATGGCTGTCAAGAAGTTTTCGGTGATTTCGCGAAGATTTCTTAAATGAAGAATAAATGTCTCTCGGATATCCGGGTAAGCCAAAACCTCGCGAGAAGTAGCCGAAGGTTTTCGCTGAGATAACACACCAGTTCGAGATTCCTCTTCGTTTATGGCTTTGTTGTAAATACTGACAGGATCTGTTTCTAGATCAAGCGTGTCATTCCCGACCACAAGAGTGATAAGTGGAGTAAGAAGCTTTCGGAAGAACTCTCTTTCCTTGGCACCACTAAAGATAAAGATGAATAAATTTTAGGATAAGAGAAAGCCATGTTTTGATGCAAATCTCTATAAAGCTTGCATTACCGGTTAGTTTGAACAACAAGCTTCATAAATGTATAATTTCCTCTCATGAATTCCTGGGTATCCTTTACAAATCTCATTTCTTCAGCAATACAATACTATATAAAAACAGAAAAGTATTGAGAAATGATTAAGAATTGATAAATCAACTACAGAAAGTCTTTTCCTTCCTTTTGTATCTATGCATGTGTATGAGCTTTATTTTAACTTGATTCCAATTTACCTTGCAAAGCTTTATCAGCAAATATTCTTCACGTATGTTCGTTGCATATCCAAACAAGGCAAGGACGGTGGATTCAATACGTTTGTGTCCATTAGTGTGATCACCCAAATCCTGTCCACTTGTGATGGACATCAATCGAGCCAGATATTTAGGCTCGGTTTGGAGTAAATATACCAGCTGTTGGTAGAGCTCTAATTTCTGTCGACTGTCTTTGTCGACTCCTTTGAGAGTGTAAGGGTTAGGGTTATTTGAGGCTGCTGTAAGCTGTGTGTAACGACGCTGCTGTTGCTGCTGCTTATTAAAAGCACCGGTGGTCTTGATCACTTCATCAATAGTAATTGCATTTCGTACCAAAAGAGAAATTTGGATATCAAGTTTGGTGACATGGGATTCAAGAGATTTGTTTTCTCGGATGTGTTGAATTACACGTTGTCTCAAGTCTTCCAATGCTACAAAATAAATAAATAATTTTTTTTTACAGATTTATGTGTGTTTTTAGTATTCTCTTTACACACAAGCTATAAAGCTCTCCTTATTGATGATGATTATTGTTGTCCTTAAAGAAAGAAGAGCTCCAACGGTTTGTTCGTTTTTGTTGTTTTTCTTACCTAATTCTGAATCAAAATCCAAGTTGCTGTCATCTAATAGATGCATAAACTTCTTGACTGTTTCTACCGTTGGATTCTTGTCAGTCGCTATAAACGAATAGAAATGTGTATTTAGAAAAAAAAACAGTTATTTCAAGTTTAGAGATATGACTAGAGTAGTTTATTACACAATTGGCCGAGTTCAGCGTCTGACCATTGATTCTTAGCATAGCCATGTTGAGTTTGTAGAAGTTTGTGTTTTTCACTTCTGGCTGCCAATAGTATGGCCTGATGTTTTCTGCGGGCCAAGAATCCACGAGAAGCAGCTTGAAGCTATACACACACACACACATACATAATAAAAGCCTAAAATTAGCCAAACAATCAATCCCAAGAAAAATATGGAATTATAGCGGAATGAATGGGTAGGTAGGTAGGTAGGTAGGTAGGCTGGTGGTTAATTTAATTGGTGGTAAATATTTACTTTGATTACGTGCTCTTCAGAAGTCTCGAATGTTACTCGCTTGTCTTCAAAATTACGATGAAATACTACACCCCGTGCTTGAGCCTGTATGTTTTGGAGCCGGGATTGGAAGAATGTGGATTGATGTACTTCTTGTACATGTTCAAGTGCCTTTTTATCAAGCCAGTTTCGTACCGCCGCTTGACAAGACTTTAATTTTTTTATATTCTCAGGAGCGGTCCAATCTACTTTCTCTGGTGCTATAAGAAAGAAGATAAAAAAAACAGCAGAAGCAGGAGCAAATTGTTCTTAATATGATTTACAGTACTCAAATAATATTAAGCATCGTTCTTACTTTGATGTGCTTGTTCAGTCTTGAACTCCATAACTTCTCCTTCTCCTTCTTCTTCTTCGTCTGTATCACTCTCTACAGCACCTGTAGCAGAAGCCAGTTCTGGAGTTTTTGAGCTATATCTGGTGCTATTGTGATTGCGCTGGACATATTGAGGCAGATCGATTTGACGAAACTGGTATTTGCTTTTCTCCAAATAATCAACATCGTCACCATCTTCACCGTCGTAATCTCCGTCATCTTCGTATGTTTCGTCTTTATTGGGGTATCGTGAGCCTCTGTATCTACCACCATGCGTGTTATCGTTATCGTTCTCGTTCTCTTTGAGTTCTTTCCAAAGTGAAGATCCAACATTTTTAAAGTTTGGCATGGTAACATTGTAAGAGTCCAAAACTCTTTGAGCTGCATTTAGTTCTTCATCTACCAAAGATTATAACCCAGAAAAAAAAAGTAGTAGTTGAGCAACTAAAATAATAAAAGTAACAATACCAATTTGTGTCCTTACTTGTAAAATACAGTTCATCAAATAGATCTTTGATTCCTGGTGCCAGATTACGTCGAGATAATAAATGACTTTTCGTTGAATTTGATTTTTAAGTTTGATAAGTTGAGAGAATATCTATAGTGTTATTATTTATCTTGTATCATTTACCTTAAAGCATGAATACAAAATATAACTTTTGGGATATTTTTCTTGTCAAACAAATCCGTCAATTCAAACCAAAAGATCTGCGGCATACGGACTGCTCTTAACGCCTTGAAGAAAGCATTGATGTTTTCAGAAAGGAGAAACTTGTGTTTGGTGTCCTATTGTATATTCGAAATTAGAAATTAGACAGCTTAACAACATGATATTTAGTGACTTACAGTGACAATACGTGGTACGACTTGAGGTGCAAACCAGCCAGCCAATTTAGCCAACACAATACCGTCTCGCATGGATTCTTCAAGCTTGATGATAGGATCAATCTCCTCGCCTAAACACGCCTCAATCCATCTATAATACAAACATTAGAAAACTCTATTTGAGAATTGAGGCTACATACTCTTTGGCTTCACCAATATGACACAGGTATTCATATGCTAAAAGTGTATTTCGCTGCTTATCCATCCATTGACTTGACTTCATCTGATCGTTCCTTTGAAGGCGAATACGACCTAAGAAATGTATATATAGAAATGACATGGTTTAATAAAAAAAAACAATTATTATATTGCCAATCTTTTTCTCTCTAAAGAAGTTTTAAACTTTTTTTTATTACGAGTACCTTGCATTCCTATTGACATATATATATATATATATATATATAAAGTGTGTGTTAACAGACGACTTTATTATACTTATTTTGTCTCTCTCCTTCTATCTTTTACCAATAACATCTTCTGGTTCTACAGTCAGCGGGATTTCGACTTTTCCATCTCGTCCAACCACACCAATTTGTCGCAATGGTAATAAAGTTGCCATGGAGATTTGATTATTATTTTTTAAAAAAATATATATTTAATACTTTTATTTTATATGATCCCAAAGAAAGAGAGAAAGATAATAGACAGTTTGAAATGCAATAAAACAAAAAACAAAGAAAAACAATAAATGCTTTTGTGTCTGACAAGCAAACAAGTCTACAAAACCTTTAATAAAAATAAATAAATTGACCAGATATAGTGCGAGTGTAAACAAAGACTTCCTTAAACAGCATCTTTATTATTATTGTTGTTGTTACTATGACGATGGTAATTAATTATTCTATAAGAATTCTAATATATATATATATATATATATATATATACATATACCCTGATTATTATTATTATTATTGTTATTATTATATAGGTTTATATTGTTAATGTTAGATGTTTACATATGCATATATAGAAATCAAATCTCTTGATTATAAACAGTACAATATTAAAGGATGTCTTTCAAAAGCTATCCTTATTTTGCTTTGTGTAAAACATAATACTACTAGAACCTCTCTTTCTCTTTGACAATGGTAATGATAATAGTATTTCAATATGTTTCAAATGAATTTATTATATGCAAGTAAAAGAGATTAAAATTCTTTTTTGCAATTACTTTCAAAAAAGAAAAGAAATGAAAAGAAATGAAAAGAAATGAAAACATTATTCTCAAACCCCCCATTCTCTCTCTCTTCTTTTTTTTCCCTCCAATTATATGAACAATCTTCCCGCATTAGACAGTCATTCGAATTCAAGCTTTGTAAACAAATACACACGGGCGTAAGTTTGTTATCTTTTGTTTTTGTTTTAATCATACGAGCGTGTGAATATTGAAACTTTGTTATATACTTTAAATACATAAATACATATATAAGATTGCACTTTTATTATGTTTCAAATATGTGGCTTGAAATACAAAAGAGAATAAAATAAAATAAAATAAAACACAATTATATGCTGCAATAACCAAAGCAATTGATTTAATAATATTCATAAGTTGTAGAGAGTAATATAAATATTATAATTAATTAATAGGGACGGTCATTTTTTTTTTACCGACAAGTTGGTCATGGCGACGTATATTTGTGTTATCGGCGGGGCAGAAAATTTGCTTGTTTGTGCTCCACTATGCTTTCCAAAGAATTAAGTGTCATAGAAACGTAAAAGAGTAACACTATTCCCACAATTAAAAGAAAACAGAAACAAAAAAGATGTAAGGCAAAGAACACACATATAAAAGCATGTACATATGTAATGTGCCCACTTGTTAGCATGCCAATATTCTGACTTGCCCTGGCCTGACATGTCTTTGTGATAATAATCAAACATCTATAATCGTAGCACATTTGCTTTTGCTTTTTGCTTTTCTTGTTAATAAAAATGAAAGGCTATAAAAAATAATTCTAAACCTATTGCTGAGATTCACGGACCTTGTGTTTTAATAGCTGTAACTCTGACGAAGAATTGTACTTCCATGCAACTTGTGCTGTTCATTTGATCACCACAGTGTAATTTTTGTTTCTCTTATTTCTTTCTTTCTGTCGGTCCTTTCAAAATAAGAAGGTCTAGTGGGATACATACGATAAGCGCAGTATAGCCATAGTATAACAAACACATTATTAATATTAAACTCAAGGTAAGGCAAGGCAAATCCTATACGTTTCTTATTAATAACCTATTATATATAAATAAATATATATATATATATAAATATCTTAACTTGGTTATCAGATTGTAATTTGTAAGAATTTGTCAGCTTCGGGTATCCAAAGATTAGTTAATGAATATCCAGATTACAAACCACAAGAAAATAGCAATAGTAATAATAATTAATACCGGAAATATGGATGAACATTTCATATTCTGATCGTCTGAAAAATCCTTATAATCTATAGATATACTTTTAATAAAAAAAAAAAACCTAAATCCCATAATTTTTCAATAGTTGCGATAAAATGTATGTACTACTTCGGATAATTATAATACACAATACACAATACACAATATCCACCATTTTTTTCCCGGACAATAGGAGAATCTGTGTTTCTGTTTCTGGTGTCCTGCCTAGACTATCAGAAATCGTACAATACAATACAATACAATACAATACAATACAATAGAAAAAATCCCCTTTAGGATTTGTGCATGGCAACCCCCTTGATTACTACTAACATTTTTTAAAAAAAAATCCACGCGTATAAGATCAAGTCGAATTAAAACTTTGAAATCCTAAATCCTAAATATCTATATTCATATAAATATGTAGTTCACTCATGTTTTATTTTTATATATACAAATACCTGTATATACGCCAATCTATACAAGCTTTTGGATAGTTCTAGAGTCTCGAATTGTCGTACAATAAGTAGCTCCAAAGTATATAGTATAATAAAAAAAAAAAAAAGGGGGGGGGTGGCAACCGGGAGGCAAACTGGGTGGCAAGGGAAATAAACCCTGATTTCTTACCTTTTTGATAATCGATAGGCTTTGGCCAATAAGAATCGAATTAGGATGAATGACAAACCTATTTCACTCAACAAAAAATATAAATATATAGTTTGTGACTCCAAGTGCCTTGATCTTCAGCTCCGAAATGATGGGTCGGTGGATTCAAAAGGTCTTGTATAAAAAGGACGCGATGGTTCACAGTCCGAATTGTCTTCTTTACCTTGCTTTTTCTTTCTTAAAAAAATGGTTCAAACTATCGAGCAGATCTCTATCAACACCGTCCGCGCTCTTGCCGCTGATGTTGTCCGTGGTGCCAACTCTGGTCACCCTGGTAATTTTCTTATAATTGACATCAAAGAAAAAAGAAAAAAAAAGAGAAAGCTTTATAATTAACTATCAAACCATTCTTTACATACAAACAATAAGGTGCTCCTATGGGTTGCGCCCCTATGGCCCACGTTCTGTTCGGTAGACACATCAACGCCAACCCCAAGAACCCCAAGTTCATCAACCGCGATCGTTTTGTCCTCTCCAACGGTCACGGATGTGCTCTTCAGTACGTCTACTTGCACTTGATGGGTTACGATGTCAGCATCGAAGACCTTAAGCACTTCCGTCAGCTTAACAGCAAGTAAGTAAACACCTCCCCTCTAATTTCTCAATATGCTCCTCTGGTTATCCACTCTATTACTGCCAAAAAAAATTCCCCTGGATTATCACATATATATACGTTGGGGTTGGAGAGTTTATTTGGTTGGGCTGAATTAAACTGGCTTTTTTTCTTTTGCGATAAATCAAAAAAAAAAAATGAGTCAATAAGAGTGGTTGGCGGGAGTAAAAACCCCCATCATCATCCCTCCCCAGAAGACTAGGAGTCTATTGTATAATATAATATAATCTACCCACCCAACAAGACCCTTTGACCAATACATATATATATGTATACGTGTATGTGTACGTGTACATGTACTAACAAACCATGCTTTGATCTATAGGACCCCTGGTCACCCCGAAGTCAACGATACCCCCGGTATTGAGGTCACCACTGGCCCTCTTGGTCAGGGTATCTCCAACGCTGTCGGTTTGGCCGCTGCTGAGGCTCACTACGCTGCTACATTCAACCGTCCCGGCTACGAGATCTTCAACAACTACACATACACCATCGTTGGTGATGGTTGTCTTCAGGAAGGTGTTTCCGCTGAAGCTGTTTCACTTGCTGGGTAAGACATATATGCTGCGATTCATTGCTTAATTTTACATTCCTTAATCAGATCAAAATTTTTTTTTAAAAAATTATACTAACGCGTTCTTGTGATTTTTTTTTTAGTCACTGGAAGCTCGGTAAGCTCATCGCCCTCTATGATGACAACAAGATCACCATTGATGGTGATACTGCCGTTTCCTTCACTGAGGATGTGATCCAGCGTTTCGAGTCTTACGGCTGGCACACAATCATTGTCACTGACGGTGACAATGACATCGAGGCTATCAGCAAGGCTGTTGAGGAGGCCAAGCTTGTCACTGACAAGCCTACTTTGATCAAGATTAGAACCACCATCGGTAAGTTGTGATTGAGGAATTGCACGTTTGCATGTGCTTGCGTGCTTACATGCTTGCATATGCCTGTGTGTATGAGTGTATGTGTATGTGTATGTGTATGTGTGTTTGCATGTGTGTGTTGGGTGTGCATATTTATTTGTTGTGTACCTGAGCGTGAATTCCTGGGCTTCTGAAAAAAAAACAACAACAAACAATGCTCATTCTTTTTTTTTCCTGTTACTAGGTTACGGTTCCTTGAACCAGGGTGAGGAGAAGGTCCACGGTTCCCCTCTTTCTGGTAAGAATGATCTCTTGCGTGTATACACCTGATTGTGAGTTGCTTGGGTTACTTATATTATATTACATTGGCGTGGCTTTATAGCTGCCGATATCAAGCAGGTCAAGGAGAAGTTTGGCTTCAATCCCGAAGAAGAATTCGCTGTCTCTGATGAGGTTAGTTTCAAACCAAGTTTATATATATATATATATATTTATATAATATACTTGTGATCTCCGAATATGTATGTGTTTTGTCTGACTCTTAATATCACCAGGTCTACAAATTCTGGTCTGCCCGCGCTGAGCGTGGCGCCAACATCGAGGCCGAGTGGAACGCTCTCTATGCCAAGTACTCTGCTGAGTTCCCCGAAGAGGCTGCCGAGTTGAACCGTCGTCTTGCTAACGAGCTTCCTGCTGGCTGGGAAGCTGCCCTTCCTCGCTTCACTCCTGCCGATCCCGCCGTTGCTACCCGCAAGTTGTCCGAGGGTGTCTTGACTGCCTTGTCTGAAGTCCTTCCCGAACTCATCGGTGGCTCTGCTGATCTTACTGGTTCCAACCTCACCCGCTGGAAGAAGGCTGTTGATTTCCAGCACCCCTCTACCGGTCTTGGTGACTACTCTGGTCGCTACATGCGTTACGGTGTACGTGAGCACGCCATGTTCGCCATCATGAACGGTCTCTGTGCCTACGGTGGTATCATTCCCTTTGGCGGAACCTTCTTGAACTTCTTGACCTACGGTTGGGGAGCTGCCCGTCTCTCTGCCCTTTCTCACCACCGTGTCATCTATGTCATGACCCACGACTCCATTGGTCTTGGTGAGGATGGACCCACCCATCAGCCTATCGAGACTCTTGCCTTGACTCGTGCCACCCCTAACATGCTCACCTTCCGTCCTGCTGATGGTAACGAGGTCTCTGGTACTTACCTCGCCGCCATCGAGAACCAGCACCGTCCTTCCGTCATTGCTCTCTCTCGCCAGAACTTGCCTAACCTTGTCGGTTCTTCAGTTGAGATCGTTCGCAAGGGTGCTTATGTCCTCAGCGGTCCCAAGGACGCCAAGATTGCCTTTGTTGCCACTGGTTCCGAAGTCGAGATTGCTGTCAATGCCGCCAAGGCTCTTGCTCAGGAGGGTGTTGCTGCTCGCGTTATCTCCATGCCCTGCTCTGAGCTCTTTGATGACCAGTCCGAGGAGTACAAGAAGTCTGTCTTTGCTCCCGGAATCCCTGTCATCTCCATTGAAGCTTTGGGCACCTTTGGCTGGGAGCGTTATTCCCACACCTCTATTGGCATGAAGACCTTCGGTGCTTCTGCTCCCATCAAGGATCTTTACAAGAAGTTCGGTATCACTCCCGAAGATGCTGTCGCCAAGGCCCACAAGGTCATTGCCTACTACGAGAAGGTTGGCTATGTCCCCGAGATTGGTCTTGAGTTCTAAGTACATTTATCGTCTTATTTCTCTATCTCTCCACTTCCCTTTCCATATCTCTCTTTATTTTTCTTTATTAATTTGAGTAATACCATTAATCTCTGAAATACGAGATTGTAGCAAGAAAACTTACAACCACCACTTCATTCCAAAAAAAAAGCAAAAGAAAAAAAACCACGTAGTTTTATTATCCTTGTACATAAATAAATATGTACATCACAGACATTTCCAATAAAACGTCAAAAGAATACTATTATCACCTTTTCAAAAATAATAATTTACGATCATTAATAATTAATTACTTATTGCTTCCAAAAGCTTTCCAACGTTTCGTTGACTTGTTCATGTTTGGCTGTGGGTATAACATGACCAGAGTCCTCAAATACAACAAAGTTTTTGGGTTTAAGATGTTCTTTGAGATACTCGCTATGGCTGCTATGGACGAAATTGTCCCAACCATCTAAAGTAACAGTATTCTTAGTATCAGTGTTTGCAAGGAGTATGTTATAGATCATTAAGCTCGGTGATCATATATATAAATAAAATAAAAAATCTTACTAGTTGCCACTAATATAGGAATCCCAGTGGATCGAATCTTCTCCAGATCTTTGGCTGTCACCCAGTGTCGCATTGAAGCCACAGCCTGACTAACCATTGCACCAATTGATTGAGGTCTACTACGACTATTACGCTCTTTGACCAACTAATTGGTTTAATTCCGACTTATTTTTATTAGAAAGGATCAAGAAGGGATTTTTCATTGATTTATTGAAAAAAGCAAATACTTACATTACGAATTTTGTCAAAATTTGTTTCAAAATTACATCCATCAGTTGGTCTGGTATTGAGCCACTCCTAATTACCTCAAAATATTAACAAAACAAAACTAAACAAAAGGGCTTTTATTTATCTGTTTATTTATTAATTTTTGTACATTAATCTACCTCTTTGTAATTAATGCGGATTAGACGTGCTACTTGTTCGTTGGGGTCCTTTGTCCACATATTAGAAATAAGTGTGTAAGCACCCGTCCAAGGTCTAGTGCCACCTGCAGTTGTACACAACAAAGCAGCCGATTTGAATCGCGTAGAATTTTGCAGGAGAGCCTTTAAAAGCACTTGGCCGCCTGCACTGTATCCCACCGCATCTATATCTGATTTCCAGTCAAGATGATCCAGTAAACCAAGAAAGTCGTTGGCCCAGTCACTAGTATTATAGTTATCCCAACTACCATCTTGTACAGTCAATTTCATTACCAGAATCAGAATCAGGTTAGGAAAAAGGATATTATTATATAATAAGTACATATATATATATATATTTACCTGTCCACCCGACACCACGGGAATCAAATACAAGTACAGTGTATTCCTCCTTAGGTCCAAAATATCCTATCTGTTGCCGGGAATATATTTTATATATTATATTACAATGCCTAGCTATTAATTCATGTAGCTTGGATAATATAATATATCGCCACTGTTATATTCGTTATTTCTGGTTACCTGGTAATCCCATGCTTGACAGGGCGAATTGAGACCTTTCAAGAGTTATTTTAGTCTTATATATTACTTTATTATGAAATTCATACCCATAATAAAGACCACTCGACGAGGGCCAGTGCCGTGTAACTCGTAGTAATACATGGTTTCTTGTGAATCCTTTGTTTTTATGGGTGCAAAGCCCTGCTGAAAAGAATGGTGCCATATATTTTTCAAGTCGGGCATTGCCTTCTTGAGATTCTCTTGAGTACCAGTTACTGCAATCTCGGACATGATGTTCACCATTAAGTTAAAGAAACAAAGGATTAAATTTTTCTTGCCGAAATACAACAAAAAAAACCCCAAAACCAAAAAATAAAATAAAAATAAATTATAGAGTATTTCTAATTAAATAATCACGAGGAAAGCAGGTATTTTCCTTCTTCTTGTGTGCCTCTTGCTTTTTCTTCTTGTAATTCGTGTGTGCTTTTATACATGATTTATTAATTGTGTAAAAAGGAAAGAAAAATATAATAAGGGAAAGAAAAATAAAGACAATTAACACACAGGGAGTAAAATAAAATATACAAGAATGAAACGAAAGATATTAAAGAGACTTGTTTCTTTCATTAATAACGACAGGTAATTTTGTCTGAGATTGCCATTGAATAGCATTAGGATGAGCCTCAGAGCGAATGACTGAACCGATAGCTAGAGCAAGAAAAAGAAGCAAATAAAAATGAGACAAAAGGAAAAAAAGAAAATAAGAGAAAAAAAAAAGAAAAGACCCTTACACATGAAGAATCCAAATGATGCAGCTGATCCAAGCATGTACTGGCTGAGTAATGTTACAGGGCCCTTAGTTCCACTGCCAAATCTATCAACAACAATAGAAAAAATAAAAAAATAAAAGACGCGTCCATTGAAGGTTTAGATTCCATGTTTGTTTTGTACCTAATCAAGCTGACACTTCCAAAAACAAAACCTACGCAGAGGCCAACTGTGCCTCCCATAAGAGCACCCATCTTCATCTTTTGTAATGCTGTAGGCTCCATTAGTATTTAGTGTATAGAATAAAAGAAGAAAAAGAAAACCGAGAGCAGAAAACTCTCTTTGTTTCCTTTTTTGGGCCAGTTTACTTGCTGACAGCCAATGAAAATTAAATTATACAGAAATTGAGACTATGCTTGTAAATTGACAAGCTTTAACGGTTCTGTTTGTTTGTTTGTTTGTTCATATTTTATGCTCAAGCTTATTGCTTGTCATTTTTTTTATTCACATTTTAACATAAAATAATACCAAAAAAAAAAGAAAAAAATACAAAAAAGCTGTCTCAGACAACACTTTTTGACGGTAGATAAACCGGGATAATATACATTTGCTTATTTACTTCTTGCCAGCCTTGGCAGCGGCCTTGGTGACCTTGGAGGTCTTGTCGACCTTCTCGACAGCCTTGATGACACCGACAGCTACGGTCTGACGCATATCACGGACGGCGAAACGACCGAGAGGAGGGTAATCAGTGTAGGCCTCGACGCACATGGGCTTGGAGGGAATCATCTTGACGATAGCAGAGTCGCCAGACTTGATGAACTTGGGAGAATCTTCCATCTTCTTGCCGGAACGACGATCGATCTTCTCAATCAATTCGGCGAACTTGCAAGCAATATGAGCAGTGTGGCAATCCAATACAGGGGAGTAACCAGCGCTGATCTGACCAGGATGGTTGAGGACAATGACCTGGGCGGTGAAAGAGCCGGCCTCCTTGGCGGGATCGTTCTTGGAGTCCGAACAGACGTTACCACGACGGATATCCTTGACAGAAACATTCTTGACGTTGAAACCAACGTTGTCTCCGGGAAGACCTTCGGCGAGCTGTTCGTGGTGCATTTCGACAGACTTGACTTCAGTCACTACACCAGCGGGGGCGAAGTTGACGATCATACCAGCCTTGATGATACCAGTCTCGACACGACCGACGGGAACGGTACCGATACCGCCAATCTTGTAGACATCCTGGAGAGGAAGACGGAGAGGCTTGTCGGAAGGACGGACAGGAGGGTCGATGTTGTCGATAGCCTCGAGAAGAGTCTTTCCGGTCTTGACACCAGCCTTGGTCTCCTTGGTCCATCCCTTGAACCAAGGCATGTTGACAGATTCCTCCAACATGTTATCTCCGTGCCATCCGGAGATGGGGACGAAGGGAACAGACTTGGGGTTGAAACCGATCTTCTTGATGAAGGAGGAAACTTCCTTGACGATTTCGTTGTAACGGGCCTCGGACCACTTGGTGGTATCCATCTTGTTGATGGCGACAATCAACTGGCGGACACCGAGGGTGAAAGCAAGAAGGGCGTGCTCACGGGTCTGACCATCTTTAGAGATACCGGCTTCGAATTCACCAGTACCGGCAGCAATGATAAGTACACCACAATCAGCTTGGGATGTACCGGTAATCATGTTCTTGATGAAATCACGATGGCCTGGAGCATCGATGACGGTAACCATGTATCTGGGAGTCTCGAACTTCCAGAGAGCAATATCAATAGTGATACCACGTTCACGTTCAGCCTTAAGCTTGTCAAGAACCCAGGCGTACTTGAAGGAACCCTTACCGAGTTCAGCGGCTTCCTTCTCGAACTTCTCAATTGTACGCTTGTCAATACCTCCGCACTTGTAAATCAAGTGGCCGGTGGTTGTGGATTTGCCCTATATAGACAGCGTAGGTTAGTAAATATGTCAACCCAAACATTATAAACTTGATTAAAGAAACTTACAGAATCGACGTGACCAATAACAACAACGTTAACGTGAGTCTTTTCTTTACCCATGGTTGATATCTCTATGTAAATGTATATAAATGTTAATTGATGCCCAACCACAACAAAACCAAGAGCAAAAAAAATTACCTTTAAATTAATCAAGCAAAAGCGATAAAAGCAAGAAACACCAGATATTTCTGGAAACAGCTTATTTTATATCATTAGAATTTTTATTCTTTTGCATGTATATCCAAAATCACAGATAAACAAACTTATAATAAACGATAGTGCAGTCATGAATCCGAGCCAACAGCAACATGAATGATTAAGAACAGGACCCAATACACTTCTCTAAATCGTAGCGGACAATATAAGAGAAATATTTTTTTTTATCTTGAAAGGACTAATAGTATGAACAAAAATCTCTTCCAATAATGATAGGTTTTTTTTCTATGTATATATATAAGAGATATTGATATAAAATGACAAGTTAAAAATGATTATCAATTGATGCAAATTTGACATTTCTTTATTAAAAACGAAATTACTCAAAAGTTCTCCTTCTGTCTGTCTCTAACCTTTGAATTTTTCTTTAAATTTTTCTATCATATCTTAGCCTTTATTATTACTGATTATTCAAAATAGCTTATATTCATTCAATTACTTAAAAACTTTTTTTTTATTCAAGCATTTTCTTACAGGTTTAAGATATTTTACCGGAGACATAAAAAACGTCACCAAGTAGTACTGTATTATTATTTTATCACTAACTATAAACAATTTTCTTTGGCATTAAAGAAGCTCTGTAGACCTTATATAATACAAATAAGTAACAATTAAAAATAAAATTATTTTTGCATAAAAATTATAATTTTTTTTTTAGAATTCCTCCCAAAGAGATTCAAATTGGCGTTGGAACTCTTGTATACAGTAAGGAATATTGGTTATCATGATGTTTTCTCTGTTCTTAAACCGGGCACCTTTAGACCAGTTAAAGCTGCCATTTATGAGCGTTGAATGGTCAACAATAGCAAACTTATTGTGCATATAGCCAGTTGTATTGTCGGTCTTGTATGGTATACCATGGTCGCGCTGGAGTCTTTCTGCATCTGCACCCTTTCCAGCCGCCTGTTGGTTGTCGGTGATAATTCGGATATTTACCTTGCGCTTCTTTGCTGCAATTAGAGCGTCAGCCACATCATCATCTGTCAATGAAAATACGCAAATATCAATGCAATCTCTAGCCGAATTGATAACAGAAATAAAGGCCTAGAATGTAGAGTAATTTTTTTTTTTAGTTTTGTACATATATAAAAAATTGATTTTTGTACCTACATTAAAACTCTCTTTGGACGGGAAGAAATAAGCCTTTGCAAAGTATCCCTTTGATAACACATTGGAACCAGCTGACTGAGTAAGCGAAGTAAAGTATCGAGTGACTTCTCCAGCTCCAGCTCCAGACTCAATAGCTGGGACCATAACTCCATCAGTTGGTACAACTTGATCATTTATATCTGAACGTTTCTTTCGTCCTGCTTTCTTGGCCGGAACGGGCTTCACATCGGGTACTTGCTGGTCATCATCATTTTTAAGGTCCTCTGCTGTCTTTTTGGCTGAGGTGTTAGACCCGCGTTTAGGACGTCCTTTTTGTTTGATTAGCCCGGTTCCCTCTGGAAAATCATCACTCGGAAGATACTCATCGTCCGAAGAAACAGATCCACGGTACGGAGGATCGTCATCCTCAGTATCAGGTACCACAAATGCATCATCGTCACTATTTCGCTTCTTTCGGGTTGCTCTTGGAGCCTTTTTCTTTTCTTTTGTCCCACTAGGCTTTTTTTGTGGAGTAGGAATCGACCGATCACTCGAAGGCTGTTGTTTCTCTGGCTCATCAATAAGAAACGCCATGTGTATGGCAGATGAAACGCAAATCTGCAGCCACTCGATTAGGTGGCGCTCTCGGCCAGATTTCCCTTTTAACGCAGCCTCGAACATTTGTTGAACTGTCTTTATTGTGTTAGTGGGGCTGTGAGATTTGCTTGTGAGAACAGTCTTTAGACGAGCCGATGCCTGATCTTTGAGGTTTTGATCTTTCATCAAGACGTTTGAAGAAGCCATTGTCTAAACATAATAAGTACACATATTTTGCTGTGCCAAAGGGAAAGAAAATAGTATTTTCGCACCTTCCTAATATGTATGTTTCCTTACTTTTTCTATCAGTTCTTGATAATTGGCCTTCTTTATTTCAGCCTCTGTTAAAGAAGACCCTGATGGGCAGCACAGAAGCTCAAACAAGTGATTCATTTCTGAATAAAGTTGAATGATTTATTAAGGGTATATGGATATGTAAATAGAGAAGAGAAAAGCGAAAGAAGATGAAAACAAAACAAGACAACCCAAAGCTATAAAAAGATGTACAGATAAAATAAAGTACGCTATCTTAGGGATGTAGTACAGAATGACACTAACAAAGTGCTCGTTATGACACTGAGGTACCACAAAGATCCTTTCTTTTTTGGCTTGTTTAATTAAGTCAGAGTAGCCTTGTCCAAAGGCTCACAAGAGAAGAAAGTAGACTATTTTTTCTCAGACTAGTAGAAATATCTCCTGTTGTTTTTTTTTGCTCTTTCGAAAGAAGAAGAAGAAAATCTTGTACCTTGGACCGTTTATAACCAAAGCACATTCCTTTGGTTTTCTTTTATATAATGTACTTTGCACTTAAAATAATTCATTGTCCAATATAAAATTATCTCATTTTACTAACAAGTACACATGTAAAAGCTCCCCCTCTTTCGAGTCATTTTGTGTATGTAATTTTTGTTAATTTTAAAGAACAAAAAATTAACAATAATAATAAAGTAATCTGGTTATTCTCAGTTCCAAAAAGTACTGATTCTATCAACACCATCAATTTATCAAAGCTATCATTGGTAATTAAGCCGCTTACAGTGATTAAAAATCTAATCAAGCGTCAAGCGGTTCATTTTCAGAAGACGTATCTTTGGGAGGGCCATCTTTGTGGGATTCCACCCAGGAATCAACCTCATCAACCGCTCTGATAGGAAGACCCTTGTGTCCCATCAAAAACCCTTGGAGATGAGCCATACTGAACTTCAGATTCGGAATACGAGCAGCAAATGTTTCTGACAGTTCCCGACTTTCGGTCTCTGTTAAGCCAGGGTAAAACTTTGTAAACAATTCACGAGCCTGTTCTTGAGTCGCGTTCTCAAAATGAACTCTAACGTCGATGCGACCTTATAATAATAATAAAAAGTTTGAGCCTTGCTTTCAGTATACCACCAATATGAATTTACCTGGTCTGATCAATGCAGGATCTAGTTTTTCTTTATGGCTATATTATGTGTAAATCAACTTTAGCCCTCGTCTCTTATAAGCCCTAACAACACTTACTTTGTAGTCATGCAAAGAATTCTTCCTTCTTGTGCTGCCACACCGTCAATTGCATTCAAGAGACCTATGTAATTAGTGAATATTGTGCTCTGTTTACCAAAGAAATAACAAAAGAGAAACAACCAAGTATATATATATATATATATATATACCTGAAAAGGTCACGCTATTGGTGCCACTTCCATCGGCTCTGTTACGATGAACAAATGCAGCATCTACATCTTCAACCAACAGAATACACCTATCGATACCTCTTTTATAAGAACTATGGTTATGTGATAAATTTTAAAAGTTACCTATTCGGTGTACCAGACACTAGTTCACCAAGTGTGTCATCGGTCAAACCTTTGTTACTCAAGCTTACCACATATATATTAAGCCCAAGTTCACCCTATATTCACTAGAATTTATATCACACTGAAGTAATTTATTTTCTTTAGTATACTTACAGCAAGCGAATACACGAAGCTTGTCTTGCCTATTTAAATAGCCATAATCAACATGTTAATTAAACACATACCCATATATATATATATATAGTCTATTTAGTGATTTACCTGAGCCAGGTGTTCCATACAAAAGATATCCTCGACGATAAGGAATTCCTCGATCACTATACCATTTTTCTGATACTAAGAATTCCTTGGCATCTGATACCAACTGTGTTTTGAGACATGGAGGAATAACAATTGTACTAAGGGGTCTCTTGGGTCTTGATCGTGTTCGGCGCCAATTACCATAACCATCTGTTTTTTTTTTTTTTTTAATTTTTTTTTTAATTATTTGTTTGTCAGAATATATTCATGCAAATGGATTGTAGGAAAAGAGCGTGCTTACCCGCAGCAAAGACTACTGTACGACTAAGATCTCTATCAATAAACTTTTGTTGGGCATCAAGTACAAGCTGCTGTAGAACATCTCTGGATCGACCAAACGTACTAATGTGAATTCTTTCAAGAGATGACTTTGTTACAGCCGCCGCAGAGTTTTGAGATAGTTCTCTATTAAGCCATAACAGTCTATTATTATACATGAGCAGATGGATGCCTAATAATAAGGTAATTGGTCAATCGCTTTTCTCTCACTTTCATAATCTATATTACCGGGAGCAGGCAAAAAGTAGACAGGCGGGAACCTCTTATCCCGATCTTCTCCTAGTGAAGAGCTTCCTGATGATGTAATAGATGTACTGACAGAAAACTGGGTGGTACGCTGACTGTATGGATGCTCGTTCAACCAATTGAGAACCCAACTAGAATACAAATCAACTTTATTTTATGTGCTTTTTTCTCACTACAGTCAAAGCTCGATATAGTGATATGGATGGTGGACAGAAATTTTATCACTATCACTATATCGAAAAATAGTGATAATAAGCAGGCACGGGCCCAAATTTTCCAAAAAATTATCACTATATCGCGATTATCACTATATCGAATATCACTATACCGAGCTTTGACTGTATAAAATGCTCTTTATATTAAACCAAAATACCTATAAGATTCGTCGCGACTATCAAAGCTAGCCGTAACAACCACACGTTTTTTGAGAAAGTCCACCAAAAATCCACCAAAATATCGAGCACCCGCCAAAGCACCTGTCATGGTACATTTGAATATAATTTGGTACACACACTTCAGAGAACAGTGATAGAAACTCACCTCCAATAACCGCAAGCTGAAGACCATTAGTGGCCATTCTATTGAATTCAGACATGAGCCATCAATTCTGATTCTCAAATTCTCAATGGTGCTTACTCGCCCACGCCTAGCCTTTCTGCTACAATGGCAACCAATTTACCAATGGTACCTGATGGCTCACTGTCAGGTAATGTTGAAAGTGAACGTGAGTAGCCATAGCTATTTTGTGTACCCAATGAAAGATACGCGGGCCCTATAATGCCTCTCCTGCCGATAAAAGACATTGTTCAATACAAACAAGAGATATAGTATAAAATAAAAGAAAAAAAAAGATCTACTTTTCTTTTCTTTTCTGTCTTTTTTTTTGGTTCTAAGATACTTGTCAATTGATACTGGCGACAGTCACGACGCTTTCTTTCAAAGAAATATAGAAATGAATGTCTTTAAAGTATACAATATTATAATGAAAAAAAAACTATTCTACAAAGTCATTAACAGATTCTTTTGCACCCAAGGGAAAGTCCAGCTTATTAGCAGCTAGATATTCATCACTCCTGTATTAAGAGATAAAATAGTATTAAAGATGGTTAGCAAAGAAAAATATAATATCTGCTGTGCTGAGATGAGCTGTATATCTCTACAACTTACCAGAACTTGGTCAAATGTCTCTGACCAGAGTCGTTAAGAAGGGTGACAACAACATGGCCAGGTCCCAATTGACGTGCAGCTCGAACAGCAGCAACACAGTTGACAGCAGAGCTACTGCCAAGGAACAATCCGTCTTCTCTGACCAAGAAACGGGACATCTTAATAGCTTCCTCGTCTGTCACTCTGAAAGCATCGTCAACAAATTGGCGGCCAGCATCAAAGTTACGAGTAAGACGATTGATTCCAATGCCTTCAACCACGGTATCAACCTGGTGGCGTCTACGAGTCCCTTCCTTCTCTTGAGGAGCGTACATGGTGTTGTACTTGACCTTGTTGTACAGACCTGACCCAAGAGGGTCAGCCAAGAATACCTTGAGATTCTTCACCAGAGGCTTAAGATAACATGTAATTCCAGAAAGGGTACCACCTGTACCTGCACCCAAGACAAGCGCATCAATTTTGCCCTTTGTCTGGGAGAAGATTTCAGGTCCAGTGGTTTTGTAGTGAGCATCAAAGTTTGCACTGTTCTCAAATTGATCGGCAAAATATCCAACACTCTCGCCTTCCCCAAATGCTCCTGCTCGTTCCCTTGCTCTGTTCACAAACTGGTTCTTGTCAATGATGCTCACAGGGCGGACTTTCTCAACAGTTGCACCCAGCTTTTCCAAAAGCTGGTACTTCTCCTTAGCTTGGTCATCAGGCATAACAATCCATGCCTTATACCCTTTAGCACGAGCAATCATTGCAATTGAAATACCCGTGGATCCTACTGTACCCTCAAATACAGTACTTCCCTTGTGTGGCTTTAATATGCCTGCCTCCTCCGCAGATCGAATGATGTTTAATGCCACTCTGTCTTTAGAACTGCCACCAGGGTTCATAAACTAATATATGTCTGAGAATCCAAAGCTTCTTTTTTTTTGGGTGTGTAATTTATACATGTGTGCTTATCTTTTCTTCTTTATTTATTTATTTATTTTACCTCTGCTTTGCCCTGTAAATAGAAATACATTTGTTTATAGATTTACAATAATGAGTTCATTGCTAAATCATATTGTGTAGAATGACCTACGAGAATAGTGCATCCCGTGGCTTCTGAAAGACTCCGGATCTTCATCAATGGAGTATTACCAATGAGACCATCGACACCTTCTACATATTCAGGTTCCTCTACAGCGGCAGGGGCGTCTTTAGGTGAAAGATAGTAAAAACATCCAGTAGCTAACAATGTCAATGCTGAGCCTGTCACCAAGCCCATTATCAGGGCACGCTGATCTGCTGTTGAAGTCATGGCAAGGAAGATAAATGAGAAGAAAAAAAAACTCTGCTGACGAACAAGTTCGTGACTTGTCTATGATAGAAAGTCATTCTTGATCGTGCTCCTTTATTCGTTACTTCTTTAAATATAAAAATTTCAGTAGTAGTAGTAGTAGAAGAAGAAGAAAAAGCCAAGTTTCGAATTTGAGATTATAAAAATGGAATCAGATCCTTTTATTGAGATCACAATGCAACTGGCTAATGTCGCATTAAATACTCATGCCATGGACACCATGGATGTGAGTTTTAAACAAAATTAAATATGTGTATATACAAGGAAAGGAACAATAATATGGAATATTTCCAAAGCTACCTGTTATTGCCCGTCTCTTAGGGAACTCTAGAGACCATGACTGTCTAGAAAGCCTTGTCCATTTACGTATTCATTTAACCCAAAAAATAAATGACAGCTCGCATGCTATGGAAATAGTGATAGCGTGGGGGCTCCTCGAACGTCTTCGTTGTCTTTTACAAATTAATGAACCTGATATTCAAGTACAGTATAATTTATTACTTATTTCTACTTTTTTTTTTAAAAAAAAGATATTAAAATATACAACCAACTGATTATGGAAATATTGAATATAGTTCGAGTGCGCGTGGATTATTACAAACCTTGCAGTAATATATATATCTATATATATATGTATTAATAAAGTGCGTAAGAAAAGCTATTAATCCGTATTCTTGATAGGCAGGAGAACCTAAATACCAAAAGCATATAATTGATGCCGGATTTTTCCTTCCTTTGCTATACTGCTTGTCTTATGCTGGTCATAGTAGAGCACGCATTCAGGTGATAATTACATTCCATTTCTGTCCAAACGAGTAATATTGAAATATGTCTATATGGGTGTATTCAGGCATCGTGGGCGTTATCAAATCTGACAGCAGAATCTGTTATTTTACGTGAACAATGGATGTATCATGGCGCACACACCATGATAAACCAATTAAAGCTCTTGTGTGCAGAAGATATAGTTCATGACTTATCGATAGTTGAAGATAAACGAGTACTTGGTTGGTCCCTTTCTAATATGTGCAGAGGTGGATTCAATAGTACCAATTATCAAGAAATGGCAAGTAATATGAATGTATTAAATAATACAATACTGATATGGTGCTATCATGATTGTTTTTTTTCTTAAAATATTGTGAAAATAGTATTTGGGAGCCTTTGATGCACTAGGTCTGTGCGTTCTTTCTTCAGACAAACAGTTATGCACCACTGCATGGTAAGGATCAGGAGTAAATGTAAAATACCTTAGTAATGATGTTATTGTTCTATTTGGGGGGCGTGGCTGTAGCTGGGGATTATCTCGCATTCTGGATATTAAGCATCCCAAAGACTTTTATGAGACCCTCTCTTTGCCGCCTGCCTTTTGTCGTCGTCTGGTAGAACTCTTAAGGTATACATTTATAAAGAAATAAATATATATGTACATGTACATATATGTGCTGCAGATAATTTTCTTGAAAGAGTATATTCCCTTTCATTAGAAGCATTGCATAAATAAAGTTTCTTTTCAAATGCTTAGAACTGTAAAAGCACATGTATGGGTCTCCATTGATCAGCATAATCATTTTGTGTCTGCTATAGTAATCGGGATGATATTATAGTGCCTGTTTTAAATATAATATACTGCCTGGTATCTGGTCCCTGGAGACTAGCAGAATGTTTTATGGTGACAGATATCATGTCTTATCTTTATCACTGGATGACTATTCAAACCTCTGTATCTTTACGTACTAGTGGTATCAGGATCGCTCGTTGTTTAGTTCAACATCAACAAACGGTGAAATATAAGGTTTTTGAAACGGTGGATTTTGGATCAATTTTATTATCGCTTGGCATCCCCAACCATGTTTACTGTGAAGCAGCCGTCCGATGGGTAGTTTCATCAGAGGAGACCACCACATGGTCTATTACCCAAGAAGTGCTTTTATTCCTCTTTTATTATTTTCAACATTCGAGCAATGGCCTGATCAGGTAAGACAATAGGACAAATAACTTTATTCCCAAATCATGACTCAAATTATTAAAAAAAAATTCAATAAGCACACTGGGATCACTTCAAATAATACCAAAATCTCTGGTTACAATTCTTCATCACCCTGATCTCCCTCTGGATACAAGTCTCCAAAGTGTTAGTGTGATAAATATATTCTTAAGCCGACTGATAAGTCTCGATCGACAATCAACATTTGTGTCTGTCTTATTACAAGAAGGAATCTTGCCCAGTTTATCTTTTTTATGTCAAAAACACCAGTCAGATCAATTTACCCATGAATCCAACAAGCTATTCAATTTAATTTAACAACCATTTAAAAAAGTGCCTTTTTGTTTTTGATAACTTGAATATTATATATATAATAATGTTATTTTATTTTATTGAAGAAAAAAGAGGGAAAATTGACTAAGGGTATACAAATGTGTGTGTGTGTGTGTTTTTGTAAAATGTGTGGGTTATTGGGAGAAATAGAAAGATACAATGGCCAATATATCGAATCGTTTAGATACTATAAGGCTGGCACCAGGGTAATTTTTTGGTGTGCGTGTGTGTGTGTTTTTTTTTGAAGAAGACTTTTGAGATAAAGACAAAGAGAAGTAGAAAAGAAAAAGAAATGCATGCGAAAAGGGAGGAAAAAGGCGCGGCTTAATAGCCTCGCATGGCTGAACTCTCGTTCAGGGTAAGGGTGACGACAATATCTCCAACTGGCGAGACTTGTATTCTGTGCAAGGCGTCTTGTATACAATCCATGGTTTGATAAAGTTCGTCAAGGTCTTCGAGAGACATTCCTTCGTTTGGTTCTGCTTCTGCCAAGACATCAACAGGCGAGTCTTGGTCCATTACTTGACAAGGTGTCGTAATGCCAACCGCAATCCGGTCAACCAGCCAGCGGTACTTATCAGCTCTTTCTTGAATATCCTGTCCCTGAAGTGGATCCGCTTGGGCACTTGAAATGTCTATGAGATTACTAAATTCCTATGTTAATCGCCATCAGTTTTTTTTGATCAGTGCTTTGTATGTACCTTGTGGTGCGCTCAATCACGTCTTTCCAAAAGTCTTGTTCCATCTTGACATCAAAGGTATCATAGGAGGGACAGGTAGGTTGACTAAAGAGATGAGTGTCGTTGAAATAAAGCAATTTTACATACCTATTTCGACGAGTGTGTGGATTCCGAAGGATAGGTTCTGAAAGGTCATCCTGTTCTTAGGGATTAGCATTGACTTGGGATGGGCAAAGTACTCAAAGTAAAAAGCTTACCTGGTCATGGTCTTCTTTACTACCGCAACATCCCATTATGCGGCTCTTCAGTAGCTTGATCCGTTTATAGAAAGTAGAAAAAAAAAAGAAGAGGGAAAACCGCTCGGCCCAACGATGCCACCATAACAAGAAGAATTTTTTTTTTAAAAAATAAAACAACCCACACGCCCCATAAACCCACTCTACGTCATAGCCTTCCCTTCACTTCCTTCCTCTCTTCTTCTTTTCAAATGCTCGAAGGCTTTCTTCTGAGATATCTTCGTCCTGAAGAACATTCAAAACACTTGTAGGAACTATGCAAGAACTAGTTGCCGTGTAGGAGGTGTTGTCCCACAACTTTGATGCAGTAGGGAGTGGCGACAGGTAAGGCACTTTGACGAGTAGACGCCGATAAAGACGCCGCTTTGTACGCGGATCAACCGGAACAGATGTGGTCTCCAAAGGCACATCAAAGGAAGGATCCAGAAGATGTACCATTGAAAGTGTTGCATATGGTGATGCACCAGCTGTGTAGGGAGATGGTGGCGCAGGTCGACGTTGAAGCCGAGAGAGTGGCACGAGCACACTAGTCGGACACAAATGCATTATGTCCGCATCCTGCCCACGGTCACCATACATCTCATCCCACCGAGGTCCTCCCTTGAGAGTATTGGCTGCCCCACGAGGATCGAGAGGGTCCAAACCACTCTTGGTCTCCAACTCACACCCGATTTCAAATGGTAAAGGGACTTCAATCCGCTCAAGCAGATTCGATCTCCATTTCCACAACAGATTAGCCTGTCTTCCTCGATGTAAAGGTTTGTAAGGGGATTCTGGTAGCTTAGGTTCAAGAGGTTTTTTAAGTCGACGCACTAATGCACACACTGGCTTAGAGAGTGGTGGAGGAGGGGCTGTGTGGGGGACATGCGGAACGAGAGGTTCAGGACGCACCATGTCTTCAGGAAAATTTGCATACACGAATGGCTTTTGTCACTCCACTTGTTAGACTGGATGATTTCTCAAATAATAATAATAATAAAGGTGAAAACACCTACGTGAAGTAACTTGTGTTTGGTTTTTCCAGTTCTTCCGTACGCAGCCTCAAGCACTTTAAGAGCGCTCTTGAGATCTCCTTGATTGGCTCTCTCAATACGGTGCAGACGCTAATGAGAATCAAGTTTTAAATTTTCTACATTCAAAGATCTTCCAACTTTGTCCAGACTTGCCTTTCTGGCCTCAGCTAACTTGTTTTGAATTCTGGCTTCGTCTGTACATGTGATGTATTCTTTGAATAATTTACGTGCTCGATTGACAATAAAAGTTCTAATTTGACATTAACACCTCATATAATAATTCGGCTTCTTGTGTACCTTGCCCTATCATCAAAAAATCGAGATCCCTCTGCAAGAATGCTTTTGTATAGTGCACGCACATATGCTTGGTGTGTCCCTGGAGTAAGTAAAGCCATGTAGTTTATGCAACAAGCCACACACGCACGGTATAGCTATGTGACTATCCATTCCATGCTCAAGACCCCAAGTATCTTTAGAAAAAAAAGTTGAACTTCTCCTGTCTATTTCTTACAAGATGACAAACCACAGCTTCACTATCTATCAGAGTGAGCGTATGATAACCTATTCATATAAGTTGCTATGCTTTCAAAGACAGCCTAAAGGGCTTACATGAATTTATGGTATCTAAAGAAAATATCGATTATCTGGATTCTTATGACGGTAAATAACATATAATTAATATAAATAAATAAATAAATAATATAAAATAAAATAAAGAAATATCTGGTGAATTTATCTCAAGTCTCCCTGTTTAAGGTGTATTTTATTATATAAACACCTTAAGAATTAAATAAAAACATAATATTATAATATAGTTTATTGTATTATAATATTCAGAATAATTTTTGATTAAAGAACGTATGGCACCATGAGCTCCTTTTTTTTTTAAAAAAAAAAGTAATAAAATAATAAACTTGTCCAATCTACGAATAACAGACCCGTTTTTTTTGCCTAGTCCCTACAGGGGGAAGAATCCTGCCTCCTAGAATATTAGAAACACATACATACACTAGCCCAGGGTCTGTTTTTTTTAAAGAAAAAAATAATTGATTTTCTCCAAAACCATCAGTTGTTAGGAGTGAAATACCGATATACATCCAGAACTACGGTCATTATATTTATGAATGGATAAAACTTGTTTATCAAAATGATCTCAAGTAATACATATATAAAAAAAAACTTATCCTAGTAGATTAATAATACTAGAGAAAATTTATTTGATTGCTCTTTTTTTTTTTAAAAAAAAAAGATTAATACTAATAACAGCATTGTACTACTGAACAAAGGTATTTAGTCTATATACAGATCTCCGAGAATACACTTGTTGTCTTTGAACAGCGTACATCTTTAATTGTTTTGTGGCAAGGGTTGAATGAGGGCATTAAGAATACGCGCCAGTAAATCGGACATTATACAAGTAAAACTATATAAATCATATATCAGCACCCTGTTGAAAGCATTGTCTAAAGTTAAACTAAATAGAAACTAAAGCAACCCAAAATAAAATGAAATGAAATGTAAAGGTAATTGAAATACCTGCTGTAAATTCTAACTGTAACCAGACGATGAATACATAGATAGGATAAAAAAGAGTTCATAGTAGAGTTACTCTAATGAAAATGTAGTCATTTTCACGTTCGAACAATCGAATCTGCTGCAAGGCTTCTAGTACCCTCTATATAAGAAATATATCACACAGACATTTGACACACTCGACGTCGTGAATTGTGATACCGATTCTGCTAAACTCTACGTGTAAAAGCAATTTTCAAGGGGTATACATGTATATTTGAATGATTGTGTACACAACATTACACAACACCAGAAACGTTACAGATGAATCAATAATTACAATTATATAGTGTTATTTCTTGATATCTAATAGTCTATATTTCTGGTAATACATATTTTCTAATGATAAATTCTAGATACGCTGCCCTAACATTCAGCCTTCCCCCCCTTCTTTCTCTTTCTCTTCTTCTTTTTATTGAGACCATATCGGCTTCATTCATTAGTGGACTTAATTAGACTATTTGTTTTGTTAAATTTTCCCTTGAAAGTCTCACAGGAATAGGCGGAAAATAACCTTAACCCTATGGTGCTACATAAAAACAACCTTGATAGTTGTTGTTCCGAGACGAGGAGTAGCTAAAACAGCAAAGCCGTGCACTCTTCTGGGAAAAAAATGAATATACCTCCAGATTATTGTAATACAGTATTGTCTTTACTCAATATCTATCCAGGCCGACTTATGAGCGATATTATAATAATTTAGTGATATTTGAATGCCGATCCTGTCGATTGATCGTTTTGCAAGCGAACATACAAGGAGTCTAAACTCTAATTAGTGACAATTCTTTACATTTCTACTACACGTAACAATGACGTGAAAATGGGGATATTATGCAAAAAGCCAAAAAATATAAAACAGAATAAGATACATATATATATATATATGTACAGTTTAGAGTATATTGTTTTTGACTTATTGTGTGAAAATCTAATGGTTTTTAAGCCAAGTAGACACACTTTGTAGACAATGTATATTATCGTAAATACAATTATACTCATATACAAACCAATATTCTATCTCCTTAATATGATTTGGAATTATTGCAAAGAGGAGTTAGAGTAGGCTGTCTCCAGAAGCCAATTGATCAGATTTCATGAGTACTAAGCCCAAGAAATAAAAGACAATATAAGCTTTTTGAATAGTCAGCAAGACAAAAATAAAGAAGTTGGTGATTGCAGATATTCTCCATCATAGAATGTACTATATGTTTACTGTTATCTCAAAATTGAGTAATTAATCAAAGATATTGAGATCGCTATCATTCTGATAATGCAGAAAAGAGGTTCTGTATTCAATCTGGCTGTACCATGACAATATATGCTTAGTTACATTAACATGATAGCACAAACAAATTAATACTCACTTGATTCTTGAGCAATTATATTGAACAAGAAAGTAATTAAAATACACATGAAGTCAAATCAGGAAATTATCTCTTTGTGTCTTTGCTGCTCATTATCAAATTGAGGTTGTGTTTGGCAGAAATCCCATTTTGAACAGTAAAAGAATCGATTACAAGCATGGACTTAGCATGGTGTGGCAGATATTATATAAAGGCATCAAGATATTGCCTATCTTTTTTTTTGAGTGTGTAAAAACATTAACATACTACAGAGATGCGCTTCGCAGTTTTATGTGTAACACGACGGTTTGGTTTGATCATTAATTGTAAAAAGAAATCAATAGTTTGATCTAATATGATATCAAACCTGCAACGAAGATATCATATTGTTTTTTTTTCAATAGTCTAAAATCAACTCAAAATACTAAAATTCCAAATTGAACAATAGAACAGATATTATATATATATGGTCCTATATTTGCGCTGTTTATCACTACTAAACGCATGGTACATATTATGTATTACAAGAATACTATTTAGTTCGGTTGCTTCAATAACATTTAGACTACAGGTAATTTCAAAAGCTAAGGTGCAATGTAGACAATTGCTAGTTTCTTGTTCTGGTAAATTGCTAAACACCCATAAATAGTGTAATAAGAATAAAGTTATTGAAACATAAAGAATATATCTATGTAGACTTATTCAATTCCATTTTGTTCTACAAACCAAACGCTGGAAGTGAACACTATGTACAAATTTGATACACCTCCTTGTGTATCTCTGTTATTAAATATATATTTAATAGAATATTATTGTCTGAGAATAATTCTTTTTTTTTAAAAAAAAAAACACGCACACACAATGTTCTGTGCGTGTATATTAAAATGTGTTACCATGGCAATAAATATCTTCATCAACACACACAGACAAACATACACATACTAGGAGGCTTTAAATATCAGGTATACTCTTTTTATAATTGAAAAAAAAAGATGTTGAATATATTACTTTCATCGACCTACTATTGTGTATGTGTGTATGCATAATAAGTAAGTGAGAAACCAGAGTTTAGGATTCTCATCCCAACTATAGGTGATTTGTAGGTTCATTTTTATTTCTGTTTCCAAATCTATATATACATTAAGCCTAGAGAGAATATTGAACATTCAGCTTACATATGGCTGTTAGTAATTATACATATAAAATACATGATTCTTTTTATTTAAAAGAAGAAAGAAAAAAAGGATTCTATTTTGAATATACATCAAATCAACTTTTTGATCAATTCAATTGGTATAAATTAACTGGTAAATATTTAGTAGTCTTTCATATGCTTACCAGCATTATCAAACACTTCATGCTACCTTTTTTTTCCTTTTTTTTTTTACAAATCAACAAAACCTGCAGGATGGTCCGGACCATGAAGAATAGATTGTGTCTATTTTACATGTACGTAAATCCCAACTGCATTTGCCCAGCATCCTTTTTATTCCCCGCAAAAAAAATGAATATCGTTTCAGCTAGAGGTGTTCTTGAGAGACACAGACTAAGGGGTGAGGGTGGGGCTAAAACAGATTTGTTTAATAATAATAACAGCAATATATAATAGTAATATATGCTAGGATATGCATTTTCTGTTAACTGTTTGAATAAAGGAAAAGCTAGGGTTAAATTTGAAAGTGAACAGTTGGGTAAGGTAGGAACATACAAGCAGGCATGGGCAGGCATGGGCAGGCATGGGCAGGCAAAATAAAATCTCAAAATTAACTGTACATTAAGCAAGCAAACAAGCAAGGCAAGCGTTGAATTAATAATATCAATCATTCCAAAATTAAATAGTTGACACATTTATTATTGATTTTTCTGATTCTGCCTACTAGCGTAGAGCTTGTGTGCATGTCTGAGCAATAAATAGCTAAATGTTTTATACCAGAATATGTTGTTGATAGACGCAAAGGGATTGCACGGGAAAAAATATTAATAATAATAATATGGTGATGATGATGATCGAATTTGAGGCAGCAATATAAGAGCGGCAACGTACTGCTATGACTCTATACGCCCACCGAGCTGTCCTTCTCTTCTTTTTGATGGATTGAATGCGTGAAGATCAGAGAGTCAATCGCACCGAAAAGGCCATTCTTCAGGGGAGAGGAGTTAATGTTGTCTCTCGTGGGTGGTACACGATCCCTTTACGGTGCACACGCTTGCCGATCTATCTTATAAATAGTGTTTCTCTATACGCATAAAAAGCGTACCAGCCGAGCGCTTGATCACAGAAAGGAGTTGTTTTGTGTTACAAATTGTATAGGATTTCTTTTATCTTAGGGATTCTGTAGAAACAATTGTGAAAGAATGTTTGTATCTCTAAAGATGCTCAACTTTTGTTTGAGCTAGGTGTCAATATCATATGAGCTTGATTGCATATGCTCTCACACTGTCAATGTATGTCCAGTCTGCATTGAGTACATATATATTATTGATATCTGGTTTGAATATTAAAATCAAAATCCCTTTGGTAGCATCTTATGGCTCCAATATCACCCCTATACGCACTTTGCAACTTGAAAAGAGGATTCTGTGTGGTGCAAGGGAGGTGTGACAATAAATGATCTTCCATTTTCCCCCTGCAGAAAAAAGAAGAAGAAGACTCTGCCTATGGGCACTTGGAAAACGAGCACCCCTTCCAAGTCTGTTCCCTTTTTCTTTCTTTCTCTCTCTTTGGCCATGCTGGCGGTGTCTATATAGGGCTAAGAGGAGGTTGGAACTACTTGGCTTCTTTATGTTTATCTCGGCCAGATTGTTTACATGCTGAAGCGAGACTATACAAACAGTCATTTGCCTGTAAAATAATAATAATAATAATAATAATAATAATAATAATAATAACAACAATAATAATACAGGCAACTAACTCAGTTGACCCAATCTCATCAACCGTCCTTCAATTCCTCCTCTCTTCAACTCAATTGTCACAAAAAAAATATTGTCGCACCTATTCTCATAAAGTCCCTTCTCCCCTTTATACCATAAAACATTTATCTGTTCTTGATTCTCTTATCCCTTCTCTCTTTCATTTATTCATCTCTCCAGTGGGTAGCGCCACAAGACTCCTTAAGCACACACACACACACACAATTAATATATATATATATATACATATACATACACATACACATACACATACACATACACATACATATATACATATATATCCTGTCAACATCTAATACCAATCATGACTCCCGAAACATTCCATGGCTTCATAGATACGACTGCCGATACGTTACTCATATTCGAAGCCTGTCGACAGGGTATCCTCCCAATGATCAACCGACGGCTCCAAGAACGGGAAAGAGGCGCCGTGTGTTCTGGTACCGTATTCGTATTCGATGAAAAAGAATCTGGTAAGTAAAAGTTTTACGTTTTAGACTATATATATGCTATAAGAATCAATCTAATATGTTACATTTAGGTATCAAGAGATGGACGGACGGAATGGTGTGGAGCCCGTCACGCATATTAGGAAACTTCCTTATCTATCGCGAACTTGACGGAAAGGAACCCGTCAATGGAAAACGCGCTCTCCCAAAAGAAGAAGGGTTCTACGAAAAGCGAGAATGTTTACAAACCGAACAGACTTCGCTAGACCGGTCTCGGGAGCGGGCTTTAGTAGGTTCTCTATCCAGCTCCTACAAGTTCAAGTACGGCGGCTTAATGAAAAAGACAATGAGCATTATGGTCAATGGATCTCTTCAACATTTGATCAGCTATTACTCTAAAGAAGATGTTCTTGGTCATAAGTTGGCCACGCCTTCGTCTATTCCCCACCTTGCTTGTCTCCGGATTTCTCCAGAGCTTCTTTTACGCCAGAGCTTCAGAGCCCCTCCTACACTTGATCGCCAACACAACGTATTTGATAAGGCATCTTCCCCCGCATCCCCTCCTCTCATTACACATACTCAGCCAATTACGCCACGTAAGACAGTCTTTCTTTTTATATCCTTGTCTATCCTTACACCTCCTGTTTATTATTTATTTAGAGCAACAGCAATTTCAAGCACAACAACAACAGCAACAACAGCAACAGCAGCAGCACCACCACCAACAGCACCACCACCAACAGAACCAACACCATCAACAACAACAGCAACAGCAAAAACAGCACCAGGAACATCAACAACAACATCAACATCAATATCAACACCAGCAGAACCAACACCAGCAGCAGCAGCAGCAAATTCATCATCATCATCAACCAGCACAACAGCACCAAGTACATCAGCACAGGCGTGCTTCAGGACCAATAGAATCTGTGCCACACCAACGCAAGAACACACGACACAGTGTAGATGGAACGATGTCACGACAACATGATATGCGGCATCTTTCGCAAGTCCCTGTTATTTCTAAGCCAAACTCCCCATACGAGGCATATCCTACTTATCCCTCTGAAATACAAACATTCTCAAATGTTCCATCTACACTACCTTTGCCAGTCGATATAGACTATTCCGACTCATCTTTAGCTGTTAAGCCTTATGAAACCCCTATACCCTCTTCTTACATTGTTTATCCGTCCAAGCCGCGATATCCAAAGGAAGCTAATGACTCCAGCGTGTGGCGAGCACCTGCAAAACCCTGCGTATCTCGTTTCCAGCAGTTTCCCACAGTAAATTCTGTAACCCCAATGAACTCACTTTATGATATGCCAGAATCATGCGAGTATGGATTCAAATACCCAGAGGCCGGTTCTTCCAGCCCAGTAATAGACACTATGCACAAATCTTCCTCTGTTTTGCCTAATCTGTTACACCGCTCAACAGTGTCAAACCCAGTGTTTTCAAAAGACTACTCATCATCTCAGCGTATTCATGGATTAGAATACTGCTAAGACAAGTGAGTATGCGTGTATTTTGTGATTGTTTACCTAGACCTTTTAACCTCATTCCCCCCTACAGTTACAGCCCTAATAAAAAAAAATCTAGGCCTGTGAATTTGCTTTGGTTTTATTCCTTATGATTACAAGCATAAGTCCTTTTCTTTTCTTTCTTTAAAAAGGACTCACCTCATACTGTCTCTTTTGTGGTTGTGTAATGATCCTCATTTTTCTTCCCTTTGTGATTTACCAGCTAGCTTATGAATACATGAATACATAAATATATATAAATATATATATATATAAAATATATACGCATTATAAACATTATATATAAATATTATAAACATAAAAATATCTTAAAATAGTGTAGTATTCGCTCAGAATATACATTACTCCTGAGAGACAGTTCCTATAATACTAAAGTAATATTCGTTTCAAGTGCATAACACCGCTGCCGTAGTCTGCTTGTGCCAGCCAGTCAAGAGGAAGACCTATCTGCATAGCACACGCGCCAGATATAGTATATGATGTCTTCTTTTTTGGATCATTCGACCATACATGGACTCTGTAAAGATAAGAGGCCACCAATCCTTGAATACGGACAGGAGGTAAAAGAAGACCATAGGGACTATGTTCCCTCAAAGCCAGCACTACCATCTCATCATCCAAAGACGTGGCTGTAACATTTATCTGGCCTGGTCCTATCAGCCAATCAAGGTTTCCTAGCTGGATGATATGACGCAAAGTCTTGTAAATGTCAATCCAATCCTTGAAGTCTTCCAAGCGTACACCGGTTCGATTAAGATCACACCCAATGCCAAGATTTCCCATGAATGCGGTGTGGAAGCGGTAAGAAAGTGGCGTCAGCCCTTCTGTAACCCAGCATCCGAGAACACGAGGAGGTAGGGCGTGGGAGATACCGTGCTGGACTACAAGTCTAGCGTCGGGACGGGTGTTGTCGCTAGGCCAGCACATGTCTGTCAGTTCTAGGGCTCCAATATCAGCACGACCACCTCCACTTGAACAGGTTTCCACCAACACCAACGGGAAGTCCCTACGAAGCCGTTCCAGGAGACTATACCAAGTTTGAACGTGTCTCACCCAAACTTCACGGGCGTCTCGATAGGTTGACATTGTCACTTCGCTCAAAGGCCGGTTCATATCCCATTTTATATAGTCCACCCCGACTTGACGTATTGTTTCTGAAATTCGCTTGTATACATAGTCCTCTACTTCTGGTCGTGTTATGTTCAACACCAACTGGTTACGAGACTCACTAGACGTCCTATCAGTATAATGATATACCCAGTCGGGGTGAGCTCTGAACAGATCTGAATCTCTGTTAACCTATACATTTATCAAACTTAGACATAAGATAAAAGAAAATAATAAAGCGATTCAGAATGCTTACCATCTCAGGCTCAAACCACAGCCCGAATTTCATTCCTAGGCGGTGAACTTGGTCTGCTAACGGTTTCAGCCCTTGTGGAAACTTGACAGGATCGGCAAACCAGTCACCTAGCCCAGATCGATCACTCGTACGCCCACGAAACCAGCCATCATCCAGAACGAAGAGCTCCACCCCAACTGCAGCTGCTTTAGTAGCCTGATGTAACTGATTCTCGTAAGAAGCCTCAAACTGAGTTGTCTCCCAACTATTGAAAATTATAGGATTGACAGTCATAGAGTTGCGTTGGAGATTCCGAACATGATTTGTAAGGGAGGATCGTGCGCCTGATAGTCCTGTTACACTGTAACCAGCAACAAACACAGGTGTCTCGTAGGTCATATTTGGAAACAATGACCAGCCAAAATCATGCTCGTGAACACCTCCAGCTATGGTTACCTTACCGTCCCATCCGGTATGAACCTCTATAGCCCAACTACCACTCCACCCGAGTGTCCCGAAATACACCTCTTCTTGATCCTGTAAGGCCACATAAGGGTATGTTTGACACGATGGGATTCCACGCCTGGATTCAAGTACTAATGTTCCATTCACAAGATTTTCTGTGTTTACTTGTGTTTCTGCTGCCCATGCGCCAGTGAGTGTTGTTAGCTTCCGTTTACCAAGTATAGTTGGAAGGTGCCAAACGGCAGAATATGCTTTGGAAAGATGTATTTTTATCTCGGTCCGATTTTTTATAATAGTGTGACGCGATATAACATCATTATCAATATCTACCGTGTAGACAAGCTCCACAGAAAACAAGGGGTATGCTTTATCACAGAGGGTGATTTTTAGTTGATTGGACTGAAATTCAGCTTTTGTCCACAAGAGCTCCAGCTCGCGTGTCTGGGTTGATGTTATCTCGGCCTTTAATCCTATTGCTCCATAACGAAGGCCGCCATATGCTGGCATTTCTTCAGCTATGGCCGTTAATGCGGGATCCTGGGAACTGCGTGGGATTGGAAGATTGGCGGAAGAAACATCATTATAAAAATGAAGTCTTCCTCCCCAGTGTAGATTGAGAACTACACCTTCTGATGTGGCACCAATAACATAAGTGCTGCTGTTAGAAACAATAAACCAAGTATTTGACGACGGGTGTTGAGATACTCCAAGAGGAATCATTACAAAAATAATAATAAAAGACAAGCGAAAGAAGGAGGGACGAGTAAAGTTTAGTTGATTCTTTATTGATATATTTTGAGTTTCAAGATTTAATAACCTTTTAATATCTAAATAAACAAAATGAATCATTATGTGTGTGTGTATATTATGTGTTTATTTACTGTGTAGAGTATCAAGTCTTTTTCTTTATACTTGTCATCTCCTGTCCTTCCTCTGCTTCCTCTAGGAGACCCGTGTTACTACGTGTAACTGTCCATCGAGAAGCAGCTACAGGTCTGCTAATATACTCTGGAGAAGTAGGCAATTGGATAAGCTTAGGCCAATTCACAAATTCTGATCCGTGAAGTTGGATAAAGCGCCAGGTCACCAATACAATTGCAAAGCAAAAGGATAGTAGAAATAAATAGAGAAGCGAAGACTCGATGGCAAGATGGGATGGAAAAAATAACGCGAATACAAAGGTTGCGAAAGACAAGAAAAAGGCAGGTGGAATAACACGGATTTGCCATGATTTTCCGCTTGTGTTGATGTCCAGCTGTCCCTTTCCTACACGATAATTTCCCAAGTATAGATCAATTGCATCTTGTCGAGAGCCATCCATGTAATTGTTCTTGATGTAGCGCAAGATTGAGTTTGACAAATCCGAGAGTGCTCCTGCATAGGAGCGTTTACCTGTTCTATTTACGTTCAAAGAGAATTCTTTAGCATATATACACGCATTTATATCTTCAAACAAAAGCATAAGGTCAACTTGCCTGGTGTAGTCTGTCTTGAGTGCACCTGTACCAGAGTAAGCAATGCTTAATACATCAGCATTATCTGCCCAAACTGGAGATGAAGTTAGATAATGTTTTTTTTTCAAGGTTGAACTGGCTATTTTGTTACCATTCTTAAAAATAGAGATAAAGGCTTCATCATTCTCAACGACCTCGGTTGACTGTAAGACATTAGCTTCTCTTAATTGAAGGTCAAGTACCCAATGTGCCAATGCACTCTGGACAACATTGGTACGATCCAGGCAGTCCATACAGTTTGTGCGCACTACTGAAGTTTGCCTCTTTTTAAGCACAGGCGTGGTTGCATCATAAAAGCAATAGCTATATATATATATAGAGAGAGAGAGAGAGAGAGAGAAAGAGATAAATGCTTATACACGAATTTTATTAATATTTGTTTTCATCTTACCTCTGTTTTCGTAACTCTGGCTCTAACATATCCAACAATAGCTGAACACGATTCCACCGCATCTTGCGACATTCGTGATGAAAATCAAAATGAACATAAAATAAACGTGGATTTGCCAGTTTCTCAACGATTGAACGATACAGCTCACCAACTGGAAGCTCGTATCCCTTTTTGTTGACCAAATTAACAAGCACTTGAGATCCGTAGTGTTCAATTTGTTGGTCAAAATGAGTACGTGAAATGTCGAGGACATCTAGATTAGAAAGGTCGTTGTTGAGCCATAGTTGGGGTGTGTATCTTGTGTTTGGAATCTGCCCCCAACGAGCAGGCATGGATCCTCTGGTTTGAACAAATGAGAATTGAAGGGGGTGTTCTGTAGTAGATAGGGATTGAGGTAGATCACATAGCAATATTTGCTCTGTTTCGACAAAATTACTTGCATGCCCTTTAATATCTAGTCCACGAGAGAAGTATCGAGTGCCGTCCCGTTCCAGACTACGACGGCTAATCAGGCCAAATACGACCTGTCTTCTCTGGATCACCGATGATACAATTGCAACAACTACAGCACATAAGTAACTCTGAAATAATAATAATAATTCTCTCTCTCTCTCTTTCTCTCTCTTTCTCTCTCTTTCTCAGAATACTAACAGCCTTGGATTACTGGTAGAATAAAGGCACTCAGCTACGATAATAAATATCAGATACTCGCTTTTGATTGTGTTTTTGATTTATAGGGTATTTTTGTACAGTCTATCAGTCAACTCAATAAAGAAAATCTTACATCTTGAGGATTAGTCTTGTGTTGAGTAGCATTAATCAATTTCTCCATCAAGAATCTATTTGAAAAGAAACGAGTGTCTGCCTATTGATTGTGTAAGCCAGTAAATAACCTATCTTTGTATAAAAGCAAAAAAAAAAATCATTAAGCATTAAACAAACCTCCTCCCATTGAGATCTAGAGTTCTGTCCCAAAGCAGCCTGCTGCTGGATAGTTAAGGTGAGATGGTATTTATACGAGAAATAAAAGCTGTTTTGTTTTAAATGATCTTCAAGCAAATTGATAAACATTTGTTCAGTTTCCATTTGTTGCTTCGTCAGAGCAGGCATTGTGTGTGGGACATGCAGGATTTGAAATGTGGTTGCCCTGTAGATATCGGAACCACACAAAGAGCCGATCCGGGCACGTCCGGTAATGACGATCATATACTCGCCTAAGATAAGGATTATTATCTACTTTTTTCTCTTTTGTTTGCTTGTGTATGTGTTATCTTATTTTTTATAATATTCATTGTTTAAAAGGTAAACTGCATTATATCAAATATTGCCCATAATAATTCTAAGCAACTCTTTGCTAATGCAAACCATATATATATGTATCTGTATCGAAATTAACTTACCCGCTTGTAACTGAATAAATCCCAAAAGACCATATACTGTGAGTTCATTCTGGGACCGTTCGAGAGCTTGCGGAGCTAGATAATGTATTTAGATAAAGTATCATGGCATTCTAAACTTAATGCCATACCATTCAGTTCTAGTAGTCCTGAATTTCGATGAACTGTTAATGTGTCTAATGGGGTCGAGGCAATTCCTTCTTTAGCTGGCTCGTATAAAGGAGTAAAGCAATATGTGTCGTGCGAAATGTGCCTAGAGAAATTTGGAGCTTATTTAGTCGATCTTGTTTCTTTTTAATTTCTTGCTCATTGTTTATTGTAACTGAATGGAACTTACAGCCCAAATTGCTCCAACATGATCTAATGCACAAAAAAAAGGGAATTATATGAATAGAAACAAGTACAAAAGGATATCAACCTGTTAAAAGAGCGAGTGGATTTTCAAGTCACATATAAAAATAGATTCGGTGGGGCATTATTATTTTTTAGACACACATTAAAATTGATATCGAATTTAGTCCTCTTATTTTTAATTTTTTTTTAATTAACTAATTATCTTTAACAAAGGCATTTTGATGTATAATTGAGCTATTACGCTGTGTATGGGGCGGGTACCGACCGGAACGGACATAGGTTGCATACCCTTCATATCGCTTACGAGTACTTCCACTCCATTCTCGACTAATTTGAATGGAAGCTGCTCGGCGCGGGATATCAACATACGCAGAATAAACTTGCTCGTCAATGCCCTGAATACGGAGGGCCGAAGGGTTTTCATCAAGAGCATTGCGATGTACATAGTTTTGATATTGCTGGTATTCTGGAAAGCTTTCCAAAAAGCCAGAACTTGTCTGGTCACTCATAGGCACAGCATACTTTTCTACCTGGCGGAATTGTTGAACATAACTAAAAATATATATATAACAAAAGAGAGAGGTAGAAGGGTAAACGTTCTAGCTCATCTGTACACAAGGATATGCTCATAGATATAAACTGATAACCAATATATATATATATATTTAAAAGGGGCTTTACCGTCTGTACTCCTTGTGCTCAGCGTGTGTTATGGTTGGTTCAAGGCTTCGTTTGACCATCCCGTCCATAGTCCACGAACCACTTTTCTCTTTCCCGCGCGACTTTGTATCCTCTTCAATCTCTTTTTCAAGCTCAGGTTTTGCCGACGATGAGTTTCCATGCCGACCGTTTGAAGAACGAACAGTAAACGGACTGATCTCGAGAGCTTCTGCCTTTGTAAGTCTGAACGCACAAAATAAAAGGGCATAAGGGTCCTCGAGTTTGGGTCAAGTGATAGGTCACAATAGCTACTATTAACTTACGGTCCTTCGCAATCCTTAGAGCCCAAGACAAGCTTTGGAGGACGGTATTTCAATGTGCCGTTCATATTGAAGAAGAATAAGCTGTCAAGTGAAGTTAATTGACGATGCGTGTAATACTCTTCCCAATAACCATGGAAGGGATCGCTTTCATCCGGATTGATGGCAGGGACACGAAAAGAAGGCGGGATCGTAAATAGAGCTGGATCCATCTCATAATCCTGAGAATGAAGAGCTTTCTCAGAAAACCATTTGCGATAACTAGATTACAGAAGAGTTACTTGATTTGTAAAATGATTTATTTAGACAGCAAAAAGAAAGAGAGAAACTGACTTACTCGTGATGAGCTGTCTTTAGACGTGGATCTTGGTTATGTAGATGGTAATCTGAATTGAGCTCCCAAAGCATGGGCTGACCATCTTTGGTAACATAATTTCCAAGGAATAGATTGATGGCATCCTGCTTGTCGGCGTCTGTGCACAGTTATAAGCAAAATTGTTCTTTCTTTCTTTGGTTATCGATATTACCTGAGAATGCATTGGCGTAAAAGCGCTTTATAGATTCAATCATGTCACGAGGGTGGCTAGTCCACTGATTGATTTTACGATAAGTCTCCATTGTATTCACAAGATGAGATCCACCATACTGTAGCGCAATCGTATCACCATGGTCATGATACATTTCCGTAAAGATGTTCACAACATCCGAGTCAAAGTCAATCTTTGGAGATCCAATAACACCCAATGCATAGAGTTGATGCCCAAGTGCACATTTTCCCATCAAAAATTGGGCAGCATTGGTACGATCTAAGCAATCAATACAATTTGTACGCAATACACCATGCTGGCGGGTGTATGCTCGTCGAGGAGGAATCCTATACACAGATATATACAAAAATAAAAATAAAAAAAGTGTTAGTTAAGGACTTGATTATTTAATAATATATATATATATAAGTATAAATATCAAGTACAAGAACAGCAACTTACTTTCCATGGTCTGGTTTGTGTTTTGCAGCTGACTCAAATCCACTGTGAAAGAAGCCTGTTGCTTCCATTGTTTCTTCAGCAATTTTCTCCAGATATCCAATAACGTCTTGATCATGACTAGGGCAAAAAAAAGGGTAATTAAAATTATACACAAATATAACTCCTCGCAAGAAAATAGGTTGACTAACCTTCTTGATGCTCTAGACATATCCCACGCAATATATTTTATACGCTTATCTTTTGGTAAGAATTGATTCAAGTAGTCTACTGCCTCTGCATATTCCTTTCCTAGAATTGACTCTCGCTTTGTCTTTTCCTTTTGCTATATTTTTCTTTTTTGTCAAAATCATATCCATATTTTATACGAATGTCTTACCTTAATTAGGTTCAGCACAATACATGGTGTACCATATCTTGTAAATAAATTCTCAAAGTGCAATGCCGCAGCAGAGAAAAAAGGGTCGACAACATTGACTAGATAAAACTTTAATTCTTTAACCTTGTACCATAAGCTTTTATTTTATTGTACCTACGTTCGATCGGAGGCTTTGGCGACATGTTGGTTGTATCTTGAGACCAAATTAGAGGAATTGATCCACGATGTTGTACATAAGAGGTGTAACGAGGATTTCCGTACAATCGATCTGTAGAATGAAAAGAGGTGGTTGTCATTTCTGCCACAATCTGCTCAGTTTCCACATCGTTGGCTACAAATCCCTAAAATAAACAAATAGAAAAAAACCTTGGGTGTCAATGCTTACAAAGTAATGTTATATAACGCTTGATCTTAACGGTCTACCTTGTCATTCACACCACGTTTGAGAAAACGGGCACCTGCAAAGTAACGAGATCGACGGGCGATCAAAGTAACCACAATACTTCTCCCAAATACAGATATCTCTAATATTGTTTTATAGTAAGCTTCACAATTATTGTAAAAAGCTATACTTACTAGCCTGGTCAAAGAATCCATAAATGAGTGGTAAAATCCAGCCAGATCGACTACGTAGATCTTTAAATCCAGATTTCAGTAGATAATGGTTCCACACAAACATATCGTTATAGTCATAAGATGTTTTCTCTCTAGGCTCTTTGCCTTCAGACTGTAGTGGGGATTGTGTCATGTTGACTTGGAGGGTATTTGTGAGGTCATACGTATAAGAGAAGTAAAAATTCTTGGTTAAGTCTATGTTCTGAAAGGTGGTAATGTATCTATATCAAAAGAATCCAAAAAAATAAAATCAGTCAGATCACACACATGAAATGGCTTTGGAACTCTTTTCTCATCACCTAGCTTCATCTGAATTCTTGTCAATCTTAACCTGAAGACCCACTGGTACCAGTCGTGTTTCATCGATATGATAAATGTAATGACCTCCCAATAGGGCGACTTGCTTGCGTTTGGTGATAAAAATCATGTACCACCCTTGGGTGAAGCGCACAAATCCAACTACACCATAAATCCGCATAGGTACTAGATGAAGGCCACCAACAGACATATTTCCATCCTCGATCATCTTTAAGAGTTTAGACTTCTCGTGCTGGGTATAGACTACATCATCCTCGATCACCACAAGCTCTTTGGGGTTCGTTCGATGAATCTGAAGAACTCTATATCGTTGCTTTGACTGATTTGTACCTATCAAGTAATATCGCTGAAACACAAGGATTTTTTTTATTGTCGTTGTCGTTTGTGTTGTTTCGTTTTATTTCAAAAGTTAGTCAGCAAGCAGTAAGAGCAAGAGACTTCTACACAATAAAGTAGACTCACAGTCTTGGTCTCGTAGAGTTCAAAGCTGCTCATTACAAAACGGTAGTTCGAGAAATTCAATGTGGTATCAAGTGTGTTTTCTTTCTTCATCTCTTGATTGCTTTGGCTGGCATGGTCATCATCGATTGTTTGAATTGTTGGAGGGCGTTTGGGTGGCGCTGTTGGGATTGCGGATGTCATGTAGCTCTCATGAAGAGATTCCTGTGCATCATTGAATATTTGGGCTTCTTGATTCATATTTATGCACAACCAGCAATTTTATCTACTTTTTAGTGTCTTTAAAATTGATTCTTTTAGTCCTGCCTTTTTTTTTAAAAAAAAAAGTTTATTATCTATCAGTGCTCACAAGACCTTGAAGTTCCCTTAACAGGCATTAGTTTTATTGTATTCTTCTTATTTATATATATTCATATAAGTTGCGAGATTGACAGAAAGATTATATTAATCAAGCATACATTCTAATGAGATTCGTTTGTTTGTAATTATCTTTAAAAGAACCTAATGTATACATTGTCATGCTTTGTCTCATCTCAATGATTCTTAAAGACTCTTTGTTACAAAGCTTGATATTAACCAGCCACTTGAGTCTCTTTTCATTGTTTTTTGAATGAACGCTATTCTGGGTATATGTTCATTGTTATATATATATATATACTATCATCGCATTGTCTTGTTTTGTGGCATATTTATTATATGTAATATTATGTTACAAGGTATCGTATTATTGTATTGTATTGTATTTTATTTTGTTGGAAAGACGAGTATAATATAAACATTTGCGTGGATTTATAGGATAATATAATGCTGTACATGAGTATAAGTGAATAGTAGTATGAAGGTTGAAATGATTAAAAAAATAGGAAAAAAATAATCCTAGAGAATATGTTAGACGCGCAATGCACATCTTTCTACGAACTGTGTCTTGGGATGTTCAGGACCAAATACAACAGCTCTTACTTTGGCAGCCTGTGAGTAGGCATCTCTGGCTTCCTTATACCACTTCTTTTGAAGTGGTTGTCGGCCAGATACACGGCATTGCTCGGCCATGGCATCACATAGCTCACCTAAATTTTGCCAGAAATCAGAGATCTCGGCTGTCTTGTCTGGAAGGCTCTGCTTAGCATGTTCATCAAGGACATCTAGAATAGTACGGTTGACTTCGATAGCGCCCTTGATGTTGTCTTGATGACGAAGGCAATTCAAAAGGGGTATAGAGGCATTGAGCCGGATAGAGTTTTGAGGATGGATTTCACCAGCAGGGAGTTTCGTTGCTTGACTTGGAAGAACAGTTTTTGCAAGAGGCTCAAGCTGGCGACATGCAGAGCGGTAATCGCGTCTTTGACGAAGAGCGTACATACCAGCTGTGTAAGAGGCATTAGCTTTCTCAATAGCCTCATTAACCTTGGATACTGAAGCTACATGGCCACATCCTGCACAAGTCCATGTTTCTCCTAGACTCTTTTCGCCCTTGTTTAGCTCTTCTATGGAGGCTGGTGGAATAACATATACGTCTTTACTGCAGGAAGTACAGACTACACTCTGCAAAAACCGGTCAACGGAATTTTCCATCGGGGTCGTACACCGCTTGCATTTGCACCAAAAATGCTTTGTCTTGAGAAGGTCCTGACGTCTCTCATCGCGTGAAGCGTAGAGATCAATATAGCTTACTGTGAGTTCTTCATCGGTCTTGACTGGTCTGATTGTCCGAAAAGCCAATTGGCCGTTTGGCATACCCACAAAAGCAGTATTAGGATTACAGGCATGGTTAAAGAACATGGCGCCTACAGGAAATAGACCCAGTGCAACGTCTGTATTACGAGATTGGTTGTCACCCAAGCCATGTGCATTTGAGTTGATTCTACGATTGAATTTTATTTTAGTTTTAAAAGAAAAAAATTAATTTAATTAGTAAAAAAAAATATAGGTAATAATAATAATAACAATAATAATAATAATATACCTGCAAGCAAGTGTTACCATATCATCAACTGACATAGCCATAGATTCTGGCATTTCTGAAACCAATCTTTGGGCTAAATATATGTATATTCATGAGTCCAACTACCTTTGCACTTTTATTTTCATGTGTACTTACAAGCTTCTGTTAGCACGTTAATAAATGCTCGATCAGCATGTTCTCGATGGCTCAAAAGATCCTCGACACACCAGTAAGGTGTTTGGGATAGGGGCTTGTATTCTGTTTTGTTTTCTTCGGGGATATCTGCTTCTTCCATTCTCTCGGCCATCAAAAGAACCATAAGACGCAAAAGATCTGGATCTGTGTCTGTTGAGCGGCCGATTGTATCGACTTGGCTTATGATCGAACACACCTTTGGATGGGTTGTATCTCGATCCAGGCACGCCTGGGAGCAATAAAAGGATTTCTTACAATCCGAGCACATGAGTTTTGTGGCAAGGGTATCAAGGCAGACGTGACATTGTTGGTCGATAAATTCACTTCGAACCACAAAGGCCGTGGCTTGTTCGTGGCATACAGTTGTTCCTTCAGCAATTGGACCTGAAGCAGCAGCATGTCTTCCTTTGGCTTTTGTATTTCTAAGGCTGACGGGATAGTCTACAAGGGCCTTTTGATAGTACTCCGAGATTGGTTCTGCGGGAGCCCCGGTCTTCTTTTTTGGTTTCTTCTTCTTGATTTTAGTCAAATTTGGTGAAGATTCATTTTTGGTCGTATTTTGCATTGGAGTCTCTTGCTGAGGAGCCAAACACTCGGTTTCTTCGTTTTGTGGCATGATGACAATAAGAGATATAGAGAGAGAAAAGATACAGCTCTTGAGATCCACTTTTTTGTTTGCAAGTTGAACTACGAAAAAATGAAAAAAAAATTACTCAGACAAATGTGACGTAAATGATTCACTTGTTCTTTTCCACTGAATTAATATGATTAAATCTCAGTCAAGGTAGTCTTCCTGGCCGACAAGTCTAACAGTCTGAGAGTGGGACAAAGAGCTGTGTTTTTGTGTTTCTTTTTTTTGAAGCTCCTACCATATAGGAATCTCCAGAAAATAGCTTTTTCACTTGCTTTTTATTTCAAATTGAGATATTTTCTGATTTTTTATAGGCCCAATATTTTTGGTTTTGCTGCCTAAACACTTTAGCTTTGAAAGGAACAGAAGTTGCCCTGAAGTTAACCGAAGGAATGGTGCCTTAATAATGAATATTAAAGTAATTCCTATGCATATATTTATAGTAGATATTTAGTACAAATGTCAGATCAAATTATTCGGTGGCTTTTGTATAGCTTTTACTTATTTATTCTACAAATTTATATCTAATAAATTCACACCCAGTAGAGTTAGTCTTAATGCTGGTGAAACTCCATTTCTTAAATACATTTCTTTGGACAAACTTTAGAACAACCAGAGGGTCAACCCCTTCTACTGAAATTACGTGTACTTATCTAAAGTTATATAATAAATAATAAAAGGATTCTCGTTTGAAAATATGTACAAATCTAAAATGTACATTACCCGATCCAACAGTAGGTATATTTTTAAATTTTCAATAATAAATCACCCAGAAAGAAAAAAGGATTTAGACATTCAATTCTTTACAAACTTCTCAGCAATTTCTTTCTTTCTTTCTTTCTCTTGTGTATGTGAGCTTATCATCTCTGCCCAACATCTTGAAATTCTGAGAAAAGTGATTCATTTAGTATTAGCTTATATATTGCTTTATTGTATTAAAGGAGTATTGAATATGTATGTAGAATAAAATGTATGTAGAGCATATCTAATAGACTCTATAATTTATTCTAATCATAGCTATATACTCAAGAGACTTTGACTTTTTTATTATTATTATTTTGATTGTGAACTTTAACAGCCAAAAAATACCACAGCTAATTTTGGGTGCTTGAATAACTATTGACTCGTTAAAAATACTTTACATAAGAAGAAAGATCATTCTATTATATTATTTTTGACAATATGTTGATTGTTCAATCCAAGCCTTCTATCTTAATCAATTGGTTGGTACTCCCAAACTCGGCATTGCTATTTAAACAAATAAGGTTCGGTTTTAGTAGACTTGACATGTAATGATCAAGTTTTATGAGCTACTAGACAGACTACTTTATCGCTGTTGCCAATAGATTACAACAAGCTTTGTCTTGAAAAGTTTGATGTCAAGCTTATATGTCTTACTAAACCGCTATATTTAACTTTTCATTTTTATTTCTGGTTTGTCTTTTTGATGTCAACTTCTTTTTTTAAGAGAAAACAGCCAGTATGTGAATATATAAAGGCTTTATAAATAAGGTGAAAAATTGACCAAGAAGACTCGACATTATCATCTTGCTTTACCTTTCCAACCATCATGAGAATTGTACACCTTGAGCTTAAATCCCGATCTTCGCCTACTGGTAAGAGCATGCTCTGCCATGAATATGTTATGGTTATCATTGTAAATGAAAACATACGTATATTTAACATAATTACATATCAATTAAAGACAGTGGTTATGGTACTGGAACTTCCAGCCCACGTTCTATTGTCTTGAGTAGAGAATCCACCAATTCATCTACAAGAGGCTCGTAAGTTGACAAAGATAATATGGGTATTGTTGCTTTATTAATAGCCTCTGATTACAGATCTTGCTGTGGATAAAGCAGAGCTTGAAATGTTCTTTTTTCTTATTATTTCTCTTTAACTTATCGAACCATGTCAGTTTCTATGATACAATAAACTTCCTCAACACTTGGAGGCATTTGACCTAAAATTTATTTTAAATAATAATATAATATGCATTTAAATCTATAGGCTTATACATAGGTTTTTCTACTATTTCATACTCGATTATGTTACCCATTAAAAGAAGAAAGAAAAAAAGAAAATAATAATAATACGGCTGATAATAAGACTCATCTATATTTTAATTTCTAGCAACGGAAATGACATTTTATATCATGACTCGTCTCTCAAGCGATATCTGTATTTTTCTCGAAGCGAGCACTATTGTGATTCCTAAATGGAAGAAGGACGTGGTTAATATTGTATCCTATTTGGATGATATATTCTCCATCATAAATTTACATAAACGTATTGCCCAAATAACGACTGACTATATTACATTGTCTATACTACCATTTGATTTCTTCCAATCTAAAGCCAAGACTTTGCCTAGAAAAAGAACGCCATCACTTGGATCCTTAATTCCTATTTCAAAACGCTAATTATAGTGAATATGACTATTTCTATCACCCCATAGTCGATAGTGTGGCATTATATATTACAATCATTTTTTTATGTTTATAATTGAAATAAACCTTTACTCATCAAATCATCTACAAGCAAGCACAAGTGTCTACTGTCCATTTTTTTCAAATATTTTCTTGAATCCCACTAGGTAGAGAATTACGGAATGTGATGGACTAATGAAGGTTAATGGTTGGTAACACGCTGCGGAAATTGGTCTGATTTTTTGGAACCAGACCATTAGCTCTATAATTCGCCTGAGGATTGTCTGTCAGATCAGAATATCTCAGAGCGAGTACTTGGGGTAAGGAAAGGCAAACACGACTTTCAGATTTCGACAAGTGAATATTCACCAATTAAAAACACTGTATTTAGAAAAAGTATATATATCCTTGAAATATTTATGGTTTTTTTGTATTAGAAAAAAAAACCGAATAAACGAGAAGGAGAAGCATTTTTTTTACGATTCGCCTCTACACAGCCAAAAAGATTGGTTGTTAGATTTTTTTTAATTAAATAAAAGAAGGCCAATTAGGATCTAAGTGGCAATTATACAAAACAATGCTACTCTCGATACCAATCATTCTTACATGACAACAAAGTATTAAAAACTGCCATTTAAAATTTGCTATAATAACACTATTATTTTAAGAAGGAACCTATAAGAAGGAGTACACATGTATCCAACGTGTGTCTTACAATACAAGAAGGTTTCTAAGGGTTCTTTAAAAAAACACACGCATACATACACATACAGAAGCATTTCGGTATTCTGTTTTATTGAGGATAAAAATATTATGAAGAGCAAGCTTGTCATCTTTAAGTGCATGATGAAACGTAGTATACTTTAACGGGAAGCAAGGCAACCACAGTCTTTAAAACATTCTCAACTTCGCATTTACCTACTATTTATGTTAAGCTTATTTAATCAAAGAATACATGTGTGGTATACACACCACAATTGAGTGAAGAACAGACTCCACAATCAAACACTAGTTCCTTCTTGCTAATGAACCTGTCAAGTTAACAATGTCCGGAACTGTTCCACACTAGGCACACGTACACTACACACTCATACAGTGTGAACCAACCATTGCACAACAGGGATTTGAATTACAGGGATTTTAATAGTAACAGATATAAACAATATTATTTTGTCTTTTTAATAAATAACACTCTCACAGTATCTAATTTTTCTATTATTGAGATACTAACCCATAAACAATCCCGGGTACCTACAAATATATACATGTATTGCCTTAATTAATTTCACTAGTATTTAATTGGACCTTTTAAAAGTAACACAATTTTCTTTTGGAAATTCGAGATATGAAGCTTAGAAGTTTGAAAGGTAGAAAATGCCAGATCATCAACTATTTTATTAATCTCTAAAATGGCGTAAGCTTTAGACAGACAAATAGTATAGCTTTTTTCCCCAACTTTGCTTTCTATTTACGACTTATTCGTCATCATTTACTATGGAATTCGCCCATAATTGTAAAGAAGTTCATTATAATCGGACTAAGCACTGTTTATGGAAAGTATATAGATACATCCCAAAACATCGGAATTATATATTTTCCTAGAAAAGACTCCGTTTATACATATACGGAAATTTAACTTTTAAAGGCTAAAGGGTTACAATCTGTTTTTGATTTTGTGAAAAAACCTGACGATAAAACTAAATGAGATGAATCTGTCTGTATAAACGTTGCATCAAAAAATCATTGTTAAAGTTTATTTTTATTTTATTATTTAAATATTGTGCATAAACATAAGCATAGGCACAGGAATTATATATATGGATGAGTAGGTGGGCAATTAGTTTGAATGGGTAGTATTGTAATGTCTTTGCATATTGTATTTGCTAGAATATGTTTTATTGCATTGATGGCAATCAAATTTCGTTGGAGTCTCTGAGTGTGTTTGACTATGTCGTAAAAGGTTGAATTTCGAAACAGTCTTGTATGAGCACTCTGTACATCGGCGAATATTTGGAGAAGACTTATCCGGAAGCTTCTTGTTTAGTATAGGAAGGGGAGTAATCTTGTACATTTTAAAGGTATTTGGCAAAGAACATGAACCAAGTTTCTTTTCGAGCCTCTTGGAATCTACATATATATATGTGTATTAAAGCACTTGTGAGTCTATAGATACATATGTAATGAATTTTCTTCATAAAATTACCAGCATTAGATGTCTTTTTGTTAGGCTCCTTGGGATTGGTACCATTAGAACAAGGTGCAGAGGTAATAACGAGGGTTCGAGACATGACTTATTATTATTATACTTTTTTAAATAAGTTACTAAAGAGCAAAGTAAGATGAAAGGAGGTTTATATTTTTTTTTGCAAATAATCTAGATGGGCTTTTATTTATAATTCTCCCAGTGATATTTATATAAAGCACATCGTGGGTGCTCTTCCTCATTTCTTTAAAGGTATATTTTTTGTTTACATAAAAAAGGTGCTCCTCGCGACCTTCGACCTTACAATTTGACGTTCCACCAGACCACTCACCAAACCATCCACAAAACAGTTTTGGAGCTATATTTTGCTCAAGATGTTTTTGGATTACTTGATCTCTAAAATTTCATCATAGAGTGTGCGTTTGTGTGTATTATTTCTTGGGTTTTTTATTTTGCAATATTTTTTATTAAAACAAAACAACAATGAACTACAACTACCTTATTGAAACTGTTCTTGGAGGAGGAGGCGAAGAATTTTTACAAGCATTGTATAATGCTTGCCCTTATATTTCCTAATCGACAAATGACTCAGAAGAGCAAACAGATTCCTTTAAAAGAGCATTTATTATTTTGCAAGGACTGATCTTTCGCTTTCAAGCCCTCTCTGCACTTTCAGAGAGTCAGCATGTTATTAGGGATTTACAATATCTTTTTTTCTTGGGATTCCCCGTAAAGTTAAAAGTTCAAGTTAATGACCAATATCCAAATGACAGCAACTACAATTGGTAGACTCATACTCTGACCAATTTGTATGATTGAAGGAATCCAAACAGTTCTATAGCTTATTTTTATAAATATGTGTATGTTTTGGAGGATGGGTCTGGTGGAAGGTCGAGTTTTAAGGTCTGAGGACAGGAAGAGCACATTAATATTCAGGCTGAGGAAGAAATCTAATTAAATAGTACTACTTGACTCCTATCAATTTGAGGGAATATCTAGTGCTTTGACAACACTTTCTCTTGAAACAACTTATTATTTCTGGCTACTACACATCTATTAAGTATAGAAAACCCTTGTTAGCTAATAACCCAGCCATATACACTATACAAGCTCTATTCTCCTTCACCGTAATATTATTAGGACTGATTACTTTGCTTCTTAGAAGTATCCTATTACTATGGGACGAAAAGAGGTGATTATTATAATTTATTTGCTAACATAAGGTTTAATATATATTCAAATTCAAAAATATACTTTAGAAATTAGTAAATAAATATAAACTTTAGCAATATTTGATAATATAGATCTTACTTGGTTTTATTTCTTTCTTCCATGCACCTAAATTTGCTTAGAAGCTTGGAACTTTAAAAAATACAAAGTTCTATGAGCTTAATATGACACGGGTGTTGTGTGTTCTCCAGCTTCGCCCGCCCTGATTTATTTTCCTTCTTCTCCAACCATTTCCCGTTCCATTTTTCTCGTCATCATTTACATATGCCATTCACCAGCGTACGAGGGAATTGTTGAGGGAATGGCATCGAGGGAATCTATATGGACTTCTTTATATGCTTACTTGAAAACATTATTCGTTCTTTATTTCAAGTTTTATACCATCATTAGTTTAACAACATTAAATGCTTAAATGTGATTGGCCAACACACTTTATATCATCTTTTTATATCATTTTTTTTTGTATTAGATAGTGTCGTTAAATATTCTGAACTATTGCTCCCAAAAAAGAAATAAGGACAAATCATGTCTCACATAGTTTTCCTGGCATATTCTGTTCATATTTTCTCCATGATACATTGAATAAATAAGCTGTATCTCCATGAGAATATACTTACAGTAGCTATAAATTATGCACTAAACAGAGAAGACATACATACATGTATTCCCCATGAGATTTATCTTATTTAATACGAAAAAATAGCATAACTCTTGCAAATTGAAATTTGGACAAATTTTCCAAATTTTGAGAAAATCCTGGTTCTGAAAAAGGCAACTTTGGGCCTGTTTCAGATGTCGACTGTCAAATATAGCAACTTATAAATGTCTCCATTTTTCTGGCGAGTTCAGAACATTTAACGACACTATCTATTGTCATATTTTTATATCATATAAAAAAAACGCGATTTTGAAACACACTATTTCTTTTTAAGAGGTAGATCTCCGTCTAAATAAATTTTATATGATGTTTCCAAGGTCCCTATTGTTGTCGCTATACCGCTATTTCATTGGCTAGAAAATAAAAAAGATCGGGTTTGTTGTCGATAACTTGGTTTTTTTCTTGTTAGCAGCAACAAATGAAAATTAAGTCGGTGATTGTTGTCGCTATACCGCTATCTCATTGGCTAGAAAATAAAAAAGATCAGGTTTGTTGTCGATAACTTGGTTTTTTCTTGTTGGCGACAACTTTTTTTTTGCTGGCGACAACGGTCTTATATTTTTCGCAGTGATGGCAGCAAATGACGATTTAATTCTTTTTACATTGCCCCGCATCAATCGGCCAGGGACTGATCTGATGAGTAAACATATTTTACTAAACAATTATGTCATGAATTTTATCATCAAAGAAATAATTGGCAAGTTTTATGCTTAAACTTCATTATGACATATAACGATTTCCGATTCTTTCTTTTGGTTTAGGAGCAAATGCAGTAGACAAATATTTTCCTCAGCCAACTGAATGGGCAAATGCAACAAAATCAGATGTTTTATATGCTTCAGATAATACGAACTCCTTTCCACCCATTTTGATTGAAGTACAGTACAACGCGGATGATAATTTTTTGCATCGGCTTGTGCAATATTGTGAGGAAGTGAACAAGCAATATTCTACCGAACCAGTGGTCCTTGTTTTTGTAATCAACAAAATTAGGGATAGCGTAATGAGTAAAACCACAAAGGACCGCAAACAAAAATTCCTACTTAAACTGCCAAGTTATCCATGGGCTAAAAAATGTTTATTCCTCAATGATTATTCCATTCACGACCATTTGAATAACATACCCTTACATCCTTTGGTTGCTCTAGGTGCATTTTTAACTGCTCAAAAGGTATCCATTATTGATCACGATCAACGAGACGATCCAATTATCCAGCAGTTGTATGGCATATCCAAACACGTTTTCGAACATGTGGCCACCCGTGAGAAAACGACAGTTGATGATCTTTTGGGATTGTGTGATAATACTCAATCGAAATTCCAAAAATGCAAAGAAATTCTTGAAGATTTACCAAACAACAACTTGAAAAAGCGTGCTATTGACTGTCTGAATGATGGTTTAAATATTATAAAACCATATAAGGTTAAATATATGTCTGATCAATCGTCATCTTCGACAGCCTCTTCTCCAGCAGCCTCCTCTCCAGCCCTAATACCCGCAGCTCCATCATTGTTATTACCAGTCCTGTCATCACTGACAGATCCATTAACGTCAACGATTACACAAACTACTACACGGACTCCAAAATCATCATCATCCGAAAATTGGACGTTTGTTGGCAATTACATACGAAGCCTTGGGAGTAACAAAATGAATTGGAAAGCTTACTACTTAAAAGGGCAGCGTCAAGGTTATTTTGCAAATTACACTACGCCAGCAAGTCTCAAAAATGCTTATCAACGTCGAAAGACCAACAATGATGAAATGGAAGAATAAGTAGATTTTTCTTCTTATTTTTTTTGTGGAGGAGGGGGATGGAGATGGAGATATTATGAGATATGATAAAGAAATAAAGAAATGAACAGGGAATAAAAAAAGAGATAGGGTGTGTAAGGAGGAGAGCATGGGATGATGAAAATGGTGATAGTATAAACGAATTATTATGCGGATGTATGACTATTGGGACATGGTGTAAGGTCCAATGTTGTGGTTTTCTAGTGTGTCTAGATCTGAAATTGTGATCGATTGGGTATCATAAACGTGAAGCACCTAAAAATTGGAAAGAAAAATCCATAAACATACCGTGGCTCCCAAAAGTGATCCAATGTTTCGGACAATCATGTTCCATGACTATTATTTTTGTTTTTACTTATGGTGCTCTCCAGCATACGAGCCAAATTATCCCAAGTAGATTGGCTTTTCAATCCAAATATAGAAGTATAAACCCAGAAAACAGCCATTTTTTTTAAAATGTAAAAAGCAAAAGTTGCTACTAAACTGTTCTGTAAAAGTTACATTTTATAAATTTTACAGATATAAGATAAGGGGTAAAGGCGGTTATAACATTGGAAGAATTAAATAATTGAAATAGGGTCTTTAGTAGACTGCGTCTGATGTTGAAAGTATCTAAAATAACGGCAAATCTTCTTTGGGACATTTGTATTTTATTTAGCAAGCCCTTTTGAGACCGGCGAATGTTTAGAGCCAAATTACGTTTTAAAACAAAGTGAAAGTGATGGAATAAAATTTACTACATAAATAAAATAATTTAATAGCTAAATTTGCAATTATTCACTTTTTTCCATTCTCAAATAATTTGGCCCGTATGCTGGAGAGGACCATAATATTCGGTATTAATGACTGTCTTTGTAATTATCTCAGCTAACCAATAAACATTGGTTCCGGTTATATTTGTGTTTGAATTTGTTTCTTACATTTTCCAACCCAGTCATAAACCCTTTTTACCTTTCATCTCTCTTTATGTACAACTTTATTGTTGCTACTACATTTTACTAAATACTGATCATACTAGTTTCGAAAGATGTACATGTATAGCTTATTGAGTATAAAGTTCTAATCATTATTAATTTATAATTTTCCTGTGTATAAGAATCCCAAGAACCTCTCAGTAACTTAAGTGAGCAAAGTCAGTCAAATAGATTCCCGTATGTATTGACAACCAAATAAATTAATAGTGTTTATGCTTGGTTTGTATGTGTGTATGTCTGTTTGTGAATTGTGTATATCATTGCACTCATTATTTTATGGAATAGAGACTTTATGCTTATCGAGCTGATTATCTTATTTTCTGTTGTTTTAAAAGAAAACGATGTATATATGAGATTGGTTATAGCCTACAAAAAGCAAGGGCATTTGCTATCTGCCACAAATTAAACCAAAAAGTGAGCTTTGATCCATATATTAAAATTTAACAGTATACTACACTACACTACACTACACGCATTCACATATATACATATATAAATATTGGATATTGAATATTAAATAGTAATTTAAGTTTTGTGCAGATAAAACTAATTATCATTTTTGATTTTTTTTTTTTTTCAGAAATAAAATACAATAAAAAAAAATAGATATCCAGATTTCATAGTGGTGTAGACATACACATATATAAATAATAGAGAGAGAGATTCCACCCTTGATATTATACGTCACCTTTTTGAATGACGTAGAAATAAAATTCTGGCGGTGATTAAATTTTGTAAATATGGAATCCTAAACAACATGGTATTGTGGTAAAAAATTCAAAAAAATTCAAAAAAATTCAAAAAAAATTCAAAAAAATAGAGTGAAAAAGCCTGTCCTTGCAGCGTTTATTATTTTTTTTGTTGAGCCGACCTTTGTAAGAAAGAAGAACCAAGAAAAAAAATAAAAAAAAGTTTTTTTTTGTGGGTCGTCTTCCTACCAGTCCGTTACCCCATTTTTTCTTTGCTTGCAACAAAACCTCCCTACTCTATCATTTCCTATATAAATACATATTTTTTGACACTATGTTGAGATCGCTTACTTCACAAGGTAAAAATATATATCTATATAAAACAACATTGCCTGTACAAAACTTCAATGAGCATAGAATAGAACTTCTTTACCTTTGTACCTCTTTACTTCATTAATAAAAAAGAAAATAAAAATACACGCTTTTTTATTATTATTACATTACATTACATTACATTTAACAAAACAAAAACAAGAGTCATTTAACTACATCATTTGAAATTAAACATCTTTTATCTTTTATCTTTTATTTACACTACATTATACGAAATAACGAACATGACTTGAAAACAATACATATATGCACGAATAATACATACGCACACGAAAACGCACATTCCTTTAATTCATCAACACTTCAATTCACCTCAACTTTACAAAACCGTACACCAAATACAACAAATACAACAATCGAATTTATTATTTATCTAAATAAATAAATAAATACAATAGTCGGCCTTGCTCGCTCAGTTCGCCTTGCACCCAGCTTGGCTACTGCTGCCCGCTCATTCGCAACCCCTGCTGCAACTGACCCTAATGCCAACCCCATCAACGGCAAAACCACCTACGGAGGCCTTTCTGACCAAGACCGTATCTTCACCAACCTTTACTTGAAGCACGACTACGGTCTTCAGGGCGCCCTGAAGCGTGGTGATTGGTACAAGACCAAGGAATTGGTGCTCAAGGGTACTGATTGGATTATCAAGGAGATGAAGGAGTCTGGTCTCCGTGGTCGTGGTGGTGCTGGTTTCCCCACCGGTCTCAAGTGGAGTTTCATGAACAAGCCCCTTGACGGACGGTGTGTACTTTTTTCTTTCTTTCTTTCTTTCTTTCTATATATTTTCTTTATATATCAAAACACACGAGAAAGAAAGATCTACAAATCATATAGAAATTGTACTCAATATTATGCTCTGTCATATTTTTTGGTGTTATTTATATATATATATTAGTCCCCGTTATTTGGTTATCAATGCAGATGAGGGTGAACCCGGTACCTGCAAGGATCGTGAAATTTTGCGTGGTGACCCCCACAAGCTCATCGAAGGCTGCCTTATCGCCGGTTCTGCCATGAAGGCCAACGCTGGTAAAACACAACACAATAATGATATTCTTCCCCTCTTTTCTCCTCTCACAGACACAATCCATGCTATCATTACTACTACGATCATCATTATCAATAATACGATGCAAAAACCAAAAACATATAGAAAACAGAGAGAGAGAGAGAGAGAGAAATAGAGGGATCAAAGAATACTTATACACACAAACACGCATATATTTCTTGTTCTTATTTTCTTATATATATATATATTAATTAACTTACAGCTTACATTTACATCCGTGGTGAGTTCTACCAGGAGGCTTCTCACCTTCAGGAGGCTATCAACCAGGCTTATGCTGCTGGCTTGATTGGCAAGAATGCATGTGGTACTGGTTACGACTTTGATGTGTTCATTCACCGTGGTGCTGGTGCCTACGTCTGTGGTGAAGAGACCTCGCTTATCGAGTCTATCGAGGGTAAGCAGGGTAAGCCTAGAATGAAGCCCCCATTCCCCGCCGACGTTGGTCTTTTCGGTTGCCCCACCACCGTCACCAACGTCGAGACTGTTGCCGTTGCCCCTACCATTCTCCGTCGCGGTGGATCCTGGTTCGCTGGCTTTGGCCGTGCTCGTAACAGCGGTACCAAGCTCTTCTGTATCTCTGGCCACGTCAACAACCCCTGCACAGTCGAGGAGGAGATGTCGATCCCTCTTAAGGAACTTATTGACAAGCACTGTGGTGGTGTTCGTGGTGGATGGGACAACTTGCTCGGTATCATTCCCGGTGGTTGCTCCGTTCCCGTTATTCCCAAGGATATTTGTGAGGATGTTTTGTAAGTTTGGATAACAGACGCACTTTAAAAAAAATCAGAGAATATTGGATAATTTAAAGAGAGAGATAATATGTAGAATGGGTGAATAGAGGAGTAGGGGAAACAAAGTACTAATGGAGCTTTTTGTGTGTGTGTGTGTATAATATTAATATAGGATGGACTTTGACGCTCTTCGTGATGTCAACTCTGGTCTCGGTACTGCCGCTGTCATTGTTATGGACAAGTCTACCGATATCGTCAGAGCTATTTCTCGTTTCGCAAAGTTCTACCGCCACGAGTCTTGCGGTCAGTGCACTCCCTGCAGAGAGGGTACCAAGTGGCTCGAGTCCATGATGGATCGTTTCGAGGTTGGCCGTGGTCAAGCCGAGGAGATCGATCAGATCTGGGAACTTACCAAGCAGATCGAAGGTCACACCATCTGTGCCCTTGGTGATGCTGCCGCATGGCCCGTCCAGGGTCTCATTCGTCATTTCCGCCCCGAATTAGAGTCTCGCATGGCAGAATTCCAAAAGTCGATTGAGGCTAACGGCAGTGCTTAAATTTATATGTAAATATATACATATATATAAAAAAGAAAGAACCTCTCCACACTTATCCTCTTCTTCTGCTTCTGCTTCTGCTTCTGCTCCCTTCTTCGTCTTCTTCTTATTATTATTCTTGTTTTTTTTCTTTTCTTTTTCTTTTTTGATTTCAAAAATAAAAAACAAAAATAAATTAGGTCAAAGAAAATATATGCATAATACATACATAAAACATATTTTTTCTTTTAACAAAAGATGTCTGCTTACAATAACAAGAAGAAGAAGTGTATAATAGTTTTGTACAAAAAAAGCTTCATGGCTGTCAAGATCAACGATTTTATATACATACATAGATTTGAAATAGATTGACGAAAGGAAATGCTCTATTAAAAAAAAAGTAGAAAAAGTGGCCAGTGCCATGAAAATTAGTGGCAGTCACATACTTCTTTCTCTACTTACTATTGCGATGGGAAGACGCAAAGCATACATGGACGATGGTGGCGATTCATCGGACGAAGAACGTGGGCGGATTCATTTTGACATTACCGAAGAAGATTTAGAGGAAGAACGTCAAGGGTTTTCTGGTGTACGGAAACGTAAAATGTTTGACGATTCTAGTGACGATGAAGCAACGCCAAAAGGAGGATTAGGCTCGGGAGGATGGAAAACAGGTGGAACAACCTTATTCGAACCAGCCAAAAAATCTTCTACTCCAGAACCACAAAAAGTCGCATCTCCCAAACGAAAGAATGCATTCGCTTCGGCATCGTCGTCCAAGCCAGAGCCAGGTTTTGCCGGATTCAGCAAACACACCACAGGTTTTGGACAAAAGATGTTGGAAAAGATGGGTTGGGCAGCCGGAAAGGGTCTTGGTGCAGGTGGTGAAGGTATCATCAACCCAGTAGAGACAAAATTGCGTCCCAAGGGTATGGGTATGGGATTCAAAGGCTTCGATGAACGCACAGCCCAGGCCAAAGCAGAAGCTAAAAAACAATCCACAATGCGCGGTGATGATTCGGACCAAGATCAAGATCAAAGTGAGGGTGATAGTGGTGATAGTGATGATAGTGGTCATAAAAAGAAACCTGGCAAGGCCGTGAAGCGGGAAGCATGGAAAGCAACAGCTAAAAAGGCCAGAAAACCAAAGGTGGTTTACAAGACAGCCAACGATATTCTGTCAGAGATCATAGAGAAAGCCCCGGAAGCTCAGCAGAAAGTTATTGACATGACGGGACCAACAATACGAGAAGTATCCTTGGCTGACATACGCACTTCAGATTCACCGACGTTTATGGAAACCACCACACGATTGCCAGAACTTCGTCACAATATTCGTCTTCTGGTAGACCTCGCACGGGGCGATTTGGAGAACTTATCAAGGGAGAAACAGGCTAATGTGTTTCGTCTGCAGGAGCTTGATAAAGAGCTTGTAGATATTCAAAAGAACATGGAGAGAGACACAAGTCAGAAAAAAAGAGTCGAAGAGATCAAGAATATCGGGGTGCAGCTGGAAAGAATATCGCGAGATAGTATGGCAACAGGCGCCTACGCCAGTGGAAATATCACCTCACTTTTTGGCGAATACTTTGAAATTTTGGAAACTAAATATATGGATGAAGTGAAATCACTTGGATTGGATAGCATGGTCGTGGCTGTTTGGGCACCCATATTAAAGTATAAATGTGTTCACTGGGATGTATTGGACGAGCCGACCTGGGGAGTAGATGATGTACAAAGATGGAGAAAGCTATTGAGGAGCAACGATGATCGAGACGAGTTTGGGGATTTAATAGCTTCCAAGGGCGTTAATCTGGCCACGCCATACGAAACAATGATGAATACAATCTGGCTAACCAAAGTACGCAGTGCGATTAAGTAAGTCTGGGCTTGCAACAAATATAAATATAAATATAAATATAGTATAGTATATTATTGTGTAAAGTATTAAACATACTTATATTATACAGTAACCGATGGAATGTTCGACAGCCTGAGCCACTTATTATCTTACTGGAAGCATGGAAGCCTCTACTTCCTCGTTTCATTTTCGAAAACATTATCAACCAACTTTTACTTCCGAAGATCACCACTGCCGTTTCTGACTGGGACCCACGGAACGATCCCGAAATGATCCATAGCTGGATCCACCCCTGGCTGCCGATTCTCGAGCCCTGGAGACTTGCTGAAATCTTTACGAACATTCGCCAGAAACTCTCGGTTGTACTGCGACAATGGCATCCTTCTGATGAGTCCGCACTCCATATCATCATTCCCTGGAAGCAAGTGTGGACTGCCTCTCAGATGGAAATGTTCTTGACAAAATGCATTCTTCCCAAACTCACTCAAGTCCTTCGCACAGAGTTCGTAGTAGACCCACAAGATCAGAAAATAGAACCGTTGGTGTGGTGCCTGGCGTGGAAAGATATGTTTTCAACTACGATTATTGGCCAGCTTTTAGAACACGAATTCTTCCCGATGTGGCTGAATATGCTGTATAACTGGCTTACACAACCCCGAGACCAAGTCAATTATGATGAGGTTGGAGAGTGGTATTTGTGGTGGAAGGCTGTCTTTGAAGAGTTCGGTCTCTGTTCGCACAAGACAGTTAGCCAGTGCTTTAGAAAGGGATTGGACATGATGTTTATGGCCGGCAATGGTCAACCGGTCATTCCTCCTTCTTTTTAATATCAATATATATACATATACAATATCTCATCAATACATACATCTATAATTTTCACTCATTCACTTACTCACATTAACATTCAAATTCACATTCACATTCATACTCATATTCACACATGTATATCTTGTATATATTAAAAAGAAAGAAGTTGAATGTTGTACATATATATATATATATATGTATATATATTCTTTATATTGTTTTTATTATTTCGCCTGTATTTTATTTGTGTGTGGGTGTGTATGTGTGTATGTGTGTATGTGTATGGGTGTGGGTGTGGGTGTGGGTGTGGGTGTGGGTGTGGGTGTGGGTGTGGGTGTGGGTGTGGGTGTGGGTGTGGGTGTGGGTGTGGGTGTGGGTGTGGGTGTGGGTGTGGGTGTGGGTGTGTATGTGTATGTGTATGTGTATGTGTATGTGTATGTGTATGTGTATGTGTATGTGTATGTGTATGTGTATGTGTATGTGTATGTGTACATTACTATTACTATTACTATTACTATTACTATTACTATTACTATTACTATTACTATTACTATTACTATTGCTATTGCTATTGCTATTGCTATTGCTATTGCTATTGCTATTGCTATTGCTATTACTATTACTATTATTTTTTTTTTAAAAAAAAGAAGGTATATCAATAAGAAATGTATGTGTTGTTTTAATCCTTGTTCGTTTGGTTCAAAGATGTTACTGTGTGCGTTCGTACGGGTGCAATACCGTCACTTGTCCACTCAGCAATACCTTCTGTGCTTTCAGATGGCTTGTGAAATGCTCGCAATTCCGGTTGCCCTGACATATGGTCCCGACCTGTCAGTCTTGTTCCACCTGAATTCCAACCAGCCACAGAGCTCCTTTTCCTGGCATTATTTGTGTTTGCTCGGTTCTTCTGGCGGATTTGGTCCAAGTACTCGGTATTCAAAAAGTATTCGCTTAAAATCATCTCCAGTTCTTCAACACGATAGTCGAGTTCTTGACACCTTTGCTGCCAGTGTTCATTTAATTCCTCGACCTTGTGGTTATAGTTGCTTCTGTCAATGTCATTGTCCTTGTCGGATAGTGGAATTACTACACTACCCGCCATGCTGAATGCTCCTATGTCTCTTTCACGAGATTCAACATTGTGGCTATTGCTGTTTAATAAAAATTGCTCGGAATCGCTATCCTTTATGGTGTGGTGTGGGTGAGTTGTTTCGATATGACTCGATTGGTTTTTGAGTTCAATGTCATCTTGAGACTCGTCTGAAGAGCTGTCCGAGTCTTTGAAGAGATGCTTTCTCATGAACCATGGTAAGTGGGATTTCATGTCATTTTCATACAATTGGTGCTCTTCGTCAGCGGGATGTGATTTACGTCGGATTCGCTCTTTTCCGCGGCTCATCATGACAGGGATGTGGTGAACAAGTCCCCAAGGCGTCAAGCGTGTCATACCGAAAAAGAGGATATATATTGTTGTGAGTACGCCATAAGCACCACCAGCAAGGGCAATTCCAGCCAAGGCAGTGTGCTGTCTCTGCTCTGTCTAAGAATAGCAAGATTTGCTGAGTTTAGGTAGTGGTTGGAGGGGTTTATAGATCTTGCTTTTTTTTTTTAAAAAAAAAAAAAGAAATCCCCAATTTCAGATGCTTACTCTGACTTCCATTGATGCATGCGAGGGCTGCACAGTAAAGAATCCGTGATAAGTCTAACACAAGGTTTGCAGGAAATTTGGCGTAAGTTTCCTTTTTCTTTCATATATATATATATATTTTTATATATATATATTTGAATAAGGCAAAAGAAAAAATTGGGCTTAGTTAGGTTGCTCACATCATTGGCGAGAAATGGATTATCATGTAAAGGCCAATTGTTCTGGTTTGTCGCTAGTGTAATGATATCTTTAAATTTGGGATCCTATTATTATTAAACAAACAAATAAATAAATAAATTAAAAAAACAAAGAGTAGACTTTGTGGCTTACAAATCCGATAATTGATGCGGGATCATTGGGCATGATGGCTTTGTATTTGCCTGGAACAAAGAAAAGGGCGCTTGTGGTGTTCATGTATGAAGTGGCTCTGTAAGCTCCTAAAACCATATCAGCGAATGGCTGGACCTAAGGATTGTGATCATTTTTTTTGTTTGTTTGGATATTACATAGATATATCAATAAAACAATTTTTTTTTGATTGATAATAACATGTTATATACCTGTTGCGGAATAAGTTTTGTTGGATCAATAGTCCATCTGTTAAACGATGGTGAATATAATTGAATGCTCAAGGCCGGGACCGAGAGTGAGGCGGCCGTGGCGTTTACAACACTGTCCACACGCCAGTAGATATCGATACGTCTGATAACGTCGTTATTTGGTGGAACATCCTGGCTGATCCAGTAATTTAAGGTGCCGTTTGCCTCAAAGAGGTTACAGAAGGACGAACCCATTAACTGGGTTGTACCTATTCTGATCTTGTCATAACAATTTTCTAGAGGCTTGACAGTCCAATCGGCGTGAGTAATATCGCACCGGACGATTCTCACAGTAGTATTCTGAGCGCAGATTTCAATATCAGGAGCAGGGTAAATATTTGGTAAGTTTTCTGTCGAGATTCTGAGAAGTGGAATGTCCAAAGCGATCTGTAATGGTGATGTTAATAATAATATTATTATTTTTTTGAAAAATAAAAATGATAATAATAATAAATGAATGAGGTTTACCTGTCTAATAAGGTAGCCAAGGTAGACCAAGAATAATAGGGCCATAACAATGGACGTTGTTCCACGACTGAATACTAGTATGCGTGGCTCGAGAGGCTGTCGTGGTGTGTAAGATTATGTTTTGTGTACCCATTTGAATGATAGGTCTTACCCGACGGTAACAAGCTTCTCCTATAAAATGCATGGATAAATTGTAAGAGCAAAAGAAAAAATTAACGAGACAAGAAGAAGAAGCGGAGGAGGAAGAGGAAGAGGAAGGAAGGAGATTTTATCGTGCAGTAATATTATTATTATTATTATTTTTTAAAGCGTAAGAATATAGTATAATAATATATAATATAATATAATAGAATAGAATAGAATAGAAATTGATATACACAAAACAAGCACTAAAAAAGATCAGTCAAACTTCTGTATCACACATCTAAACATGGTTTGTATGAACGTTACATATGCGAGTGTCAATCCTATAATACATGTCCTACTATGATTTAAGGAGCGCATCAGGCATTGTAGTCAAACATCTGCAAAGACCATATAAATCACCCTTGTCATATCTTGGTAATCTCTTGAGCCTTTTTTTCCCAATATTCATGTTCCTAATAAAAGACCTGGTTTGAGTCATATATCTAAATACACCAACCAAAACCAAAAAAAAAGACTAAATAAAACATGACTTATGCTATTCAGTAGTGGGAAAACTAAATCGTGTACAACCTCCAATGTGGTTGGGCTGACCAAAAAGTGTATATTTCCATAGTTGATCTTTTTATTGTGTCTATTCTACGCACCAATTTAGACCTGGAGCGCTATTTTCTATACTTTATAAAGCTAAATTATCTATAGTTAAATATGATTATGATGATGAGGTATCTAATGAATCTTATATGTGTATATATTATACCGGGGCTAAAAGTGAGAATAAGAATAAGAGTAAGACTACAAGTAATAAAATGACTACTATCATTGATTACTTCTGGATTTACCGCAAGTCCAATATTATAAAAGAACCAATAACGAATAACCATCTTACTCAACCTAATAGTTACCACATTTCATAGTATTTCATATAGCTCATACTCTCATACTATTTGCTAAATTGATGATTACGTTGCAGTAAATATCAGTATACAAAAAGAGGTAACTAGAATATCTATGCATATCTATTTACAAGCTGCAATTGATTGACTGACTGATTGATTGTTTATTTATTTTTTAAGCTATGCAAGACTTAGGACTTACCCCATGAATATTCCAATGATCTTTCATATCGTTTGGTTTCAATTTAAATTTCCCTTTTTTTATTTTACATGGAAGAAATATTCATTTAGAATACCAAGACCTATAGTACACAGCAAAGTCTTTCTTCTTCTTCTTCTTCTTCTTTCTAAATGATATTATGTAAATATTTGTCTTTGAATTATTTGAAGAGTAAAAGGGTATCTCTTTGTGGGCGTTTAGAATAGTCAGCAAAGTGATGGCTAATTTCTTGTAAAAGATTATTTCATTGTAGTATTGTACAGTCGAGCTTTTTCTAGTATAATGATATCCGTTTGACAAGATTTATTATATTTCTCTTTGGGCTAGTATCCTCATTATTCAAAAGCAGTAAATTGCAGAAAGCCATATATATACATATAAAAGGTCTATTTTGTTTTTGGAAAGAAGTATGCATTAGGAAATTGAGAGCCAAAAGTTCATATAAGCAAAGATAAACACCCTGTTTGATTGGTCTGTTCTCATCTCTTTAGTGTTTAATCGGTAAACACGAGAATAAAAAATTCAAAGCTACAGGTGCTACGAAGCATAGCTTGCTTTAGAGAGCAGACATATGATAATGTATATAGACTGGTTGTCTATTTTACCGACACAACCCACTCCTGCCCTATCACATCTTTGTTCTCTCTCTCTCTATCTATCTCTGGTCCTACCCAGTGGTAAGTGGCGCGTTTAAAGTGGATCTATAATAGATCATCTTGGCTCAGCTCAGAGATTGTGGTTAAATTTGATCTATCACTATGGGGAAGCAAAAAAAAGAAGTGGCTCTTAGGACTGCCCAGGAATGGATATTGAAGAGAACATGGAGAACATATATGAACAAGCAAGACTGATTAGGAAGCGTGTTGTACTTGTACACTAAAGCTTCTTCTTTTTTTGGATAAATAAAACGGTGCGATGAAGCTCAGGGCAATAAGCCATACAGGTGGTGTTGGGATTACCATGCTCAAGTAGACCCACGACACCAGCCAGGGACCTAATCCTAAAGGAGCTACCATCATTGGCACGGAGGACAATTCCTACGTTAATAAACTTCTGCTCAAAACAGCACAAATTATTTTGTGAACGTTGTGTCTTTATTGGTCCCGGAAAAAGAGATCTGATATAGTATTCATGAGGACTATACTGTGCTTATATCAATATTTAACCGATAAACCTCTAGCCAACAAAGAGTTGAGCTTAAGAGTGGGAAGCTTAGCTGGCTTCTTTTGGATCTCAAAGCCCAAACATCCAAATGTTCGTGCTGCAAAACAAGCCATCTCCCCAGATGTCGAACCGAGTCAATAACAGCGCCGAATTTTTCTTTTTTCTTTTTCATACTTTGAGCAAATCAACCGAGCTTCTCAATATTTAGTTACTTTTACTAATCCATTATGAGTCAAACAAGGCAGCAGCCTTTATTCCGCTAGTTTCGCCTCTCCTTGTACGTCAACCAATACCAAGCCAATGAAAGTCTTAGCAAGCAATATTAGCACTGAATTTCGACCATTTTCTGCCCTGACAATAGAAAACCGGCTTACACTTCATAACGGATACTATGACTCAATCAAAGGCCCATAAGTGAAGAAAATATTTTGCAATCATGGATTCAATGTTTGTTTGATTGATGGTTTTTGTACCTTCAAACCTTCAAGCAAGTCGAAAACCCTCGCCTACATCGCCACACTCAAATGTCAAATGTAACCTGCAATGGTCTTATAAGGTAAACATTACAGCCAGTTCCCATTTTTTGTCTATTATTATTATGAATATTTTTTGATGTACCTACCAGAATCGTCTAGAGAGCATGGATCCGTTATGCTTTGGACATTGCCTGTGGAATTAAGATCTTGTTGCTGACTTGAACCTTAAACATTTACTTAGCCAGTTGAAATATTAATGTATTGTTCTTTATAGATTCAACTGTGCAATTCAAATCGGAAGTACAATAGAGCCAGAAGAAGATGTTCCATAGGGTCGTATGTGTGAGACAAAGGCTGAGAAGCAGACAAAGGAGATAGTTTATTCCGACCTAATTGTGAACAGGGTGTCACCCAAGATACTCTCTTTTTGGTAAGCTATAACATCCTTTGAATATCTATTTTAGTGAATTAATAGTTTATTATCGTTTTTGTACTGCATGAGGAAGTGAGAAATGGTGACTTGAACCTTTGGGCTAAAATAATATCAAAAGAAAATAAGAAGAATAAATCATATATACCTATAAATCTTTTCACTGATGGCTTGAATTATTTTTACCAAAATAGTCTGTGCACACAAGATATATTTGAGGCTTAAGTTACGTTAAACTGTTATCAATTTCATAACGTTTTTTGCTATATATATATTTTTGGAGTTATGAGCGTGTCTTAATTATACCAAAAAGCTGATAAAAAATGATACACAAATGTATTGCTTCTGGAAGTACAGATAACAAGCTTTATAAGCCGAGTACCTACTCACAAAAGTCAATAGGGCTTCTTGTTTACTCCCTCAATTTAAACAGTTTATTAGAATACATGAGAGGGAAGATGTACACTCATTTATATGTAATTCACAAATTGATTAACATTAAAGCTTAGTGTATATTTTTATAGTCATATTTGAAAAAAAAAATAGTATATCATATTAGTATCTTCTTTATCAAATAAAACCTGAAATTATCTTGTCCGCTTAGATAAACTTGTTTTTCATTGTTGTTTCTTCTGTGTTTTCTTGTTCAGAAACAATGAAGAAAGTACTAAGCGTTTTCATTGATGACATTGCTATCTTATGCTCTGCCTTTTTCCCAGTAACTATATATAGAGCATAACTCAATAATCATTACTTCTTTTCTGCACAGCATTGTTAGTGCTCTGGTTTATAGAATTATACTGCTTGCAACTTACAGATTTCTAAAATTACAACATTTTCTATAGACGACAAAAAGTGCAAATCAGGATTGCTTTGGAGCTCGTCCTTTTTATTTTACCAAATTGTATAACACACAATGAGCTTGGCTCTGCACTAGACATAACGTATGAAATAATGATTTATTCAGCCGTGTAAATAGTATGTTCATTGACAACACTTGTATTCTTTGTTTAGCAATACCCTATCTTCAGATGAACTTTTTTTTAAAAAAATATATATTTCAAGCAAGTCTTTGATTTAATAGTAATCCAGTTAGAGTAATCAATATATAGACTAAAGATATATAAATATAAGGTGTGGTAATTTTTAAAGATACCATTTATTATATATAAAACATATTTTATTCATATATATATATATATACACAAAACTAGCTATAGTCTTTTTGTTGTTGTTGTTGTTGTTGTTGTAAAGTATAATATTGAAGAAGCTCTAAGATTTATTTATCGTTATCCCAAAGGTCTCCAGAAATCCTGTACAATGTTCGTTGTGATCAACTTGTATTTATGTATTAGAAGCTTATCAATTAACCGTTGTATTTTTTTTTATTTCATTTCATTTTAGATAGACTTACCACGAGTCAACTCATGAGTGTACTTGTAATAATCTCTTTTTTCTAATTCTTCCAAGCGTTCTCGTTCTTCAGGGTTATTTAGCTCATCTTCTAAGAGCTTTTTTCGAGACTCTTCTGCCTTGCGTTCCTTTTCTAGGCAGACTACGTTTGTTTTGATCGAGAGTTCCATTTTTTAAATGCCCAAAAGAAAAATTGTGAATAATAGTTATAATTATTGTTTATATTTATTGAGAACAGTAGCTGCTTATTTTCAAGGATTCTTTGGATCTGTATTTATACACTGTAGAACAATCACTACAAAATGAAAAGCCAATATATATACATCACTGAATATACCTTTATCTTCAAAATAATCAAGCAATTCTTATTGTGCAGAATAGTAAAAGAAAAGAAGGTAAAGAAGAAGTATTTTGTACAATAGGACACACCTTATTTCAATGAAAATTAAGGATCAATGAAACACTTACAAACTATTAAAATAAATTCATTCAAAAAATGTCGAGATGTCTTCCTTGTTTATTTCTTTCTTGCTGCTATTTGTTCAAAGTAATAAGGCTATTATCTTCTGCTCAACTTATGTTTAGATGTCCAAGCATACATTCTACTTTCTTTTCTTTACATATCATACAAAGGCATTATACTACCGATGTTCATTATATCCGTTTCCCCTTCTTCTTTTTATTCTTATGACAACATCATAACCAGCACCCACCAAGATGTCGTCCTAATGCACTATTCTTATGACTGTGTGTACTACAGACATATTTCAAAACAACGAGATCTTAGATCTCATGCATGCCTTTTGAGCAGTCCACTATATCCTTATAAGTCAGAGTAGTATTAGCTTTTGTACTAACACTATGCTAAGACAAAAGCAGCTTTTCTACTCATTAGACCTCACCTTACTTTCAAACCATGATTTGTGAATATATATATATATGAATATAACAAGACTTCCTCTATATAAAGTAGTCTTGGGTTACAAGGTCTTTGTTTGCACACCAAAAATCAAATACTCCATTTTTCTAAGTTTTCCCGGATTTTCCACCTCAAGTCTCTCTCTTTCTCTCTTCTTTTTACTGTAAATATATTATAATTCATCTAAGAATACACTTTTGTCTTACTTTCACAATCGACACACTAACACTATATTTTGTTTGGTATTGTACAAAAGGCTTAATTGGATATTCATGTCAAATAAATAAATATAAGAAAGAAAAATGGTTGACAACCGTACGTCTAAATGTCATTTTCCCTATTTAACGTTGAATAAGCAAGAGGGGGAGGGGGAGAGGTCTTTTTTTTCGGTTTTTTTTTTTGAAAAAAAAAATAGATTATAATACATCTTTATGATTTTCATAATCGCGTTTCTTTTCCATCAACTTTGCTAATTTTTCTTCCTATAAAATATTGTATTAATTCATCAATTGACGCACCACTCATTAAAAGTACCTTAGCCTTGATCTTGTACATTTCTAAAAAATAAAATCCAGCTGCACCTCCAGCAAAAGCACCGAATGATACTGCCATGGCCTTAAAAAATTTCGACATCCTTAATATGTTAAAAATATAATCGAGGTATAAATTGTCTGTGTGTAGTGTATAATGTATAGAGTGTGTATGCGTGTATGCGTGTTTGTGCGTTTGTGCGTCTGTGTGTCTGTGTGTGTGTATGTGCCTCTCTCTCTCTCTCTCTCTCTCTCTCTCTCTCTCTTTCTGTGTGTGTGTGTGGCTGTGTACAAGTGACTGGCTCTTCCAAATGAAGAACCTCTTCTATGCATCACATGTTCCTATAATGCCAAGGTTGAACTCCGGTGAGGTTGAACCAACCTTGGTTCTGTATTTCTTAATGCCGTCCGTCTTCCGCGTTTCAGTGTTTGTCTCTCTTGTTTCTCTCCTCTACATTCTAGTAGTATATTCTCAACCTTTAATATATACCCATTCCACTACACCAATGGCTACATTCCAAGTTGTTCTTCGTCAAGGCATCACTGGCGGCATTGTTGGTCCAGTTACCGAGTAAGTTGGTTTGTCATGTTACTATCTATCTACCATCTCTTTTTACTTAAGCCGTTATCTCGCTTTAGACAAGTGGTCGAGATCAGAGGTGACCACAACACAGCCAGCATTCTTCATGCCAACCTCCAGCCTGGATCCAAGACAGACTATGTTACTCAGACTGGAAATGTTTCTACGTAAGATAAGAGAAATAATGTCAAAGATGTGATATGTGTGGTTTACTTATCAAATATGTATGTATGCGTGTATGTTTATGTGTGCTTTTAGTCAAGAATTGCAGGATGCCCTTCTAATTCTCCGCAACCAGTTGGCAGAGTTGCCTTTGGAAGAGCCTACCGGTAGCCAAGATATTTATGGCCAAGATGTCTCTATCGGATTTTTCTCAAACGATTTCCAATGGCAAAACGGTAAATATATTATAGATTAAGTAATAAATAAATAAAAAGAAGAAGACTATGTTGCTGTGTATATAATATTAATTTTCGGGTATTTGGTGCAATCTAAAAAAAAAGGTGGCCCCGAGGGATGCAACCAAGGAGAATCGTCTGTTCAAGCTACCCCCGAACAAAAGGAAAAATTCAAGGCTCTTGTTAAGCTTGTGGTTGGATTGGGTGAACAGCATGCATTGACTGCTCAAGCATAAAATATTAGGAATCTATCTCCCACGAGATATTGTTATTGTTATTGTTATTATTTTTCTCCTTGTGTTTTAGTCTACTCCATCATCTGCCCTATCTTTTTTTTTTGAAACAAAATGGCATTTTGTTTCATGTGTAAGTGTTCTGTCTATAAACCATGTCTTTCTTCCATGTCAGGCCAGGATATTATGATAGTATATCGCCCTTAATGTCTGTGTTACTGTCATAGCCATTTTTAATCTCGACCCCGGGATAACATGATATTTTATGATACACACAAATGACGGTTAAATCAACATCTTATTTTTAACGCTTTAGATATATATGTATATTTAGGTACTCATGAAGTGGCTAATCGGTTAGAATTATCTGATCAATCACCAACTTCATGAGCATCTATCACAGCTTTTTCTTTTCTTTTCTTAAACTGATCTCTTTTAGTATGAAGACAGCATAGACTGTATATCCTTTGTTGTGATGATGGCCGTAAAACATCTGCATCACACCAGAAAGTTCGAACACGCATATTCAAACATCGCAATGTGCTGTTTCAAAGCGATCAAAACAGGGGAAAGTCGGTGATAAAGCAGAGAGTCTATAGATGTCATGTTGAGTGAATTTACTGATTATATATGAAATTTGCAAATATATTGCAGATCAGAGTATAAGTAGGGAGTCGAATCTACATAATTTTAGCTGCAATAGAATACTCTGCCATTGAACCCATATACTAAAATAAATAATATAGATAACCAGGAGTTTTCATTTAGAAATCTCCCTGTTCTTTTGTTCGTCAGTATAAATAGAGGTATGACAAGAGGACCTTGTGAGGGTGATCATTGCAGTCTTTTTACGACATGGGATGAATCTAGTTCAGCAACGATATACTTGTTTTCTCATAACTTGGTACCTAGCTTACATGTATTACTCGACTTTACAATTCTATCCCTCCGCATCTACAAGTAGTATACTGATAAATCGATTCCAAGTAACCCTCTCGGTCACATCACTTAAGATATAAAACTTTGTTGATGCTATTAAAAATACCATTGCTTTTTATTTAGAATACAAAGATTTGTATGGATTTTATTTGATTCCTGCTGAAGAAAGATAGTGTGAGCAACATCTTGAACATTGAATTCAATGGAGCTCAGCGTTCCAAGTTGACATAGCTTAGAAAATGAGGTCGATTAATTGATGTTCAGTAACGGCTAATTGCGATTTGATATCAAGAGCTGATTTAATGAATTTATTGTATGTGTTACAGGTCAACATTTGTTTGTCAAGCTTAACATGCTGATGATTCAAAAAATTGCTTTTGAGACACACAATTTGACAAAGTTCTATTGTTTTTTTTTTATAAAAAGTCTTTCGTGTTACTTATTTCTGTTGCTTTACACGATAAAATAATCTTGATTGTCTTTTTTTCGAGAAAGACATTAAGCCTCGAGAGACTTTTATTATGCAAAACACGTTAATTCACTTGTATGCTCAATCCCTTTTCTATATTGCTATTGCTACTGTTTGCTTTGACACTGTTTCTGCTATTTACACTGCAGCTTCAACTGTAAATGCTCCCTTCATCATCACCAGACTCATGTGTCCCATTAACTACTGTGCACGTCAATGTCTCTCTGGCCATACTTGCATAATTATAGTGCAGCACAAGATCAGGTAGTGACTTCCACAATACACGGAATCTGACGAGCACACTGAGCTTTTATTGATGAACAGTATTTGATTTTAGATAAAATAAGAGTTAGCCGACTGCTAAATATGCTCTTATATTTAATAAAAATAAGCAATAAGATAATACATATTAACAATAATAGAGCCGATATTTGAAGAAAGTATTTAAGTTCAGGGTAGGAAAGTGGATATTTAGCAAGAATCAGCCATAAAAGCACACTTTTCCTCCGTATTATAATGATATATATATATATATACTTATTGCTTTATTTCCTACTTTTTATTTATTGCCTTATTTCCTACTTTTTATTTATTGCCTAATATAGCTTTGAAATATAAACGGGTCTATTTCTTAATACCTGTGAGGTCCATTTTGTATCTATTTGCACAAGCAAAAGAAAGAACTGTCTTGTTCCCATGAACAAAAAGCGCACAGACCACTTTAGAGTAACCTACAAATCGCCTTTAGAAACTTGTACTCCACTTTGAGAGTTATTGCTACACCGATCAATACCGAACCTTTCCTTACTTCTTTGCTTCTTTGCTTTATTCTACTTTGCAGAATACTTTTGCAAAGTCTATAAATTGTCTCTTAGTGGCTGTTAATTCTGTCGTATAACAGTTACACAGCCTCAATAAAAGGAATATACAGTCATATCACGTTTGCTCTGACGTGGACATCTAGGACTGACAAAAAGCGCAGTCCTAAACTTTAATCGCAGATGAAACATTTTCGATTACATATAGAACCCCTCCAACGCGCGTCGTTTGTTTTCTCCTTGAGCAACAACAGTCCCGGTTTCATAGTGAGGCGTCTCTTGCGACCGTTGCAGGGAGATTCTTCCATGCTACAAGCATCGGAAAGTGAAAGTTGTTACTCGCCAGCTCAGTTAATTCTGAGAAGTCGTGGGGCATGGTCTCTTTTCTTTTGGAAAGACTACTGTGTACATCGCATCGCCAATGTGGAATCATGATGCTGGGGGGAGGGAGGTCTAACCTGTGGTGAGATGTGCTGGCTCTTCGCTGCAAACCTGACTGAACTCTTTAACGGCTGACGGTGAAGCTACTGGTAGTCGAATGAGCTGGACCTTATCACCTAGTGGTAAGTTCTCTGGCGAGTTCGCACCCACATTACTCGGTGACGAGATGTGGGGCTGGATGAACGGGTGCTTTCCGTTGGTTTGCCACCATTCCAGCACCTCCTTCGCTACCAAGTCAGGTTTACGTCCTGAAGGAGATTGAGCCGCGTAATGCGGGGACAAAGAACTTGGTGTCATGCTTTTTATTCTTTTACTCATGTAAAGGAACATTAAGTGAAATTAAATCAAATAGAATAGTTTCTTTATGTATATATATGTATATCTTTAAATAAATAAATAAAGTCTTTCTTAGCTATTGTCAACTTTAATAAAAAAAAAACACGCTTTTAAACTTTTTTTTACTTGATTGATGTCAATGTTGTAATTAGGGGGATTAATTTACAAGAAAAAATTAATAAAATAAAAATATAATATAATGTAATGTAATTTGATGTAAAATGTATGCTCTCATCATTGTGCCGAACACCGTATTTGATTGCATAGACTGTTTTTGTCTATAACGTTTATATGGAAAACTCATAATAATTCTTGAGAATGCCGATGGAGCGATGTATATGGTATTGAATTTGGCTAATCCCAATGGTAAATGTAAAGAGCATGCATTGGAAAGAGGGAAAGAGAAAAAAAGGAAGAGGAATGCGAGATGAGAGTGAATAAAGAAACGCTTGTTTGAAATAAAGAGAGAGAACGCGGTGAATTGAATATACAAGGTTCTCGTTGTATTTACACAGAATGTGTACAAAAAAGAGTCAATTTGGATGTATTTATGAAACAATAATCATTATCTGCAAACCTTTTTGCATTTTAAATACCAATGAATGGCTAGTACCTTCTATTTTTTATTACATACACACACATGCAATTATATTTACAGTGCAAACGATGATTTTAATTCGAATAAGAGTAAATAAGTATTGATAAGTTACAAATCATATCCTTTAATATTTTGTATAAAGGTGATTCCCAAAAGATACATATACAGTTTTCATATCATAGCCCTCAAATATAAGCTGACAGACATTAAAGTATAATAAATAAGCAAGATGTGGATATTATAAAGTATTAAACCCGTTCAAAAAGCATCTCATTTCGGTAATATTTACTGAAAACTACATTATATATTAAATAAATGGTATTGTTTTATTTTATAAAATTCAACTATTTGATTCCTATATATGTAAGAAAGCCGATAGGTAATATTCTAAATATCTATACACTTTTATCCGCTTTTGTGTAATCTTGAAAATTAGGTGCATGCTGATCAGGTTGTTCAAACACCCTGCCTGAAATGTTTAGCTCTTCAGTATGTTGCGCCATTTCGATTAACAAATCAAGTTCACCGGAATTCTCGCACATCGACTTGAATAGGCCAGTTCCAGCACCGTGGATCAACAAGTTTGCAGGTGTGTCATATTCAACAACATTACCCTGATCAAGCACCAAAACTCGATCATAATCTATAATAGTTCTCAGGCGATGGGCAATGCAAATTAAAGTCGAGCTGACAAACTCCTCACGAATTGTGTTTTGAATCTTCTTGTCGGTCTCGAAATCAACACTGGCAGTAGCTTCGTCCATAATAATAAGTCTGCTGTTCTTGAGCAATGCACGGGCCATACAGAGCAGTTGACGTTGGCCTTGAGAGAAGTTGTTGCCACCATCGCTCACAATTTGGCTAAGACTAGTGACAGCCCAGGTAGCATTTCCTTCTGGGACTTCATCATCGTGGTTTTCAGGAGCAAGGTGGGCTCGGACGAGAGATTCCCAGACCGCACTATCTGTGTATTCTTCAAAGGGATCAAGGTTGGAACGGATAGTTCCAGAGAACAAAACAGCATCCTGAGGAATAATAGTGAGCTTAGAACGAAGATCATAGACACCAATATGAGTGACGTCAATTCCATCAATAGTAATACTGCCGCTGCTTGGTTCAAGGAAACGGAAGAAACTGAGAGCAAGGGTGCTCTTTCCTGATCCAGTACGTCCAACAACACCAACTTTTTCGTGAGATCGAATGTCAAAAGAGATTCCATGAAGTACAGGGCCAAGATCTTCTGCATATCTGATCACAAGATCTTTTACTTCAACAGATGCGGTAGTAGGCCAGGCAGCAGGGGGGCGGCTTCCTTTGATAGAAGCGGGAGGTTCTTGTTCAATCTCGAGATACTCTTGAATTCGTTCAACCGAGTTCAAATCCATCTCAACTTGAGTGTACTCGCGAATCCCCAGATATATATTATCCAAGAATGAACGGGCATAGAAAAGTGAGATACCGGCCATACCAGCATCGATAGTGTCGAGGTTCCAAAGGATAAAGATACCAGCAAACAAAGAAATAAATAAACCAGCAAATTCTACCCGAGCATATAACCAGCGGTTAGTCATCCACAGATAATAGTAAGGCGAGATGTATGTATCTATTTTTCTGTAAAATTCGAGTTCGAATGTATCTTCTTGGCAATAGGCGCGAATAGTTGTAACACCGGCCAAAGTCTCGGTGAAGTGCGAATAAATCGGTGATCGGCTAACAGAGTTAAGACGCTTGAACTGGCGCGATACACTTAGATAGAGGGCACCAATTGCGACATAAGCTGCACCAATAACTATGGCAACAGCAATAAACTGAGGAGTGATAGCACCAACTACGACAACAGATGCGACTAAACCGGTCATACAGTCAAGTACTTTACTTGATGTGCGGGCTAAATCCATATCAACTGTCATTACATCCTTGCCAAAACGGTTGAGTACACGACCGATTGGAGTAGTGTCGAAAAAACGCAAAGGAGCATGAGTAATTTTTCTCAACATCTTTTCAAACAATATTTTTGCGCCGTGAACAGAACCCCAGTAAAGTACAATACTTCGAAGCATATCAAATAGGATTGAGGCTAAACAGATGACCAGATAAACAATAATGTAGTAGTCTACACTTCGAGGTTGATCTTCCTCGTATACCCAATCACGGAACACATTTTGACTTTTGGTAGTATCATTAACATATGACATTACACCATAGGCTGCAGGAGCTAACTTAGTTGCGATGAATCCATTGGAATTCGTAGACCCGGTGCTGTTTGCAACCCAAATTCTTAGCCACCTAAAATAAGTATAATTAGTTTCAATACACAATACATATTTTTAAAGTTTGCTTACCAGTTCTCTCCGAATACAAAGACACGGGCAATAAAAAACGATGAGAGCAGAACACACCAGAAGAACCAGCCACCACAGGCAGTAAAGTATGTCTTGTACACCTTGAATTTTACTCGTCCTTTCTCAGAGTTTTCTTCTTTAATCATATTATTGACTGCTGCATTGTCATTGATTAGACTGAATTCTTCGTCGACTTGTTCAATAGGTTCTTCATCAACTGCTTCATCTTCGTTTGTTCCTTCACCCAAAATGTTATCCAGAGAACCATTTTCTCTAAGAGACTCAACGGAACAATAGCTGGTTACAGAACCACGCTCAAGTTTCATGACAAATTTGGCGGCAGGTAAGCAAAGGCGTACATGATGAGTAACCAGAATTACTGTGCGCCCCTTAATAAGATCGCCTTTAATACAACGCTGATAGATGTGCTTGGCAGTGTGTGCATCAACAGCACTAAGGCAGTCGTCCAAAAGTAGGGTCTTTGCATGTGAATAAACAGCACGGGCCAAAGAGACACGTTGTTTCTGGCCGCCAGACAAAGAGATACCCTTTTCACCAATTTCAGTACGGTCACCATCAGGCAAGATAGACAAATCCTTGACGAGGGCGCACTGGGAGAGCACCTTTTTGTAACGAACTGGATCGAACTCTTGACCGAACAAAATATTGTCACGGATCGAGGCATGCTGTAAAAAGGCTTGCTGGGCTACATAAGCAACCTTATTCAGGGCGAGAGAGGGATATTCAGGATCAACGACAGAGTATGTATCAAGGGCTAGCTTAGTCTTGGATGGCAAGTAAACACGTCCAGAGACAATATCCATTTCTCCCAAGATGGCATGCAAGAAACTAGACTTTCCACTTCCGGTTGGGCCGCAGATAATGCTAAGTTCGGAGGTAGGAAACTCAAAAGCGGGAACTTTGAGTGAGAAGTCAGGGTGTTCATCTGGATCTACTTCAGCAGCAACGGCGTCTTTGGCTTCAGGCTCGCCAGAATGCCAGCGGAAAACCGACTCTTCGGTACCAACACGTGCCAGAATAGTCTCTGGCAAAACACCTTCTGGAACGGGAATAGGTTCATTAATGATACCATCACCAACTTCGGCCTCGTCCATATACGATGCAATACGCTTTAGGCAGACGTAGCATTCACCCAACTTTGTAATTGATTCAGGAATCATCATCAATGGACGACGAATCATTTCAAACAAGGTGATACTAACGAATGCCACACTTGCAGTCAGCTCATTTCCGGTTACTTTTGTGTACCAAATAAAGGAGGAGCAAGATACCAGGACTGGAATGGTAAGGTAAGTGATTGAAAATATGACTTGAATAATAACAGTGCGGATAAGTTTCTTGATTTCAAAGCGACGTGCTGCCATAATTTTCTCTTCCCAGTTGTTTTCCCAGGCAAAATATTTGATCATACGAATACCATGTAGCAACTCATTGACCAAATTGTTTCGCTTGTCCTTGGCTTCTGAAAATCTCTTGTAAGACTTAATCATTATCTTAGATATGTATGCAGTAAATGGGAAAGTGATGATCATCACACCCAGACCAACAAGTGCCGCAAATCCAAGTAGTTGATAAAGATATACTATAGCCACAGCTATTTCAATTGGTGCGTTGTAAACCATCTAAAAGTTAAAAAATTAATATTATGGCAGCATAGTTCAGTCTGGTATGTTTGGTAATGACAGAAGCTTAATTAAGCTAAAGAAGATATATATAAATACATTAATTCTATAGTTATAATTTGCTGATGAATTTTACATTTACAACACAATAACAAAATGCATTTCTGTAAAAGAGCAGCTTACTGTATTTGCCAATAAATACTTTGATATTGTGTTATAAATGTAAACGTTTCATAGATATAAAGTGCTATATGTATACATCTTCTTTAGCTAAATTTAGCTCCTCCGGTTTACCTATCATACCAAACAGTCCAGGTATTTTTTTTTGGTGAACTTATAATTATTAACTTACAAAAATATAAACTGGCGTATCCGCCAGACGATCAGCATCAGTACTCATTAAGTTGGTGATTTTTCCAGAGCTACTGAAAAGATTACTTGTATTGTTTTCCTTCTTTGCATCATCCTTAGTATTTTTCTTCTCGACTTTTCCGGACATATCCTTGCGCTTTAAGGTTTTTTTGTAGATTTCTGCATCCAACATTGCAAAGGCCCGAACATTCCACCGTCTACCGGCCCATAAGTGAACACCGTTAAAAACTAGCTTGGTTATTCCAACAGCGAGCATTCCAAAAACATAAACATATGCAATGTTGATAGGGCGTCCTTGGGGATCGGCAATATACTCCAGTAATTTTTGTTGGAAGTAAGGGCTGAGGTAACCAACTAACATTCCAGCTATCGAAAAGATAAATTGAGCCCAAATAGCACCTCTGTTGGCCTTGTAGATACGAAGAAGAATTTGCTTTCGGCTTGCGGAAGCAAGGGTTTTGCAAAAGTCGGAAAATGCAAATCGAGCCAAGTGTTGATAGGTTAGAGCATAGATGTTTTCTCTTGTCAGTTCATTTGAAAGTCCAAAATATATGATTGGGTTCATCTATAGAGCATAAAAGTGAGACCTGGAAATTCTGGACATTATATAATATTTTTGGGGAACTTACCCATCCAAAGGAAATCCATTCAAACACACTAGCCGTAGCTTCCGGACTGAGCATAAGGTTCTATGGGAGCAAATTTAGTAACTATAATCCATCACATTGAATGAGTGGCTTACATTACGATAAATATCGCCATCTTTGATCTCAATCTTTTCATTATTCTTGGTTTCAATATTCTTTGGATCCAAAGGTTGTGGTGTAACACCGGCCATCAAGAAGAGAATAGAAGATACAATAGTATTTCCAATAGCAAAATATGTGTCGTATGTAGGTTGATTGCTTTGCTCTATTACGGTGAATACTCTAGCGATTGCATCCAATGTTGCCAAGAAGAATACGGCAATAAAGAAGTAGAGATGATGCCGGGACGAATAGAGGTTATATACTGGTGAAGTGACCGATATTATAAATACAACACACTAAATAAAGATAGAAGTATGTTAATTATAATTCTGTGAATTTGTAGTAAATCTTACCCAAATCAAAAATGGCGAAACAGCTTCAATCACTACACATGCATTATCTTTGAGACTAAATACAAGATAATATCCCCATCCAATGATTTGGACAAAGCATAGTAGAGACTGTAGGGGCTTGGATATTTTCTGAAATTTTGTCTCAGGGCTAACCCATGTATCTTTTTCTTTTGATCCCCATCTGCGAACGACAAGAAAACCGAGAACACAAGCAAATGTACATGAAGGGAGAAGGCTCAAAGCAATTCTAAATGGCGAGTAAGAACTATGTTTCTCGGTAGCTGACTGCGAATACTTACTCCCTTTCAGTGCATTCAAATGGAGCGAAGGAATGATCCTAAAGAGCGTGTCAGGCTTTTTTTTTATAAAGTAATCCATGTTTGATTCCTTACCATTGCGTGCTTTGTTCAAATTATACCGAGGATTTGCTTTTATCTGCCTTGCAAACGAAGAAAATAAGAAGGAATAAAAAGGATAAATATAGTTAAAGCCAAGCTTTATAAATTGACACAAATATATGAAATAAAATACAGATTGTATTGTACCACACATAAGCCATATATATATTTGTGTCACTTACTGACATATTTTTTCTATTGTGTCATTATTATTTTGGAAATAAATTAAGATTTTTGCTCTTTCAACCTGTAATATTTATTCAGGGTTAAAAATCAGCCGTATATGTCATAGAGAGTGCCTTAAAACGTTACAAAAGTTGAGAAAAATTGGAGTCTAGATGGAATTATATATATGTATATATGACCACCCAAGAGTGAAATAGCTTTGAAACGGTTGTTACGAATAGCCTCGATTTCATTAATTAGGACATGTACCACTCTCTCTAATGTATATATAAAAGGAGAATAGTATCCAAAATAAAATTTTGAATTATTTTTATTGTACAAGCATATTTGTGAAATATATGTTTTGTTCCTTCAACCAAGACTTTGGTATAGAATAGTGTCTCCTTTACTCTCGCACAATTTTTGTACATGTATACTTCATATCTCTTATCATTTCATAAATCATAGTATAAACACCTTACCAAATTATGTGTCATATTTTCCTGCTGTCAGAATAAATGGTCGTCTTCCAGACCTTGAGCGTTGTAACTCAATATACGCTTCTTTATTAATAATCAAACAATCCACTAATATAAAGTTAATTGTCTTTCAATATGGATCATTTTAAGTATCTATGTACACGGATCAAGGTTTCTTTCATTGTATTATACATTCAATTAATGTTAATAACGTGACCTGATATCCCGTTTTGTTTCTTTCAGGTACACTTTTTTTTGGAAGTCTCTGCTCATATAACGAATTCGCATTTCCATTCAGGTTCTCACCTTGCTATCAGAATCAAATATCTTATTTACCCAACTGTACATCCCATTTTTCTTTTGTGATTCATTTGGAGGTCATTCAAGACTTATCGATCTGATCCCAATATACTTAACATGCTTTGTACTTCTACTCTCGTATACTGTTCATGATGTCTTTCGTTTAAGATCATATAATGCTCTACATGGCTACGTAAATATAATAATACGGCAACACTAAAAAAAAAGAACAGTTAGGGTGACACGATTTTAGACATTTCTTGGTTTGTAAACGCTATATTAAACTAGCCATTTATCACATATTTACCTGGGGAGACTCTTCTTGTATTGTCTATTAGAGGTAGCGTATTTAAAGGTGTATAAGTTAGAGAAAAGTTAGATATGCTTTAATTTCGGGTTTTATAATATGAAAGGTAGCTAGAGCTAATGTGTGATTAAGACCAAATTAAACATCATCAAAAACAAATTTTAAATGGGAGCTCTATATGACGCTTAATGTGCAACAAATTATTAAATGAAGATTTAATGTAGCAGTTTATACACTGCTTGAGGGAAGTGAGAAAGTTTGAATCAAATGGACAAAGATCAGAGAGTCAAACATGGTAAGGAATCAAGAACTTATTTGGTTCCAAATTCGAGTCTTGAGAGGACGAGTCCAGAAGAAGTGTTCATTATCGCCTTAAGTTTCACATAGTACACGATTGAGATCGCTAATTCCTTTTATCTTGTTTTTAAACAGTCTCTGTCGACAGGGTATCTTACGGGGCATGCGTCTCCATCAGATGGAGTAGACCTAATTTTGCATCGGAGTAGTTCAGAGTGAACTATATTGGGTTTTTGTTTGTCCATGGGAAGTAAGATGGCTCGATATCAAGGCTAGGCCTAATAAATCCCGAATAGCCTTGGCGACGAGCTCTATTAGCCGTTTCATCATTCACACAATATTCAATAATTAAATATACTTCTGCGAATATGGCACTAACGCTTACTTTTCAGTATCGGACCTGTGTGTATATAATTACCCTCCTGATTTTACGCATTCAGTGTAGCCTTCATTAAGAAAGCTAGATTCTACATAATACTATTATACCTTTTGTATTGCTTGTTGAGGGTATTATATACCCAAAGATGACTTGATTACAGAAAATTATGGAGTTGTAGCTAGCGAGTTTTCTATTCCAAGCCGTCTAATATTCAGAGTGGCAGTAGCAACGACTCAATTGATAATAAACTGGGATCATTAAAAATGTGCTAAAATTGGGGTTCCTAGATGTCCCTTAAAGCGTATCCCAAAACAATGTATGTGGTCACATTAGTGTTGCAAACTTTGAGAGTTGGCGGAATGAAGGGAGAAGAAATCGATCAGACTGAAAAGAAGCAAAATTCTCCAAAAACCAAGCTTCATATTAGTACTAGATTGGCTTTTTGAGAGCGCATTTCCAGAACAAATGTCCATCGTCTTCAAAGTCGCCGCACGGAACATAATTTCCATCATTCACATCCTTTATTTTATAACTAAATTGTCGCTGTCTGCTAGGGATTTTTCTGTATGCTAAGTGACACCAGATTGCCAATGGTTTGCAGGAAATATCAGATTCCAAAAGATTGCGCCAGTGTTCTTGTGAGGCCTGTAAGAAAGAAGGAGGACCTGGAAGAAGGAAGGTTGTATGTGCGTGCGGATCATTTTTACAGAAATTCGGTGTATTTTTTGGGGGTGTCTGTAATTTTAGAAGAAGGGAGACTTTTGAAGTGGCGATGAGGAATCGAGAAGAAATAGACCAACACCGATTCAGCGTCTCGTATCGGTGGAACTGTGAGCGGATAGTATCACTCCTGTAGGTGAATGTCACTATGATCAGGAAGGCTGAACAGATTGGAGACGAAGGATCTTTATTGTCTTCGTTCGTATTCATGACGTTAACGTATAATCCCAATTGCGTGCTCATGTACAGAAAAAAATGAAAAAGTAATAAGTGATTTGAACCTCCAACTACACAAGAATATATGTTTAGAGGTTCAAATCTCAAATTGCTTTTTTGCCCTCTCTGTATGAAAACATCAAATACTCGCAGTCTGTCACATCAGATAAAGATAGCAAACTGATGGGCTGGATCTATGATATCAGTGAAAGACGATTCCTTTGTAGGAACGGAATTAATGATGGACCAGTGAAGAGAAAGTGGCAAATTCTTGCATTCTTGTGCGCGGATCTTCGGAGGAACTTATCAGATTTTCTGCTTTCAAAAATTCTTTCAATTTCGCAGACAACAACCTCTGCTTCGTTTATTGGCTGAATGAATACGATCTCGGTACTTTTACTTTCAACTTTCCATGCAAACTAGTCACATTTAATTTGGTGTTTTCTCGGGTATGTCCACGAGGGATACTAATGAAAGTTCAAGAATACTTTGAGTATTTTATTCATCAACTCAAAACAGGTCGATCCAACTTTGGGTGCTCTCTTTCTTTTCATTTACTTTTACTGCTATAATTTGTACCTTTTTGTTTCTTTGTAACTCTTGTATCATAATTTTGAACCATTTTTTATTTACAGTGTTTTATACAATGGGCAATCTAATAAATAATACCAAAGAATAGAACACTTTCATAGTAATATTTTCTTAATATATATATATATATATTCAACAGATCTGAGCTCATTCTTTGTTCTTGATAATATTGACAAAGAACTATTTGATAAAAGGCAATATATAGGGGACAAATACTTATTATTTTTTTAAAAAAAACATTACTTCAAGCTTATAAAATTAAGGGCAGTTATTAATTCGAACAAACTGAAAGTTGATACCTTACGAATTACCTCTGATGTATCTATAAAGTTGTACAGTTCTACAATCTATATAATTCTTGCTTTGTTTTTAAAGAAAAGCAAGAAGCTTGAAATAATCCAGGTTGAACAGTAAAGAAAAGATTTTTATTATAAAACATAAATATACTTTATTTAAACAGTTTTTGTTCCATTTCAAGTCATTTATTTGATGCTTATTTCAGCAAAAAGAAATTTGGTAAATAAAATTATATATATCTATACATCTTTGTATAATTCTACTTAATCTTGACGGTTTGCTGTATGTTGATCAGCTTGCTCAAAAACTCTATCTGAACCATCACGCTGAAGAGCTTGATGTGCCATTTCTATCAATACATCATATTCTCCGGACTTCTCACACATTGATTTAAACAAACCAGTACCAGCACCATTGATCAACAGGTTTGCAGGTGTGTCATATTCAACAACATTACCCTGATCAAGCACCAAAACTCGATCATAATCTATAATAGTTCTCAGGCGATGGGCAATGCAGATCAAAGTCGAGTTAACAAACTCCTCACGAATTGTGTTTTGAATCTTCTTGTCGGTCTCGAAATCAACACTGGCAGTAGCTTCGTCCATAATAATAAGTCTGCTGTTCTTGAGCAATGCACGGGCCATACAGAGCAGTTGACGTTGGCCTTGAGAGAAGTTGTTGCCACCATCGCTCACAGTTTGGCTAAGACTAGTGACAGCCCAGGTAGCATTTCCTTCTGGGACTTCCTCATCGCGGTTTTCAGGAGCAAGGTGGGCTCGGACGAGAGATTCCCAGACCGCACTATCTGTGTATTCTTCAAAGGGATCAAGGTTGGAACGGATATTTCCAGAAAACAAAACGGCATCTTGGGGAATAATAGTGAGCTTGGAACGAAGATCTTGCACGCCAATATGAGTAATGTCAATTCCATCGAGAATGATACTGCCGCTGCTTGGTTCAAGGAAACGGAAGAAACTAAGAGCAAGGGTGCTCTTTCCTGATCCAGTGCGTCCAACAACACCAACTTTTTCGTGAGACCGAATGTCAAAAGAGATTCCATGAAGTACAGGGTCAAGATCTTCTGCATATCTGATCACAAGATCTTTTACTTCAACAGATGCAGTAGTAGGCCAGGCGGCAGGGGGGCGACTTCCCTTGATAGAAGCAGGAGGTTCTTGTTCAATCTCGAGATACTCTTGAATTCGCTCAACTGAGTTCAGGTCCATTTCTACTTGAGTATACTGACGAATGATCCAATAGATATTCTCCAAGAAGGAACGGGCGTAGAAAAGTGAGATACCGGCCATACCAGCATCGATAGTATCAAGGTTTAATACGATGAAAGCACCGGCAAAGAAAGAAACAAATGCTCCAGCAAACTCAATACGAGCATACAGCCAACGGTTGCTCATCCATAAAAGATAGAATGGTGAAATAAATCCATCAATTTTTTTGTAAAGCTCCAGTTGAAATTTTTCTTCTTGGCAATAAGCGCGGATAGTAATAACACCTGTTAGTGTTTCAGTAAAGTGGGAGTAGATAGGTGATCGGCTGACAGAGTTGAGACGCTTGAACTGACGCGATACACGTAGATAAACGACACCAATTACCATATAGACGACTCCAATAACAATAGCAACAATAATAAACTCAGGAGTGATTGCACCAACGACAATAATGGATGCAATAAAACCAGTTATACAGTCAAGTAAATGACTTGCTGAGCGAGCCACATTCATATCCACAGTCATTACATCCTTGCCAAAACGGTTAAGTATACGTCCAATAGGGGTAGTGTCGAAGAAGCGCATAGGGGCATGAATGATTTTATGGACCATTCTCTCGAACAAAATTTTGGCACCGCGAATAGAACCCCATAAAAGTATAATGTTTCGAAGAAAATCAAATAGAATTGCGGCTAAACAGATGATCAGATAAACAAGAATGTAGTAGTCTACACTTCGCGGTTGATCGTCTTCGTACACCCAAGCACGGAACACGTTTTGATTTTTGGTAACTTCATTGACATGGGACATTATATTGTATACTACGGGAGCTGCAGTAGACGTCAAAAACGCATTAGGATTCGTAGACCCGGCGCTGTTTGCAACCCAAATTCTTAGCCACCTAAAATTGATATAATTAGCTTTCATATTCCAAGCGTATCCTTAAAGTCTGACTTACCAGTTCTCTCCAAATGAAAAGGCACGGGCAATGAAAAGCGATGAGAGCAAAGCAAACGAGAAGAACCAACCACCACAGGCAGTAAAGTATGTCTTGTACACCTTGAATTTTACTTGTCCTTTCTCAGATTTTTCTTCTTTAATCATATTATTGACTTCTGCATTGTCATCGATTAGACTAAATTCTTCGTCCACTTGTTCAATAGGTTCATCTTCATCAGCTGCTTCATTTTCGTTCGTTCCTTCACCCAAAATGGTAACCAGAGAACCATTTTCTCTAAGAGACTCGACGGAACCATAGCTGGTTACAGAACCACGCTCAAGTTTCATAACAAATTTGGCGGCAGGTAAGCAAAGGCGTACATGATGAGTAACCAGAATTACTGTGCGCCCCTTAATAAGATCGCCTTTAATACAACGCTGATAGATGTGCTTGGCAGTGTGTGCATCAACAGCACTAAGGCAGTCGTCCAAAAGTAGGGTCTTTGCATGTGAATAAACAGCACGGGCCAAAGAGACACGTTGTTTCTGGCCGCCAGACAAAGAGATACCCTTTTCACCAATTTCAGTACGGTCACCATCAGGCAAGATAGACAAATCCTTGACGAGAGCGCACTGGGAGAGCACCTTTTTGTAGCGAACTGGATCAAATTCTTGGCCGAACAAAATATTGTCACGGATCGAGGCATGTTGTAAAAAGGCTTGCTGGGCTACATAAGCAACCTTGTTCAGGGCGAGAGAGGGATATTCAGGATCAATGACAGAGTATGTATCAAGGGCTAGCTTGGTCTTGGATGGCAAGTAAACACGTCCAGAGACAATATCCATTTCTCCCAAGATGGCATGCAAGAAACTAGATTTTCCACTTCCGGTTGGGCCGCAGATAATGCTAAGTTCGGAGGTAGGAAACTCAAAAGCGGGAACTTTGAGTGAGAAGTCAGGGTGTTCATCTGGATCTACTTCAGCAGCAACGGCGTCTTTGGCTTCAGGCTCGCCAGAATGCCAGCGGAAAACCGACTCTTCGGTACCAACACGTGCCAGAATAGTCTCTGGCAAAACACCTTCTGGAACGGGAATAGGTTCATTAATGATACCATCACCAACTTCGGCCTCGTCCATATACGATGCAATACGCTTTAGGCATACGTAACACTCGGTCAGGGTAGTAATTAATTCGGGGATCAGGACCAAAGGACTGCGGAGCATCTCAAACAAGGTGATACTAACGAATGCTACACTTGCAGTCAACTCATTCCCGGCTACCTTTGTGTACCAAATAAAGGAAGAGCATGATACTAGGACTGGAACGGTAAGATAAGTAACAAAAAACACGACTTGAATAGTAACAGCGCGGATAAGTTTTTTGATTTCAAAGCGACGTGCTGCCATAACCTTCTCTTTCCAGTTATTTTCCCATGCAAAATATTTGATCATGCGGATACCCTGTAGTAATTCGTTGACTATATCATTTCGCTTATCTTTGGCTGTCGAGTAATCTTTGAAAATCTGGGTCATTACTTTAGATATGTATGCGGTAAATGGGAAAAAGATAACCATAACACTCAGACCAATAATTGCTGCAAATCCGAGTAGCTGGTAAAGATATATTATAGTCAGGACTGCTTCAAATGGAGCGTTGTAAAGCATCTGGAGAGTTTTTTTTTAAAAAAAAAGTTAAAAAAATAATAACATAATATACATATATATATATTGATTAATACAGTTATCGACTTACAAAAATATAACTGGGTGTGTCTGCCAAACGATCAGCGTCAACACTCATCAAGTTGGTAATTTTTCCAGTGTTACTGAATGGCTTCTTGGTGTCCTCGTCTTTTTCTTCTTCACCCTCAGGCTTTTCCTTCGCGATCTTGCCGGACATATCCTTGCGTTTTAGGGTCTTTGCATAAATTTCTGCATCTAACATTGCAAAGGTCCGGACATTCCAGCGCCTGCCAGCCCATAATTGAACACCGTTAAAAGTTGCCTTCGTTAATCCAACACCGAACATGCCCAAGACATAAATATATGTCACATTGATAGGACGTCCTTGGGGATCGGCAATATACTCTAATAATTTCTGTTGGAAGTAAGGGCTCAAGTAGCCCACTAACATTGCTGCGGTCGAAAAGATGAACTGAGCCCAAATTACGCCTGTGTTGGCCTTGTAGATACGAAGAAGAATTTTCTTGCGATTTGTGGACACAAGGGTTTCACAAAATTCGGCAAATGCAAATCGAGCCAAGTGTTGATAGGTTAGAGCATAGATGTTTTCTCTTGTCAGTTCATTTGAAATTCCAAAATATATGAGTGGGTTCATCTATAGAGCATAAAAGTGAGACCTGGGAACTCTGGGCATTATATGATATGCTTGGGGAACTTACCCAGCCAAAAGAAATCCATTCGAACACACTAGCCGTAGCCTCCGGACTGAGCATAAGGTTCTATGGGAGCAAATTTAGTAACTATAATCTATCACATTGGATGAGTGGCTTACATTACGATAAATATCGCCATCTTTGATCTCGATCTTTTCATTATTCTTGGTTTCAATATTCTTTGGATCCAAAGGTTGTGGTGTAATACTGGCCATCGAGAGGAGAATAGAAGATACAATAGCATTTCCAATAGCTAAATATGTCTCGTTTATAGATTGATTACTTTGTTCTTTTAGGACGCATACTCTAGCAATTGCATCTAATGCTGCTAAGAAGAATACGGTAATAAAGAAGTAGAGATGATGCCGAGACGAATAGAGGTTATATACTGGTGAAGTGACCGATATTATAAATACAACACACTAAATAAAGATAGAAATAAGTTAATTATAATTCTATGAATTTGTAGTAAATCTTACCCAAATCAAAAATGGCGAAACAGCTTCAATCACTACACATGCATTATCTTTGAGACTAAATACAAGATAATATCCCCATCCAATGATTTGGACAAAGCATAGTAGAGACTGTAGAGGCTTGGATATTTTCTGAAATTTTGTCTCAGGGCTAACCCATGTATCTTTTTCTTTTGATCCCCATCTGCGAACGACAAGAAAACCGAGAACACAAGCAAATGTACATGAAGGGAGAAGGCTCAAAGCAATTCTAAATGGCGAGTAAGAACTATGTTTCTCGGTAGCTGACTGCGAATACTTACTCCCTTTCAGTGCATTCAAATGGAGCGAAGGGATAGTCCTAAAGAGCGTGTCAGGAAGGCATATAAAGTAATACATGTTGAATTCCTTACCATTATGTCCTCTGTTTAAAGTCTTCCGAGTATTTGGCTTTATCTGCTTTGTAAACGAAGGGAACAAGAAGGAATAAAAAGGATAAATATTATCGAGCCCAAGCTTTATAAATTGATACAAATATATATATGAAAAAAAAATACAAAGTTTGTAATGTACTACCTATTATCCATATCAACTTATCAGGATTAAAAATCAGCCTTTGTGTAATATTGATAAAAAAGGAAAATAGTACATAAAAAATCTCAAAAAAGGGAATTTGGGATATTTTTATCGTACAAGCATATTTGTGTAATGTACAGTTCATTCCTTTAACCAAAACTTTAATATAAAATAGTTCATACTTTATTCTCATAGTAAGCTTGTTAAAGCATGTCTTATATGGCCCATCATATGATTAGTCATGTATACATATTTTCCAAGAAGATATTTGGGTATTCCTATATTTGATTTTTGTAACCGTTACTGCGCCTTTTTATCTTTATTCAAATATGTTGCTGACATGGTACTGATTGACTCAAAACTCCTACGACTCGTATTCAAGTCGTTTAGCGTCCATTATATTGTATAATTGTGTGCACAAACTAACTTTGTATTCACTGCTATATATTTCTGGTTAATATTGATGTTTCGTATTAAAGTTTTTTTTTATTAATTTCTTTTTTAGATATATCTAATTTTTGTATATCTCAGCTCGGTTCATTGATCCATACTTCTATTTACACCCTTACCTTTCTATCAGGCTTGAATTTCTATATTTATATCAGTGTCTTTCTGTAATTTACACGTTAGCAAGTTTAAGATCAATATATATATATATTGTGGAGGGGAGCATAATTGTGGTTTTTTTAATTACTTTATAGCCAAGGAAATAAAATGCCTTGAGCTAAGATACTAGCTTAGATCTACTTCCGATCTCATAATTTTTGTAATTATTAGGGCAAGCTTATTGTTAAATGAGCTGTTGAAACAGATATAATTGAAAACGGTTAGTCAATTGGTGTACCAGTACTTCAGAAGTATACTAGCTATAACTTGATTGATTGTAATTTCAGTTGATATTCGTCTGACAGGAATATCATGTAGAAATATATTATTGAGTGGCTAATTAAGTGGACTGTTTCCCGATATTCTTGGACCATGTGTGTACCCAAGTTTCCCATTTGAGTGAACATTTGTAGATAAAGTACAGATAGTATTGGATATCAAAATTTCGCATCGAACATTATGGTAATGTGGCTATAGCTGGAATACAATTGTGTAGCAATTCTTGTCACAGCAATTTCTTATGCAGATCAATGTTTCACAGGCGACAAACGTTATGGTAGAAGGGTAATGGTCAGAAAGGTTTTTACAATTTTGACAAAAAAATCGGATAAAGTAGGGAAATTTTGCCAGATATCGAAAAATATTGTGGCATTTATGGGCTGTTAATCAAATAAAGAGTAAACATCATATACTCGTTAAAGCAAATATATTAGATACCATTATGCTCAGCAAACTGTGTGCTTCTGGACTCGGAAGTATTTCCTGATATTTTTTATTTTTTTGGATTATTAAAGCTAAATTAGGCTTTATATGGATACATAAAGATAAATATATGTCAGTGTTGCAAAAAAGTTTCACCTGATACAGTTTTCAACCTTCCTTGGTATGACAATATTATAGTATACCGACTTAATTTTTCCACTCTCCATTCACGTAAAATTTAATTATTAAAAATACTACTGTGAATATAGTGTCAAAGCCTAATTAAAATAACTGGACCAGTTCCCGCACGCTAGCAGGTACTATCTCAATTTTATTCATATAGAATTGTTCTATTCGTGGGACCTTTAGATTTTACATGAGAATCATACAATCTTGTGGAAAAATCTTTGAGAGAGTTTACCTACCAAATATCTTATCTTTCATAATGTCACCAATTTTGACAGCAATAACCTTTACCGCATCTATTGACTAGGCTGACAATTCTTATTTCAAGTTTCTGTCAAAACTATTTAAATCTAACCTGGGTCTGTCTCAAGCGCTCCCAAAATAAATTCTTAAACAGCTTTAGACCCTAATTAAAGTCCATAAATACTTTCATTTTATTCACACAACTTGTCGAGCTAATTATAATTCGGATTTCTATAAATCATGTTTCCTGTTAACAGTAATTTAAAGGAACATTATTCCTAATAATATTTGCTTATTTATTTCGCTCACTTTATATATATGTATATATTTAATAGATTCGAGCTTATTATTTATTCTTAATAATACCAACAGCATAAGTATTTGATAAAAAGACACCAAATAGTGGCTGACACTCAGTATCTTAATAGTCATCACTTCTAGCTTATGAAATATAACTTAGCTACTAATTCGGGCAAGTTAGAAATTCATACTTTACAAGCTAGCTCTTATATACATATTAATCTGTACATACAATTCTGACTTTTTTATACAATTAATTTTTAAAAGATGAAGTTAGTTGCATTGAAATACAAGAAGAAACATATTTTAAGAGATAAATGTGCTATACAAGTAATTGGTACTGTGCAATTTTATAAAAAAAAATATTTATTTAATGCTTATATTTGCAAAAAAAAAGAGGGGGGGGGCTTATAGACCATATTGTGCATATTTATACATTGTTGTGTATCTCTATTTAACCTTGGCGATTGATGGTGTGTTGATCAGATTTTCCGAATATCTTGTCTGAAATGTTTAGATCTTCAGTATGTTGCGCCATTTCGATTAACAAATCAAGTTCACCAGAATTTTCACACATTGATTTAAACAAACCAGTGCCAGCACCATTTATCAACAGGTTTGCAGGTGTGTCATATTCAACAACATTACCCTGATCAAGCACCAAAACTCGATCATAATCTATAATAGTTCTCAGGCGATGGGCAATGCAGATCAAAGTCGAGTTAACAAACTCCTCGCGAATTGTGCTTTGAATCTTCTTGTCGGTCTCGAAATCAACACTGGCAGTAGCTTCGTCCATAATAATAAGTCTGCTGTTCTTGAGCAATGCACGGGCCATACAGAGCAGTTGACGTTGACCTTGAGAGAAGTTGTTACCACCATCGCTCACAGTTTGGCTAAGACTAGTGACAGCCCAGGTAGCATTTCCTTCTGGGACTTCCTCATCGCGGTCTTCAGGAGCAAGGTGGGCTCGAACGAGAGATTCCCAGACCGCACTGTCTGTGTATTCTTCAAAGGGATCAAGATTGGAACGGATAGTTCCAGAAAACAAAACGGCATCTTGGGGAATAATAGTGAGCTTGGAACGAAGATCTTGCACGCCAATATGAGTAATGTCAATTCCATCGAGAATGATACTGCCGCTGCTTGGTTCGATGAAACGGAAGAAACTAAGAGCAAGGGTACTCTTTCCTGACCCAGTGCGTCCAACAATACCCACTTTTTCGTGGGGGCGAATGTCAAAAGAGATTCCATGAAGTACAGGGTCAAGATCTTCTGCATATCTGATCACAAGATCTTTTACTTCAACAGATGCAGTAGTAGGCCAGGCAGCAGGGGGGCGGCTTCCTTCGATGATATACGGAGGCTCCTGGTCAATCTCGAGATATTCTTGAACACGCTCAACAGAATTAAGATTAATTTCTATTTGGGTGTACTGACGAATAATCCAATAAATATTATCCAAGAAGGAACGGGCATAGAAAAGCGAGATACCGGCCATACCAGCATCAATAGTATCAAGGTTTAATACGATAAAAATACTGGCAAACAGAGAGACAAATGCACCAGCAAGTTCAACCCGAGCATACAGCCAGCGGTTGCTCATCCACAAAAGGTAAAAAGGTGAAATATATCCATCAACTTTTTTGTAAAAATCGAGCAAGAATTTTTCTTCTTGACAATAAGCACGGATAGTAATGATTCCAGTTAGTGTTTCGGTAAAGTGGGAGTAAATGGGCGATCGGCTGACAGAGTTAAGACGCTTAAACTGACGGGAAACACGTAGATAAAGGACACCCATAACGACATACGTAGCGCCAATAACAATTGCAACGATGATAAACTGGGGAGTGATAGCACCAATGACAATAACGGACGCAATAAAACCAGTTATACAATCAATAAACTTGCTTGCTGTGGGAGCTATATTCATGTCCACGGTTCCAATGTCCTTGCCAAAACGATTGAGGATACGACCAACGGGAGTGGTGTCGTAGAAATGCATAGGGGCATGAACAATCCTATCCAACATTTCTTCGAACAAAGTTTTGGCACCGCGAATAGAACCCCAGTAAAGTATAACATTTTGAAGCATCTCAATGAAAATTGCAGCCAAACAGATGAACAGGTAAATAAGAATGTAGTAGTCAACACTTCTTGGCTGATCTTCCTCGTGTACCCAAGCGCGGAATACGTTTTGGCTTTTGGTGGTATCATTGACTTGGGACAATACATTTAAGACGACAGGGACTGCAGTATTAACCAAGAAGCTATCGGAATCTGTAGACCTGGTGCTGTTTGCAACCCAAAGTCTCAGCCACCTATAGTAGCCATTATTAGTTGTTATATCCAACACATATCTGTAAAGGTTTTCTTACCAGTTCTCTCCAAATACAAATATACGAGAAACGACATATGATAGAAGTAGAACAGTCCAGAAGAACCAGCCACCACAGGCAGTAAAGTACGTCATGTACACCTTGAATTTCACTTGTCCTTTCTCAGACTTTTCTTCTTTAATCATATTATTGACTACCGCCTTGTCATCAACTAGACTAAATTCCTCGTCGGCTTGTTCAATAAGTTCTTCTTCAGCTTCTGTGTTGTCTTCAATAATTTCGTCACCCAAAATACGGATCAGAGAACCATCTTCTCTAAGAGACTCGACAGAACCATAGCCAGTTACGTAACCACGCTCAAATCTCATGACAAATTTGGCGGCAGGTAAGCAAAGGCGTACATGATGGGTAACCAGAATTACTGTGCGCCCCTTAAGAAGATCGCCTTTAATACAACGCTGATAGATGTGCTTGGCAGTGTGTGCATCAACAGCACTAAGGCAGTCGTCCAAAAGTAGGGTCTTTGCATGTGAATAAACAGCACGGGCCAAAGAGACACGTTGTTTCTGGCCGCCAGACAAAGAGATACCCTTTTCACCAATTTCTGTACGGTCACCATCAGGCAAGATAGACAAATCCTTGACGAGGGCGCACTGGGAGAGCACCTTTTTGTAACGAACTGGATCGAACTCTTGGCCGAACAAAATATTGTCACGGATCGAGGCATGTTGTAAAAAGGCTTGCTGGGCTACATAAGCAACCTTATTTAAGACGAGAGAGGGATACTTGGAATCAATGATGGAATAAGTATCAAGGTCTAATTTGTTCCTGGAAGGCAAGTAAACACGTCCAGAGACAATATCCATTTCTCCCAAAAGGGCGTACAAGAAACTAGACTTTCCACTTCCGGTTGGGCCACAGATAATGCTAAGTTTGGAGGTAGGAAACTCAAAAGCAGGAACTGTAAGTGAGAAGACAGGGTGTTCATCTGGATCTACTTCAGCGGCAACAGCATCTTCGGCTTCGGGCTCACCAGAATGCCAGCGGAAAACTGATTCCTCAACACCGATGCGAGCAAGAATGGCATCAGGAGAGACTCCCATTGGAACAGTTATGGGTGCATTAATTATACCATCCCCAATTTCAGGCTCATCCATATACGACGCAATACGCTTTAGACTGACCCAAGCCTCGGTCAATGTACCCATGGTGTCAGGAATTACACTCAAGGGACGACGGAGCATCTCAAACAATGTGATACTAACGAATGCTACACTTGCAGTAAGCTCATTTCCGGCCACTTTTGTATACCAGATAAACGAAGAGCAAGAGACCAGTACTGGAACAAGAAGATAACTGACGGAAAACATGACTGAAACACTGATGGCTCGGATAAGTTTCTTGACTTCTACGCCACGTGCCTTCATAACTTTCTCCTTCCAATTGTTTTCCCAAGCGAAATATTTGACCATGCGAATACCCTGAAGCAACTCGTTGACCAAATTGTTCCGCTTATCTTTGGATGTTGCATGCTCTCTGTAAACCTTGTCCATTAATTTAGATATGTATGCGGTAAACGGGGAAGAAAGGATAATGACAGATAGACCAATGAGTGCTGCAAATCCGAGTAGCTGGTAAAGGTAGATCATAGCCACAGCTACTTCAACTGGGGAATTGTAAAGCATCTGGAAAGTTGTTTGAAGATTAATAACGCAATTTCATAATGTATATATGTATATATATTTTTTGATTGATTTTACTGTGATCAACTTACATAAATATAACAAGGCAAATCCGCCAGATAATCTGAATCCATGCTCATCAAATTGGTGATTTTTCCAATGCTACTAAAAGGCTTTTTATCATTTTCTGGATCTTCATCTTCATCATCTTCATCGTCTTTGCCTGTTTTTAGTGCAGTTTTTCCAGATGTGTCCTTGCGCTTTAGAGTCTTTGTGTAAATTTCACTGTTCAGCATAGAATAAGTGCGGACATTCCAACGCCTACTGAGCCATAAATTAATGCCGTTGAAACACGGTTTGATTAATCCAACAGCGAACATGCCCAGTACATAGACATATGCAACGTTGATAGAGCGGCCTTGGGGATCGGAAATGTACTCAAGCAGTTTTTGTTGAAAGTAAGGGCTCAAGTAGCTTATAAATAAAGCGGCATTTGAGAAGATGAGCTGATACCAAATAGCACTTGCATTGGACTTGTAGATACGGAGAAGAATTTTCTTGCGATTTGTAAATGTAAGGGTGTCACAAAAATCTTCGTATGCAAAACGGGTTAAGTGTTGGTAGGTTAGAGCGTAGATGTTCTCTCGAGTCAGATCATTTGAGAATCCAAAATATGTAATTGGGTTCATCTGCAAAGTACAAATGTGAGATGATTATTATCTTTATATATATATATATCTTCTAATCGTTATTTAATGTAATTTGTGGGAGGTAGCTAGATGTAGAGTAAGGCAGTGTAGAACTTACCCATCCAAAGGAAATCCATTCAAATATACTGGCTGTAGCTTCCGGACTGAGAATAAGGTTCTATTGGAGTAAGTTTAGTAACTTGTAATTGATTAAATTGTGTTTTTGTGGCTTACATTACGATAAACTTTGTTATCCTTGATCTCGATCTTCTCGTTGTTCTTGGCTTCAATATTCTTTGGGTCCAAAGGTTGTGGTGTAGTACCAGCAATCAAGAAAAGGGAAAAGCTGACAACAAGATTTCCAATTACAAAATAGGTATCTCGTGCAACTCTTGTAATTCTTTCTGACAGGATATATGCAGAATAAAAATCGGCAGAAAGTGACAAGAAGAAGATGCTGACAAAGAAGTAGAGGTGATGGCGGGATGAAAATAGGGTATAAGATGGTGCGGTAACTGAGATAATAAATAAGGCAGACTATAATTTGAATTGGATAAGCAACTGTGGATATTTAATTATGTGTGTATATGTATATGTATATGTATATTACCCAAATAAATAGTGGAGAGACTGAACTGATTACTCTACATGCGCTGTCCATGGGGCTGATTGTGAGATAGTAGACATATCCGATGGCTTTGGCAAGGCAAAGAAGAGATTGAGAAATACCAAGCGGTTTCCAGAGTGTATTATTAGGACCGACCCATGTATATTTTCTTTTTGAGCCCCATCTAGAAGCAAATAGATATAAACTGGCCAAAACAAAGATCCCAAGCGGAATTAAATCCACCGCAACATCTTTGTCAGAGCACTGTAGTGTCGCAACAGGATAACCCTAGGTAATCTAAAGTTTAGTGATCTGCTGTATTCTTGTGAAAGTAAAGGACTATTTACCATTGCTTTGTTCTACGGAAATATACTTGGTTTGAATATTATTTCGGTAAAAGGAAAGTAGATAAGAGTATTACTTAAGAAATTTTTGGTTGGATTTATACTTGGTCATTAAAAAAAATGAAGGAATAACATAGTAGTCGTACTGATAAACCTAAAACCTAAAGTATAAAACTTAAGGTACAAAGCACAAGACATATAGCTTCATTATATTTACCCACATCCTCTAAATAGCAATTGCTTCTCAAATGGGTATCTAACTTTATAAGTTTTCCAATTATCAGGGTTCTTTTTTCTAAAATAAATAAATAAATGAGTAAGACAAAGAGAATGTCTTTGAATGACATTAAATTAATATGGTTGTTACGCAAAAAAAAAACACTTCTTGTAAAGATAATGATCTAAAAATGTTGTAAAAATAAGTAAATTGTTCTAGATTCTTGATTTCTAAGCTGGTACTGTCTATAATAACCAATTAATTACAATTTTTACGGTCAATGACAATACTAAAAAGAGTCTCCAGCTCGGGAGGTAGGCACGAAAATATTTGTGTGTAACGTACTTGCCGCAGCAACTTCTTATAAATCAATTAAGAACTAAAACCAAAGCACACACACAGCACACGCGATCCCAGAAGAAATAAGAACCATATTATTTAATGCTTTTTGAAATTGGCTTATTCATCTTTATAAGTTGAGAAAATACAACACGCAATAATTTAATGTTGTAAGATGATGTACGAAATTACTATAGAATTTTCTATAGTTCAAAGCATCTTAAGCCAAAGAATGATGGAATAAAGCAAGAGCCTTTTTTATTGGTGTGAAATAATCTGTCTTTTTTCTTTAATGTGAATCAATCCACTCTGCTGCAATATTGTTGCGCAGTAACCTCTCTGGAGTATACACTCCGCTCATTCTAGAGACCAACAATCAGTTTAGCCATGCATTGCACATTCATTTTTCGTACACGACCATCGTTGTTTACAGTAAATCAATTGCCTTTTGATGGGATAGCTATCAGGTGGTAATGGCAGATATTCGATGACCTCAATTCTATATAGCTCTTTCTTTTTAATTCAGCCAATTAATAGTGCTTACTACATTTCTGGGAAAACGAATAAATTAAATACGAAGATAAAGACAAAGGCAAAGCCATTATCTTTCAAAAGCATGATCTAGAAGGTTAACAGAAATCTTCTTAAAATTAAACCAGCAGATATTCTCGGTAATAATACCAGCAGATCTCTGGCCATAGGTGTGGTCTTTGTCTGGTTAAATCGTAAAATACAACCTACTGATTTGATCAACGCCTTTTCCTCTATCAAATATACGGATTTTCATTTCACTCCCCTCCTCCCCTTTCTTCTTATTATGCTTTATATTATCTTTCTTATTAATGTATTTTTACTGATGGTACTATAAATATGAAAAAGGCACTTCAAATTTGGTTGTAGATTTCGCTTGTCAAGTTGTAATCTTAGTGACATGTTTTTGTCGCGTAAAACAAAGAAAAAAATAGAGCAATAGTCCAGCTTTCTTTAATTATATCATAATACTATGATCCAAAGCTCTCTATTATATACATATATCTCTGTTTCTGAGTGTAATTGTATATATATATATATACTGTTACAATCCAATACGCTTCTTTAACTCGCCTTAATGCACAAAAGATATATATTCTTTGTTTTCGTAGTCTGTGCTTATTTTGTTTTTGGCTTTTCTTTATTATTATTTGTTCCTTTAAAGTTTATTCTTATATTCTGTAGATCTTCTACTGGATAAGCCAAAACTATAAATTGTACGCAATAAAAAAAATAAAGAAAATGATCAAATATATATATAGTCTATTTAAGATTATAGTTGGTGTTCCATCAAAGTTTCATTATGTGGCACTAATCCTGTACATTGGAAATGTCACTGTAATGAAATGCGAGATATATATATATATATATAAAATTTGTATATAAATTACTGACATAAACCCCTTTTTTGGATATAATCAAGCTTTATTGCTGATATTCAAATTCCCAGATATTTCCTATTATTTATTTTTGCGTCCTTCCTGATCCTTCGCGCGAAATCCCAAAAATAGACCTGTATATACTACTGGCTGGTATAGAAAGAAACCTAATTGTATTTCCTACCATGTGGTGTGTCAGGAAAAAAAAACCTTATTTATGTGTATATGTGGTTATATATTTATGACACCATAAATAGACATAAAAGTATACATGAATATCTATAGAATATTTGAATCATCTTTGGAATACTTCTTTAAACTTTGATAATTACAGTGCCTAGCTAGCTTGTTTATATTGGCTTAAAACAAAACAGAAATATTATAAATAAAGTAATTGTTTTTACAACATACCCCAAGAATATTAGAATATTTTGTACATCGTTTATTTTAGGTTTGTGTAAAGCAATTGTATGTTCCAATTTTTCCCAAATAAACGCTTTAATAATCTTGATATCGATTTTTATTTTCTAAAAAAAGAAATAATAATAATAATAGATATAAATTGCCGGGCAATTGATTGTAAGTATCGGTAAAAATACAAATAAAAGTGGAACAGACAAAGCTAACGTTAAGCATTACACATCCATATATATATATATAATTCTCCAACTAGCCTTTATAAATATTTTAAAAAGATAAGAGAAAAAGTGTGACTTGAAGACACCCTAAAATAGGACATTGCTTTACAGAGTAATTACTCGGGTATTAGTCAGGTACACTAAAATAAATGCGATTCTCACAGGCAATGCTTTCAATTACAATGAATTAAGCGTCATCTCTGCCTCACGTGCCTGAATCCAACATATGCTTGATACAATCTAAACAGATGAATTGCAAACCAAGTCAATTCACCGAAAACCAGACATATCCAACAATATTAATGACCTAGACCCTTGGTAAAACTAGCCTTCAAGTCAAATGCGAGTAGCATACAATCCAGTATGTCCATATGGAAGACAATAATGAGCTTTTAGCTACACAATTTACCCAAATTATGTCTTACTTCTGATCCAATTTTTCCTTAGCAGGCCGTTTTGCACATGGATATTGTATCTCGATTGAATTTTTGGTGAGCAAGAGGTATGATGACGATGAAGTTTAAAAAGTGTCTTGACAGAAATCACAGCACAAAATGCCAAATATTATACATTAAGCAAGCTTAAAAGAACCATCGCTTATTTAATGTCAGTGGTACCATTACATCTATAGAGGGGTGGGGGTAAAACTGACGAAAGTTCATATAACAGGACTCATTTTCAAAAGGGATCTTTACAATCATTGATATCAGATGCAAAATTCACGACGGCTGACTTCCAAGCGAACATGGTGCTTGTCGAGGAGATAAACTTCTGTAGCTCCTTTGGCGTGATGGAGCAGGTAACAAATGCAATGAGTTCGCTTTGAATAAGGGTGGTGGTCGAGTAAACTCAAAGGTTCAAAGAAAATCTTGCTATCTACCAGTGTAAAAAAAAAGATGGTGAAAAAGCCATGTGCTTTCGGTATGGAAAGGTTTGTATTTACCATAGAATCGGCAATAGTATATAGGGAGGGGTATCTTGTCTGTCAATGTCTCGGTGAAGGCTAAGACTGACTTTATTACTTTGATCATTTTTTTTCATCATCAATCTTCTTTGAAATAGTAGTATTATGTTGGATTACACCCGAGAATTCAACCAAAAGCGTGACACGGTGAATTTTATCCACCAGTGTTTCTTGTATCGCTCATCGCAGTGAACTTCGAAGTAGTTAAATAGCTCTTTTTATTTTTTCCTTAATAAAATTGTCTTTCTACTCGTATTCATTTTCTTGTGACCGAGTTGGAAATTTACACCACATAACCAACCCACCATGTGTCAAGCGAAACAAGCTTTGGATTTGACACAGAGAAGCCAATAACGTCTCATTTTGTGCTACCAGTATGGTCAGTCGATCTTTCAAGCCAGCAGAGGTCGATAATGTCATTATCAGCCAAGAACAAGTTATTGAGCACGATGATGCTGGTGTGACGAGCGACATCGCGTTCTAATTTCTTTGACGTGTGAGGATTAACGGGACTTTCCATGAAAATAATATTATCCAAATAAAATCAAGAGCTAACATAGACTAACATAGACTAACTTGCCTTTTCTGCGATACTTACAAATGAGTGCCAAAAACTTCAACGAAATTGAAATCTGCGTGAGTTGCTATTGTAAATATCTCCCCGGGCAGCAAGATGCTTGTTCTGAGCGCTTAACGAAGCAGAATGATACTTGGAGGGATTTTTTCAATGGCATTGACAAGGGGTTCACATGATGTTTCCAGTTGATATGGGTGGATGACTCCGATGCCTCTCAAATGAGCCAATTTCTCTTCCTCGATCACACCTTTACTGATGTCAAGAACGCCTCCGTTGTCGATATCAAGCAACTCTTCGTCAGAGATCCTAAATGTTAATTAATCAGAGGGAATATGTGTAATAAAATAGCAAACTCGAGCTTACTCTCGATTTATCTCATGTACACTCTTGTTAACCTCCACGATCTTTGTCTGATGATCAATTTTAGTATGAATGTATGGTTCTGATGGTATGGTTACTTACCTCTTTAACTGATTACTCTACGACATAAAAGACATTTTCATTTACAACGGCGACCATCTTGAAGATATGCTTCTTTACCACTTCGGTCACTGTGTCATCAGCGTCAGCCCGGTCTGCCCAGTATGCCTTGTACTTGTCCTGAAATGCGGTGCCATTCTTCTGTCGCAACTAAAGTGAACCGTGTCAGCATTAATTTACTTTAGTGTCTATATACAACGACTCCTTGCATTAAATTCGTTCATTATCTTGATCGCATCAGCGTCCTTCTCTGTATTGATAACATTTTACAGTATAGACTTATAGGTTACGTTGGTACACTGAGTGATAATAATAAAAGCGCATTTCTAATGCCCGCAATACTTCACACCACGGCAGATTTTTTCGTGTAACAATTGTGTAATTCAGCCCGTGAGTTTATGTTACCATTTTGGGAATAGCTTTTTCATTGAAGTTTCAGGTCCGAAAGAATCGCAAAATTGATAAATGGGATCGCAAAAAAAAATTGGCTGGTAAAATACGATTTTATTTATTTTTATGGGTTGAAAATATTGGGGGTAGATAATTTTAGGCTTCCCATACCTACCCTGCAGTAGCTGCTACTGTAGAGTAGGTATGCTTGCACTAGCAGCTAGAAATATTTAATAGCTACTCTGAAAATGTTTCCAGAAACAAAAGCAAGTAGAATTTTGAAAAACCCAATTACATGTTTGAAAGCAAAAACCATATTAATGCTTTTAAAATAAAAGCAAAGAAGCTATTGGAAGGACAAGTTTCAAATCCGAGCGAAAATGTCAAACCTGAAAAAAAACAAAGGTCATTAGTACATGGACTTTTGATGAAGATTACTATGTTTTAGATGACTTACCACATATTAATTGAATCTAAAACAAAAACAAAAACAAAAAACAAAACAAAGCAAAAAAGAAGAAGACATATGTTTATGTTAGTATGGATAAAATCAGTATACGAGCAAGATTCTTTACATACCTCTTTATGTCAAGAATTCATATGCCCTATTATACTTCAATTAGATTTTATTAATCAGAACTCGTAATAGAATCACATCATTAGCAATACCTTTTAAGATCTTAATCATGTGGGAGGATCATAGTTGATCTGTAGTATAATTAGCTAATGAGTAGCAAGATCATGTGCCATTTGTTGCCTGATCTTTAGAAAAATGAAAAAAGTTGCATGAAACAAAAAAAGGCACAGTTTATTTTTTGTGTCAAGCTAAACTGTAACAAATTAATGAATTTCATTGGTTTTTGAAGACCATTATACGCTTATTACTGGTTACATGAATAACACTTTTCATTGGTTCCTGAAAGAAATCGACTTGTTGTTTCAAGATGCAGAAATAAATAAATATATGGTGGTCGTCTATACTCCTTTATCACGTTAGACAATACGTTGCATCACGAAAGCCCTGTGATGCAGCGTATTATTAATTACCCAAAAAATCCTAGGGTGGTAGTTTCTGCTCCCAAAGGACCAGGTCAACACAATTTTGCCTTTGACGATATCGGAAAGACCTGCTCACTTTATGGAAAAGATTTCGATCGCGTATGGAATCTACGACGCCACCTTACCAAATATCATAAGTTAGCAACTCATATTGCTAACGATATTAGCCCTCAATATGCCGATAGAAACCTAGCGTCACAAAGACAGACCACGAACACTGCCGAGCCGACCGCCCCTGATCACAATGACGATTCCGTTAACGAAGACCTACACGTTGAATCCGATTTGGAGGATGACGACAGCAGTTTCTTAACACAGATTCTAAAGAGCTGATGATTTTGGTGAGGTTTTTCCTAAAGGCTAAAATTTAAAAATAGAAATTTAGTAAATGATAGAATCTAAAAAAAAATCTGAGAAAACCTACAGATGTTTAGATTTTGATTCAAAAGATTTAGATCTAAATTCCGGATTTAGGTATTTAGATTCTTGTTTAGAAACTGCTGGAGACGATTTTTTGGAAAATCTAAACAATTACTTCTTAATTTGGATATTTAGTATTTGTGTTTAGATACTGTTGGAGTGATCTTCATGTTCTTTATACTAAATCGCCTTATTTGGACTAGTGTTGAAAATTTTAATTTGGATATTTAGTATTTGTGTTTAGATACTGCTGGAGGTGCTCTTAAAGAAAGATAAAAAGGTAATAATGATGCTTCATAATTATCATGGCTCGATACTTGTCCTATCTGAAGGAACCACTAAATTGGTGATATTTTTAATTTATTTATCTTAAATAAGACTTTATGAATTACAATAGATATTAATACCCTTGGTGCTATTTCTCTGTTCAATAGAGTCCGAGGTTCTTGTATTTTGGTGCTTATATATATATACCTCGCTACACAATTACATACGTTTATGAATTGACATGTTCCAAAATGTATGCTAAACATAATTTTATTTTTACTTACTTCTGGGTATTTACTGTCATCAAGAATAATATATTTACACACGATATATAAGCACAAAATATAGAAAATTAACCCAACAGCAGCAGCAGCAGCAAAAATGTACAAACTGACTTGTTCATCATAAATACTAATATTTTAATGACACAAAGGGCTTGATTAATTACACTTTTTTTCTGTTGTTGTTATGGTTACTACCCTGGTTACTTTTATTTTATTCTAAAAATAAAAGTAAAAGGTTTGGGAAAACTATTATTTCTAGAACAAGAAGTATGGTAATGTGTTGCATTTTCAAAGTTGAGCTACAACCTTACATTTTATTATTTATTATTTTGTTTTATTTTAGTGTTCTCCGGGTTAATATCAGTTTGGTAACCAAGGTAACAAAATAGAGATAAGATAAAATAAAATATATAAGATAGACAGGTAGATAGTCGGATTTCGGCTGTATTCACACGCAAAGTTAATGTATCGTACGATGTTGAGCAAAAAGTAATTACATGTTTGTATCCATATCAATTCGATTTTGATTTAATAACAACGTATATATTATATGTATAATTGAAAATTAAATATACATGGATTTCATTGATGGTTCTAATAATACTAATGATATCATTACTTTATACAAATTCAAATATAATGAGTAAAATAATGTATATTTTATGTGTGTGTTTGTGAGTGGGTGTATGTGTAGTGTATGTGTCTGTGTCTGTGTATTACTCTTTAATTTTGGTCTCCCTATCTCTCTCTCTCTTTCTCTCTTTCTTATTTTATTATTATTTTTATAGTCTGGTATTCCTACTAAGTTTGCTTGCAAGTTTTATGCTTAACTCCAACCTCCACCATCAAACCCAACGAAACCCTTTATATATTAAGAGAAAAAAAGAGAAAAAAAGAGAACAGTAAATTATAGTTAAATTATAATTATAAGAGTAATAGTAATAGTAAAATGAATAGTAATTATAATTGTGATTTTTTTTAGTAATGGTAATGTTAATGGTAATAGTAAAGGTAATAGTAAAGGTAGTAATTAGATATGTGTATATGTGTGTATATATAATGGTAATAGCTATAATAAATAATAAAGAATGAAAATGACTTACAGTTAGTAGAAAGACGGGAAAGTATGGTTTTTGTTCGATTTGAGAGCACCCTGTATACGTACGTACAAGAACGTGTATTTGTAGATTTGCAATGATTGATTAGTATAAAGTATTTAAATAAAATGAGATAATAAAATAAAAGAGATAGAGAGACTAGTAGCAAAGACTTACAGTTCCATGCAGAAGTCAATCTTCCGTCAATACAACTGCCTGCATCATAAAAGTTGTCTGCTCCAGACCCATCAAAGGCACCACGGAAGAAGTCAGCTAAATAAAATAATATTAAGAATAATAAAATTAAAATTGTTCAAATTTTCAATAATTTCCTCCTCATCACCATCAATTGGAGTCAAAAAGTTAAAGATAAAAAGAAAAAAAAAGTCGTAATGATAAGAGCATTCGTTCTTTTCTTCTTCTTCTTTTTGCTTTTGGTTTTGTATATAGTTCTTTCTTACCAAGAATAACCTTCCTACACTCTGTCACACCGCCAAATTTACTATCAATATACTTCTTCAGCCCATCGTTGGATTTCAGCTCATCAAGTTTATCCAAAGCAAGACATATAGGGCTCAGAATACGTGCAACTTGATTATACTGTAGATTAAATTAGGCATATTAGTTAAGCTCATAAAGCGGCCAACCGGTATATGTATATATGTATATATGTATTTGCGTGTGTTTGCTTGCCTTGTCAATAAACATGAGTGAATTGGGTACATTCTTATCACCTAAATGAATAACAGAACTACCAATCCATGTCCCAGCTTTTTTCTGAGCCCGATACAAGGTACGATGCATCTCACGAGAAACTTGGGGGCAAGCTTGGACTCGATGAAGGCCTTGACCGGTGTGAATCAGTCGATAAGGGTTGGAAGTACTGAGCATGTCTTGGTCAGCAAATGTCCAGAGTTTGAACATGTCGTTGAGAATCTCACGCCAGAGTTTGAGAGTCTGGTTCACATAAATGTACTGGGTCTCGTGGTCGTGGCTCAACCGATGTCCTTCTGCACCGGCTGCGATGGAAAGTGAACAGCGAGGATCTTCCTTGGTTGGGTGGAAATACTTTTCCAAGTAAAGAATCACTCTCTCGCATGGGTCTCGGTTGGCGCGCAAGTAAGATTGATTATCACCAATGCTGTAGAGACATTGGCGAATGTCGTCTGCCGAGATGTGCTTGGACTGGTACTTGCGGCTCAGTTGCTCGATTGCTCGTTCTTTTCTTTTGATGTCCATCTGGATCTGAGGGCGCGTCTTGCCTTCGGGAATGATTTCGTGGGTTGCAACCAAAATAATATCTTCGTGCAATACCTCTATGCAATGACATTCCTTGAGGACACTGTAGACAGATTTGATAGGTGTTACACAGGTAAATCCAAGCATCTCCTGAACTTCAGGGATCATTGAATCCTGCACAAAACAAAGAAAAGGAAATCCTGCGGTGTTTAGCCCACGTCCACGTCCACACACTACACACTATCTACACGTAACGTTTGATTGTTAAATATTAGTAACTTACCGCCAGCAGATACATGAGTTTTCCATATGCAGATCGCATTTTTTCAGGATTCATGATCTTGTGCCTGTAGGGGCAGATAAAAATATGTGTTATTAGCCACTGATTCTCGCTTTATATATATGTGTGTACAACATATTTGATCTACTTACCGTCTTCCAATCTCAAAGATTCTCTGAAAGAATTCTTGATTCTCATCATACGATCTGTCGGAAAACAGCTCTTGACCACGTCTGTAATCTCCAGCTAATACCAAACCCGTGAGGACTGCACATAGTTCCTTGATTTGAGCCACTGTACGTTTGGCCTTGCTGGTGTGTGAGATGTCGTCAATCTTGTCTAAAATAGCATTATTATTATTGTTGTCAGCTTTCACAATATCTCTATCTCTTTAATTTTCTATATATATATTTACCTGTATATTCTGTCACATTCAATGCAGCTTCCAATCTAAGGTATCATTTCCAAGCTTCAATAATTGATAACAGTCCAATATATATGATATATTACACAGATACTAATAATAACAGTGGCTTACAGGCGAAGGAATTTTCTTTCTTCCATGGTCAATCGTACCGGAATATACTTTGCTCTAAGAAAATTAGGCTTGTTTATATGTATACTTGACATTTGACCAGACTTCTCTCATCCTCCCCTTCACTTTCACTTTATTTTATTCTACTTTACTCCATTACACTACACTACACTCTAATATATACTTTAAACCCTCAATTAACATCGATGTTCTTTACCTGTCTTCCATAAATTCACCCACATTAAAGTCAGCACGTGTAGGTTCAGGTTTTACTGTTTGCTTTGGATAATAATAATAATAAACATATCTAATATTAGTATCGCAAAATTTGGTTGTATTATATATAAAAAGAAAATATTTACAGGTTCGGCATCCATGCTTGTGTCAGCTTTGTCTTGGATTTGACCGCTTTCCACATATGCCTTATAACTCTTGCTAGTATGTTTTGCGCGCTTTCCAGTACGATGAATCATTCCTGACAATACCATATTAATTTAGTGACCGACCAGATAGCTGGTATTCTCCACATATATATATATATATATATTACCCTTGCTTACCATTACACACTTCACAAAAGGGTTCATTGCATTGTTGACAATATACATCTGCCTAAACATATATAGATACCCACATTGGAAGATATAGAAAGGGAGAAAGAGAAAAACATTTAGATAAATAATAATATATATATATATATATATATTGCAAGGCTTTTATTATGGTACCAAGCAACATAATATTTTAAGAAACTTTTACCCGTTGATCTTTGCACTCCACACAGTATCCCGGGGGGGCTTCCTTGTCAATGTCAATGAATTCGTTTTCGTCATCATCAGTTTCCATGATGGAAACATTGTCAGACAAGATTTCCTCTAGTCGATTGCGTTTGTCTGGACCTGTTGGCATGATGGAAATAAGCAACTATGGGTTATAATATCATCGTCACCAAGTTAAGTTTTTTTTTATAAAAAAGGTAATATAAAAAAATGATGCTGTCTATCTGAGATTAAAATTTTAGGGTTGGACTTTGTTTTTTCACCGTCAAAAAAAAACCTCCTCCTCCTCCTCCCACTCACCACTGCCATCCACCAAAGAGGGGAAGAAATTATTGCATATTTACAGGTTGATTTATGTGTGCACTGACATATGTATATATGAGAATATTTTGAAGGTTGGATCCAACTGTTTCAAACCCTTCTTCTTTTAGTATTGCTTTGAACTAAAAGGAAGGAAGTTTTTAGGTTTGGAAAGATGTATCATTAATTATAATTAGTAGTGCAAGCTCATAAGCTTCTTTCTGTTTACAAGTATCATTATGTTTATGTTTATGATTATAGTGTATATATTAAAACAAGGTCAATCAAATTTGTAACAATAAAATTGCTTTTCTTTTGTGTTTGCGTATATTTACGATTCTCCTAATATTTTTCTCTTGTTCTCGATTCTTCCTTTACTTACATAATTAAAGCCTTTGTTATTAATACATATTCCTCCATTTCTCCCATACTCTTATAATAATATTACGGTGTTGTAGACATTTGCTATAACACATATCCAAGGCAACAAGTCTTGGTGGCAAAAAGGAAGATTTGTGAATGGCCTCATTTATATTGTTTGTATCCGACTAATATTCCCATTCCTTAATTCTGTTATAAAACTACTTTCGATTCTGACTTTATCGTCTGAATTCATCTTATATTTTACGGCAAGAAAGAGAAACAACGACAAAAATAGAAATAAAGATAAAGTAGTTTGCTTTGAGATTTTTTATAGCTTGTCTTTATTACGATATAAAAAGTGCTACTATTTCTAAAAGTACAATTTGCTATTGCTATTACACCTTTGACTTTTGGAAGTGACTGTTCTTTATCCTATCTAAATACTAAAATAAGACTATCGGTAGCAGTTGTTTTCCTCTCCACACCCGAATGTTTCACACGCCTCCACACACATCTTGCCACTTACTCTCGGGCCTCCAATGCCAAGATCAACATGGCCAAGACGGAGGCCATATCGCTTTCGGGACAACCACTTCCTCACTGGATCACGTTCCTACAGGCCCACCAAATAACATCCTGGCACGACCGTTCCTGTCCTGACTCCCTCCGCTACCTTGGCTTCCCTCTTGTCAGTTCGATTGCCCAACGCGATGCCTTTTGTTCCTCATTGTTAACAACCATACAATCTTCCTGCGCCATACACCTCACTCGATCCTTATTTATCCGGGGGCGTGCCACCGTTCTCAATACTCTCATTCTCTCCCGTCTCTGGCATGTCCTACGCGTGATCTCTGTTCCTGTGTCGTTTCTCGATAAAGTGAAGTCGGTCATGGGTCAGTTCTTGCAGCACCGAATGTTTCCTCCCATTAAGCTGTCCACTCTTTGTCTCCCTCTTCGTTCTGGCGGCCTTGGAGTATTAGATCCTTCTATACAACAAGGTGCTCTTCAGCTGCGCTGGTTACGTCCTCTCTGTCTCTCTCCTCACTCCACCTCTGGCTTAGTTCCTCCTTGGCTGTCCTTTCTCTTACGTTATCATACGTCTGGCACCGACCCCCAATTGACACTTCTCTTCCACGATCTTCGCCCCCCCGATCTGACTGGCCTTGCAGGTTGCTTCCGCAACATATTCTCTGCTATTGATAGGCTCCCGCACGACTTCTCCTCCCTTGCCCCCAACATTGCTACGTGTTTAGCACTTCCCCTCCGCTCAGTATGCCTACCAGCCACAAGCACTACCTCCTTCCCTCCCTCCTGGCAACACCTCCGCGTTGAAGATGCCTTTCTTGTTGACCCTTCTTTCGACGTTCTCTGCCGTCGAGCGCCGGCTGATTTCCCACGCAACCCGCTCATATTGCGCAAGTTTTTCAAGAGAGTTGACTCTCGCGACATCTTGCTACAACCTTTCCTTGTTCGCGCTTTCCTCCCTTCTCATATCCTTCAGCTCAATTACCCTTCCATTCCTTCCCGTTCAGGTTCATCAATCAATGCTAGCCCTTTTGTTTGCGGCCTTTTACCTGGAATACCGTGGTCCAAGCTGAAACCTCGTATGTATCGTTCTCTTTGTTCCTCTTCTGTTTCTCCTCCCCTGTCGTCTACACTGTCCAGCTCACAATGGCGAATCTTTTGGAACCTTCCTATACACCACCATGTCCGCAACATCTGGTACCGAGGTCTGCACCACAAATTGTCATCCCGCTCCCTGTTGCATCGCATACTTCCTGGCCCCTTCCCCACCGACTCTTGCCCCATTTGTGAAGCCTCTACAGACACACCCGACCATTTCCTCTTCTCCTGCCCCCTCAAAATTGACGTTTGGTCTACATTCTGGCAAGATGTCTTTGGATCTCATCCTACTCTTCCTATACTCCATGATGCATTTTACAACCTGTCTTTCCCCTATACCCGCTCCTCTGATATTCACGCCGCCTCTCTCTTTAGCTGTGCCCTTCTGGCGATCTGGCGACATCATTGGTCCACGGTGTTCGACAATACACTTTTTGTATCTTCCACCGTCCTATCTACCGCTTCCCGCTTGGTTGCCATATTTAAGGCTGAAAAATCTCTTGATGACCTTGCCTGTTCTCTTGCTACCTAGCTCTACCTTTAGTTTTCCTTCTTACATATACACCTCAAAAAAAAAATCAAAAACCCAAAAACAAATTTTGTGACGTGCGTCCTTTTTTTTAGCTAGTGATCCTCACAATAAAAACCTGAGCTCTAATTGCTCCCTACAAAAAAAAAAAAAAAAAAAAACAAATATTACACTCAAAGTAAATTAAAATTAAATTAAATTAAATTAAATATATTCAAGGATAATTGACCCAGTATATTATTAATACTATCATTAAAGACAAACAGTACTGAATGTTGCAATGAGTGATTGATGTAATAATGAAAAAGGTAGGAAATAAAGAGAATATTAATATTATCATCATTTATATATATATATATATAAATCAGAGATAATTAAATATGAGATACAATGTGATTATAAAGGAGACATCTTTGAACGCTTTATATGACATACACACAAGTAAGAATAAGAACCAGAACCCAATTTTGTGTTACAATTTGAATATGAGCATTCCCACAATGAGTAAATATATATATAATAAAAAAAGGAGTCAAAGACAACCAGCTATCTAGCTACCCAGGTATATGGGTATATAGACAAATGTACTAATATTGAGTGTGTGTGCTTGTGCTTGTGCTTGTAAAAAATGAAAATCAAAATGAAAATCAAAATGAAAATGAGAATGGACAGCTAAACTTGTTTGAACTTCTTTAATCTTGATAATTTTGCATATATTTTTTTTTCAATTTTCCCTTCTTCTTCTTCTTTTTTCTTCACTTTCTTTCACTTTTTATAAATTGTAAAATGTCTACTGAACAACCTTTCATTGTATGTGCAATCCAATATACTCGTTTAATTGCATTGATATTATCAGGATGGGTCGTCATTGCCTCTCTTAGCCAATATAGCCATGTTAGTCTCTCGTTTTTCGCAATCTTTGCCGAGGATACCCAGACCCTGTCCACCCATCCACTCACTCTCCTCCAAGAAGCCGTCCAAGATAGACGTCTAATTTCTACCCTTGTGGCTGTCCAAGCATCGATCGTATGCCCGTTCTTTTTGCTCTATAGTCAATCGGAAGATTCAGAACGACCATCGGCCTACAATACTGCAATTAATCTTGTCTTTCAGTTCTTCCTGCCTCTCGGACTATCCCTAAGCTGGCTATTCTGCGTAATGTTCGATAAGAAAATCACGGTTGCTTTAATCAACAGTGTAATATACCAAGAGTCTTATCCTTCGGGTCCTCCGGTGTGTGAGATTGCACAATGGATGTCAATCCATTGTTCGAGAGATTGCTCTATTGTTTCTGCTGCGACACAAGGCAGTAAATATGCGTTGATCGCTGTCTTCCTATTAGAAGCCGCTTTTGTTTGGATTGCTATCTTTCAACATGGAGCAACGATGACTTTGGGGGCCATTAGATTGCCAGTCCAGGGCGAAGAAGGTGGCGACGATTCCCTATTACCAGCCTCGAAGGAATAAACATATCATGCTTCCCAACCCTTTATTTTGTTTTCTTTGGTTTACAGCTTGATCTTCTTAAAAGAACACAAGAACAACCCGGATGAGCATAAATAAAATGAAGAGGAATGCAACATTTAGAGATCTGGTTTTCGACCAGTGATCACCTCATGGTTTCTTGTTCATATTAGCAACCAGCTTTCCTTTTTATTTAATTGATAAATCTTCAGTATATCCACTATGATACATACTTCTTTTCTTACATTCTTACTATAAAGAGCTCATATCTTTTGGTGAATTGGTACTACTGCCTTTTCCACATACATAAAAAAAATTCTATGATATGATATTATATTATATTGTGTGATATGATAACATAATAGAGATGACATGGCGATAGTAAAGAATGTTGGTATATGTCTATAGATAAAAGAGTAACCAAAAGAATATATAGATTAAAGGACACACATATTCTTTCTTTCTCCCTCCACCCCTTCTCTTTCTTGACCTAACAAATCAATCCGTACAATAACTGCCGTCTCGTTGAAAGCAATCGTTTGATTCTTATCCATTGATTATGTCCCCAACCATGACACGATCATGGACTGGCCCTGACCAGCGTATACATAGTATGCAACCCATTAAAAAAGATCCAACGCCATCCCGTCCGTTACGTTCATGGTGCATCACAGCTCTAAGCAATTTCCAGGTCCCGCTGATCCGTGGTCGCGTGGGTCCTGCAAAAGACGTACATCAAGCAGAAGAAACCAAGCCAAATACTCAAATAACTGATACTCGGTTACCACGCTCTTACACTGTGGCTGCACAAATTAGTAATATTTCTCAGCCTATAGCTATTACTGGCTCAATAGATTTTAGATCTCCACCTTCACATCTTCAGGCTACAGAACATCCCTTGCCTTGCTTGACAGAAACTAGCCAGCAAACAAACATTAGTATAAGTGATCTTATCCGACGTCTTACACGAACTTCCACTCTTAGCCGGAATAATACTACAACCACCGTTATCCATGACAATAAATATCAAGCTGGTCGGCCACATTGGCTACACACAAAACAAGGAACAGAGATCTATCTAACATCGCCTTATGTGGTCGCGGGAGGACAACTGACTGGAACGGTTATCATCAAACTTAATCCTTCTCAACCCCAAATGGATTACCTCGAAGGACTTGTTTCACTACAGTTAAACTTCTATGGTGTAGAGGGTAAAAAAAAAGACTGCTCTGTAAAGAATAGGCCATCCTGTCTTTCCACCACTATATCTTAATTTATCTATTTATCTATTTATGTGTCTGTGTACTTTAAACAAACAAAAGCCATCACCGATACGGCACACTTCTCTCCCGCAAGCCATACATGCCAATTCTTGAGACAGAATGTCCTCAGCGCAGTCCATAGCCAGATATATCCTCGTCATCTAAGTAACAACAAGCAATCGCTTGTGATTCCTTTTACAGCTCAACTACCAGTAGATCTGAGCGGTAGCTATAAAGACAAAAAGGGAATGATTCGCTATTACCTCGAAAGGAAAGTTCGAAAAAGCCATCGTTGTTGTATTAGCTTTTAATATATTCGTGCATGCTGATAAAATAAAAATAAAAATGTTTTTAGTGAGCTTGTGGTTTGTACTGAGCCAAGTCAAAACCCATCGACTTACGCAACGTTGCGCGCAGAACGCCCAATTGAACTTTACTCTAATTCAAGTCTTGGGACACTTGGTGATGCAGCACTGTATGTTCCTGTGGTTGAGACACGTCAAGTCTGGAGAACACCAAGTTGTCAAGAGAGCTGCGTCAATATAAGCCTGGCCCTGTCAAGAACTCTTTGGGTATCGGGATCGCCTATATATGCTGTTCTAAAAACCAATAACGAATCCAAGCAAAAGGTAAAAAAAAAATAAGACATAAAATGCCTCTTTGATTTTTTTGTAGATAGCAAGCAAACGATATTAATCCATTATTGTTTACAAATAGATTACGAATGTAAAGATTGAACTTTTGCGACGACAGAATACATTTTCTCAGACTGGATTGACAGGAAGCTTTGAATTTATGCCTGTTACTTCGACATGCGAAGTAATTGCACAAACCTCTCTGGCCAGCTTAGACTGGTGGAGGGCTACTGATGAGTCTACTAGTAATCAAGTGACATTGGTAGTTGAAGCACCTGTAAGCTCTAAAGACAAGTACTGTCATACGAAGAGTCTTTAATAATCAACCTCCATTTGACTCTTTGTAATATCATTATTTAGCCAAATCAATGTTCCGTCAAAAACCAGACACTTATTGATGTTTCTTTTGCTCTTCGTCTATCATTGGCATGTCCCACAAGGTAATCCATAAAATCACACCTGTGATATATAGTTACCTATAAAATACAACACTAAACCTTTGTTTTGATTCTCACCAGTACAGATGCTGTTCTTGAGACCCCAGTTACTCTCGTCCATCCAATATCTATGGATCCCCCACCAAATATTTATGAGCATAAATCACATGATATCCAGAGCGTTCAAGCAAATATCTTTTTGCGACATGCTAATGAACGCCAATTACTGCATAAAACCCTATTTATTGCTGCAGGCAACAATTCGTCTGTTTCAACTTTAGACTCAATCTCCAGCTTGTCCAGCGACCCATACCTTGGGTTGACAATCGATACCCCAACTATTGGAGTGAAGAATATCTTGAACAGGTCTCGAAAGAGTATATCTTCCCTGGAAGCTCACTCTCTTCCCATGAACCATCAGCACTCTTCGCGTACCCTCTCTTTTGCGCCTTCCCCTAACATTGAAAAGATTAGATACGGTCAAGTGAGTGTACATCGGGTTGTTGAGAAAGAAGAGTCCGTGAGGGAAAACACGACAGCTGATCTTCGTCACCAGCTTGGATTAACACCAGTTGGTGAAGCCATGCAGGGGTACATGTCCGAATTTTGTGCAAGCGCAGGTACGACTTTAAAAGACTATAGTAGTTTATATGTCTACTCTTATTAAATATGTATCTCTTCCTCTTTGAGGAGAGGAACTCGCATATTTAGGTCTTAAGAAAGATATTTCATCCAGCCATAATACAGATATTAGCTACAATTCATCCAATGACCCTTTTATTGCCGAATGGCAAGGTAAAGATATTGGCGCGAGAGGGCTTAAGCGAATGGTTGCTTCTTCGTCGAGATATATGCGTGCCCTTCGATCCAAAAGCATGCAGCCTGCGCGCAAGGCTAGTTTTAATAGCAAGCGGCCCAACCAGCCATGTCAGTAGCCCATAGTAATAGTAATTAAATAAACAACATATGCAAATAAATCCCAAAAAAAAAAGAGTATAAACAGCATGATTGAGGCCACTTTTATTCAATTGCAAAAATTTGCAGCCATAATTATTATTACTAAAAAAAAGGGGGGGGGGGGGGGGGGGGGGGGGGAAATCCT